GCTAATCTTACCGGCTTTCTAGTAATGGCTATAAAGGGAATTCAAGCGTGCGAAAGCGGCATTCGCGCGTTTGCTCTCCGGTACATTATCGTCTTTTCCTACGCCCCTTCGTTATAATGTATTTTCTTGATAAGGTGTAGTGCTCTAGAAAATGAGGGTAGCAGCAATACTATTAACGAACCAACTATTATAGTATAAACGACCCTAAGGGGGCTAATCCCTTCTGGGTATAGTCTGAGGTAGGCTGAATGGATCAGTGTTGCTCACTGATTGGACACTGAGCATCACTCAGTAATTCGAGAGCATAGCATCCAATGAGCACTCACTGAGCACTCAACGAGCATTAGTCACCATGCACGTGACTGATCTAAGCATGATCACTGTCTGAGCCCGTGCTAACATCTACTACTCAGTGAGCCTGAGCCCAAGCACCCTCATAAAAGCGGCGGCAGCTCAAATAGGAAACCCCCCCACCCGCGAGGGAATATCCGGTACGTATACTCCGTATTTACATACGTAATGTCTTCCGTACTCTATATGTATCCTCCTGACTGTTTACATGTTGAATGTACATTCTGTCAGATGCAGGGACCACATGCCTAGGCCCACCGGAACTCCGCGGCTGCATATGGGCACTTTCATTGTTCTATCATTAACTCCTTCCCCTAGATTCTTCTTCTACTCTATTCCTCTTTACCTATAATGTCCTGAATCTCCATCCTTATCCAAAATGTCCTCCCAAGACGACTCCTCGGAGCCGCACGACATAACACTGATCGTCGAATCTGTCTCTTTGACCATCGGCGCTGACTCGCTCCTCATACTTGGTATGGACTGATCCACACCCCGGCGCGTGGGCATATGCTCACCCATGCAGATGACCGCCCGGCCAAAGCAGATCGTAGCTGCTGCGGATTACTCCAGTCTAGTAAGTTGATAGTGCCCCTCTGGCGATCGCCGCGTTATCGCGGGCGCTACTGTTGATGGAAATGGTCTGACCAAGCTATGCGCGCATTTCAGAACCGGAAACCAACCATGCCATCTCATTGTACAACATCCTGGGCGCCGAAGTCACGGCTTCCAATCTCGTGATTGCCTATGCACAGCATGCTGCCAAGAACGATGTTTCCGTAACAACCGTCCAATACCCAATCTCCGAAAAAGAAAAAAAGGCCATTGAGAGATGGGCACAACAACTGCTTGATGCCGCGTATGGCAAAGCACTGCGCAGCAAACGGCTGAAGGTTTTGGTCAATCCTTTTGGCGGGAAAGGAACTGCTGCGAGTTTGTATCAGCGATATGCGGCGCCTGTCTTCGCCGCGGCGAAGTGCCAGCTGGATGTACAGAACACGGAATACAGGGGGCATGCAATTGAAATTGCGGAAAACCTCGATATCGACGCTTACGATGCGGTCGTTTGCTGCTCTGGAGACGGCTTGCCCTACGAGGTGTTCAATGGATTGGGCAAGCGGCCAGATGCTCGAAAAGCGCTAGCGCAGACTGCTGTTGCACTGCTTCCTTGTGGCTCTGGAAATGGGCTGACATGGAATGCTTTTGGGACTGGTAGTGTCTCGATTGCGGCGCTGGCAATCGTCAAGGGACTTAGAACTCCACTGGACCTAGTCTCGATCTCCCAGAAAGATTCGCGCACGCTCTCTTTCCTCTCGCAATCTTTTGGCATTGTCGCCGAGTGTGATTTGGGTACTGAGAACATCCGTTGGATGGGCGCTCAGCGGTTTACATACGGCTTTTTGATCCGTTTGATGCGACAGACCATATGGCCTTGTGACATAGCCATCAAGGTGGAAATTGGCGACAAGGAGGCAATTAAGGAACACTACGCTGCGTGGTCTACACGCCCACAGGAGCCGGATGCTGACAGCAAACGCCTCGAAATTGCTGCAGAGTCACCAGGCCTACCAGAGCTCAAATACGGTACAGTGACGGACGAGCTGCCCCAGGGGTGGCAGGTAATTTCGGGTGAAACTATGGGCAATTTCTACGCAGGGAATATGGCCATCATGTCGAAAGATACAAATATGTTCCCTGCAACATTGCCGGACGACGGCCTGATGGATGTGGTCACTATCGACGGAACAGTCAGTCGTGCTACAGCGCTTACAATGATGAACGAAATCCCCAGTGGTCGCTTTTTCGACATGCCAGACCTTAATGTCCGCAAAGCGTCTGCGTTTCGTCTAGTTCCCCACCAGAAGGAAGGCTACATCAGTATTGATGGTGAGCGGGTGCCTTTTGAAGCGTTCCAAGCCGAGGTCCACCAGGGACTGGGCACAATACTCACCAAATCGGGCCGTATCTATGAGGCGGCAGGTCCCCGCTAAATCGTGCCTCCAAGCTGCCTCTGGGACGCAAGTCGCCATTAGCTACTGTCCACCCTATCATTGTTGACAGACCACTCTCTATATACCCACTGCTTTGCTGGGTTTTTGCATTCACTCATGATACCCTAGCGCAAAAGAATTGGTGCTTTGTCAATAAGTCGCATTAGACATTTGATACTCCGTGATCAGGCTGTACAGTAAAACCAAATGAAATAGGAGACTTGTGAATACATTTGGTAGTCCTTTACACATGTAGGTCTAGCACCAGCTTCTTCCTTATAGAACCTGTGATGGACTGATGGACATAATCGCTAGCACGCTGTGCAATGAATTCAGTCTGTTTATACAAATCCCTTTTCAAATACTACAACTATAATATTCATTCGAAGCCACCCCATTCCTCCTCACTGTCATCATCCTCATCGGCCTTTCTTGTCCGAACGCCCCACTCGACCAACCGCTCATCCTCCAAGGCCTCAGCCGCCCTCGTCCGCACGGGCTTGTAGGCACTCTCGGCGCGCAGCTTCTCCAGGGGCCTCAGAATAAGCTCCATGGGCACATCGCCCTTGATCTTCCGCTTCGGGGTCTCCTCCTCATCACCAGCCACCTCCTCAAACTCAAGAACCTTCTCCAACTCATCGACCCAGATGTCAATAAGATGGTAACGCAGGCCGTCAGGACCATGCGGCATAGGCACGTAATTGGGGTCACCCTCATCCGGAGCCTGATCCTCGTCATAGTTCAGCGGACACAAAGGACCCTCCTCGATAATGGAGATATAAGCCGCGAGATCGGGGAATCTGGCCTCGTCATCCTCGGCACTGTCCTTCTCCTCCTCGTCCTCGACGGTCTGGGCCTCAGCCTGCTTCTTCTGCTTCTTGCCGCGGCCCTGCTTGGCTGCGTCTTCGCGCTTGCGCTTTTTCCCGTCTGCGTTCTTTGTTGAGGTCTTGTTCTTCACGAGAACTTCGAATGCCACGCCGACGTAGAAACGGATCAGCATCAGGTACTTGTCCAGTCGGATGCGGTCTAGTGAGTGGTAGTCCCGGCCGATGGTGATCCAGAAGGCGCGCAGGAAGCGGTGGAGGGTTTCTTGGGGGAGGGAGGGGACGAGGGAGTAGGAGAGGGCGCGGGCGAGGGCTTGTTGTGTGAGGGGTCGGTCGGAGTGGTAGAAGCCTGGGAGAAGTTAGTTTTGTTGTCATTTGGGTTCGGCGAATGTAGCAGTGGTGCATACAGTAGAACAGGCCCTTCCAGAGTTTGAGGAGATCCACGAGGGTTAGATCGGTGCGGGATTGCACGAATTTGGTTAAAGAGTCAAGAGCCTTGTCGCGGGCTTTCCGGTCTAAAGAGATCAGTTAGCGTTATAGTTTTCCAATTGGTAAAAGAATATCCATACCGCTCGAGCCGAGCTCCCTCACGAAAGGAGTCTTTTGGCCGTCCATTGGTACGGTTTTATCTCGAATTGACAAGACTAGCAATTGAGAATCTGGATATCAAGGCGGAGGTGGTCGAACTCAGTGAGGGTATACAGAGACTACCCTTAATAGATATGTAATTGAATTAGAGGCCAATCAAAAGTTCGAGACTATCGAACTGCTGTCTTGATCCAAAATGCAGATCGAAGATTGCGATAAATTATTTTTTTTTCTTTGCGATAGAGTTGTTTGCATTGTTTGTCCAGGAGCTCATATCGCTGATTAGCTAAGATTATGAGCCTGAGACGTAAGGCATAATATCATCCGCTGTTCGTTAAGTTAGTTAACTATCATTTAGATGTTGCTAGCCAGAGTATGCCTATTATTCTTGCTAAAGTAGGGACTAGGATTTAAATTGGCATAGGAACTATACTTGGTATATCATTGTTTGCTCTGCTTTATATCCGTCATCATCCCTTTACAAACATGGAATGGATCAGCACCCATAATAGTTGGATAGAACAGCTACCTATACCACTCCGCTGAAGGAGAAAAGTTCTGACAATAATCGGAGTATCATCATTTCTTGGCTACAGGGAGGCTACATGCTTAACGAGCAGCCAAGCAGTGCATCGATTCATTTATCAGAACTCACCTTGGAAGCCCTTCTCTGGAGAGGCTGGAGCATACATATTCAAGCCGTCGACTAGGGCCCAATGGTGTATACATCTGCTTCCTGTGGCCGTTATACTCCCAAGGTTCAGATATATGGTAACTACTTACCAAGATAGGAGAGATATGCTTATAGTCTCCCCAGAATGCCGACCAATGCTACTCGCAGTGAGTAGCGGCCAATAAGCACCTGGTGAAAGTTAGTCCGAATAACAGGATCTCAATGATCAGCTGTTTTTTGCTAGTAGAAAGGATGCAGATAATGGCATCAAGAGTAGCCGTTTTCGGCGTCCAATTTGCCGCCATTGAGCGTTGATGTAGATATAATCGCCCCTATAGCTGTCGGGGCGCAATAGAAAACTTTAGATAATGAATCGAATCTTGCCATCATCCATCATCCATCATCCATCACCCATCAATCATCAATCATCATGATATATGCTGCCCAACAAGCAGCAAGGGTATGGAAAGAAAAACCGACAACGCCAATGTAAGAAAAGAAAGCATGGTCATTAACGTGGTCTTCCACGTTTGAGTGGCAAGCCTGCGTCAAGTAAGATAGTCATCGCCATATTTATTTCGGCCGCTTGGCCTCCCATTCATCAATAAGCCTTGATACTTCCCTAAAAGAAACAGGCTTCATAAGGAAAAGATCCACTCCTGAATCCAAGGCCCTGAACTCATCGCGTGTACTGCTGAGTCCTGTCAATGCGATAATTGTTGCCGCAACAGAGCCATCCCGTTCTTTCTCGATTGCACGAATGGCGCGCGTCGCCTCAAATCCGTCCATAACTGGCATAGACATGTCCATGAAAATAAGGTCATATCCCTGCTGCATTTTTTCAACCGCATCGACGGCCGCACTGCCATCCTCGGCTTTATCCAAAACCATGACTTTCCGTTTGTTCATGAATGTCATCATGAGGTGAAGGTTGATATTGTTGTCATCTACCACCAATACCCGGGGTCTGTTTCGACTCTCAGTTAAGGTACTAACATGATCTGAGCCGCCAGATGAAGATCGAGCAGAAGAAGACCCAGCATTGGTGGAATCAGTACTTCCCGATATTGTGCGATCAGAGCCGTCAGTATGCGACGTAAAGACAAAATTGCTACGGTCTGTAGAACCAATGGTGGAATTTCTGGACCCCGGCGCGGGAGTTGATGGTCCAGCATCTGGTGATTGTAGGTTTCCTGGTAATGAGGGGTTGGACTGTTCAATTGGCAAAGCCGAGCCTGTAAGAGCGGGTCGCTCTGGAAGTACTAAACCTTCCCCGGAATTCTGCGGATTTAACGTAGGGGTTGTCGGCCTCGTATCAAGACAGCTCAAAATACCACGGGAGAGTTTCCGTGGGCCGCAAGGTCGATGGAGGATTGAGAGAGAGTCAGCAAGATGCGACCATTGTGTCCTAGGATCACCATAATCGCGCGTCTCGCTGCAAAAGACGAGCAGACTTCGCAACTCTGTTGGGAACCCGTGTAATTCCTTTGCAGACAAATCCCTTTCATCCGCAAGCAGAATATCAATAGGCTCATTGGTAGATAGAGGAACAAGCTGCAGACCATACCAATCCGCGATATACCGAGTTATGGAAGCCCAGAACGGATGCTCTTCGAGATGAGACGAACCGATCCCCCCAGATAGCAGCACGTTTCCCACTACAGCCGACATGTCGGAGTTGAGAAGATGCCGTAAGTGTATTTTGATCCGAACTTTCCTTATAGGACGTTGATTGTGGGTTTTCATCACCCACTAGACGTTCAAGAGGAAGCGACACCTTGACAATAGTGCCTTCGCCCTGTCGGCTTCGGACATGAATTTTCCCGTGGAGTGTTTTCACAATGCCGCGAACAATTGATAGACCAAGACCAGTACCTACTGACAGCGGATCTTCTTGTGAGAATGGAGTGAATAGATGCTTCCGAAGATATTCCTTCGAAATGCCCTTACCCGTGTCTGAGATGGTCAATGTCACCATATCTTCGAGACCCTGGCGTCGAGAGCGACCCTGTGAGCGCTCGGTGAGATCCATGCAGACTGAGATCCGACCCTTTTTGGTATACTTCAGCGCATTGCCAAGGATATTCATAATCAGGCGTCTCAGCGACCCCGGCGGGACTTTGTACATCCAGTCATTATCAGTAATGTCAACAACGACATCCACTCCTGAGATGTGACCAACTCCTTTTGCTGACTTGGAAGGCAGTGTTGAAAAGGTATCTGTGGGGCGATTATTGGACAAGAGCTGACCTCTGCATGTGGGAATGACCCAAGCACACGCTGTCTATCACATCCTCTATCAAGAGAGCCACATCTGTCAAAACCAATGTATCCAGGTTCGCCACACTGTCCTCGGGTGGTTTTGGTTTCCATGGATCTTTTCCACGCCTGAAGGTTTTCTTGTGCCTTTCCAGCGACATGATTTTGCTGAAGTCTAAAACTTGGTTCATCGTATCCAAGAGAGTCCGACCACATGCATTTATCGTATCGAGGAGGGTATACTGGAACTGGTCCAAGGTAGTATTTCCAAAGAACTCGGCCGCAGCCAAGACACCATGCAACGGACTGCGTAATTCATGGGAAATGCTGCTTATAAAATCCCCCTTTTGGCGGTCTGCGATAACTGATTCAACACGGCTGTATTCAGTCATAATGGAGGATCCGAAAGCAAATACTGAGCTCAGATCAACAGCAGGACTGAAAACTCGCGTTGGGTGGGGAGTCCAACAAAAACACCCAGCGAACCACTGGGAATCTGTGGCATTCCACAATGGGACAAACATGACTTGAGATGCATCAGGGAAGAACTCATTCAGTTTGCTGGTCTCCGAAGCCTTTGACTTCTTTCTTTGTTTCTGACACTCGTCGGTTATCTGATCTTCTGAAGTTGAAAATGTTCCATCGTGGTGAAATGACCAGAGTTTCCCTTTAGGATAGCGATGCAGCAACTGTTTCAGAAAGACATTGTCAAGGTTGACAGCTGGATCTGATAAAGTAGAGTTTGCCTGATATGAAAATGGATCATCTCTGGTGGACAGCGCAAGAATAGGAGCAGGATTCGTGGATTCGGCGGAGTCACAATGACCGGCTGCGACATATTCGGAGAAGTTGTCACTGGTTTCCAAGAACATGACACCGCCAGCACCGTCCAAGTCCAGACTTTGTCGCAAGAGGTTCGCAGCACGTTGGAAAAGCCAGTGGTTGCTGCTTGAGGAATCCTCCGAACTACTATCGTCCTGTCGCGAGCTGTGCAACGACGCCGTTGGACTAGGAGGGACACATGTGTCATTCTGGTTGGAATCTGGGCTCAAAGTTCGTCCATCGTCGTTTTGAGACGCATTTCCTGATCTAGAACGTGGGGAGCGAGATTCCAGTTCATCATTTTGGGAGCTAGCAGATCGACTACCTCTGAGGTGAGGTGAGATCCGCGGTGACAAACTCTGTGCTGAGCTGTTCGACCGAGACGACATGCGAGCGTTGCTGGCGAAACTAGAGTTGCCGTCGACGAAAAGATGCAGACCACGCGATAGCCGCGAGGCCCGTCGCCCTTCTGCGGCTTGACGGCTAACCAATAAATAGTCCATTACCAACTCTGCCACTCTTCCTAATGTATCCTTCTCGATATCGGATAGGCCTTGGCGAGGTTCAGAATCCAATACGAACAGACATCCTAAATTGATACCGCTATGGCTGGTTAGGGGCGTTCCCGCATAAAAACGAGAGTGTGGTCCTTGCGCCACAAAGGGTAATTCTCTAAATCGTTCTTCCTGTTGAAGATCGTTGACTACCAAAAATGAATATAATCCATCTTCGTTGTCTGAGCTTACTGCAACTGTTTCCTAATTGAGGAAATAGGCGTCAGTGTGTAAAATTTCGCAATATTCCAGAAATAGGCTTACCTGGCATATATTCCAAGCATCTGGTACTGTCGATGTCCCAGCGAAGAGTGTATCTCCTTCTCCGGCAGATGACTTTGAGCTTCTAAGATTGGAGTTTCTTGTGGCTTCAGCCAATATAAACTGGGAGTCGGTATTCAATACACTTCGGAAAACGTCAGATAATAGTCCACGCTAGAGCAGGAGAGTAATGTACGTAATAAAAGCACGCTGCGCGCTCAGACGTAGAGCGGCCAGTTGCGCAAAAGAAGTCAAAGTTGTATTTGGACTTGACGGAGAGCTGCCTTCAAAAAAACTCGTTTTTGATTCAGACTCGTCGGGTACAAAAGGGGTAGTCACTCCTGAAAAACCTGCTGTAGATGCCACATGCTCATCAAGTTGAAGAAGTGATGCATTAAGCGCCGCTGGATTTTCTGGCTGGAAATATCGATATACCTCGCGTTTCTGACGGTCTGCTTCGTAGTCCATGATCTGGCCATGTGGATTGTCGACAACCACAAAGGTATAAAAATATGTGGAATATTAACACGAGGGGGGTGAGAGAGCTACCTGTGCCTGGCGTTGTGATAGACATGTCCACGTACGTCATTGCACGTGACGTCCTGCATGTGTCGATCTCGTGGGTCTTTTCCAAGGTAAAGAGCTTGCTAAAACAACTCTGAGGACTTGTGATAGATCAGATGCGGCGGAGCTAAACAGGTAGCTTGAGATGTTCGTTAATGGTGTGCGTGGCCACTATATACCTAGGTAGCCAGGGTTTGTTGAAAATCCCAGTTAATTCCCATCAACACTGGGCCTTTTTCATGCTATAACGCTAGCCATAACTCGGGGTTTGACAATGCAGATCCCAGACATGCAGGATCTGCACTCAGGCTCCTACCAAAAGAAGCCTGGATTCCTTGGCTGTATGCAGTTTGACCATATCTTTGCTGTCCTCAAGTATACAGGTCAGTATCTGACTGCATCGGCGCCGCGACATTTCAATCCAGCCTGCTTCCAGTCAGTTTTTGCTTCTTTTCGTTGTTGTTGTTGATTCTCACCGTTTCTTGTCGATTCTTTCTAATCTGTCAAAATGGGGGAATACGGCATAAATAGGGGCTTCTTTCCATGTATGAAGGAGATAGACAAATCAATTTATTACTTTTCACAGTATATTGGAACTTCAATGTTTCATATTCGTAGTACTCTTTTCATGACACTAATTTTGTTTCACATACATGCTGTATAGATTCCTACATCTATAAACAACAGGGTTTACAAAGAAGATGACACAACAACTTGTGGAAAGAATGGGGACATTGCATGGTCATATAAGTAGATCAAGTAATTAGGTGGACAAAATTCGACAGGGCAAGGGCGATTATATCGTGTTGAGAGCCACTTTGCTCTCACTCGAGTACGAGTATCCCCAAGTGAGACATCATGATAAAGTACCTAGGTGAAGAGAAGATGGGCGCAAGGAGAGTATCTGCCAGGTTGTAATCGGAACAAAAAAAATAAAGAGAAAAGGCTCGGGGTATTATGCAAAAGAGATCAGATGACCAAAACGCCAGAATGCTGGAGGTCAAAATAGAGAGAGTAAAAGAGTGATGTTGGTAGGCCATCGGCGATATCTCCCCTAGCGCCGGTGTCCAAGGCCTAGATCATCAACGGGGGAAACGACGAAAGCATTGATAACATGGCCAGTCTTCCACCCCTGATCAACGAGCGGTTCACGCTCATTCAGCAAGTGACCCAAGTAAGCGATTCGAACGCGCCTGTCACTGTTGAGCTAAACAACAAATCAGCCAATAATCCACCAAACGAAACGAACAAGCAAGGGACAAAACCAACCTTGGCTTCTTGATGCACTTTCCTCGCCAAAAGTCCCACAGTCTGACCCTTACCAATAGAAATCATGATATCTGGACCTCCACGATCACTCAAACGAGCAAGAACACGGATCAAGTCCCGCTCACTAGTCTTCCCCTTCTCCTCACGGCGGCGTTCAACATCCTGAGAAATCAACTCGTCCCCAGAAGCATCATCCGTAGCGAGCTTACCATCCGAGAGCGTCCCAGAATCCAGCTCTTCTTCGTATCCAGCAGGACCGCCATCTTCACTAGCCGTCCGGCAAGACGAAGGAGCCATATTCTCCGGATCACTAGCAACACATTGTGGAATCCTGTAAAGCACGCCCTGTTCATCGTAGCAACCCTCGCAAAGATCCCCAGTGGGAACAGTAATCCCCGCAGCATCAATAATACTCTGCGCAGTAACCAAGTCGCCACTGCGAATCAGCGATATCACCGTCGAGACAGCAGCCCAGATCTCCGGTCTGCCTGTAACCCGCGTCTCGAAGAACTCGGCGCGCTCGCGGTCCAACTGTGCACGCGTCCATGTTCGTCGCTTGCTGCGCCACACATGGTTGCGGACTGGTTCGTTGTAGTGCTCGTTTAAAGGGATGTTGGGGGCACGGCGGGTTCGTTGCCTCGGCGTCGAGCGGTCGCTCGTATCCCTCGTAGCTGTTGTGTGTGAGATACGTTCTTGGATGGGGGTTTGGTTGTCGATATTACGCGACAACACTGATGCGCAGCAGCCCTGTATTGAAGTGGAGATTGTTAGTTATGATTATGGGGCCATTGCGGGTTTGTATGGTATGGAGATGAGAGTCGGGGCTTCAAGTCGTGTGACATTCGATGCCAAGCAATGTGACCGGTCTTAATTATGATGGTATATGTATAGGTTCTGGGGTTTCCGGGGATGGGAATTCTTACCATCTTGCTTGCGATCAAGGAGCTCCATATGAGGAGGGGAATAGTTTGAGAGGGGCTTGCGTGGAGTAGTGGTCAACGCTCTAAAGCGAACTAGATCCTCCTGAGCACAGACCTACTGGGTAAGAGACGAGGCAAAAGGAGGCAACGAAGGTAAAATAGAAAATGAAACAGAAATAAAAAGAGTAAAAAGAAATAAGGGTACATTCCACAATTTCCCCCATTCGCGCATCTAATGCCGATGGGATGACTCCAAGTCACACAATGATCTACAGAGCACAATTGCTGAATTCGTACAGAGTACAGGGCACAACTGGAAACATATATGAATTTTTATTGGATTATACAAAGTAAGCCCAATTCTACTCATCTTCGTCGTCACTCCCAAAGATAGCTTTGAAAACAGCATCGCCAGGTCGCTCTGCCTCCAGGGCATCATTGCGTTCAGGTTCGACAACTACCGGTGGTGGCGCGTTGGCAGGTCCACTTGCAGATGGATCAAGGCCATCTGCTGTAGGTAAGTAACCTAATGAGTCTATGAGAAGTTGGTTCATGACATCCTGCGACACCAATTGCTTGGGGCCAGTTTCAGCTTGGAAGCCAGCGGACTGGAAACGCGTTCCAGGTTCGGTACTGGGGGCTCCAGGCCGTTCGCCGGGGTCAAGTTGCACATTCTCCGGTGGTTTGACGTTGAATCGCTTGCATAGAAGACGAGATGGGTAAAAGGAAATTGTGCTTCGAGTCATTGGGCCGAACATGCCAATTTTGGCAGCTGCTACTGCAGGATCGTCTGGCTTTTCGGCGGGTCTGCTGAGCCCAGATTCCGCTGAGTCGGGAGCATCTGAGACAATCTTGGGCGCGGTGGACGAGGAGGTAAATCGAGATGCCATAACTCCCGACATGGGTTTAAAGACCTCTGCAGCTCGGCTAAATTCTTGCATCTCCATAATCCATTCATCGGTACTGGACCCTTCCACCCGTTCTGGGAGGGTAGAGCGAGTCCCGGCACTAACTTGGAGGAATGTTTGGTAGCGTGCACGCTTTTTCTCGTCTTCTTGGTAAGGCATCCACCCACTAACGGCCCGAGCTAGGGCTTGGGCGGCAATCTGTTTGTCGAGTTTTGGTACGAGGTCCCAAAGATCCTTGCGCTTCTGTGATTCAGGAAGTTCGTATCCTTTGGGTGCCTTTTCTCCTAAGGCCGGAGGTAAATTGGCGTTGCCGGTAAGTTTGACAATCTTCTCTCGTGCCTCCGGGGTCATATAATCAAAGATAGACTTCCCAGGCAGTTGATCCTCACCCAAAAGTGCTGCTCTGGACGTGGGATTGAGAGTCGACGCTTTTGCAGCATCAGATGTAGAGACATACTTCGATTGATCTCGTTTTTCCGATGAAATTTCCTTGGCTGGTTTCCACCCCTCGGGTATCACAGGAGGATCGTATTTCTTCTCTGAAATCGACAATCCCATGATGCCATCGGCAAGGATGAATCCATCTAGCGGTAGGCGCCCGTCGCGGCACTTTCTGAAACCTCCGGCCCCGCGTGCTGCCGCCACCTTCTTCGATATGAACACGGGCTTAGAATTCAAGAGTGGGTTGGCTGACGCGATCGTTGGTTCTGGTTTGACCTTTTTCTTCTTCTTTTTATCCCCTCCGATGGTCTTGTTATATGAGATCTGCGGACCCAGGGAGTAAGGATCCTCGTCGTCCGACCCAGTGTCATTAAGAGGGCCAACCCCGAGTCCTCCCCGTCGTGGTTCCTTCGGCTTCGGAGGCTGAGCTTTCCCTTGAATGGCCAATCGCCCCCCAAAGAATGAGTCCGATTCCTCGACATCTCGGGTGGGCTGCAAAGCATTGTGAGACTCTAGGCGGGATTCGCCTTCAAACCCAAGACCTTTGCGGTCGGTCTTGCGGATGAACGCAACCATGGGTGGATTTTCAGGAGCAAAAAGATATGTTTCCTCGGCATCGTCACCCGGAGCAGAGCTTTCATCCAGATTGGCTTTGCGTCGCACCTTAGGTCCGATCCCTTGACCTTCGCGCCAACCCATCTTTTTCAAGAGCTTCACTCCCATGGTTTCTCCGCCAGTTTTCAATATATCCATGAGTCCTGCTCTGCGCGTAGCATCTATCTCGGTGGAGCCGAAACCGGCAAATTCATCGGCGGTCTGTAGTTGTCTAGATTCTTCCTGTTCTCGCAGGTCATCCGCATCCATGAAATCTTCAGGTCGTTTCTGTTCGGCTTTCTTGGCACGGTTCTGTCGCGATGAGACGAAGGTTGAAGGGGTCCATCCTTCTTTCGAGCCGACGGAATTGAAGTATCTAGAAGACGTCAGTGGTTGTCCATCCAAAGGTCATCGGTTTGGGAGCTACTCACCCCGCGCTGAATCCACCGGTGAAGGCGCCATGAAGACGCTTGCTCCCCTGTTCGTCCCTCACTTCTTGTTTCCATATTGGCACAAAGGAGCCGTCATCGCGAACATCCTCATCAAGTGGTGGTAACGGGGTTCCATAGAAGGCGTATGGGGATTGCTCTGCTTGAAGATCGGCCTCGAGCGCGGCGCGAGTACGTTTTAGGGCCATAATTTTCGGATGGGACAGTCACCCATGAGGAGTTATTGGTCACGTCATCTGCATGGGAGAAAGTTTAGTTGAAAGAAGTTGTAACGAAGATGTGTGAGAGCCGCATTGACAGCTCTTAGCTGCTGTAGGTGCCTGAGGCGTTCGACGGCTCTAGCTTATATAAGAACTGAGTCAGATGGAATGTCCCGACCTCGGGAGGTCTCCACCTGGGCATCGGGTTCTGAAGAACCTTGGAACAATCTTGGAATAACCCCTAATGTATATAAATCAGGCTTGAAACACTTGCGCTATTCTCTAATTTGTAAAATAAATATGAAATCAAAACGTGTAATGTATATGTTGTATCTGGTAATGCTTGGCAGATATACAAAGAGCCGTATCCGAATCAAGTTAGTCAAATTGGAGCCTCTCTTCGGCCAACCGTCCCCGCCGAGGATTCCTGATTGGGCAAGTCCCACGGGTTGGTCGGCCACGTTCCTTTGATCTTTGATTTGATCTTGAACCCCCTGTTGTACTCCGTAAGGAGATCTACATCTTCTACCTACATATGTAGGTAAGTCTACTTGCAATTTCCCTGGCAGTTGTACTCTAGTATATATTGTTATAATAGGTCCATTATCTTTTAAGTGAAAATATAAAATATTACAGGTAATTTTAAATAGGCCACTCAAAAACTCTATTAGTATGGTGTTTGCTCGTACCAGGCTTGGAGACTTAATCGGCTAAGGGGTCTTAGGGCGGCTTTCTTTTTTCTTTCTCTTCTTTCATTTTCTCAATTCCTAGGTGTTTATTACAATAATGTCCTTTTTCACCTCTATTTCATAGCCTTTCGTGCTTTGGGCTTTTCCATAATCCCTGCAAGATCGTCGAAATTTAGTGCGGGAACCTCGCTCCCGGTTTTGGGGCAATTCTCAATGTTTGGCCCGTTCCCCCGGAATCGCAGGCTATTCTACCTGCTACTGGCCTGCGCAGCAACATCCATATGCCTCATCAACCTCCTGTTTCTCACCCATACTGTCGACAACTCCGTGATCCGCCTCCCTAATCTGAGTCTCTTCACCACAACAACGAGCCCCGTATTCGGGGAGTATGCGCACGATGGACACCCTATCGCCGACCTGATGAAGGAAGCGAACCGACAATGGTTGGCATATGATAATAGTCGCTCAACAAGTTTCCGCCGAACAGTCGCCAAATACCCGTGAGACATATGGACGACACCCACCTCCCGGTTTCAAGGAATGGTACATGTTCGCACGCAAAAAGAAGGCGCATAATGTCGACGATTTCCAGCAAATTACGGGCGATCTGCGACCTTTTTGGGCGGTTCCTCCGGCGGAAATTCGACAGATGGCAGCCAAACTGCAATCCAGCGACGGCATTGCAGGTGTGCAGATCCGCAATAAGAAGGTTGTTTACTCCCCCGTTGAAGGGTGGAGAGTCGAAACACTGCGGAAGTCGATCAAGCGCATTGCACGGTATCTTCCGGACATGGATATTGCGCTTAATATTATGGATCAGCCGCGGGTCATGGTACCATATGAAGATACCCAGGAATACCTCCGTACCGAAGCCCTCACTAGAAGCTTACCCAGCGATGCGCAAGATCAATTCACCCCAGGCATGTTTAAGGGAGGTTCCAGTATCGAGGACCATGTTGACCCATCCTGGTTCTCGATTGCCGGAAAGATGTACATGGACTACGCCAAGGACTCCTGTGACCCTCACTCTCCCGCTCGAAATGACAATTTCACTGTAGAGGATGCCGACAAGCTATACAAATCTCCCTTGGGTGGCTTTGTGACTAACTTTACAGCTTCCTCTGATCTTTGCACCGTCGGTCCTGTGCTCGGAGAAAACCACGGCTTTTTGTTCTCCGCATCGAGCAATCTTATCACAAGGAAACTGATCCCAGTCTTCAGCGAGTGCAAGGTTAGCGTGAACAACGATATCCTTTTCCCTGCAAATATGTATTTCATGAACGACAAGCGATACGTGTACAATTCGCGACACGACTACGAGTGGAAAGACAAGGCAGACACTCTCCTCTGGCGCGGCGTCACCTCCGGGGGTGTTCAGCTTGCAGATAACTGGCAGCATATGCACCGCCAACGCTTTGTGCACATTACCAACAGCACCGATATGAGACCAGAGACGGTCTCCATCCTCTCCGAGACCAGCCTTGGGCAGTATCGTAACTACCCCGACTTCCACCCAAGCAAATTTTCATTAGACCACTTCGACGTCGGCTTCACCGAGGCTTGGGGCTGCATCCCGAACTGCTCTTTCTACGACGATGTTTGGACCTACAAAAAGCCCAAAGGTTTCAGCGAGCAGTTCAAGGCAAAATACCTCGTCGACATTGACGGTCACAGCTTCTCCGGTCGGTGGCGCGCCTTTCAGCTCAGCAAATCCCTGGGGATCAAGGCAACTATTTTCCGGGAATGGCATGACTCCAGGCTCTTCCCCTGGCGTCATTTCGTCCCTATGGACAACCGTTACGATGACCTGTACGGATTGATGACCTACTTCCTCGGTCTGGAACCACAAACACCGCCCGAAGACGCGTTCTCAATTAGCGAGCCGTACATTCGGAAGCATGACTTCGAGGCTGAGGTGATCGCATCTCAGAGTCGGGAATGGGCGCAGCACGCGCTGCGCAACGAAGATCTTGACATCTATCTCTATCTTCTTCTCCTTGAGTACGGACGCATCATTGATGACAATCGTGATAGCATTGGGTACAGTGGTGACGGAAGTGAGCTGGACCACTTTGACGATCAATATCCTTTCTCTCCGGCGATACCAAATATCGTCAACCCTCCTCCTCCCAACGCTGATGAAGAATGATTTGTCTACATATACCATTTCTGTTGCATTTTGTTGCATATTTTTGCCCCTCTTCATGGGGCTGGCTGCCTTGCATTTGAAGTATCTGTTCATTTATTCATGTCTAATGACCAACTACATTTTATCTCATCAGTGTCATTCCAGTATTTATTATCTCGTAGGGACAGGTGTTGTGAGGCGCAATTTATGAGAGGGAACGATAATGGAAATCTATGCCTCCCAATATATATCTTCCTAGCACTCCCGCAGTAGTGGTTCAACAGACGTACAAAAACCCCGGGAATATTTATTGGATGAAGGATACAAGTGATTTAGCATTCAATTTAATATTCCAGTTTTCACTATAGCTTTGGATTGAATAGGTATCCTTTGAGCTAAGCGACATGAATCTAACCCTGGAACGGAAATAGCGGGTCTCAATCCGCACAATCCGTTCATATAGCCAACACTCGAATCTCCACACATCAACTAGCATCATTGGTCTAGTGGTAGAATTCGTCGTTGCCATCGACGAGGCCCGTGTTCGATTCACGGATGATGCACAACAATTTCTTTTTGCTTTTTGCATTTTGATCATGTTGTTTGTTGTCTTTGAATATATCTTCCTTTTTATGGTGTGTGTTTGGACGGCCAATGCACAGAAACGATGGCTGATATTAATCCATACACGCCAATTGGAACCAAGAACATTGTCTGTCATGAGTCTGTCCACATTGGGATCCAAATTCGATTACAAAAGGCGGACAAAAAGAACAGATTGGAATGTTCTGAGCAGAGATTGTTCTATCAAGCAGTCTACTATCATACATAGAACATTAGTCTTTCAACCAAGGGTCCTCAAGAAGATCTTTAGCAGTCGCTCTCTCATTCGGCATCCAGGTCAAAGTCTTGCGCATGAACTTCACAAACGCAAGAGGTAGACCCATTTGACCCTCTAGTGACTCAAGCATGCCCTTCTCAGGAATGGGGACAACGTCCTTCCACTTCCCTAGATAACCAGATTAGCCATCTTGTTACATGTTGACTGTATCAATCAAGCCACACATACCATATTTATCCCAGAACCGAGCCGCCTTATCAGGATTGAGCGCCAGAAACGCAGCAGGCGGCGGACCCAGCACAGCAATCAACTCTGCAAAGTGGGCTGGTTCATACATATCGCCAGCCGTGTGGTCAGCGCTGAAAAGACTATCCAGCCCAAGAAGATCACATGCCTGTGTTAAAGCAATCAGCCTTTGTGTTAGGAACCCATTAGAATCGGGATATGGAGAGAACGCACCGTAAGCCCAACACACCAAATATCAACCGGATAGCTCCACGGCACCTCGAGCACTATTTCAGGCGCGCGATATGGCATAGGCATGGCCGGATAATCATACGGTCCAGGCCCAATTCTAGCCTCGCCGAAATCAGAAAGCCGCAGCGGTCCCTCCTTCGGAAGAATGGCTCGCGAGAGATAAATAGTTCGGTCACTCGATACCGGCTTGCGTGCTGATGGGGAGGTCATTTCGGAGTCCTCGATGCCTTTGAATTTGGCGTTCTCGCTATCATTCATGCAGGCTAATAAATTAGCAGAATGAATGTCTATTGAGGGTGAGTAAATAAACAAGATCGCCAAATATCGGATTATGGGAAAATGTCTGACCAGTGTGCACAGCTTTGCATTCGGTATGCAGGAAATCCAGGGCTTGGAGTAACTCTGTCAGGATGGATTTGACCATCTCCTGTGGAAATCTGTTCTCGTGCATTCTTTCTTTGAGATCGAATAGGCTGATACACCCGGGTTCCTGGACCAGGACGATATGTCTGCCATCCGGGCCGGTGACTGTGAAGGAATCGTGGAATCGTCGAATATTCTCTCTCCCTGGATGATCACTTGACATATATGGTGCAATGTGTTTGTAAAATGGGAGCTCACGGTGGAATACCGAGTTGTGGATGTAGACCTTCAATGCGACATATTTCTTGTCTCTGCAATGGTACGATATCAGTTATCCAAACGGGGATGAATTGCTTGGTCTCAACAAACGTGAGGTCCCTTGCTAACCACGTAGTTGAACAACTGCCCCAGCCTAGCTTTGAACATACTTGATAGCGGTCCTGGAAGATCTCGCCGATGTGTACCGGGTAGTATCGATAAGCGCTGTAGTCGAACAGTTGTTCTTCTTCGGCTGGCTGGTCTGCTTTGATGATTGGAAATCCCTCTATTGGAAAGAACCGGGGCTTCTCTTTGGTGGACACAGGGTCCAATGTTGATGATGGTCTCGATTGGAAAGTTGTTGTTGGTAAGGCTCCCCTAGGGATGCGATAGGCGGGGTTTATCCCTGGCCGTGTTCTGGTTATGTTCGCACCTAGGCGAGCATTTAGACTTGCTCTTACTAAAGATCTCATCTTATGTGTTGGTACGAAGCTCCAGGGTTGCGAAGTCGATTTGGGTGTGACACGGTCGGTGTGCGTGAGTCAACGCGTTGACACGCCGGCTACCCCTGCATCATTCCGTCTTTTGAATCTGCCCCTTATTATTCTGGTTTCTGTCCTTTCGCCACATGATCCAAGTAGAAGAAAAATATGCTAGTGAAATAATGAGAAGGAATGTGGAAATAAACCTCAAATAAAGCATCTAAATGAACACTCTACATAAGGCGACTGACAGTTGTTACCTATGGGCATACTATATGCACGCATATTAGCAAGTCAGTATTTATAGATGCAATCAGAGCAATTACATGTTACCTAGGGTCGAATTGCACATTCATACTCTTATCACCACCTATATTCTAGGTATATTTTGCCCTATCCTCAGGGCTAGCCACAACACCAATAAAGGGAGACAATGTATAAGAAAAAGATATCTAGAAAGACAATAAAAAAGTCTGATGAGGCCGTATAAGCAGCAGAATACTCTTGTATATCACAAAAGAAATGGAGGAAAGCAAAAATAATTCGTATATTTATAGACTAGGTCGCACCGACAAACCCGTGGACTACCCAGACCTATTACATGATCAACACAACCACCTAAAATTGAACCAAGCCAGCAACAAGAGAGCCCACAGCCATGGCAAGAATAGAGGTATAGTAAGAAACTGGAGCAGCAGAAACAAAGCTAATAGAAGAAGCCGCCGCCGAAGCCGAAGCCGATGAAGAAGCAATCAACGACGAGCTAGCCCTAGCCGAAGCAGAAGTCTTACTCGAAGCAAGAATCGAGCTCGAATTTGACGAGCTCAAGTTAGTCGACGTAGTAGCATTCGTAGCCTTGATACTCGTATAGTCCCCAGTCTTATCGGTGTATTTGTACGCCGAAGCCGGGTTATAGTTGATGATATCGACCGACTCAACGTACATGGAGAAAGGACTTTCGGTGTAATCTGTCTCGCCGCCGGCCCACGAGATCGTGCCCGCGGAGTTATCCGGGTCGCCGCCGGCCCAGATACCGATTCGGATGCGCATGGGTGTTTGAGGGTAGTTTGTGCCGTCAACGGCGTCGGCGTATTCGAGTGTGCGCACCACTTCCCCATCTAGGAGCCACTCGATGCGCTCTGAGGTCCAGTCGATTGAGTAGGTGTGGAAGGTTTCTTCTGGGGTTGAGACTGTTACGGTTGTGCCGCGGTCGTAGGAGGTTGTGTTGCCCTTGCCGAAGTAGTTGGTTTGGATCTCGGTATCATAGGTGCTGATTTGTTCCTATTTCGTGTGTTAGATGTTGCTTTTTGGGGGGGGAGATGGCAGTTTGGTGGCTTTGGATGCCGGTGGACTCACCCAGTCGATCTCGTCCAGGTCGTCCGACTCTAGTATCCAGGTACTGATGATACCGGTGCCGTTCGCGGCTCTCATCTTCACGTCGACATGGCCGAAGAAGATGTAGAACTCACTTTCGATTGTTGGGGCGTCACCCTGCTCGGAGATTGAGAACTTGGCACCGAGGTCGGTGCTGGTTACGGTGCCGGCGGTGGTGTTCCAGCGACCTAGAGATCCGGAGGTAAAGTCGGTGTTCAGACGGTACTTGTTCAGACCGGTGTCTGCTGGGCAAGTTTCTGGAGACGAACTGTCAGTGTGGTTTCCCAGTGAATGACACGAGATAGTCCATACTCTTCAGAGGGTTGCAGCTGGTGGTTGTCTGTGCAGCAACAGTCACAGCCAGGGCAAGAGTAGCCCACCGGGTAGTAAGAATTGAAAACCATGTTGAAGCCTGTATAGCAATGGAGTAGACGAATAAAGTAATAGATGCACGGAACGATCGACAAGAATTGACGACAAAAGGGCGTAATCCCAGGAATTATAACCAGTGGGGTTTAACCTCGGTGAGCAGGCGAGAGCAACAGATAGATAAACATGGGTTCGTTAGTTTTATTCTTAGATGTGCGTCAATATGTCCAACCTTGGAACAATCACATTGACCGCGACGCAAATGCATCCAGCCACCACATTTGGAGACAACGATTGGCTCTGTAGATCATAGTGGAGCGGACTTTAAAGACATGTAGACGTGTGGTATACCCGTAGATATGAGATGTAGAATTGAAATTAATTGGTGTTCCATCTGATAAAAGCTTGGATGGATGATTACGGGGCAGCTTGCGTAGCTGGCCCCAGATGGGTGGGAACTAGCGGGAGGACTACGTACGCCCGGGAATAATCATTTCCCCCGATTCTGGTATATGGAGGGCTTTAGTCGGTATTATTTCTATACTGCATTGTTTATTATGTGGGATAGGATATATATTTTTTGATAGAACATCTAAATTGCGTCTTAACCAAACTAATGTGTTGTCAAATGGGATATTTACATTGACTTAGTCTGAAGTACAATCCCACTTTCGGACAACTATGAAGGCGTGGGAGCAACTTTCTAAGGCGGGGCATTGAGAGTGCCATAATTGCGCCATCTCTGAGCTGCGTCTCCATATTACTCCCGGACATGGCCCATCGAAGGAGACATGGCTAAGATGGGTTGCGCTCGTACGATTGACGACAATATCTTGAACGAGAAAGACTCCCCGGTTCTACTTTTCGATTCTCGTCTACTGCCAACTGCCACTGATGGCTCGCAAGTGTAAAGCAGAAACGGTCAGCTAATGCATGTGGAAGTACAAGTGGTAAATTCAAGTCAGACCTGACGGGGGCCCTCTTAATTCAAGTAGGGCTCAAAACACAGCAGATTATTGCAGATATTGTAACATATATTGACAAAATGAACAAAAAAGCATTGTGGCAATGTGACAATGACCAGCCGGACATACCATCAACTAAGAAGGTCCATCACGAAGCAGCAGGAAAGCCTCGTACTGCTTCCGAGTCATCTTCCGACACTTCTTGCCCCAGTATATCATCGGAACAGTAGTCATAATGAAGCAGAAGCTCAAGACACCAATCGCAATGAAGACCTGCGCAAGACTCTGCGCATCCAACCAATTCTGGGCAGTGAATGTGAAAAGACAACCAATGGTGTTGTTGATGACAGATACACCGACCATGCCCTCCAGCACCATCTCCGGATACGCATCCATGAGATACGCCATGCTAAGATCGCCAGCACAACCCCAGCCGAAACCAATGAATCCCAGTCCAAGATATGGCATATGCCAGTCCCAGCCTTTATCTGAGCCGATCCCGAATAGCATGAGGCCAGCAGGTCCAATGAACGCCACGGGCAGCAGGAGCCAGAGACGATGCTCAGCCTCGAAGACGCCTTTGTTTCGCTTGGCCATCCACATGACGAAGAAATCGGAGAACCATCCACCGTAAATGCAGCCGAGGACTGACCCGATCAGGGTCGGCACATTCATGATGCCTACTGCGGCATCGCTGTAGTTCCAAGGCTCCTCGTACCAATTGTCCGCTTCAACGGTGAGGTAGAAGGTTAACCAGGCGTCTTGGGCACCCCATTGAAGGCCCGAGTAGAGGACTGCTGGAAAGGTGAAGACGCGCAGTGTGTGCAACAGGCGACGGCAATACTGCTTGAAGCCCGTCCCGACCAGGGTTGACGATGGGGTGATCAGAGCGATGCGCTGGAGATATGTCTTTCCTTTTTCCTGGCCACATTCTTCGTCGAGTTCACTGTCGGAGGGTGTCGGCTGCACGCTCGCAATCGGTTTGTCCTTTTTGTCTAGCGGGGGCTCATTCGACGTGGGGTCGGCCTTGACTGGAGGCGCATTATGTCCGTGAATAGGATTGTTCCGATCGAAGAATGTTTCCTCCAATGTGAAGTAAAAGACAAAGATCAAGCCCCCGGATATGATTGCAGCAAGCCAGCCCACGTATCTCCACCCCAGGGGAGAGTCGACGATAAAGCTGGACACTAAGGGTCCCGTGAATGTACCTATACTCGTGGCAAGAACGTATAATCCCAGGACCAGGCCTCTTTGATGCTGAAAGAATAGATCGGAAAGAGAAAGCTGGGCAAGGGCCTCCGCGCAAGATTCGGAGGCGCCCACAAAAAGTTGGCTCCAGATGTTGTCCCCGACACTTTGCGTGCGGGCTAGCCCGATGGAGCCGATGACGGAAAATACCAGACAAATCAGATAGGAGATACGTCTTCCATATAAGAAAGGTGCCGGGCCGAGGAGCAATGTGGTATATCCAATTCCGACAAACAAAACGCCTGCGGCAATGTTGATCTCTTCCCATGTAATGCCCAGCTCAGCGTTCATCCCGTTCCCAGCGTTGCCGGCATCGTTGGCGGTTGCCGCGGTTAGGGCAACAAACACGAGGACCAGGAATGAATGCCAGTACCGTCTCCATTTACTCCAGTTCAGTGGATCATTTGGAGAACTGGTGGGCGAGGGAATTAATGTGACCTCCCCGTCAACGCAGATGCGCTCGGTGCCATTGAGTTGTAGGTCCTCTTCCATTTCTAAATTAAAATCGGAATCTGATTAAAACCCGGCCTGGAGAGCCAGTCATGCTGGAGACATTTTACTGAGAAAAGAGCTGTCAGTCTCTAGGGGAAAAAGAAAGAAAAGGGAAAATTGCGAAAAGAATTTTCGATTTCAATGTGGGGCGGTCCTGCGGGGAGATAAGCAATGGGCTAAGCATTTCCAAGGACGGGCCATAGAACTTAATAGTCCCCTTACTTTGTTTTTTAATTATATCTTCTTTCATAGATCAATTTAGATTATAGATATATATCTTGGAAGGTGGAAATGAGGAGATGACCAGCTGCGGCGCACCCCAGTGGCTTGTTATAGCCCCAATCCCATCACCTCTCTCATTGGGACTGCGCTGATCAAGCATCTGACGAGATAGTGTACTAGTAATGCTGTCAGGAATGCAGAACTGCGTGAGAACTGGGGATACAGGATCGAGAAGAGGAAGCCTGTCTTATTTTCTACTTGAGATAAGAGATGGCCTGCAATGACGCCAACCTCGTTAGGGTCCATAACCCCGACGGGTGTATCCTCTGATAGTATTAGGCGAAGGGTATCCTGCTTTATAGTCTTACGGTACTTTTAATCAACTCTACAGTAGGGGACATAATAAGTGGCGAGAAGACGCTCGGCTAAAGAGACGTCTATTGCAAGTTGTTAAACTCGGTTGAGCTAAGGAGAGCCTCGATTGCGGAGACCACCGGGTCTTCCGCCGGCCACCCACCGGCCACCCGCCGGCATCCTAAACAATGACATTTATATATGGGTACATGTGCTCCGTGAATTATAAATCATTACTAATTAGCCATGAAATCCGGGGAGCCCACCGCTTATGAACTATATAATCATATATAGCTTTCTGTGAATAACGCAAAGTGTTCTATACGAAGGGAGAATCCGGAGATTCACCTACCAACCCAGTATTAAAGACTGGAATATGGCTCCCACCAAGGTCTTTCTGTACATCTTCTCTATCTCCAATTTCTCCCCGCCGACAACTAACGATGGATCACTTTCAGCACCGGTGTCACTGGCTACATTGGCGGTGATGTCTTTTACGCCGTCCACCAAGCCCACCCCGACTGGGAATACTCACTCCTCATCCGCAACAAAGACAAGGGCGCGCAAGTTGCTAGGAAGTATCCCTCCGCACGCATTGTCTACGGCGACCTTAACTCACTTGACATTATCGAGGAGGAGGTCAAGAATGCCGACATTATCTACCGTACGCCTACTTTCTCTCTCCACGGAGCTCACACCCCCATCTAATACTCTCCTAGACTGCGCAGACTGCGACCACGTCGCCTCTGCGAAAGCCATCGGCAAAGGCCTCGCCCACCACACCCCTAGCAACCCTGTCTGGCTAATCCACACTTCCGGTACGGGCGTTCTCACCATTGAGGACTTCCGCACCAACACCTTTGGCCTCTACCGCACTAAAGAGCACAATGACTGGGAAGGCGTCGACGAACTCGTCAACCTACCGGCGGACTCTCTCCACCGTAACGTTGACGAGATCATCCTCGCCGCCGGCCCCGCCAACCCAACGAGTGTGCACACCGCAATCATCTGCCCGCCCACAATCTACGGCCCGGGTCGCGGTCCTTGCAACACCAAGAGTGTCCAGGCCTACTGGCTCACTGCAGCCGTGCTCAAGCGCCGTAAGGGTCTTCTCATTGGCAAGGGCGAGAACATCTGGCACCAGGTGCATGTCCAGGACCTGAGCGACATGTACTGTCTGTTGGGTGATGCTGCCACTGCCGGCGGGGGTAAGGCCACCTGGAACGAGACCGGGTATTATCTCGCGGAGAATGGGCCGTTTGTCTGGGGGGATATCCAGCGGGAGGTGGCGCGGGTCGCCTACGAGAAGAAGCTGATTCCCTCGCCGGAGGTGGAGCCGCTGAGTGATGCGCAGATGATAGAGCTGGACCAGAAGTTCGCGTTGTATGCGTTGGGGACTAGTTCGCGCGGACATTCCTTGCGTGCGCGTAAGTTGTTGGGATGGTCGCCTTCGAAGCCGAGCTTGATGGAGCTGATTCCGTCCATTGTGGACTTGGAGGCGAAGGAATTGGGATTGGCTTAGGCGGCAATGGTCATAATTGATGACAATTGAGTTTTTTTTTTGTTCTACTTTAGTGTTGTTCTTATTTGTAGGGTGATCTGTTTATTACGCGAAAAGTATAAGTGGTGACACCAATTTTTGGAAGCACTGTACCGATTATGCCTTGATCGTTAAGCAGGAATATCCGAAAATGCCCCTCAGCATTTTGCTTCCTACCACCAACAGTTTGAACACACCACTCAAGGAACGTACTGAAGCCTTGCTCAGGATTGTCTTCAAAATTTTGTCAATGTCGCCGGATAAAAGCCTATGATACTTGGGCCACATTGTTACGCTGCTATCGATAGGTTGTAGCAAACCTCCGTTACCCAAGAACTGCGGAGCCTCTCTTGATCATGTTGCGGTTTCGTGTAATGCCTTTTTGGTATTCTTTTCTAAATTCGATATTGAAATCGTATAACAAGATGACTGGGTCTAGGTTGTATATGCCTTTAGGTGTTCAGACGGACATCGCAATAGACAGATGTGTGAAAAGCGAGCTCGATTGCTAAATTTTGTCATGATCGACCGATCTGTCTGTAGGCGCCAAATCTCACTCCTGATTTGCGGGTTAATGCGGGTACATGCGGACAAGATGCGGGTCCGGTCAGATTGGGAGGCACGAATCACTAAGGGAATCACGAGGAATCATTTTTGAGGAAGCTGACGATATTTATGAAACGGATAAATCGAAGTGCATAGCGCCCAAGTAGGGAATTCGGTCCTATTGGCCTTTAGGATTCACCGCTGAGGTCGCCGCCTTTTTTTGAAGTTTGCCCCGGTGATCCAGCCCCACCCACGTGGCGAGCCCAACACAGTACCTTGGCATATTCCAAGGTTGTGTTTGGATAGTAATTCTGAAAGGATAGCAGATTGTAAGGATTATGTATCTTTAGTATGGCAGCTTTATACAAAAGGTACATGAACGCAATATAATCATAACCTCCATTTTCTTAATTGTCAAGATATTTGCGAGATACTGATTCAGCCAGACTATATTAAAATTGCATTTTCTTATTTGTGTTCATGTACCTTTTGTATGGAACTACTACACAAAAGGTACCTAATCCTTACAGCTGCTATCCGGTGAGAACATTAGAATTTGCTACCCGGTGGCGTGCACCAACACAGTACGTGTTGGGCACCTGGCATATAGCTAAACAGAGGATACACAAGTTAGTTTGGGATGATATCATAGACGTGGTAACTCCACCACGATCTTTCTACTGTCTTTTGATATGTTGTTTAAGATGTCTATAAATATTTGTTTAGAAACCGACAAACCAATTCACAATTCTTAGGAACTACTTTTATGTAGACATATAATACGGATCCATGTGACTAGAAATGCTTACTCCATTAATTATCATGGACCCTATTTATAAACTTGAGCCTTGGAGCCTTAGACTTCGAGCGTGAAAAATCATGCAGCCAATTTTCTGCTGGCAATAAAAGCCAATAAGACCAAGGTCGCCTGTGGTCGCTATCCACCACGATAGCACCCCAAGACACCCTTAACCCCCTCAACTTCTGTTCAACGTCGTCCTTGTTCTTGATCCTTGTTTACCCAGAAACTTCAACACCGAATGTCAACTTGTCAACTCAGAATGGCCCAATCTTTTCACCTCTCCTCTCCCATCACGGGTATTAATCCCATAAAACCTAGTAATTGTTGCTCCGACCTGGTTGCGCTCGATGTGACTCAGAAGGAGTTGATCGAGGGAACACACGCAGCGAGGTCGGAGCGCAAGAAGGTGATTGTGGTGGGGGCTGGAGTTTCTGGTCTACATGCCGCAGCTGTCCTGCACCGGCACGGTTGTGAAGTTGTGATATTAGAAGCCCGCGATCGCATTGGTGGGAGAATTTTGACCACCCGAAAGGGTGACCATGTCCGAGATATTGGTAAGATAACGATACGAACCTGAAACAGAGACTGGAACAGGGGGGTGCAAAGGAGATGTGCTGATAGTCAACAGGCGCGGCTTGGATGCATGAAACTTCCCAGAACAGTCTGGTGAAACTCATTCCCCAGCTATCTATACCGTATTATTATGACGATGGCGTTCCTCTGTACTTTACCAGAGAAGGTCGAACTGGGTCCCAGTTCAAAGCTAAGAAGGTTGCAGACGAGTTCGCTGATTACTGCGAGTGGTTCTACGAAACTAACCCGGAGGCTGAGGACCGTGCTGTCCACGAATTCGCGAAAGAGTTCGTCCTCCAACACCAGTTAATCACTGAAGACGAGCGTGATTGGGCTCCGCAGGCGGTTCGCGAGGTGGAATTATGGATCGGCACGAGTACGGATCAAGCATCGTCCAAACATCTCTCTTATTTCATTACCGAGCGTAATTTATATATGAAGGGTGGCTATGATCGTATCGTGAACTGGATTGCGAAGCCTCTACGAAGCGATCCAAACATCATCAGACTGAACCACCATGTCGAGGACGTGGAGTGGGACGAAGACGGGACCGCGCCAGCTAGAATCCGGTACAAGGATGCTGCTGGAGAAATCGGCTTTATTGGGGGAGATGCAGTTATCATGACTAGCCCACTGGGAGTCTACCACCACAACCTTATCTCGTTCAACCCGCCCTTGCCGAGTGACATCCAAGAGGGCATGTCGAAGTTCAGCTACGGCGCCCTGGGCAAAGTGTTTTTCGAGTTCGCCGAAGTCTTCTGGTCAAAAGAGAATGACCAGTTCGTATTCTACCCATCTCCGCCAGACGAATCGGATATTTCGTCCGGGTCATCTGTACAGTCCAGCCCCAGCATAAACTCCCTCGGGGAGAATGATAATATCCTCAACTACGCCACCGTGACAATCAACCTATGGATCATGACGGGCAGCAAAGAGCTGTGCGTACAAATTGCCGAGCCTCTGACGCAACGAATCGAGAATATGCAAGATCCGAAGGAGATATATATATTTTTTGAACCGCTTTTCAAACTATTCCGCACAGAACCCTACAAGGCTTTGCCCCGCCTGGTCAATGTTGAGACTACACATTGGACACAGGACCCGCTGGCTGGGTATGGGACCTATTCCGCCGACAAGGTTGGAGATGAGCCGCAGCTTCTGGTTGACGCGTTGGAAAACCACAAAGCCAGTCGCTTGCAGTTCGCTGGTGAGCATTGCACTATTGCTGGTAATGGCTGCGTGCATGGTGCTTACAAGTCGGGTGAAACCGCTGCGACCAATCTGCTCGAGGGATTTGGGATTCCATACGATGGTGTTGATGCCATCAGTTTAAGATGAAGCATATCCTTAGGGTCCGAGGAGACTCGGGCTGAAGTCGTGTTTCGGTTATTTATTAGACAGGGTCCTCGAGTGATTGCGCTTGGAGATCTTGTATATTATCTCGATTAATGTCATATAAATGTATAAAGTCGACAGCTTAATCATAATCAGCTGTCACCGGATGGGATTGAAAGGTGTCTGGACATAGTTCCGCATCCCCACCTTCAACTGCTTTCTGAGACGACTATTCTATGCAAGCCGTTAGGCGGAATTATATAGGGATAGCGTACCTAAGGGATCAAACTGAAGAACCTGCGAGATGATGCGACGGGCTCATAGCTTTAGCCGTGGCGCTTTATTCTATACGAGCGGTGGATCGACACTTGGGGTTCACAAAGGCTTAGATGAAGAACAGCCTTTTGAGAATATTTGGTACCTAAAGTCTTTGAAACAACAAGTCAAGGGAAATGCTTCGGAGCGAGCAATCCCTACAGTTATACTTTACCACTCACCTGTTACGTGAACATGCGAGATACGAGTATTAAGCTGAAATAGGGTATTACTTACCACTACTGGCTACCACAGATTGGTCCGGTATTCATTCAAGCCTAGCATTCGTTTCGCCCCTCATCCGCTGAACTATGCTCTTTGTACAGGGTTGAAATTGGGCCATTTCCTCCTCAAGTTGCTGACGGAGCTCAGCCCCGAAAGATTTTCCTTGCCCTAGGCGTGCTCAGGGAACGTTGGCTCATATGGTAGGCGAACCGATATGCTTCTTGCCTGCAAGCTCTGGCACTGAAACAATAATAGATTGCTACTCTCGGTATAAGCTTGCGGCTTCGAGAATGGAATGGTCGAGACTGTAGTTCGTTTCTATTTTGCTTTATATACGCGTTGCCCTTCTCAGCCTTATTGCAATACAAGACTTTCATCATTGCAGAAGCGGCTCAAACACAACACTAATAGGGAAATTTAAAACGCGATACATGCATGCATACCTCGATAGTCCCGGATCAAGTCCAAATTTGACCAAGCGTGGCCCACTCTGGCCTCGAATGCTCCACAGCTGGGCAGCAGATGAGGACCCGGGGAGTGAATAGATGCCCTATTTAAACCCCGCTGAAAAGTTTCTTTTTTGATTTCTTTTTCGTTTTACGCGAATGCCGCGCTGTAAAGGTGGCCCGGTTTATTAGCCAACAACAAGATGTGAATTGCAAATTAGCCCTTTCCAAGTAGCTGTGGTTGTTCAACAATGTCTGGGGCCACTATCTGGGCAATTGAAGGAAGAATTAGTTACGTTAAAAAAAAGTACGAGCAATAATGACTTGTTATTCCTTAGCTTAAGTCTTTTCCTTCCCAAAGATTTTGTGTCAGGCCACGGGGTTTTCAATGTTATCTTTTATAACGACCCATGTTGGGAAGGACGATGGCAGTAATACCCCCATCGTGTCCAACCCAAATGTCCCAATCTATGAAGACGACGAAATGAGCGACAATAGCGAAATAGAGAATGCGGCCGGTCAGCTCAAGGAGATTCACGAGTTCAGACAGGGCCTGCATCAGCGACACATTCAGATGATTGCTCTCGCCGGTACGGTGGGGACGGGTATTTTCCTCAGTTCGGGCCGTGCCATTGTGGAAGCTGGACCATTGGGTGCGTTCTTGGCATATACAATCATTGGTGCTACTGTTGCGAGTGTCGTGTACGGAGTTGGTGAGATGGGAGCCCTGGTACCTCTCAATGGTGGTGTTATTCGATACGCAGAGATCTTCTGTGACCCCGCGCTAGCGTTCGCCAATGGCTGGAACCAGATATACTCCTACTGTGTGTCGATTCCGTCGGAAATTGTCGCTGCGGCTGTTATTATTGAATTCTGGATCACGGTGAACAACGCAATATGGATCACTGTGCTTGGTCTTCTTATGCTTTCCACCGCGTTTGTCTTTGTTCGCGTGTATGGGGAGCTCGAGTTCGGCTTTTCTATCCTCAAAATTATGCTCATTATCGGCGTAAACCTGATGGCTCTGGTGATTTCACCCTCCAGGTCGGGAACAGGTCTACTTTGCGTGCTAATCATTTTTGATAGGTAATTACCTGCGGTGGAGCCCCGAATAAGTCGTCAATCGGATTTGCTTACTGGAAAGCGCCTTACGGCCCCTTCGTTCAGTACTTGGGAGTGGGCGGTTCCCTTGGACGGTTTTTGGGATTCTGGAAAACTTTCGACAACGCGCTCTTCGCTTACTCTGGTATCGAAAACTTCACTCTCGCTGCAGCCGAGACTCGAAACCCTCGACACTCTATCCCCATGGCCGCCAGACGTATCTTCATCCGCATCTTGCTCTTTTACGTGATCACCATCTTCATGATCGGTCTGATTGTTTCGTCTGCCGATAAAAAGCTTCTGGGCTCGTCGGGGACAGCCTCGCAGTCCCCTTTCGTTATCGCAGCGCACCATGCTGGCATCAAGGTGGTTCCTTCGATCATCAACGCAGTTGTGCTCACATCAGCATGGTCCTCCGGGAACAGCAATATCTTGGGTGGCTCCAGAATCCTATACGGTATGGCAACCCAGGGTCATGCCCCTGCTGTCTTCACACGTATCAACCGCTTCGGCATCCCTTGGGTTGCTGTCGCGCTCTATGGTGTCTTCATGTCACTTGGATACATGAGTCTTTCCAGTTCGGCCAGCACGGTATTCACATGGCTACAGAACCTTGTCTCTATATCCACCCTAGTGAACTTGATGTGCATCTGCGTTGTCTATCTTAGATTCTACTACGGATGCAAGAAGCAGGGAATTGATCGCTTCAAGGAGCTCCCGTGGGCAGCACCTTTCCAGCCATACATAACTTGGATCTCATTGTTCATTTATATTGTCCTTTTCTTCACCGGAGGGTTTACGACATTCATGCGCGGCCATTGGAGTACTGCGACCTTTGTTTCGACTTATTTCAACCTGCCCTTCATCGTGATTGTGTATTTTGCCTACAAGTTCTGGGCAAAAACGAAGATCATCCCGCTGGCGGAAATTCCCATTCGGCCTTTCATCGAAAGCTGGCACAAAAATCCCGAACCGGAGCCTAAGCCGAAGCGAGGCCTCAGGAAACTCAACATTTTGTGGTCATAATTTGTACCGTGTACAGTTTCACCATGAACCTGACGTTGAACCGGTCCGGTCAACGAGAGTGCCTTCGGACCGGACACCGGCCTGTCCGGTTTTAGGGCTTAGTGGCCGGGCGATGCCGGGCCCGCTTTCACGCATCGAAAACAATTACATTGTGCTGGCTGCCATTAAATAAAAAGTTTCCTTTGCTTCATTACATTTGGGAAAACTGGAAATTAAGAAATAATGGAAGTAGAAATGTATATATGGGAATAAAAAGTGACTCATTCATTATCCGCCATGCCGATACAAAAGATGCCCACTTATGAGTCAATCAGACTGCCCAGGTGGGTTGGCGCTACCGTACAATCTTTCCTTGCATTTTGTTTACAATCTTCTCCAAGATACCGAGCACAAAAATACCTTCAAGATGAGCCTACCCCAACAACCCGTCTACGTGATGGTCCCATCACCAGGGCCTTCAATCGAAAGCGACCGACTCCTCCTTCGGCCAATTACCGACGCCGATGCCGGCGCACTATTCGCCATTCGTTCCCGGCCCGAAGTGGCAGAAATGAAGTTAGTACGATGATCAACGCTTGTTGTTCTCACCATGCTAACTGTACAAGCCACCCCAAAACACCGTTCAAATCAATAGAAGAAACCCGTGAATGGATGGCAACCAAGGTGTTCACAAGTGGTCCTTCGGATATCATCGGACGTTCATTTAACTATGCAATTGTGGACAAGTCAATTGCCGAAACAGAGGAGCGAGTCGTTGGGTCTCTCAGCATCAACCAAGTAGACCCTTTTCCTGAGATTGGATACGCAGTGCATCCATCTTCTTGGGGGAAAGGGTATGCAACAGAGGCTTTGCAATTGATGTTGAAGATGTGGTGGAATCTGCCGCGTCGAACGGTTGACACTAGAGATGTTAGTCCGGCAGAGCCTGAGAAGGCCTTTGCTCTTTGCGAAAAGAGAAATGCTGGGAGTTGCCGTGTGCTAGAAAAATGTGGTTTCAAGATTGTGGGTGATTTCCAAGAAGAGGGAATTGACCTTTTTATTTTTGCGTTAGAGCGACCATGAATTCAGGAATATTACTGAGTGCTAGAACCAGTCAAGTCGGGGTTGTCGAAGAAAGACATATCCGTTTCCAGGGATATTCCTGAATTAAATAATTGGGCTGAAAATTAATTGCCGCTTTCCAAAAGAGCAGACATCGGTCAGATATGTACACACGGCGTATCCAAGAATTAGATCGCGCTCTCACGATGATTATAGTATAAGGGTAGTAAATAAGTGTGCTCACTGGCTCGTTTTCGCTGCTTCCAGGATCACATCGGCTGCCTTCTCGCCCACCAAGAACGTGGAAAGAGCAGTGAATGTTCCAGGAATACGGGGATACACAGACGCATCCACAACGCGGAGGCCCGAGACTCCACGAACTTGGAAGTCCGAATCCAAAACAGCCATAGGATCATCATCGGTTCCAATTGGGCAAGTGCAGGAAGCGTGGTGACCCCAGGCCGTATTCTTGATGTAATCGTGGATCTCCTCATCAGTTTGGACGTCATCACCAGGGAGCACTTCAGCTACATCAACCACCTGACGGTCGAAGGCGCCACGCGCAACGCCAATAGCCTCTGTGATAGCCTCCAAATCCTTTTCATAGTCACCAGAGCCGGTGTCAAAGTAGTTGAAAGTAATATCGGGCATGTCGAGCGGATCGGCAGAGCGGAGCATTACAGTCCCAGCTGTGTTACGAGGGTGGGCTTTCAGAAGCGCCCAGGTAAACCAGTCATGGCGCTCGGTGATATTAACACCGTATCCAGGGAAATATCCACGGAAGTTGATAGGTCCGCCGAACACAAAGACATCGAAGCTATCATCTGCAGTCACGGAGCTCTTGTACAGCATAGCAGCTCCGAATCCATTAGACGAGTAGATGCCGTGGTTGCCAAGGACTGGGTTATTCCAACGGTCCAGACAAGGATCATTACCATGATTGAACGTGCATCCATCAAGGGCAGTGAAGTTCTTCGGGACATGGCCTTGTACCGCAACCTCGTAATGGTCTTGCAGGTTCGTTCCAACGCCTGGAAGGTTAGAGATAACCTTGATTCCAAACTTCTGCAGCTCCTCCCCTGGTCCAATACCACTAAGCTTCAGGATCTGGGGCGAGTTGTACACACCGCCGGAGACGATAACCTCGCGCGAAGCTGTCGCTGATCCTAGTGTTCCCTTGCCGGCGGTCTTGGAGCGCGGGCTGGCGCTATACAGATACTTGCCGTCCAGGAATTCGACGCCCGTAGCGCGCGGAGGGGTGCTCTCGTCAAAGGTGACCTTGGTCACATGGCAGTTCATACGGATGTCGAGAGGGAACTTCTTAGACCCGTCGGCATTCTTTGCATCCCTAACGGCAGTCACAAACTCACGAGGACCGTTACGGGAGCTTCCATCCGACGCTAGCGGGACTTGATAGTATCCCGGTGTGGTATCGCGGTGGGCTGCGGCCGAGTTTGCGTCCCCAGCGAGTAGGGTACCGAGATTGAAAACCGTATTCGTCACATTGCCTAGCGAAAATGCTCCGCCAAGCAACAAGCTAAGAAGCTGAGGATCTTTCAGGACAATATCCAGCGGTGCGGTCTCGGTGCTTAACCAACCATCGTAACCGTGGCCCTTAAGCAACGGGAGCAGATAGCGGTTGTTCTCCATACGCTCCATGTACTTGCGCATGTTGTCGGGTGACCACGACGCATCTCCGGTGAGTGTGGCAAGGTAGTCAAAGTCGGAGTCGTGTGGGTAGACGGTAACCAGGGCGTTGTGCGCCGTACAACCACCAAGGGTTCCGGTACGGGGATAAAGTGTGCCCTTCATTGTGGAACCGGCAGGTGGGTTCAACCCCGTATACTCTTGGCCGTCGGGTGTCTCGTAGGTTGTCTTGAAGTCGAGCTTTTGCCGAGACTCATCGGCGTAGTGCTTGACGTAGAAGTTCCATGCCAGGGCTTCATCCTCAGAAGCTGCCGCGGAGAAAGCGGGAACGGTATAGTTCACATTTGCTCCCTGGTCATCTCCAGCTTCGATAAGAAGGGTGCTGTGACCTGCCAAGGCCAGTCGAGCTGCTAAAGGACCACCTCCTGCCCCAGAGCCGACCACGATGTACTCATAGCCTGATAGCTCAACAGCCTTGACGATGGCAGAAAACGCGGCCACGCCGAGAAGGCCACCGAAACGCATGACAAATATAGTGATATAAGATGGGTCAAATGAGCGGAAAGTGGTTGACCAGGACGACGGGTCTCATTGTCTTTATATCTGTCCCGTTATAGGGCTGGGCTAAATATTACCTGATTGCCATGTCATTTTCTGTTGGTAAAGCCCAAGTCAATAGTCAAGCGAGATTGAGTTTTGGCAATCTAATGGCAAGCCTCGCATATCCTATTGGCAGCGACTGGCTCTAACCCCACTGTAAAGACCCCACACCACGTAGGGGTCGATGTTCGCGTAGTGCCAGCATCCCACGATGATCACACTGTGTTCGTCAGCCTCGAAGCAATGACATATCAGTGGATGTCATTAAACGGCTTTTGCGGGATGGAGAAAGTCGGGTTGACATGATCACCGAGTATTATTGTCAGGGACTGCAACAGCAAACACCAAGAAAAGCGGAGTCACACGATAATCCCATTCTCTTATGACAACACTTTATCACTTTGACCTATGCAGCTAACGAAGAATGCAAAAGACTGTGAGTACGCAAAACCTGTCCCAATGAAAACTTATTTTGATCTAATATTATTGAAGGCTACGTCGATATTTCAAAGATGGCTGGGTCAGTCAATGTGGCGTGAGGTTCCACTATAGGGGCTTATATTCTATGGGAGAAAAGGAACTGGAGATCATGGAGTATGTACGGAGTAACTATAAGACATACCTCGGCTGTCTTTTTCTCACTCTTTTCGACATTTTTGCATATTGTGGCTAACCACTACAATCAAAGTCACTATATAAGCCATTGCCATCCTGTTATAAATTCCCCGTGCGGACCTCGTCTACGAAGGTGCGTGTTTGCGATCCAATCAAGAATTTGACGAACTCCCGTGACATTGCCTTATATTATTTACGATGAGTATGCTCCGTATGCTTACTCCGGACTGCACTCGACAAAACTACTGCATGTGCTTTATGAAGCCGGGGTCCAAGGCCGGAAATTAGGATCGACACTTTAGCAATCCCATTCCCCATCATAACATAAGCAATAGTTTATCCCTACTTAGGTACGGAGTAGACCATGTGGTACTTCGGCTCGAAATGCGGGGAACCCGAGAAAGGGATACCGTTGTGGAGCGTTCATGTTGAACATTCCAGGGTTCCATGGTCATTCCAGTAGTAGAGGATACAGGTCCCACCGACATCAGGGAGTGGATCCACCGACAACGCGCCAAGCGGGGGGAGCAAGCGGGGCGGCCACATTTGGCACAGCCAGTACCAGCCAGAACAGCCCGCCTCACCTCGCTAAGAATCAACCGGGCGAGCAAGCCCACTAGAACCAAAAGTGGTCGCATGTCCCGAGCAACCTTATACCGCCACCGGGTCCGCGTGCGGTTACACAATGTATTGTATGTCCTGACCAGGGAGCCGCATTGAAGGGTGAATCATTCGAAGAGTGTAGTCCGCCGCAAGCTCCGACAAATGTTAGGCATTTCGGGCGGACACCGCATTATCAGCAAAAGACCACGCTCAACCACCGGTCCAACCGACCATTACTGTTTAATTGCATGGAGATAAGAGACAACCTCTTGGCTCAAGATGTTGTCACGGCGAAGTTGATCGGCAGACTCGACAATCCATGTCTGGCAATCCCTCTGAATGACTTTCCGACCTGGTTTGATCTAGAAGATCCGAATTAGGTTACATATCCTAGTGAGGGAATAGAGAGCCATGTATGGATTCTTCAGAGTGTGACCCTAGGGGTAGACACTTTCATGACATGCATTCTAGGAGCCAGGTTAAGGATGCAGCTGCATTAGACTTACCCCGTCACTGACTGTGTTCAGACTTTTCCCTGGAGCTTCAATTTGGTAAACACTGCTCTCGAAGGGACAGACAGGCGAGTCGTCGATTTCGTATTTCCCATCGTTAAGCATAGCTTTCTCGTCAAAGTACTCCGCGTCAACCCATTGCAGAGGGACCCTTGTTGAAGGGATGTCGTCGGTTGTTTGCAGGTTTTCACTCCGTTTAATTTCGAACTCAAAGCCACTTCTCACGTTGCCGGTCGCGTGTATCTTTACACCGGTATGAGAGTCCGCGTGCGACTGAACGAAATATGCCCAGTGATCTTTGAAGGGCGACCCATTCCAGATCAGCAACTCGACCAGGAAAGCCCCAGTGGGGCCTGTCAGCGATACCACCGGCTTGGGGTGGCATATGGAAGTATTCATAGTGGGGCGGAGAAGCGGAGGAGCAACAACGGACTTGAGGGAAGAAAACAAAGACGGAAGAAAGCGATGATCTGAAGGTTCGGGTTTTTACGTATGTAGTCAATTTTCTTCGATGAAGACGCAGGGTTCTCAGACGTTGTTTCCTGCCTAGCCTGTGGTTGCCTGCTGTTTGCCTTGAGTATCAGGCCTCAACTTTATCCCATTTCCTTCCTTCCTACATCGAACTTCACATCAGATCAGACTGCGAAAATTCTCATTCTTTTAAAAAGTCCTGTTTGCCATTCCCTATCCTTCACACACACCATCCATCTTCAACACCATACATATACTGAGTCCAGTTCCTTCAAGAGAGAACAACCCCATCATTATCCAAGCTAACAGAGCTTCGATAAACAAGGTGTCCAGCTAAATGTATACCCCGGTTCAACCGTCCACCCTCATCATGACAGTGCCATCTTGGTATCGTTGACAAAACACAAAGCAAACGCCCCGAAATCGGAGTTTGAACCAAAGGACGGCCCATGAAATCTCAGAGCTAAGAGCCTTCTTTCTGCTCTTGGGAACGCAATCGTGGCTATTTTCTGCGATTCTTTTAGTCGTTCATCCACCGCCCCGGGGGCCCTGGGGCAAGGACCTGATGACTACCGACTTGCGGAAACAAACAAATAACAGCGGACAAAAGGGCGCACAGGTCCTCCAGTCTTATAAATGCTGGCATGAAGTTACACCAAAGCAATGATGACCAGAAAATGATTGCTGGGTAGACGACCCGTTCGGTGAGATATGTCAACAACAAAGGCAAGGGACCTCCCACCACGCAAGGCGAGCCACGCACGCAGTGATTGTGACCAATGATATACTAGGTTTATACATGGCACATGGCCTGGGGCACCACAATCAGCCTGTGCTGTCATATTTGAGTATTTGACCTCAATCCTGGTTACTCTGTACGCCGTGAGTATATACATTTACAAGAGGCCGGGAACTGGTCAAATCCATTTCTTGAGTAGGTTCGGGTTTGAATATGGGGCGAGATACTTTCCAAGTACAGGGATTCTGTATTTTTCTCTGGGAAAAATGACATGTATGGAGACACCACGTGAGAGAGATCAAGAGATTTCCATCGCCTGGGAAAGGAAAGAAAGTGGGGGCGACAATCCTGCCATGGAAGTGGAATCTTGAGATTCGGCTATGACTGGCCAAAATGTATCAAACCAGTCAGAATCAGCCTTGTGTGGAGCTCTAGTTGGACGCACAGCTTCCAAGGAGGCTATGTACGCATGGTACATGTAGCCTTACAGGTCGTACCCACATGTCGCAAACCTGGGCTGTGAGCCAGGTCAGAAGCTAAGAAAACTAAAATAATTCCTCTTTCTCCCAGGCTACTGCTCAATCCGAAAACTCCAGAACAACTCCAGAACAATGAACAGCGATAAGTGTGGTCACAGCAGATCTGAAAGCCGTGTACACCCGGTGCGGCTCAAGAGATTGATAGCCTCATGGATTAGGCATCAGCCCACATTATCAGGATGCGTGATATTTGTCTGCGCAATTATAATGATTATAAAATTCGGTCATTTGGATGAAATTTTGGATACAAGTACGAAATTGCATTATCAAATTGCGACTCCATGCTGATATCAGTAGAATCAGCAGAAAAGGCAGAGAAGGCAGAGAAGTCCGCGGCGTTATCTGAACTTGTTAAGAAGACCCGAAACTACGACGCAAATTTCACAAAGGTCGCGCTTGTAATACCAAAGATGCGCTCAGATGATCTGAGATGGCTTCATGAATATCTTCAAACGCAGTAAGTAGAACCTCCCCGTCGCAGGCGACCATACTAATTGGATGCCCATGATCAGAAACGACAACACTCCGTTTATTTACACCATGGACAAGAAACCCGAGACAGATCTACTCGTCGCACACTCCTCTCGCGGCCGCGAGGCCTCCGCTTATCTTTCATTTATTGTCGACCTATACGACGAGCTCCCCGCATACTCGATTTTTCTCCACTCCAATCCGGAGCAGTGGCACAATGATTTATTTGGCCCCCAAACAAGCAGCGTTTTGAAAAATCTGCGCCTCGAAGCTGTGGATGCGATGGGGTATTTGAACCTGCGCTGTACGAATAACCCAGGCTGTCCGACTCACATCAACCCCAATAGCCCCACGCAGGCAGACATTGACAATAATGATCCTCGTGCAAAATTTCCAAGCATATACAAAGGCGTATTTGGGGACGACGCGCAAGTTCCGGAACACATTGGGGGAATTTGCTGTGCCCAGTTTGCGGTCAGCCGAGCACGCATCTGGCAGCGACCCAAAAGCGATTATATCCGTATGCTAAACTGGATAGACGAGAAGAGTGTACCGCTTGTTGATGATTACGGTGTTGGGTGGGTGTTTGAAACTTTGTGGCATATTGTGTTCGGTATGGAAGGGATCCAGTAAGTGGCTTGTGGGGGATGCGGTCTTTTGGTTACTGTGGGATACTAACGACTATGCCTTCGTCCTCAGTTGTCCCCCTTATGAACAATGTCGGTGTGATAACTACGGATGGGTAAGTGGGAATTGACGCGATTCAAACATGGACTTAGACTTACATTCCTAAATAGTGTGGGCCTTTGCCATCGGGTGAGACTCTTACGGCCATCGCGGCACCACAAAAGAGCCAACTGAAATACAGATATGGGTGAATGTACAACTGCACAGAACGTGCATATGGCCTTTTCCGTACGCACAAGGCCAAAATTGTCATTGCTTCCTTGGTATCTTTTATTGGGAGATTTAGCATTTATGTAGCTCGTGGCTGATAGAATAACTGTATTTTGTGTTGCATACGCTCATCATACCTAACTCCAGCGTGGTATGTATAAATATAGATGGAGTCACTTTTTCTTATTGGTTGCGGCGTTAAATACGGGGCCCGGGAACCGGCTCGGGAACAAGCAGAACCCTACGACCGGTGGTTAGCTAGGCTCGGATTTACTTGTCAACTCCGATGCTTAGGTCCATTTCTCTGCCTTAACTGTCAACTCCGATGATTAGATCTATTCTTCGACTATCTAGCTATCTCCCGCCCGTAGTCCGCTTACTCCGGGGCTCTCATGAATATATAATCTAGTGTCGGGCGCCCTTGTGAGTCAAAACCAGATCATTCCCATCAACTTTTTCTTCCATTATGTCCACAGAGCCTGTCACAAGGGTTGCTATTGTTGGAGTAGGTTTACCGCCTCGTATCCTGCGTTTTGCCGGGCCCTCCTAGAAGCCATCGCTAACCATTACCAGGCTACCGGCCGCATCGGTGGAGCCTTTGCTAAGTCGCTTGTGGAAACAGGCCGGCATACAGTCACAGCTCTTACCCGCCACGGTAGCCAAGGAAAACTCCCCGATGGAGTTCTTGCTGCTCAGGTTAACTACGACGATGACGACTCACTTGTCAAGGCCTTGAATGGCCAACAATTCCTTGTGATTACACTTGGCGTCCGAGCCCCTGGTGATCTTCATGCTAGGATTACTGCAGCTGCCGGAAAAGCTGGTGTCCCCTACATTATGCCCAATGCGTACGGATACCCTATCAATCCCGAGGGTGTGAAGGATGAAGATCCATACGGAAAGCTCGCTCTCGATCGAATCCATGACGCTCAAAATGGTGTCTCGTCCTCAGTGACTCTGCCATGTGGTTTCTGGTACGAATGGAGCTTGGCAACCGGAGAACAATGGTTTGGCTTCACTATCAAAGACCGGAAGGTGACATTTTTCGATGACGGCACTCGCATCGTCACCGTCAGCACTTGGGACCAATGCGGTCGCGCGCTGGCCGCTCTCCTCAGCCTGCCAGAATCGGGACCAACCCCTGCGCTTGCCGACTTCAAGAACAAGGAAGTCCGAATCAATAGTTTCCGCGTCTCGCAACGCGATATGCTCGATAGTTTGCATCGTGTCCTAGGCACCACAGACTCTGACTGGGAGATTAGTTACGAGAGTGTGGCTAAGCGCCTTGCCGACGGTGCCGAGGAGCTGGCTAAGGGTGTTTTTACAGGGTTGCCTAAAATGCTTTATGGGAGTGTGTTTTTGCCAAGCAACAAGGAAGCTGATTTTGCAGGTACAATGGAGTTGGCAAATGATACATTGGGCCTACCTAAAGAGGATTTGGATGAAGCGACTAAGAGGGCGGTCGATATGGTGGCTGCGGGATGGAATCCCTTTGCTGGGGTATAATCTGGCCGACGTTTCTGACTATATTACTTTTTAACAGGAGTTTTATCATGCACTTGTTGATTAGAATGTTTCTACCAGGTCAAGAACTCTCATACTCATCTAGTTCATCATGCATTGTTGTCCAACACTAATCATCCGACTCTTATGGCTGTTATTTGTGGAAAATGGATATATTCGTAAATAAGAAGGCTGGCGTAGATGGCAGATGTCGGTCGTTTCCAAGCTCATCTCAATGACGTCACCACATGGCTAATCTCTTATCGATAATCTAATCGTCACCTTCCCACCCGTGGTCGATCTTCCAAATCTCATTCTTTCCACCCCATGCTGCTAAAGACGTGTAGCCTACGCCATGTCCGAGAAGATCAAAGATGCAGTGCTTGCTGAAGCGAAGAATTCCCAAGCTGTTGTTCATGATGTGATTACATCTGGCGCATACTTGTACCCATTCAAGGTAGGTAGCGATGCCCTCCGAGGAGTGCTTTCCGACCGTGTGTAACCACGGATTCTCCTAGGGAATCGTCTACTTCGCAACCCACAAAGACCTATGGCGCCCTTTTATCTCTCGCGCCGGCCGAACCATCACACTGGGAGTAGGCGTCACGAGCGTTATGTTCTTCTTCACGTACATGCCGCAGATGGCCATCATGGCCTTCACCAGCGGTCCATTGGCTGCTATTTCCGCCGCGATCCTCGTCCTTGGTGAAAGTTCTGCCATAACAAATTTCCTGTCACGATCATTCCTTGTCGAAGACGCCATGATCGACACCTTCGATGGCACCCTGGTCGCGCGTGGCCAGGAGCCACTCGTAGCACAAGGACGCCAGATGAAATCCCGATCAGGGAAAGACGCGATAGCTAGGCTGGGTAAGATATTTACTAAGCCTCTTGCACAACTCAACCCACGGGCGCTGCTGCGATCGCTGCTCTACCTGCCCCTGAACCTCATTCCTGTGATCGGGACCGCGTTGTATATTTATATGCAGGGGAAAAGAGCAGGACCGGTACTTCATGCCAGATATTTCCAGCTCAAGGGCTGGGATTCTACGATGCGAGATGAGTGGGTGAAGAAAAACCAGGGCGCGTACACTGGGTGCGTAAATTCCATCTCGCTCCCTTTCTTCTCGGCTGGTATGTAGCCAAAAACTAACTCTCTCCTCAGACTTGGAATTGCAGCCTTTGTCTTGGAAATGGTGCCTTTTGCCTCGATTGCATTTTCGTTCACGAACACTGTTGGCGCCGCTCTCTGGGCTGCGGATTTGGAGAAGGCAACGAAGTAGCCGATTGACCATCTGCAGCAAACTGAACTAATTGTGAAACATGTCAGGCCTGGAGATTGAACCAATTTGTGGTGGTCTTCATTTAAACTGTGAAATATAAGATCAAGGTGTTGTTTCATTTCTATATCTGTTAAGGCCATGAAACATAAAGTGATAGGTAAACTTTGTCAATGATTCTAAGTCTAGAGGGTCCAAGGTTGCCCAGGTCCACGGGTGGTTCTCAGATCGCGGATCCACGGTTGCCCCAAAGCTTGGCATAGCTTTATTCAGAGAGAACGTGTCGAGGGAATGTTGATACTAAATATCAATGCATTTGTGTTCATTCCATGATATCGAGTAGCATGACTAACTCAATAATCTTCATAATCCTCCCAGTCGTCCTCGTGATCCTCTTTGATACTGAAAACATCTTCAATAAAATGGACCAAGGCTTCCAAGAAGAGTCCATTTCGTGGGACATAATGTGCCCCTTGAAAAATGTATACAGCGGTATTTGTGCTTGAATTACGAAGTCTCAGCGATGCAGATTCAGCGATCATTGTATCAATGCTGGCGATAGCAAGGAATATCGGTGTCTCAATCTTTGGACTGTACAAGTCATTGTAAATAGGGTCCCCGAATGTAAATCCACAAACCGCAATTACGAATTCCAAAGGGGGATGGTCCGTCTATGAGGGAAAGGTTAGCTACTCTGGTACCACCTGGGAATATTCTTGTCAATGATGTTTTCCCCAACTTACGTCGAATTTGAAATTGCCGATCGAGTGTCTTTTCTCTAAAAGAGAAGCAATTATAGCACCCATAGCGGCGCCCATCGAGAATCCTATGATCCCCAAGAATGGGCCATTTCTCTCAATATAGCGGAATATATCGTTGACCGACTGCTCAAGGCCACAGGCATAATCATCCGGATTATCGGCTTGTCCCCATGCCCACAGGTGGTTACTTTCTCCCGGGAGTTGATCACGTTTAGCAGGCCACCTGCCTGAAGGGTAGTGAAACTCGACCACGTCAGAGGGACCTGAACTTGGATCTTGTCGTAGAGCGTTGAGTATAGTATCTGTTACTCGAGGCTTCAGATATTCGGTCTTGCATTGGAGCATGTGTCCAGACTGGGCATGGCCTATAGGAACAGACGAACAACTTAGAACGCTTGTTCAAAATTGTATAGGAATTAGGGATATTTTACCATGTAGCATCAGAATCTTTGGACGTGATAGCATAGCCGATTGGGCTGTTGATTTGAAGTCCATGTTGATGAATGGGCTGATAGGGAGGTATGGATATCTGGGACCAGAGATGCTTCCTCTTGTATTGTCTTTGAGCCTTTTAAATCTGAGTAGCATCCAGCTTATAAAACAAATTTAGGCTTGGCAGCCCTCCAATGTGTATTGCATATGGGGGGGTTGAGGGTAGGTGTTACACACAATTAGTACATGTGTGATGATGGCGAGATTTACTAAATAACACATATATAAAGGCTGCGTACAGCCACTCAAAAGCAACCGGATTCAGAATTGCCACGAGTTTTGAGCCACAACCGGGTCAAGCTGAATAACTTGATCGATGGCAATATCGATTATGTTACTCAAGTGTGCACAATCGATATTGCCATCCATCGAAACAAAGCAGGGACCCCAATAAGGCAATTAACTTGCATAATTCAGGAGAATTGATGAACTTGCAGGATCGAAAGAGTCTAAGTTGGTGCTCTAACTTGTTGAGAAGAAAAGCGCTAAAGCGCACCCGCCATGTCGGATATGATCGACGACAATATGGCTCGTTGTAGCCATTATTTTACCTTGATGGTGTAATAGAACAATGCGCTCCCAGTGAGTAATCTTCTATCATTTTCTCACGTACAGCATCTTGTGGTCGTGGCGTGGCCTTGTAAGGATATCCAGTGTTTCAAATTTGTTCACACTCAGGCTTACATCCATATAACTCCAAGTGAAGCGTTCGAGCGTATACGATGCCAAATCTAGTTACGTGTGTACGTGCGTGTGTGTCAATGTGGTACGCTTCGTCTGAAGTCATATATAGGAAGATTTTGGGCTTGAGATAAGCAACCGGAGTTAAAAATCAAAGTTCCAGGGTAACACAGTTGAGCCACAAAATGCGAGTGTGCCCCTCGGTGAACCAAATCCAGGAAGTGGCGATGAGTTTACTGCAATGCTCATTAGCCTAAATCATTTCCCATTGATCGAGCCTGCTTGCTCCCGAGGCTCGCAAATAGGAAAGTTCAACCGGCCCCCGGGTAGTTAGCATGTCGTAGCCAAGAACATAGATGGCGCTCGATACTTCTATATAGCCGGATGCACATATGACCGACTCATGTAGCTTGTTCAGCAGGTGCTATTCCCAGAACTTTCTCGAATTCAACAAGACAAAGATCGTTCGGCAACACCAGGCTCTCGAATTTCTCGCGAGGAAAGGGGGATGTTTCGCCCGTCATTTTGTATCCATGACGCGAATACCACGAGATAAGTTGCTTGCGATTCGAAAGGGTGTTTAATCCCAGCGTTGTAACACCCCAAGTCCGTTGGCAATAGTCTTCAGCGTATGCCAAGACCTGTCGCCCAATGCCGCCGCGCTGCTGGCTCGTATCAACGGCAAGCATGAAGAGACGAGCGTAGTTTGCATCGCGCTTAGATGTTCCGATTGAGCCGATAAGCGTGTCTTCATTGTTGGTTGCCATCAACACGACACTGTCCGGTTTGGTGATCATGGCCAGAACTTGTTGGACATCGAGGCGAAAGGCTGATGAGAGGCCTAGGTCATCTGTCCAGCCTTTCCTGCTGTCCTCGGTGCGGAACGCAGATTCCACCAATTGCTGAAGTTGAGCCGCATCGTCTTCGGTCGCGATACGAAAATTAAGGTCGTTCATTTTTGGCTGCAGAAATGTTCAAAGATTTCAATATGACACGTGTGAGTTCACGAATTCTAGAAGGAAAGTGTTGGTTTTAAATATCTTGCGAACGTACGGAGTAGTTAGTCCGAAATCGAGCCATGTAGTGACAAGGGCGTGAGGGTGGCTGAAAATCCCGCACAGGGCGTAATATTTGGGAGATGTTACGCTTCCTTTCCAAAGCACAGCTAATGAAAACTAAGATATTTTCAGATGGATAAAATAGTGAGAATCTAATCAAAGAAACCGCGGTCTAAAAAGGACCAAGAACACACTCCCGTCAGCGGCGCATGGTCTGAGGTTGACTCAGGGAACCCGGCCCTCTCATGTTCTAGTGGTGTATATTGATAGAAAACAATATGCGGGGGAATTAACAAAAGCAACCCGAGGTCTATATCGATATAGAAGGACGCGTTTTGACCGCGAGATGGAGTGCACACCTGGGCAGGCGGTGCCGAGATGCCCAGGTGTGTAATACGGATCACGTCATCCATCGACAGCCCCCAACATCCAGGCGCTTGGACCACATTCCTTTATGATTCCCTCTCAAGACAGTGCCAATATATCAACATCCACCATGACCACAGCAGCGGTATTCGGTTGCACAGGAGCAGTTGGCTCTCAGATCCTGGCTACACTCCTGGCATCAGACGCATTTTCAACAGTGAAGACTATCTCTAGGAGACTTCCAAATGCGAAGTCAGCTAAGCTCGAAGAACTCGAGGAATCCGATACCACAAAATGGGGAGGTATAATCTCATCTCTGTCCCCTAAGCCGTCAATGATTTTCAATGCGGTCGGTACTACGACAGCGGCAGCGGGCAGCATAAAGAATCAGTGGAAGATCGATCATGATTTATGCGTTGAGAACGCGCGAGCAGCTAAGGAAGCAGGCGTGAAGACGTACATCTATATTTCTAGTGGAGGAACTAGAAGCTTTCTCTGGGGCTGGGTTCCATACTCGAAGATGAAGGTTGGCGTCGAGGATGCTATCAAAGAGCTTGGCTTTGACAATGCTATCATCCTGAGACCGGGGATGATTATCGGAAGGGAGGAATCCAAGTCTTTTCTTTTGGAAAAGTTCGTCGAAGGCCTTCAGCGGCTGGGACAGGGTGTCCAGGATAAAGTTGGTATGACTGCTGATCAATGGACGAATGCTTCCAATATCCAGAGGGCTAACTCGGCGTGAGCAGGTCAAAACCAAGCCACTATTGGTAGAGCAGCTGTAGCAGCTGCTCGTATGGCTGAAGAGGGCAAAGCCCCGTCGAAATATTGGGTTCTGGAACAGGCTGATATTGTTAGGCTTGGTAGAGATGAGTGGAAGGAGTAGGGTGCGAGATCCTGGGGTACTGTGCTTTTTCTAATGTAAGAATCCTTTATGTGTAAAGAGGTTGTAATAAGACAATTAACGAAACGTAATCTATTTATGTACATCAGGCACTAGCCAAGAAAAGACATTGGCATGGTATCAGTAATCATCAGCAGGCAAAAGCAAATATGACATGAAACGAGGATATATTAGAGAATAGAAGGGGAGGAAAAGAATGACCGAAGTCTGGAAGAGCCAATGCCGCCGGGGTGGAAACATGGAGGCCAGTCCGAAAAGGACGAAGCCGAGAAAACTCAAGCAGTGCTTGTTGGGGATTTTTATGCCGAGGAGCCAAGGAATGACCCAGGCGAGATCACTTGCTTTCTACTATGAAAAGAGTCTGATGACCATGCCAGATGAACCGACCCTGGTAGCGACTCTGGAGGGTTGACCGCAGTACTGAGACCAATTTCTCGCTGGCCCTAATCAAGACATCTTGAGATCGTCGACGTAACCGAGGAATTCCCTCCGGTCATCGCAAATGCGGGCATACTCCAACAGAAGTCGGTATGTGTAGATTTCCATGTCCTCCCTTCGAAGGACTTTCTCTCCCCAAGCTTTCCCAGCGAGGGCAATCTTACGGGCTGCCTTGTCACGGCCGCCGAGGAAATAAGCCAATATTCCATAGATATCGATGTAGGTGGTATCCATGGGGACAAAGTGCACCCAAGGGATCAGTCTCGAGTCGTGCCACTCATTGTAGATGGTGGCTTTAATGGGAAGGGAAGTCGACAACATGAATCCCCGGTATCGGCCACTGAAGGAGTTCCCGTCAAGATCAGGCAGATATTTAAAGTTGTACATATCCTTCATTGCCATTCCAGGCGCGACCTCAAAGTACGGATCGAGATACGGACAAGTCGGGTCGGCTTCATTATAAGGCGTGCAAACCAGGTGATTGAAGCCCGCATCAGTATACTCCGAGAGAAGCTGGGGGATAAAACCGTCGCCCTTCAATTTGTAATCGGCATAGTTAGGAAGTCTGAAGTTGATACCGTGGCTTTGGTTCTTCTCAGCTTGAGCCACCGATGTTGCGTTCATCATCGACATGAATCGGTGGCGCTGGAAGCCTGTCCAGTTGGGCTCTCGAGCCCGGCCTCCAGTAGCAGCACCTCGCCATAAAGCCTTGTTTGTTTTCGATTCCCACGAACCACCGTGCTCCTTCTCCCCACCGGAATAATGGTCATTCTGTGCCCAGTACATCGCTGGGGGGAGGAGAATCTCATTGTTCATAGGAAGCTTGGACCCACCGAATAGTGGCATCAGGTTGTGCGAGGTTGAAACGGAGATTGGCTCAAGGAAGGTCCCATGCAACACTTGCATCTCTGGGCGCACACACGGATCCTTGGCCAGCGTATAGTTTGATACATAGCCGTGGTATGACATTCTCTCGAAGTTGTCATATTCCCAAGGAGGAGTACCGAAATCAACCATGGGCAAGGTGATGTTGCGTGCAGGGCTTCCGGGAGGGCAGCCAACCCGAGCCATCTCCCAGTAACCTCCCTCGCCGGGAACTGCAAACCCAGGATCATAAGGTTCCAGATCTTCCTCATCCCACTCAGTTAAAGACATGTATTCGTGGACAACACCGCTGGGCTTCATCATAACGCGATTTGCCTGCTCCTTTTGAACGTACTCATTGATTTCCTCCCAGGGGACAACGAGCCGAGTCTCATCCATGACATTAATTGGCATATCAAGATCGGGCAGTCCATCCTCCAATCTGGCGACCAGGTCAAACCACGAGTCCATCCAATTTCTTGGTTCATCGGTTTTCAATATTGCGGTTTTGTTCCGAACAGTGATACGGGTCGGTATGCTTCTAGCTTGTCGACGCAATTCCTTCGGTTCGAGAGCCCAGTATGGAGTCAAATCGTGATAGATCTGATCGAAGAATTCTTCAATGATCAACGAGTCTTTTGACTTGGCGAATTCATACCATTCTCCAAATCCAGGAGGAGGATGTCTTCCGCGGCGCGCTCGGTATTGATCTGCAGCGGTTTGAAGATCGTGCGCTTGCGTTCCCAAGAGTTCGTGTAGATCGGTCTCGGCGGTATCGATAAGAGCATCGATAGGGTGACTGCTGTTGTAGCCATTCCCTGCGTAGAAGATCGGGGACACTGAAGCCTCATGCCTGGGTAAGATCCAGATAAGGGCGAGGATGGAGAAGACTGCGAGCAGGGCGACTCGGCCTGCGCGCGAATTCAATGTCGTCATCATATGCGGCATCCTGAAAGCGGGTATGTCCTCAACAGTCTTCTTCAACTTGTGTGAATCTCGCCCGTGATAATCGCAAGCTGGCAGCTCGGTGCGATCATGCCGCCCCCTAGGACTGATTTCCCGGTGGTGGGTTACTAGCCTCGTGATGACCAGGGTTTAAGGTATAACGGATAAGGGGCGCACGGGTATAGGAAGTTCACTCATTCATATTCAAAAAAGGTCATTGATCAGGACAAGGACAAGAACAAGGAAAAGGAGGAGAGAGAGAAGCACAAGACAGAGAAGAGCGCAACCTCACTATCTGACGGGACATTTCATTATTTGCCTAACCGGAATAGGAAATTATGGTCCAAGAAAGCGTGGGCCATGTGGGTCCATCTGGTCATTTTAAGATAAAGATCGTCCACTCCGCCCGTGTCGAGTGGGGACCACATTCTTTCCAATTCTTATTTTATCTTATTTGATCCTATACCAATATGCTCTTCACAAGATATATTGGCAGTATAAGACATAGGATATATCCAGGCAGTAGGCAGAATGAAAGGTCAACCTTGGAGGTATGAAAATCACTACCATTGGACCCATTTAAATTGCCAAGGCGTGGTTGGACCTACGGTTACATGCCCAGGTGACCTCATAGTCAAGTCGTGACCGGTCTACTGATAAACTCAGTTTCTGGTTTCCAAATTTCTTTTTTTTTTTCTTTTTTAGTGCAGTCATCGATATCATTTCCCCCTTTATTGGTCTCCACAGGCCCTGCCCCAGAACTTCTTGCCCCAGGCAGTATATATGGCCTGAGGAATAAATGTCTGAGCGTCTATTCGCGTCTATTCTATCGGTCTCCAAAACAACCAATCAAGCGAAGCTATTGCCCCATTAGATCAAGTGTTGCGATCTTATCGCTTCTCACAGAGCCGGACTTGCTGCCAACAGCCAATGCAGTTCGTCTACCATCTGAATCTTGGGTCCATTTCAAAGGACCAGGAGGCAGAGATTTCGATGAACCTGAGTTCAAAAGCTGCTGGATATTATCGTCAAGATCTGGCAGCATTCCATGGGTGAATTGAAATTCACCACCAAATTTGGCTGGAATATTGGCATCGTCGATATACTCTCTGAGGGTAGGAAGGACCTCCGACTCCATGAGCACAACGATCTTTTCTGCAGTTCGAGGGTCGACCCAGGCCTTCAGGAACTTCCAAACAGTGCTATAATACGAGGGCGCATTGCATACCTGTTATAATCATCATTAGTAGGCGTCCATGGGTGCAATGTCGACAGGCCAAATAAACAAGCAACCTACAAAGATACGTTCAATGGTCTCTGGGTAACATGTTGATAACAGCCAACTGATCTCTTGGGCAAAGGACCGCAACCCCCATGCTTGCTTTATGCTCAGATTCGAGGCATCCACAACATAGATCGAATTGGTGACTGGACCTGACGGATTCGGCCTGTCCGTCATCATTGAGCAAAGCGGAAGGATGAACCGCACGAGATTGTCATAGTACACAGAGGCCAATTGTAACATGTCGGGCTTTGGTGGTTTATCATTTCCTGATTGGGAATATATCCAGCAACTGTTCTTGCGCGACGTTTCCCAGAGTGCAACGGTATCTCTGTCCAGATGATCCAGGTCGAACATGCAAATGGGCAGCCCTTTTTTGTCCCTACGACCAGACCAGTGGGGGTACTTGATGGGCATGTCAGTGTATACTAATACTCTCGGACTCAAGGGATACTCACAAATTGACGGGCTTGCTCGAAATCGGAAATGTCAACTGAATCGTAAAGTCTGAGGATGTGCTTCTTTTCGCGGAATTCACATGCCTCCTGGAACTCCTTGAGAGCACCATCGGGGTCAAATTGACGCGCGACTAGGAATCGTCTAGTGGGGTCAGCACCAACAGAAAACAAAACTGAAATTTGTATACATAACATAACGCACAGAAGGGTGGGAGGGTCTGATATGCCATCACAAAGGTCCCGGCTTTCCAGACTCTCAGGCCGGCTCAAGAACGCTTTTTCTTGAGTCGATTGTGTGAGTGCTTTGAATGAAGCCTCATGCTCAGACGGAATGCCGAAGTTTGGTTGAATAGCGGCCATGAGGAAAGAAATCCAAGGATATAACCTTGGAAGAATTCAAGAAGTTTCACAGTCCTGTCAATGAGGGTCTAGGCGACAATCTAAAGTTGCGAACCTGTTACGCGACCAGAGTGATCTGCAAGTGGACACATGTCAATACCCCGCGATGCGCCCGCCTAGCTTGGTCATTTGGGCATCCGCAGCTCACAGGAGGACTATAGCTCCCCAAGTGATTTCGAATATGGGCTACAACTTGCCTGTTGAATTGTGAACTGGTCCGAAACTGTCAATTGTGCGAGATGATGCGAGATGAGAAAACGACATAGTTGAAAATCCCAGGTGATTCTCTGTAAGTAATATGGTCTTCCAAGGTTGGTGCTTTTAACGCTAACCCTAATTCGGAAGTCCTACTATACAACATTTGATCTCCTGACTCCTGCCAAAACAACTTTGGAACATCAATTTCCGCCTTTGGCGGAGTATAGTTTGATGTTATATATGCCCACTTCTGTACGCAACGGATATAAAGCTAGACTGTGGACTCAATATTTCAGTTCGGAATACATCCAGTGTTGTGAACTCTTTGTGTTTTATCACTGGTTGTGATTCATGATAGCAACAAGGAACAACCTACCAACATACCTGGGTAGGTATTTACATGGAGGCGGTGAAATAACTACAGATGTATCTTAGTTTGACTGCTCAATTTGTTTCTTCCAATTGTCTGTCTTTCAAGTTGTTTCTTCCCAGTTGTTTCTTCCACGTTCACCCACGCCAGGTGTCCAGTCATGGCAGACCGATACACATACCTCAAGTACAAGCGTGACGAGAAACATATTTTCAATTGGATCATTCATACTTCTGACCATATTAACAAGAGTTTCCCTTCTGAGGCCCCAGTCGCTGCGAACACGACTAAGACGGCCCCCCTGGCAAGACTCAAGTCACTTTCGGCACTTATTGCGAAACATATCAACCCGATTCCCACCGACATACTTCGATTATTTAAGTCACTCATCGACGCCAGGAAAGAGACGCATGATTTTTTCCTGAGAGTCAAGGGCTTGGATCTAGATCCAGACATCCGAAGAAGCAATGAGTCACACGAGCATTGGATAAATGGCCTGATAGACGTTTTCAACGCTCTAGGAGGAGAGACCTGGCAGTCAGGGAGCCAATTCGATCCTGACGCACCTAATGAGGACGATCGCCAGACGAAAGAAAGGGGAGAAGGTGGAACTGAAGAAATCGATGGTGACGCACCTAATGAAGACAAGGAGCAAAGTATCTTCGAGAACAAATTTTCGGCTCTGAGCCTGGATAGCCAGATGAAAGAAGGCGGAGAAAGTGGAAAGGAAGAAAGTGATGAGGGTGCCAACCTTGCCGGATCTGCCACCCCTGCTGCATCCAGACGGCGGAAGCGGAATAAACGAGGGCGCAAGGCGAAGGGCAAAAGAAGGTCGGCCGACACTGGCTCTACCACTTCCGATCTGCAGGATGTTCCCCTGGAGAGTTATCGCATCATTGAGGATGAATCTGGCATGGTCACAGACTACTTGATGGCTGTATACTCATTGGCCAGCCAGTTGGTGGATCTCCGTCATTACCTACAGGTTGTCTGGCGTTGGGTAGCTTATCGGGACTTGAACAGTGTTGTTGCTGCAAATCTATGCAACGTGGCAATTGGGATGATCAGGGACGCCCAATCTCAGATCTTCATTGATTTTCCTGACCGCGACTCTTTCCATACCATCATGAAGACTCTCACAGGTGGAGACCCTGAGAAGGCCCAAGGCCAGTTCCGTATGCGAGTTCCGCGACAAAAGCAGGATGGAACAGGTGATATGTCGCTGGAACTGGATATCGACGTGAAGGAACACTTTCTGTTAGACTCCTATCAGAACCTATGCGACTTTGTCACCGACTATCAGGCAACGCGCACCGGCAAGCCTACCAAGGGTATGCTCAAAATCATCCGGAATTGGGATCCCATGTTAGACCTTCAAAGAGCAACCGAAAAGCAGCGCTTGAAGTGGCGCCGAGCGTACACCATCAATTGGCTATACGACTTGGTCAATGTCTTTTCCTCAGTTGTCGTTCAGCAACAGACACTCGAGGGACAGCACACTCCTCTTGAAACGGTTGATTGGTCTAGGGACGGACCTTGGAGCGAACATCGGCGCTTATTCGGCATTAACGACTTCGCTGGCGATATCACACATCTCGCAGTACAACAGCCCGGGACAGATTTTCGGTCAAAGATCCTTCCTCACCATGTCTTCCAGCTGCAGTCCATCGTTGACTCCCTTGCTGTGTCTCGCGGCTGGACAGTTGATATCCTCGAGGGCCATGACCTGAATGACCCTGCTTCTGAGTTTCGGCCTCGGAGAGATATCGATCTCTTCATGGGTCGTGAATCAGAGTCCGGCAAGGGCTTTTGCCAATCCGTGGATGTACTGACTATGATTTTCGATCAAAATCCTATGCTTGGTGGAGACCAGAACACCGCTTCACTCAAAGAAAAGCTGATAGCACTTCGACAGGACTTCGTCAACTGGCTCGGGGAAACCAAGAATACTTATGGCTTAAATTCACGGTTTTCTAACACAAACAGCAATGGCCTATGGGAATACTCTCCGTTCCTCTGTGGTGCAGGGCTATCGGAAGCACTTGAATTGGCATACGGCATGGGTATGCTTCTCTGGGACAAAGTCCCTGAGCCGATGTGCGTCCTTCGTCTACACAAAATGTTGGTCCGGAAACGCCTGATCAGACGGCCAGTACTTCTGTGGAGTGCCCTCGAGTCTTTTTTCCAGGATTCGTCTGAATTTGCCGAGGCCATCAATACTCGGATTGGTGGGCCCAACGCTCATCGCGGCTCTCCCCGAAATCGGCCACAAAGGCAACAGCTCTCCCGAAATGTGACGAATATGACCGAACTGTTAGATCCCAGTGTTAATCGCTTTTTCAGAACTAAGTCTTTACTGCAAGTCTACCGGGGTGCAAACTGGATCCCAGATCGCATTCCGGATGAAGACATCCCCCTTCCCACGTGTCTAGCGTGGATCCGTTTGACCGAGACTGGGAAAACCAGGGATCGCGCCACAGGTGAAGTTACCCTAGCAGATACAGACCTAGTCAGGCGTGCCAGATCAGGTGGATTGAGTGACAAAGAGATCATCAGATCATCATCAACGTCTATTCTGTTAGATCAACCTGATGTGTCCGAAATGACGAGCACCTCCCAGCCCACTATACCCGAGGAATACCCGTTCGGTCCGGCTGGAGGTCCTATCAAACACGATATTAGCCTTCCTACGTACTTAAACCTTCTCAAGCGCGATCTCATCGCGGACGTCTGCGGCAGAATGAGGCCGCTATCCAGCCTGAACTACAATTCGGTCCTCGTGCACTGCTATTGGATGTTTTTGAAGATAGAAGAAAGGCTACAGGCTTGTTACAACCAAACATGGCAACAGGCTTATTTAGGGGAATCCGGATTGACGCAGCGGGGATCACTTACCATGGCAGCTTTGGGAGGGAAAGATCCGGAGTGTCTGGAAATCATTGCAGGCGTATTTGAGGAGCAAAGACCCGGATTCATGGACCATATCTACTGGGACACTCTGTTGGACAGTGACGACGAGCGGGAAATCGTTGCACCTGAGGGCAACAAAGCTCTAAGTTCCTAGGTTCTTGCATGATCATGTAAAGGATGTGACTAGTTCCTGTTTGTTAGATGTAGGCCTATAAAAGGCTTGTTTCTTTGGCTACTTTGAATGACCATGGATTTCTTCTTGTTCTTCTTCTCTTTCCCTTAGATGGTAGTAGCCTCCTCAAACAGGAACCCTGGTTTCTTTGTCGGGGATGAACGGTTCAAGTTCCTTCTAGTCGGTTTACCACCGAAAGGTTGTGACTCGGTGCGGAACGGGCCGGGCCCGGCCTGCGCATTCTCGAGATCGGTCTCGCATAAGCTATGCGAGGTCCCGAGTCCCGGAAGTCCCACAAAACACGAGCAGATCAGCAGTTGTAGTTCAGATTTATACAGTAAAACATGCTGATAACAAAATAAATGAGACATATGGAAATAGTCTTCGTAAAAACTCGCATACATTATATATATATGTCTGGTCTAGGTGTAAATTTACTCACCAAAAAGGGCCGTAATATCGCGGTGCTTCTATACCTATAGTATCCTCACCTATGGCAGCCTCTCGTGTTTTTAGCTAGACATAGAGCATCATAATTGACAAATTTCACCCCAAGAGAGTTACCGCTACTCCTGGAGAGTGACCTGAGAGATGGACCGACATCCGAGAGGCCCACATCAGGCTTGGTCGCTCGCCCTCCACTTCTCCAGCCCTCCTTCACATCCAGCTCTACATCCTGCTCAATCCCCCTATCTTGCGCGTCTAGCATCTATTTTGGGATTCCTCAGGATAACCAGGAACTCTCTGTTCTGCCTAATAGATACTTTTCTACACCGGCAGCTACGAACTGCAACACAATGCCTGAAAACTCCTCATCTGCACTAGGTCTATCATTATCACATATAGAAGTACGGACCTGCAACCTGTGTCGTTAGCGCAGAGTCAAATGCGACCGCCAGGTCCCACAATGCTCCAACTGTCTGTGGTCCGAAAATAAATGTGTCTACCCGCCCGGTCAGGGCAGGGCGCCTAAGAGACCACTACAGAGCTGGACCCCCGGATCCCTGAACGTCTGTCCCGCCTTGAGGGTATCATCAAACAATTTGGTGTAGCTGGTAGGGTCTATAAAAACCAAGCCCTTTATTGCTCTTGCCAAGCCGCTGCTGACAATGAAACGTCAGCCCAGGAGAATCATCAGGCTCAAGAAACCTCCCACGCTCGAGAAGCGAGCGAGACCCATCCGTTCGATCTAGACTTCAGTCGTCTCAAAGTTGACGAGTCCAAAAGCTACTACGTAAATAATGCCCTTTGGGTCACATTGTCCAATGAGGTACTCTTGGAAGTCCCTATTTCAGTCGTTGCATCTTATATATTAACGCGGCGGTGTTAGGTTGAGGAACTCCGTGACCTCTTATTTGAGCGCGCGAGCGAAGACAATGTCCGGGATCCGACACTATCAACACATTTCTCGCATTATTTATCCACCAACAGTACTGCCGCCAGCTGTCCTCCCTCCCAGTTGGGGCTGAATGCTGCCATCTTCGGTTATCGGGCCATTACCTCCGCTCTCCAGAATTTCCACCCTTCATTGACCCAGGCTGTCACACTTTTCGCCGCATTCACAGAGAATGTTGCGCCACTAGTCCGCATCTTCCGCATGCCTACTTTGACACATGTCTACTGGGACGCAATTGCTTCTCTTGACTCTCTTGATAAGCATACCGAGACCCTCATCTTTTCTACTCACTACTCGGCCGTGGTTAGTCTTCTCCGGAACAGTGTCTTGACATCCTCCATAAGTCACGTGAAGCGGCCCTAGAGAGGTACCGGTTCGCCGTAGAACAAGCACTCGCCCGCGGTAACCTGCTCAACACCCAGAGAATGATCATGCTACAGGCGGCAGTGCTCTTCTTATCCGCATTACCTAACAAGGACGACTCGCGCGCGGCCTGGTCGCTGACATGGCTCATCTACCATATCGCACGAACCATGGGTCTGCACCGTGACGGGACGGTGCTCGGGCTCAAACCCTTCGAGACGGAATTCCCCGAAACGCCTGAAAGCATCGGCCAGTTAGAGCGCAACATGCGCGACGAGCTCTTCCAAAATTCCATCCAGATATTAGAAGTATCGGACATGCTTCTAACAAACAAAGACATTATGAAATGGAGCTGGAATTCAACGACATACATCCAGTGGGCCGCAATGGCATTTGTACTTTCCGAGTTATGCGCCCGGTCCCGCTCTCCCGAGTGCCATCGCGCATTGGACTGCGTGACGACCGTGTACGACGCATGGAAAGTCAGCGGTGATCAAGAAGACGAGAGCCGTCTCGCCCTCTGGCGGCCGATCAGGCGGCTCATGGCCAAGGCCCGCTACCTGAGTATGCATCGTTGCCTTGTTGACACGGATGCATCGACTGGAAATTCCCCAAAGATGTCGGACTCGGGCCTATGTGACCACGCTCGCTTAGAGTAGTTGTTCAGCGAAAGTAGCCAACCCGAGTAGGCGAGTGGGGTCTCGCTGTCTCGCATAGTCGCATAACGTCGGTACTATGTCGGGTGTTCGCATTAGAAATAGGCACCGAGTGGTCCTGGACGGGCCGCCCCGGACTTACCCGCCGGTGCCCAATCGCAAGGTCTCCCAAGGTCGGGCGGGTCCATGCCCACCCCGGGATCTCATCTATAGTTCACGCTCTTTGAAGCTTTCCAAGGTTTATGCTGGACCAACCTCGGGATGTTATTCTTTGTCTTACAGATTCATGCGCCGCTTAGCTGCTTTTTAGTGATCGCTCTGAATGTAGTTCACTCAAGATATAGAGCTACTGAGCTACTGTATTTACGAGGTGAATTACTATTTGCACTCTCCCACTTTTACCAACTACACACCTGTTCAATACTATAGTAATCTGAGCCATCTTGCCCAGATGTAACTATGTTCTCAACTACTCCATACCCATTGCAATGATTCAGATGTGTGCCTGACAAAGCAGGTCTCAATTCAAACCTTATTCAGCAAAGTGGGTCCAATACGAGCTGAGCGGCTCGGGTTCATCCCGCGACGCAATTTTGCAAACCACCAGTTCAGCGAAATAAACGTGGCAGTGTTCATTCCGCCCGAAAATTTCGTCACACTCACTTATTCTTTGGATATGTGAGCCGGTTATTCCTATTCCGTAGTATGTACGGAGTACTAGGTTCGTGGAGTCAATCATCGCACGGTTGCTCGTATAGGTTCTGCATGAAGCTAATTCGGGCTAGCGGGGACAGAAAAGTGGAAATTCCAACGGCTCTGAGCGATTTATGACTTTTTTTTTTTTGGTGTGGCGGTAAGCCCTCTTGCTGTCGGCATATACGCAAACATCGACGTGCAATCCTTGGGTTTCAATAATATTCCCTGTGGTGGCTTCTCATCAGAGTACCCCTCATACCCCTCAGGGCATACAGCAAATGTCAGAATTATTTCAGCGGCCTGCTCCACCCTACGTCGCCGCCTTCTTGTAATTACTCCACTCCGTACGTGGCTTGCTAAGTGAGACTGGATAAAGGCGCCCTCATCTCACCATTGGCTTGGAAAAGCCGGACCCCTCTTCGCCAATACCCCCGGCCGCTTTTCGCTTTTCGCTAGGGTCGAGGTTTCAGCCGCCCGAATGTAATATTTTAAAATTACGCCATTTAAAAACTCTATACTTTCCTAGTTTCCCATTGAAAAAAAGGGAAGAGTCAGCAAGTTTGGAAAAGGCAACGGAGAGTTGCTGCTTAGCTCGGGTCGAGCTAGAACCGATATATCATCCAATGGATACAGTTCAAGATGACGGAGACTATAATCTGCAGGAGGCATGGGACAAAGCGTGCGCGTCCTTTGCGCAGACAACCAAAGTCGACCTCACTACAACCCCGAAATACTCAGTCGACGAAGTTCTTGATCAAATTCGTGCGAAGCAAGATGACGACGATGAGAAAAACAACAAGTACAGGGCCGCAAAAGATGCTATTGGCAATACGTTGAAATTCATCATGCTTCTGGGTGGGATTGCTGCTCAGGGGGCAAGTATGGTGAGTGCCCATTATCCCCAAGATTGACGTTGCTCATAGTTACGACCTAGGTTTTTGCGCCCGCTGGTCTCTGCTTCAATGCAATTTCATATCTAGTTGATACTGGAGCGAGATACAAACGCATTTTCAGCAGCCTGGCAGACTTGTTTCGCCGCATCTCCGACGTGCTAGAGCGCTGCAAAATCTATTTGCGGTTGCCCGCGGACGCGGTTGATGTCGCTCTCCGCAAGATCATCAATGAGGAGCTGGTGTGTTTTGTCGACATTTGTGCGTTGTCGATTAAGGTTCTCAAGGGGCACAAGGTCTTCATCGCGCTCAAGGTGCTTGTCTTCGACGGCGACGAAGGCGTGAGTGGCCAGCTGGCTCACCTGGCTACTCTAGTTGAGCGCGAGTCTCAGATGCGGGCAACTCTAGGGTTCGAGTCACAGAAGATGAGCGAGAGAAACATTATTGAGAACAGAGACAGCACCAGAAAGATCAATGGGACAGTCGATAAGCTACTCAACTTTGAGAAGAAGAGAGATGCAGACACTGCCCTAAAGAAGCTCCTGAACAATATTGATTCCAGTCTCGACGAACCTAGCGAGGCTTTCCAAGTCGTTCAAACGACCCTTCGACGTCTCCTGAGTGACCAAGTCCAGGGAAGCGGAGAGTGGCTTCGGAGTGATCCCCTCTATACGGGATGGGCGACCCTCGAAAGTTCGCCGTTTTCAGTCCTTGGTATCTCCGGAGACGAGGGACATGGCAAATCGTTCCTCTTTGCAAGCATCGTCAAATTCCTACAAGAAGCACAACCTGAGTCAGAAAGTGATATGAGGTGCACTTCCACTGCCTATCATATATTTGACAAAGATAAACAACAAATATCCTTGGTCCAGGCCCTCAAGATCCTCGCGTGGCAGGTCGCCGACCAAGATATTGTTTACCGCAAAGATGTGAGCTCTGTGAAAGCAACCGGTATCAACCAGATAGGAACTCTTTGGGACATTCTCTTCTCCAAGTCATATAAGAGTGACTCAATCATCTTCCTCCTTCTGGATGGCATTGACCAGGTTGAGAAGAGCGAACTTAAGGAGTTCATTCAGGTTTTGGGGCGGTTACAGGCTACCTCTGGAACCTGGTCACAGTTCAAGCTCCGCATTGCTATCACTGGGCGCAATGAGACAATGAGCAAGCTCAAAGGTCAGCTTGGGGAAGGAATATCGACAATTGATGTGACATCCGAAAAGAATGACGATCTAGAGAAGTTCATTATTGATCGCATGAACAAGATGGAGATTCTGAGCGGCTCATCGGATCAGGTGCTTTCTCTTCGTCACGACATCTTACAAGATTTGAAGTCTCAGACCCATGGTGATTTTGTCAATGTCAGCCTCCTGCTGCAGGAGATTAGCGGGAAACAACGTCCTGGTGAGATCAGAGATATACTATCCCACTCGGGAGGTAAGCGATCCGACACTATCATGAGAAGGATAGAACTCCTCAACGAGACACTCAGCGAAGAGGACATCTCTGACCTAAATACCCTCCTCACATGGGTCACCTTTAGCGTCAACCCTTGGTTGCGAACTCTGGAAGACCTGGAGGGAGTCCTCTACCTGAAGGCCGGGGAATCTTCTCTCCGGCCTTTGGCCGAAAAGATAACAGACCAATATTCCTCCCTCCTCCTGATTAAGGGAGAACCGCATCCCATAACTGGGATAATCCCAAAGTCCTCCTCATACGTTGAGATAGTCTCCGACTCAATAGAGGAGTTCATACGAACCAGGCATGAGTTCCATAACCCTGAAGGCGCCCCAGACCTTGACATTACTGGTGATATCAGTGAAGTCGAAGTCAGGATTATCCGTCGGTTTTTGGAGACGGTCTGTGACCCCAAGCTGTTCGCCAAATTTGGATTCGAAGAGTTCTTCCAGCGGAAGCTCAAAGGAAAAACTGCCCGAGTTGGAGTTGACACCGACACTGCTCACCTGAGTATCCTTTCAACATGCTTGGAAGTTATCAACCACCAGGGATCTCCAGAATTAGACTCGCTGCTCACTTATTCGTCTGAATCTTTCGCTGTCCATCTTGAATGTGTGGACCCTTCATTGACACAACCACAACACAAGGCGGCTCTTGGCCCGCAGCTGGTTAGTCTCTTTACGGACGAAAGGGTGATTGAAAAATGGTGGAACCCAACCAATAATATGGTGCTATGCCTTAGTTGGATCCTCGCGGACAAATATGCTGAAGTTTCGTTGAAGTGGCTTCAAGATTCTGCGGTCTCTAAAAGCCTCACTGATGATCAAAGAATATGGGTGAAAAGTTTGAGTTCCAAGTCCGAGCCTGATGCAGATATTCTGGAGCACATTGCTGAATTTACCGCCCGTCTCTGGTTGCAACCTGATGTTCCTGTAAGCTATCCTCCCAATTGCTTCGCTGTAATTCATGGATATCTCACAAAGGTATGTCGTTGGTAATTTCGCAAACCCTACCTAACAATGACTTGAAGCTGATTATTGATTTATCAGCTTGAGAGCCGCAAAAACCCCAAAATCAAAAGATCGATCGATTTCTCAAGGCCCGAAACTATTGACGCGTCCCAAATCTCCGATGCCGCTGAATGGGCTCGACAGAAGCTTGGACTCGATAGCCTAGGATATGAGGGGACCCGCAGATTAGCCTGCACATTTAGAGAGTTCGAAAAATTCGCTGAGGCCATTGAACATTTCAAACTCTCGTGCTCTCTCCAGGAGTACAACTGGCTCTCGCTATGGGGTCTTTCGGCCGTATATGCCTACCAGAAGGACTACGCGCTGGCGATTGAGACGCTAGAGGCCGCAAGAAATAAAATCAAGTGTCGTGAGACACGCGAGGATGATATTGAGTTGATATGGCTGGACCGCGATATGGCTGAGTACAACGGGAAGTTGGGCAATAGTGACAAGGCGCTTGCAATATACGAGGAAATGCTGCGGAATGACCCGAATGACTATGACGCGGCCTTGGGGATGATATTACAATACCACAAAACCAAGAATTCGGAGGGCCTACTCAAATTCCTTGATTCACTCAAGGCCTCCATGGACGATTCAACCGGTCTAGACAGGCGGACGCAGACGTTCCACCAGCACAACGACAGGGACGAGTATCACGAGGCAATCCTCGGTCTGGTGTCTGACAGTAAAACCTTCGATGCTATGTTTGAAAGCTACCAGGAAGCCGTTGTTGCCGCTCAAGAGCAGCTCACCAAGGCGGCTAATAAGGGCGACGTTGACAAGGAAGCAGTCCATCGAGTCTGCCAAGTACGTCTAGTGCATAATCTTGCGCTTCTTTGCTACGATAATAGCTCCGAGAACATTGAAAGGAGACAATTTGCCATCGGACAGTGGGTACGCGTCCTACAGATCGACGAAATTCGCGACGAGACGTTCGTCTCAATCGCAAAAAGCACGGCCTGGACAAAATTGGCAAACGCATGTTTCCACGAGGCGATGCGTGACCCAAGCAATGCCGCTACCTACCTGGACCAGTTGGAGCAGCTGGCCACATGGAAGCCCGCATACTATATCGACGGCCTCAGGGGCTCTACAGCCTACGCCTCAGAACTTGTCGCACGATACTACGCGCTCCAAGGCGACGAGCAAAAGGCCAAAGATGCCCTGCGTATGCATGTCAAACGCAATCTCGACTTTCTCTCTGACGATGATCCGTTCAATGACTGGATGGGATATCTGGGATTGGCAAGACATCTCATGTTCGCGGGCTATGACGCAGACTGCCTCGCCGCTTGGTCGTTGATTGTTCCATACGATGACGAAGAACCCAGTCCTGAAGGCTCGGAGACCAAGCCAACATTACAAGAACTCACAGGGCCCATGTGGGAACACTGTGCAGGCTGCGGGACTCGTATCATGTACCCAAATAATATCTATATGTGCAGAGAATGCGACTATACGCACTTCGATGAGCCTTGTTACACCAAGCTACGCGAGGGGACCCTTGGAAAAAGGATCTGTGACAAGGACCACGAAATCCTGCATATCCCACCGTACGATGCTGCCGAGCGCGAGAGAGTTGGTGAGGGTAACGTCCTAGTTGGTGAGGAGATCATCTCAGTCAGCGAGTGGCTCCAGCGTATCAAGAACAAGTGGGATATTCATCCGGCATTTTAAGAATGCAGGAATTTTGTCGCTCCCGCACACGTGTCTACTGATATATTTCTGTTCTTTTCCGCTCTTCGCTGTTCCTTTTTCTTCTTTGTTAGGAGAAATAGCTGATCATTAGTTGATACTGAATCTGAATTGCCCAATGTAGGATGAGGATAGCAAAGCAATCCTTCAATAAATGATGGGTATCCACTATCGGATCCAATCTATCTAGCTCAACGCCATGTCCTGAGGGTTTCTACCTAGGTACAGGTAGGTAAGTTACCCTATGTACATACGCCACCCTCATGAGCGGCTCGGTCTATTTTTCTGCTCTTGCCATCAATATGTTGCTGGCAGCGAAAGTGTCATAGTGCAATATATATACCAGAGTTGTTGCGTTCTCGTTTGGGAAAAAGAGACAAAGAAAAAGAAAAACGGAAATCGGCTTCAACGTCAGCATCAAATAGGACATTGCATGACATTTCATACTAATTGTCTATCTGGAGGCCTCACATATATCAAAAGTCTTGTAGTCTCGTATCTGTCCTTGGCAAGGTACAGGAAAGGCAGGAGGCGTCGGGTGCTGCCCCTCATACTACTGCTGCAGGTCCTGTTAGAGGTGCTGAACCCACATGTGGCCCACGTATCACCGCTAGTGAGGACGTTGTTAATGTGCAGATGATTGGACTGGTTTGGGAAACTGGGGTTGAGTTCTATTGGGTTTAACTCTTGATCTACTCCGTGCGTCCGCCATGGTAAATTGTGGAACGCTGGCTTGCAGTGAAAAATATGCAAAGGGGAATCACCATCCGGGGCTATACCGGTATACAACATAGAGCTTATGTTGTAACAAGAGTACATGGAGTCCGTACTGCCGTCACCTGGTCCAGCGAGAACCAGGATACCCAAGGATGTCAGGTCGTCATTTCTCGGACCCGTATAGAGACAACAACCTTGGAGGCCATAGAATGATTACCTAAACACAATTATTGTAGGTACGGAGTATGTTGTAGTCGTTTTTCAAGTTATATTGCACTTCGTATTCCTTTGGTCCCACGAACACGAGTTGCCCAGGAAGGAGGGGCTCAGCCGAGTCTTGGCTTAAAACATACGAGATGGATCGCCCGGGGATGTTACTACATTGGGTCATCGAACCTGTCGATCATTTATGCTTGAGGTAAACACTAACTCCAGAAATAGATACAAGGCCAAACTTGAGGAAGATAAACATCTTCAGGATAATTATAGATTTTCTGGTATTTTCCTAGATATAGTGTATTAACAGTCCTTGTATTAAGAGTAGATCTGTGATCGACTAGTGGCATAGCCTAAAGGTCATCCTAAAATAATCCCTTTTGCTCTGGACGTACCATTCTCGATGGGTGCTAAAACGAGAATACGAGAATGCCTACGGAGTCGATGTTTACCCCTTGGTCATTCTTTTAACCTAAACAGGACATCCTAAAATAATTTCTTTCACTTTCGACGCACTATCCTAGATTGGCCCCAAAATGAGAATACGAGAATCTCTAGATGAACCATTCCTTCGTCCTTTTTCTAGTCCTGAACAGAAATGATCGACATGACTACCCCAGCCGCTCCACCTTACTGACAGCGGGCTACGTACCAATGGCCTGTGTCATCCGGAATTCGGTAGTCATAGGTATCGTATTAGACATGGCGGGATTGGAATATTGGCCCCATCGACGTCGCTGATCTCTCGTGATGGGTTCTATTCTGGCTTCATTCGGCATGTTACGAGCATTGGCATTGATGAAGTTACATCGTTCACTTTATTAATAGAGACTCGATGCCACCGGGAAAACTATATAAGCAACCATTTATCCTCGCTTTTACTCTCTTCATCATCCTCTCCAAGACAATCAAATCTCAATCCAAAGACCAAACATCCAATCCACATCTACCTTTTCAATCCCCATCTCAACCTCCAACTACTCAAACCAAACCTTCAACTTCCAACAAAATGAAGTTCACCGCTACCACTATCGCTGCCATCGCCGCCGTCCTCCCCATGGCCAACGCCTGGATCTTCACGACCTGCAGCGGGCAGTGGGACGGCGAGAACAACAAGGGCTGCACCAAGTCCTCCTGCAAGGCCGGTGACACCATTGACTGGGAGGCCACCTGGGGCTCCGACTGCGTTCTTCGTGTCTACAGCGACAGCTCCTGCGGCAACCAGATTGGAATTGCATCTGATGACTGGAACGATCACCAGTTGAGCAAGAGCATGGGTAGCTTCCGCGTTTCGTCTTGCTAGGCTGCTCGTTTGACCGCGATGGATATATGTGAAGATGAGGGCGGCGGTGGGATTCTGGGCAATGGGATTATTTGTTTGGGTCGATATTCAGTGTTTGATGTCAAATATGATGGGCTGGTCTTGGCCTTCGCAGCCGTGTTCTATCTAGCACTTGAATTTCAGCCCTTTTGAAACCAGAACCTATGGACTTTAGATATGGTGTAAGTTACACGTAGATTTAATGCCGATGACTGAAAAAAGTGTAGCCCAATACGGCCAACTAAGACAGGAAAGCCCCATGGAAATATGTTACATATGCCAACCCACATATAACTACCCCGATCTAATCTTCTGTTCTCAACATATGATTCGTACGTATCTTGTCACCCCAATTGTTACGCTCCCCACAAGTGTCTGCCATGGTAAACCAATCCAGCCAAATCCACGATCCCGCAACCGCTGACGGCTGGCATGGTGCCATCCCTAGCAACGAAATCCCGCCGTGACAGAGCTTCCCATCTCTATGTCGGCTCTTTATGTTGTAGTCCCTTTGGACACTATGTAAACTTTGTCTATCACCTCGCAGGATAACCGACTTATATTGTACATCATTCTTGGCAGCTAGCTGGTACTCCATACATAGCTTGAAATAATGCTATGTGAATGTGGATGGACAGGCCCATTGTATACCAGTGGGTCCACATTATACCGATGTAGCGTACATATTACGAAGACCCATAGTGCTCAGGGTTCAAAACCCCCTTCCTAGGGGAGTTTATGCCTGAATGCCTTATTTTAAAACGGCGGAAAAATTAAAATACCTGAATTACTAGGACACTCCCTTAGTAATCAAAGTACCTTAATTCTGCTTGCGTTACATGGTGCACATACGCTCTCTCTCCAGGTATGAAAATGAAGCCTTTTTATCCCATACAAATGCATGCATCTCCATCCATTTTGAGATGGTTTACATAATCTCTCTCCATGTCCACGGGTATGAAAATGAAGCCTTTTACCTCCATACAAATACATGCATCTCCAATTGCTGAACTAGTTTACATGACCCCGTGTATGAAAATGAAACTTTCCTCTTAAAAGATGGAGATGCGTATATTTGTATGGGGGAAAAAAGCTTCATTTTCACACTGGAGGCTGGTAAACCACCCCAAAAATCGGAGATGCATGCATTTGTGTTGGGGAAAAGGGCTTCATTTTGACCTCGGGAGCTTTACAATACACAGTATAGAGCGGTGTAGAAAGCGGTGCTAATTCAGGCATTGAGGCATCAAGAAGCGGGTTTTGAACCCTGAGCACTATGGGTCTTCGTAGTACATATATAATGGCCAGCCCTGTAGGGCTTCCGAGATTCATCCTACTGACTCCTAGAGACCAGCCTACAAATAATAGTGTACCGTCACTGTAGGTAGATAGCTATATTTGTGGCCATATACTATTTATGAATGACATCTACAACCTACACATGTGAACGGGTGAAAGGCATTCAATATTGTAGACCTGCAGATACCCATGGACACATTTGTATCCATGATGGGCTCTACTGTGGGAATATATAGCGTATGTATATTACCAGTAGACAACAACGAAAACCAAGGTTCTTATTTAGGGCCTAGAGGGGCCATCTTATAGTCTGACATCTACTTCCCAATTTGACCAATCACAATGCAGACTTGAGATACGGTTAAACTTCCCCCAAGGATCTGATTGGCTGCCTCGTACCAAACTTTCCCGTTCCATGTCACCGCTTATCTAATCTATTGGCCAGACTGGGGGCCAACATTGGAACGTTGGAACACCCCGTTAGAAGTTCCACCAATCTTGGGAGATTCGAAGCTTGCGGGCTGCAACTTTGTGTGCCCCCGCGAAGCTTCACATACTTCTTTTCTGAAATTCGAAGGCCCAGTCTGTGTGATCTTCTAGATTATCCTCCGCTTTCTTCTAAGGAGAGGAGAAAGCGGATATCTTCCCAAGTTTGTCTCTAGCACTCTTTGCATTCAATGTCCCAGACCTGTGACCGACGCAATGTCACGTCCAGTCACATCTCAATACGCTCAGAAGTACCATGTCAACTTTGGCACATCCAGAGAGCGTGAATTCTATAAGTAATCTACCCACCTTTATAAACACACCGTTGTTGCCCGTAGGCTAACTGTGCGCCCCGCCTCACTAGGTATTTACCGCCGTACCATCTCAAACCACACGCCTTACACCATATTGGCCCCATTACACCATCAAATGAACATGTCGCTCGATCCTCGGTGGACCCGGTCCTGACAGCATTCGCCCAACTAGGCACCTTACGACTGAATGCGCAGCGTTCGTTGATCTCGCTCTTCGGTCGAAATGAACAACATATTCTCACAGAAGCCACTCGAACCCTCAGTCTGCAAGATGATGGTGACCACAATGCCCGAGATGAGCTTTGGGTTGGGAGCTGTACTATGTCATATGACCGCAGCTTGTGTAAATCGGTTATGAATTCTACGCCAAATACGTCAAACCCCAGGGAAGGCGTCTTTGTTGTGCCCAATCTTGCTGAAGATAACGCATTCAAGGACCATCCGGATGTGACTACATTCCCAAACATTCGGTTTCTGGCATCGAGTCCTATCATCAGTCCCAAAGGCGTGGTGATTGGATCCTATACAATTTTGGACAACCAACCTCACGACGCTCCGGACGACAAGTCACTCCAGTTCCTGGTTGATATTGCAGCTACCGTCATGAATTACTTAGCAACTAGTCATTCAAAAGTCCAACATTTCCGCAGTGAGCGCATGATGGTTGGTCTTGGAAGTTTCCTCGAGGGAAAAGGCAGTCTACGTAACTCATGGGTTGTCGACACCGACGTTCCTCAGACCACCTCTGGTGATATGGACCATGCAGAGGGACATGTCAATCGAGAGCAGCAGGAAAAACAAATTTCGCAAAACGTGGCTCAGGCCGCGGCTCAAAATGATGCACCAAGCCATCTCCCTTTTCGTCCATACAATCTTCATATCCCTAGAAACAAGACCCTACAGGGGGATAAGGAGAAATATCGGTCACTTTCCAACTCGAGCACCAGCCAGAGGGATGCCAGGGCCTTATTAAAACTCAAAGAAGCATCTCAAGCGGCCATGACAGTCGACAACGATCAGTCAAGGCAGCAATCACCGAAGGATGATTATACTGCCAAAGTGAATGAAACATTTGGACGCGCAGCCAACCTCATCCGCGAGAGTATCGAAGTTGAAGCAGTTGTCTTTTTCAACGCCAATTTCGGCTCCCAGGAAGCTTTGGTGGACAATGCGAAGTCTGACACGGAAGGCAGTAGTTTTGAAAGCTGTTCCTCGGGCGATGAGGCCACATTCCGAAGCTCCCCCAAACGTTCCTCCCCAGATCGGGATTTTCTTGGCCCAGAGCAGGCTACAAGCTCAGGCAAAGCTACCTTGAACCCATGCGAGATACTCGGATTTGCCACTTCGAATGCCTCTAGCGTCAATGGCCAGCTGACGGAGGATAACAAAATCGCATTATCGGAGTCATTTCTTGGGGGTCTTTTGCACCGATATCCTCGGGGCAAGATTTTCAATTTTGGCGAAGATGGAACCGTCTCATCTGATGACACCGGTGACGGCGTAATCAAACGATTTTTGCGACGCCCCGGGGCAAGAAGTACAAAAAAACCCAGAAATCTCTTGTGCGCCAGGATGCTCAGACCTTGCTTCAACTTGCCCCGAGTCTCGAAGCATCATCTTCTCGCCTTTATGGGATTCACACAAGGGTAGATGGTATTCGGGGGCTCTGACGTGGACGAAAGCGCCCCACCGTGTCTTCACATCGAATGATGAGTTAGCATTCCTCGTGACATTCGGAACGAGTATTATGGCAGAAGTGCACCGACTCGGTTCTCATTTTGCCGATCGAGCAAAATCAGACTTGCTCTCAGGTCTCAGTCATGAACTTCGATCCCCTCTGCATGGCATTTTTGGTACAGCAGAGCTTTTCAGTGACACCGTTATGGACGCGCTGCAACGAGGATTTATTCATACGATTTCTTCTTGTGCATACACACTACTGGGCTCGATCAATCAACTCCTCGAGTATGCTAGTATCAATGATGTTCGACCGAACCCTGTTGCCAACCCTCCGGGTGGCGGTGTTTATAAAATTTCTGTCGACCGGAAAGTGGCCGCAGCCCACCGATCTTCGCATTCTTCACATTCTGGAGAAAATGGTGTCAATACTTGTGTCGAACTTGATGCTACCTTGGAAGACGCGGTTGAAACTGTTTTTGCGGGCTATTCCTTCTTCAGCAGTTCAGGGTCTCCTCTTCGGGGTATCGCTGGCGCTTCTACATTGGCTGGCAAACAGCCAGATACACGGGGTGGGGTTAAGGTGGTTTTGGATATTGACCGCACCCACAGTTGGAAGTTTTCAACGCAGGCTGGGGCTTGGCATGTCATCCTCACGAATATCTTTGGGAATGCCTTGAAATTCACTCAAAGAGGTTATATCTACGTCTCTATGAAGGCCTCTCCAGCGAAATTCGGAAAAAGTGGCGACATCACAAGCTCAGCAGTCACCGTGACTGTGAAGGACACTGGATCTGGGATTGACCCAGATTTTCTGAAGAACGGACTATTCACTGCTTTCTCACAGGAAGATTGCATGACAACCGGCAATGGTCTTGGGTTAAGTATCACACGACGGATACTCTTATCGCTTGGCGGTGATATCCAGGTCAACTCCGAGAAGAATGTTGGCACTGAAGTCGTGGCAACTGTGACCCTTGATCATGCGTCTGCTCTGGACAACCTCGATAAGTTGAATAGTCACTCTCCCATCACTATGGCGCAAAGGCTTGCGCGCGGAAAGACTATTGGGATCTTAGGCCCCGGAACTTCTGAATCAGACACAGCTTTATCCATATCGTTACAAAAGCTGTGTCAAGACTGGTTCTCCATGGAAGTCCGTCTAATTGAGTCCTCACAAACACATTTCGCCCACTGTGACTTATACATATCTTCTCATGAATATCTGGATATAGGGAATCATGAGGCCAGGGCTATTACGCCCAGACCAGGCGTTAGACTTTCTTCGCCCGTCGTCATAATATGCCCATCTGCGAGCACCGCGCACTCGATGTCTGTTGGAGCTCAAAATCGCGGGGATGCACCTGTGCTCGAGTTCATCAGCCAACCATGCGGACCGCGCAAATTGGCAAAAACATTAGAAGCGTGTATCAACCGTCAGCAGCTGCGGGTTGACTCCCTCCCGGGCGAAGGAGATGTACCGGACGGTTCAGGGAGCTTCCCAGCCCAGGTCAGCACCAATGAGCCTCGAATGGACTCGTTTCTTAGCCCGTCGTCAAATGGAGAGGTCAGCGAAGACTCCACAACAAAAGCGGCAACAGATCCAGAAACATACAGCCAAGGCTCAGTGGGAATGCGCGAGTCGTTGAGACTCTCTCGGGGGGATATTGACGACCAGCCTTCTCCATCTGAAGAAGCCGCCACCACGAGCCACGACACACCCATGGAAAAGGAAAATGACCGTGAATCAGACCTTCCAACGACGGTTCTTCTTGTGGATGACAATGATATCAATCTCAGAATTCTTATTGCTTTTATGAAGAAGTTGAACTGTGATTATTTTATTGCGCAAAACGGAGAAGAAGCCCTCGAGGTGTTCAAGGCCAATTCCTCTGTCATTGGAATGATTTTCATGGGTCGGTATTTGAAACATTAACCTGAATTTCCTCTGACAATCTAATACTCTTGACAGATATCTCCATGCCAATCATGGACGGCCTAGAAGCTACTAGACGAATCCGCGAGTTTGAGAAAACACTGGAAACCAAACCCCCCGTCAGAATTGCTGCCTTGACTGGCGTTGCGCAAGCCGATATGCAACGCGACGCGATTGGGTCTGGTATGGATTTATTCCTCACCAAACCCGTACGGCTGAAGAGTTTAGTGCCGATAATCAGAGGCATATTGCCCCCGACCCATGCACTATGGCAAGAGCAGTAATCAACGATTTAACCTCAATCAACATTGGGGCACACTTTGCGCTCTTGCATGCAAGAGCATCATCCATATACCCCATGTGCACCAACCTCCCTGCCGAAGCTCCCCGGATTTCTTATGTTAATACACGACCACCAACCAGCCTGTTCTATGTTTGTACATATAACAATACACGCAGTAATGTACAATCATCCCGCCCATCACGTTCACTTCTTATTCTGTCTCAAAACAAAATATCCTCCACGGTGGTGCGTTCTTACCGGATGGGGTGATAGTGCTGATCCAAGGATAATACTCTCAGATATCATAGTAGGATGTCGACTTGTTTGTGCAAACCTTGACTCGAGATCGAGAATGACTCTAAGTCTAGATTCCAGACACGTAAGCCGAAGACACTGGGAGCGATGTTCTTTTTCAAGGATAATTATCCGCTGCTCGAAGTTTACGAAAAGACATCAAACACAAACAAGTTCAATTTATACATAATGCCATAGCTCTATAAGTCCAAATGCCAGCTCCCAAACACCAATCCCAATGAAGAGACTATATATTTAACTCACGAACAGATGCAACAGGCAACATCTCATCCTTCTCCTTTGAAGTCCACACCGCATTCTTACCCCATGAACGGGAGAATCTCTCAAGCGCAGCCGTAAGTGCACCCATCTTCGGTTCTATATGTTTCGCCCACTGCTGGACAACATATAGCAAGAACGCAAAAAATATAACGAGAATAACCCCAAGCCGGAATGGGGTCGGCGTTGGAATATAGGACTCCGGGTCGGGCGTTCCATCTGCTCTTAAGGCCGGCTCGAAGCCAATTGCCATGGGCAGATACAGAAGATATACCAAAACAGATCGCATTAGCGGTCCGTGGACGAGATACAGCGGGAAGCTGATCGACCCGAACCACAGAAGCACGGGGTGGGAGAGCATCCGTCGCATGGAGGGAGAAAGCATCACGCCGAGACATATCATCTGCGCCCCGAGACTGGCGTAGTAGCGGCTGACGTTGGCATCCTTTGGGAAAATGATTTCGGCAAGGCATGCGAGCTGGGAAGACCATGCGGTTTGGTCGGCGTATTGATCGGGGTACGAGCAGATGTAGAGGCCAAGTGTGACGAGGCCGTATGGTAGGATTTTGAAGATCAGGCGCGGCCGGAGCGCTGTCAGGTTGTAGAATGATAGTTCCGCTAGTATCATGCCAGCGAAAATATTTGTTCCAACAGTACCTGTGAGAAATTATCAGGGGTGTATTATGTATTGTGAGATTATCCGAAACATACCATCTAGGGTTGCCCAGCTGTAGGTGTATAGGACCATTTGCGCACAGAAGCGGAAAAGTGGCGTGGTATTTACCAAAGCCAGCAATGTCATGAATACATATAGTGAGCCACGGAAAAGGGGTAGTAGTGCCCATTGAGGTTGGTCGTAGGCATTTTCCCCGTACAGCCAAGTTCCCGCTATCTGTCGAATTAGATCTATGACGGCAGCGCCCAAAGATGGGCTTCGTTGCGGACTTGTCGATCTCAGCCAGTATGCGTCTACCCTTCTACCCAACTGGAAGACACCGAACTGACACAAAAGCCAAGCTAAAGTTGTCATCAGAGCAGCGGGGAAGACCAGTCTCCACTTGCGCCGGAAGGCGCCTGTTGAGAGCGCAGCAAGAGCATCGGCCGTAGCTCCTCGTCTGGCTAGCTGGAGCGGCTTTAGGGCATTCACGAACCCGAGTAACACCAGGAAGATGGCTACCCAGGCCTGGCCCTGTATGACGAGTCTAAAAAATGGACGCTGAAACAAAATAGACTTTCCAGTTTCCGCGAAGGACGGCGGGATCAGATATGTCGCAAACGAGAGACAGGTATGGCTAGCGACCACAAAAAGCGCGGCAATTCCTCGGAGACCCTAAAAGAACACGCTAGTGAGTGACGGTTTCACAACATGCGGGGGATTAGAAAACAATACTTACATCTGCCCAGCTAGTGGGACGGATGTAAGATACAGATTGCTTGGTCGCCGGGTCGACAATGGCCATATTGGGATCATTGCTGGTGGTACTGGTCAATAGTATAATGCAGCAGCTGCAGCTCCCCCTAGCACATATACATAAATCCCGTTGGTAAATCATGCCTTATTCCGGGGAGATATTTCGAGCAATAAACTCTCGAAATGAATACGAAAACATCAATATGAGCTCGAATTGAAATAAGTTGACAGTTGACATTTATCCGAAAACGGAAGGGTTCGGGCTTACCACATTTCACGGCCATGTGTAGACCTCTCGGGATGCATTGGGAGTTGAGAGGGGAAGCTCAAATATTAATTGACATATTTAATTGGTCTAGGATTCAGGGGCTATGCAGTGAGGTGGAAGAATAGTCAATCGCTTATGTTGTACTCCGTCTGCGGTTCTCATGGATGTCCTTTTTGGTAGGCTTGTTGAAGCCTTCTATATTCCCTGCTAGAGATTATTTTCCTTAGATATTGGCATTATATCTACCTAGGTAGCCTCTGTAGGAATAAAATAATTAACCACAAAATATAGAAAAACGTATGATGTGCATATATAATATGTGTAATATGTGACTATAAAAGTCCAGAGTTCCTGATCGACACTCGAATTTTTGATCTATCCATTTTTTTTAATACAAAGGCCACAATGCGAATGTTATAGACAATAATTAAATACAAATAGAGTAGAATATCCAACGGACAATCCACTTCATATGAATAACTAAGTACTTTCTACTTTGTAGTTGAACCCCTTTGTCCATGTTACGTCACCTGACACTAACCTGATCAGGGCTTTGTTGATTTTGCTTCAACTGCGCCTGTTTCACTTTTCCTTTTTCCACTGTCCTCTGGCAGGCTGTCTCCCAATTTGGTCTCTCAGCTATTGTCTCTCGTTTCTCCAAATTCGGCATTCATTTCTCTAGCCCCTCGGCACTCTCTTTTGTTGTGATCCCTTTCTTCCGGCCCGGATCTTTATGGTTATCAATCGATAGCTCTCCTTCAGCGATAACAAATGTCCAGCGTGAACTCGGTGCGAAATCGTGGCCATGGTCACAGAAAACGTGAATCCTCGATATCCGCCTCCCTCGGCTGATTTCGACCTTCCTGGCCGGCACAGGGGCCCTTACCCACCCCGATTGGCATCTTTAGTCGATCCACGCGCGCGAACCGCAAATTCCGACCCGAGATCCTCACCTCACTCTCCCCACTCTGCACCTCGCCAGCGATCGCGTTCGCCTCTGCCGCGGCATCACAATCCTCATCAATATCCGTGGCCGCCTACTCCGCCACACCATGGCCCCTCGCATGGTACGAGGAGCGAATGGAAAACTCCTAGACCTACCGGTCGCCCTCGACTCTACGCCACACCACCTGAAACCCATCCTCCGAACTGGCATGCGCGAGATGACTTCGAACGGCCGCATCGAAAAGCTGTTCCTGCGCGAGGCGGGCTCCGGATATCTATGTCAACATCTAGGTTGAATAATAGACGGCCAAGGACGCAGGAATCCATCGAGCGCCGCCCACAGGATTTGAGCCCCCAGGGACACCCCATGTCACACTTCCCAACAAACGGACCCGATGAAAATCCTCCCCGACCAAGCGTCAATTCGTCCGAAACCTGGCGCTCAAGCATTGAACAACAAAGCGGAACAGAGCGCAGCAGTGTCCTAACCAAGAGCAGCTCGATCACCGATCTTTCACCAGATACCCCCGACGCGCCTTATGGGATGGATAATGGGATGAGTGTCGAAGACGCGATTTCCATGTATCTTGATGGCTTCAGCGACGTGACTGAAGAGCCTGGATCGCCGAAATCCCATGCAGGGAGTAAAGCGCCATCAGTGACACCCCCGCCATCACGCGATTCACACCTACATGAAGTACACCCACTAGAATTTCCGTCGCTGGGCGACGTTCCGCCGATACCCTCGATGCCAGAATTTCCCACGCCGCAAGATAAAAGGCTAGACTCGTTGTTTTTGCCAAACTCGACTTATTCCGAACCCACACCCATACCGCCCATACTCCCAGAATCCCCGCCAGAATCCACACCGTTGGAACCTGGACAGCCAGAAGATCCACCGGAACCAGACCCATCAGACCCTGCTATTCCAGACTCTCCGCGCGATCCCACTCCCTCCGCATCGCCGGTAGCTGAGGTGTCTGAAGTGAATCCTGTACACCAACGACAGCCCTCGAGGAAAGTGTTTATTCCGGGGTTGGTGCCGCCAGAACTCCGCTCTGGAAACGGAGCTCGAGACGATTACGGATTTCGCAAAGCTACGCAATATGTAAGCCTGGATGAATACGAGGCATGGAAAGGGTCCTACTCCAACCATGTGAAGCAGCGGAGAGCCAAATGGTGTGAATTGCTCAAGGAGCACGGGCTACCCACGTCAAAACCCACAACATTCCCGCCGCAGTCTTCGAAGGTCAAACGATTTGTTCGCAAAGGAATTCCTCCCGAGTTCCGAGGTGCAGCTTGGTTCTATTATGCCGGCGGGTACGAGCTTTTGAACCGGAACATTGGCCAGTATGATGAACTTGTTGCGAAGGCCATGAGCTCACCGAGTAACGACGACAAGGAGCACATCGAGCGTGATCTCCACCGCACATTTCCTGACAACCTCCATTTCAAACCGGAGGTCAGCCAGCAAGCAGAACCTTCTGGTAGCAGCAATCCGAACTATTCTAATGTCACGACTGAGACGCAGATGATCCAATCTCTACGCCGGGTTCTGTATGCTTATGCCCTGCATAACCCGAAAATCGGATATACCCAGTCTCTGAATTTCATCACGGGAATGCTCCTTCTTTTCCTCCCCGAGGAAAAGGCATTCTGGATGCTGCATATCATTGCCGCAGACTACTTGCCTGGAACCCATGAAATCAGTCTGGAAGGTGCCAACATTGACCTCTGGATTCTCATGGTCCTGCTCAGGGACTCCATGCCGGGTATCTATTCCAAGATCGCTTCCATGGGAGGAACACCGTCCGGACGGGGCAAAATGCCTCCTTTGACAGTGAACTCTCGCCTGCCGGACATAACCCTGGGACTGACTAACTGGCTTATGTCGGTCTTTATCGGGAGTTTACCTCTAGAAACCACTCTCCGAGTTTGGGATGTTTTCTTCTATGAGGGCTCCAAGACTTTCTTCCGAGTGTCTTTGGCAATCTTCAAAGCGTGCGAGAAGGACATACTCGGCGTGACAGACCCCATGGAGGCATTCCAGATCGTCCAAACCATCCCTAAAAAACTGCTGGATGCCAACACGTTGATGGATGAATGTTTCGTGCGTCGAAACCGCGTCGGACAAGGTCGTATTGAGGAACTTCGAGCTCAACGCCGGACGGCTGTCCGCGAAGAGAAGCTGCGACGATCAGTAGCCTTCGGTAAAGGTCAACTCCATTCTGGGACGGATGACTTCACCGGCCGAAGCCGCACACCAATACCGGGCCTCGAGCACCGGGTCGTCGGTTCCTGGCGTCACTTGAAACAGCATGCATTTCGATAAGCGAATGATCATCCCGGAGTTCATGTCTGTTGGGCGTCGTTCTCAGACAGGGGGCCCTTTGGGTTATCTCCTTAATGCCCGTAATCGTAATTGTGAAGTCGATGTGGTTTAGCGAGGGCAGTTGTCTGCATTATAGGCGTCTTGGCTTCGAAGGGCGAAATGGGGGGGGAATCGAGCATTTATGGCATTTATTTTCTTGCATTTGTACATATAACCTTGGAAATTACAAACGCATCTAAGTTCTGTGCCAAGCAGGCAACAGACTTGGCAATTCTCGAATTTCAAGTCATCCTGGGCAGTTTCGGCAGTATCCCTATAGGGCTGTAATACCAGGATACCAGGAGATAACTTGAATATTACAAGACAAAAGCTGGCAAACTATGATTCGTCGTTTAAGCCCCTTGTTTGGCTTTGCAAATTTCCTACATATTTCTGATGGAGAGGTTGACTTGATTTGGACATGTCCTCTTTCAGTATAAATTGAGAGTTGATAAGGTTGTAGGACTGAGATATAAGGGATAAAGAATCGGTATATTCAGGATACAACAGGTAATTAAGGAACTCGGAGAGTTATGTTCCTAAATAGACAACAATCAGAGATCCTATCTACAAATTTGATATCATATAAAATATGGTACCGAATTCTCTCCCCACCCGCTCTTACCAATTTCCGGTCCAAGCTGCATTTTGGGTTTCCATTGTACATATGCATTCCACATGGTATACATATGTCCTCTTGCTTGGAATCTGAATGAAATCAGTTCGTCACACCATATATAAAGAGGGGATCGAATCCTTCCAACTTAGTACTATGAGAAGAATTGCGCTAAACCAGTTGGAAGATAGAAAAACATGTCTGAAACTTACTAGCGCCTTTCTTAGTGCCTTGAGTGGATCCTTAGGTTCGATCGGCGATCCCAGGTAGGGCTGCTCCAAGGGCTCATTTGAGTTCCCGATCGAAGATTTCCGGCTGTTTTGGTTCCATGTCGTCACCAGTCTAAAAACCCTTGCTTCCCCTTTTTTGTCTTTTTCCTTTTTGGTATTTTCCCCTTCTCTCAGCTTCACAGACATGAGTGGACAGGCTGCCAGCTATTATAACGAGGGCCTCCCTCAGGGCCAGCCCCAGCCCAACTATGGGAACTATCAACAGCCAAATGCTCCGCCTGCGCCATACCCACAGCCAAATTACCCGCAGCCGAATTACCAGCAGCCTACCTATCAGCAACCTCCACCTGAGCCCAAACCAGCGCCGCAGTACTATCAAAATGTCCCAGAGTCCGGATATAGCTTTGACCAGGCGTTCAAGATCGAGAAGCCCAAGTGGAATGATCTGTGGGCAGGTCTCTTGGTAAGTTTGGCCGTGTCGCACTCACAACTCCCTTCAAAACTGACTTGTTACACAGTTGATCGCTGTCTTCCTCGGCTATGTCGCCGTGTCAGGACTTACCATCCACAAGTATGCCACCGACAAAGGCTTCAATGGAGGAGGAATCTACGACTCGGCCAATGATTTCTCCCTGGACACCAACACCCTCGTTCTATTCGTCTTCGTCCTCGTCGTCGCCCTAGTCTTATCTTTCCTCTATTTCATGGGTGCAAGACACTTCACCAAGACCTTCATCTGGGCGACCGGCATTCTCAACATCGTTTTCGCCCTCGCAACGGGAATCTACTACATCGCGCGCAAGCAATACGGAGGTGGCATTGTGTTCCTCCTCTTCGGCGTCTTCGCAATCATCTGTTTCATCAGCTGGATCCCGCGTATCCCCTTCACTGCCTTTATGCTCCAGACCGCCATGGACGTAGCCCGCGGCTACGGACACATCTTCCTAGTCAGCGCGATAGGCGGAATCGTCACAGTCGCTTTCGCTGCTTGGTTCTCCGTCACTATGGTCTCGATCTACGTAGCCTACGAGCCCGATTCCAGCGGCATCAACCCATCGTGCGCGAATGGCGGCTGCAGCAGAGCCAAGGTCATCGGCCTTGTCGTCTACGCGACCTTCGCCATGTACTGGGTCAGTGAGTGGATCAAGAACACCGTGCACACCACCGTCGCGGGTGTCTACGGCTCCTGGTACTTCTTCAGCAAGTCCGCCGGCGGCATGCCCAAGGGCTCAACCCGTGGTGCCTTCCGTCGCGCGACTACATACTCCTTCGGCAGTATCAGTTTCGGCAGTCTGATCATCGCGTTCATCAACATGTTGCGGCAGGCGTGCTCGATCGCGCAGCGACATGAGGCTGCGGAGGGTAACTTGGTCAGCAGTATCTTCATTTGGATTTTGGGATGTTTCATCTCGCTGCTGGACTGGCTCGTTACCCTTTTCAACCGCTACGCGTTCTGTCACATCGCGTTGTACGGAAAGGCTTATATCCCTGCTGCGAAGGATACCTGGGCTATGATGCGTGATCGCGGAATTGATGCGCTCGTGCAAGACTGCCTGATGGGTCCGGTGTTGACTATGGGCTCGACTTTTGTCGCCTATGTCTGTGCGCTGTTGTCCTATCTCTATCTGCAGTTCACCAACCCCGCGTACAACCGGGATGGTAACTTCACTGCCGTCATCATGGCTTTCGCTTTCTTGATTGGTTTGCAGATCTGCCAGATATTCATGACTCCTATTGGTAGTGGCGTCGAGACTATCTTCGTGGCTATGGCCTGGGATCCCCAGGTCATGATCAATGACCACCCGGATATCTACTACAAGCTGGTGCAGCTTTACCCTAAGGTTCAGCAGGCGGTCCATGCTTAGGTTCCCTGGACGCAACGCAAGGGTCTTGAAGTTCGACCGCAATGGTTCAATCTCTGTCCACAGGCGGAATCTTTATCCGTGTTTTTATCGCTGTTACGAATGATCAACACAAATTGGTGCACGTTAATTAATTGAAGATACTTCACGACCAATATCATTGCAACCATGTTTCATGTATCATTATCACTCAATCAAAACTATCTGAAATTCCAATCTCCAAGAGAATATTCCAATATAAACTACTGAACCCAATACCGAAGTGAACCTAGAATCACCCTCCCAAACCAAACCCTCAAACAGATACTCAGTCAAACTTACAAAGCAACCATAACAGCCATAACAGCCGCAACCCCAAGCCCGGCAACACCCCCATGCACCTCAGCACCCGCCACGGCAGCCCCCTGGAAAGGCGAGAAACGCGTCGGATCAACGCCAGAAGGCACAGCCGAAGAAGTCGGCCCAGAAATTTTTGAACCAAACGACGACGAAGCCGCACCACCCATCAAACCATGTCCACGACCAGGCGTCGAAGATGCCATAGAAGCCATACTACTCGACGCCGGGATATCGACGGGAATCTGCGAGATATGCAGGGGTCTCTCGGGGACAGGCGTGTTCTTGCAGCTGCAGTCTGTGCGTGTCTCGGTTACGTAGACGACGTGCGGAGCAGCCTCCGCGCGCTTGTTGGCTGGTTGCATGGGTCTGCTTGCGTGTCTGGCTGGTTCGGGTTCGTCGGTGTCGGAGTCGGTGTCGGAATCGCAGAGGGTGGATGCTAGGGTGCTTAGGTCGAGGCCGGTGCAGGCGGGGTCGGATGAGGTTGTTAGGGTTTCCAGGGCGGATTTGTTGGCACAGAAGCATTCTTGGGAGGTCTTGTCTTTGCAGCTTGTGAAGGCTGATGTGTCGATGTTGCCGATTGCGGCGCTCTGGAGGTTGTTAGCGTTTGTTTTGGTGGTTTAAGGGTTGGGTTGGGGTTCTTACGGCGCATTTGAGGTAGTCCTCGGTTGATTGGGCTAGGGCGCCTACGGCGAGGAGTGAGGTGATGAAGTAGCGCATTCTTGATTTGTTGTGTTGTTCTTGGAGAAGAGGTGTTTGTTGGCTTGGAGTGGTACGAGAGCGATGTCTAGTATATAATAGAACAAGCTATGGACAGACGGCCGGCCGGGTCGAGAAATACTCTGTGCTTTTATGTACAATTGGATTCTCTTGTCAGAGTAAACATTTGCTTTGACATCACATCCCTTCATCCCTGCTGAGGGGTGAATGGAGTTTGTGACGTCCAGGAATCTGACGGTGGATAGTTCCCGATATAGTGACGGTGCTTGTCTTAAGAGATAAGCTTCAAGTGGTATTTTGATTGGACTCCTACGAGACCACAAACGCTTGATCCTCTGCTACTTGTATTGGAATGATAGAAGAATGTGCCAGATGCCACGTCCCTGTGGCGTTCCTGGTGTATCCCTAGGTCCCTTATACTCGGAGGAATGTTGGATTGAAAGATCAAGGGAGGGCCTCATTTTTCCGTTTCATCAATCTTCAACGTCTAAAAGAAGGGGATTTACCGGTCAATTGTGGCCAAATCAAGAGAGTTACGGCTACATCGACATTTGCATGTGATGTCCAACCTTAGAGGTGTCGAAAGTACAGCCATTTCGAAGAATTCAATGACCTAGCTACATAAATATGTAAGGTTTCTATTCCTTTCTTTTAGTGTTTTTACGAATGCTACCTTACTTTTACATCTCCAGTGTGCGTAATTTGTACAGATGCAACATACAACGAACATAATAATCAATAGGCACTCAAGGGGAATAATGTGATCGTCAAGAGCATCATGTACGCTATGAATCCTCTGGAGGATCGTCAGGAGCATCCTCAGGAGCATCATGTACGCTAGGAATCCTCTAGAGGATTTCGAGATCTAAACACCTTTAAAGTAATGTACGGCCTGTATACGATCAAAATATACAGACGAATATCCACACAATCTCAAAAACAGAATCTGCACCCGTATTGTGAATTTGGAGCTGCCATAAAAACTTTCGCTCCATCTACCTAGGTCGGTATCCTCCCCTAGAATCCTCCCCCGGAATCATGTTGAACCATCTTATGCTTCCTGGCCCAAAGTATGTAGTTGATCATAATCGCTAGCCAACATGTCCTTTATCACTCCATGTCTGAACTCGTACCTGGGGCATGGGTGAGTCACTTGTGGGGGGGACGGAGAGCGACGAGGACGAGGACGACGAGCGAAGAGGTTCAAGCGATAGGGACCTGTATGGAGGGCTGGATCAGTCGATATTGAGTTCTCCGGGCCGGATATGATGCGATGGGGGTGCTAAATTGACCACTTGTGGACCGGATATTGTAATACTGGACTGTGAGGATAGGCATGCAAATTGATTGTTTCAAATGACAAAGATCGGATAGGGCATGTAGACAGGTAATGTGTACGGCTCGCCCATACATCGAACATTCGTATAAAAATTCCGACTCCCGAGGCGCTTAAACTCCACAAAATCTAGGTCGATTCTTAGGTTGTCGAGTGCGCACCACTGAGCTGCTGTTAAGATGGCCTCGTGACAGTCTGTTTCTCCGAGTACCACAGAATTGGGGCTCCTGCAAAGGACATAAGGCTCCCTCTGCTGATTTTGGAATCACCCTTAAACTCGTGTCCAGGCACAGAACCAACTCTTCCCGCCCTTCTTTCGATATGCGAGCTCTTTAATAATTGCGCATCAACTGTACCAAGCTTGCCATCAATCGTTGACCCACTCAACCATACGCCGGGAGTCTTCCCCATGGTCTTCTGGAAAATCGCCGCTCGCAGAAGATAGCGGTAGGCAGTTGGTCCGTTCGACTGGTAATTGGGCGGGTCCCCAAGTTGTATTTTATATAACGGGTGCCATGTCCTACGCCAGAACAGAACGGGTTGTTGACGGTATCTGGGACAGCGTCCTCGTCGGAAGAACGTTCGAAGTTTGGCCATGGCACCAATCTGCCGACGAAATCCACCTTGTGTATTGCACCGCTGGTGGTATGGTTCTGGCCTATTCTGAGTGGTGGAAGAGATTCAAGTAGCAGATCTCGGGATGGTAGATGGATGATGTGCATGTTGCAGAATAGCGAACCACCAAGCTAGACTGTCCAACATGCGGCCTCCAATCTGTTGGTCTATATAGGATCAGCGACAGTGCGAAAAACGGCGGCACAATCCATTCGCCGTTCCTTTGCAAATGAGAATTCAAGGATTGCCTGGTGTCTGGGAATCCGAAAGTATGGAAAATACTCAAATTCTCTGGCGACTTACAGAGACAGATCAAGGCTGTACTGTGTCAACGAGCGCTCCGAAGAGGAATTTGTTTGAAGATTCGGAGGAAGGCGGCATCGTCGTAGTCTTCGGCACCTACTTGTAGAGACATCTATCGGCGGTGTACAAGGGGCGCGCATGCCAGCGTCGAAATCCCCTTGGGTAACCAGACTTTTGATGCTCATTCAGGCAGGATGTCATGCTCAAGGCCCATAGATTATACGACAGCACAGCTCGGATACCGAGTAAGAGTTGACCCAAGAGACATAACTTCCCGCTGTCACGGGGGCGCTTTTCAGTGTAGGTACCACCATGGTCCACACATAGTGATATAATGGAGCGCTGTTGGTCCTTAACTTTGAGGGTTTTTGGGGACAACGCTGTGGGTGGATATAGAATGGCCCTATGTTGGGCTTCTCCAGATTTAAGGCTGTGGGGATGTATAAGTATAAAGAGTATAAGGATATGCCCGTAGTGTTTATATCGTATATTCCATAATTATTGAAGAAGAGAAAAGGAAGAGAAAGTGGGTGGCAGAGTGCGATATATAAGTCTTTCTGGGAGGCCTCCATGCTTGTTCTTTGTTAATATGATTTCTAGCATCTCCATTGGCTCGTTTTATTTGCTGTTCTTCTAGTAAAGACAACATGGAGGAAGGCAGAGGCTGAATAGTAGATAGTAAAACAAAGTCCACATTCAAAGAATCAGGTCCAAACCCGCATTACCGTGGCGGTCCTAAAGAAACTGCCTTAAATACCTCTAACGGGGTTTACAAAGGCATGAATTACAGGTTCCACCGAACTTATAAAAGACCAAAAATGTCGTCAAAGAGAAATGATATAGGTATCGAGCATCATTACCTCGAACTATCAAATTGGGTATAACAGTAGAACTAAAGACCTAATCCAAACAACAAACCCAATCGCCTCCGAGCCCTTCAATAGAAAAGAAGAAATACAAAACTGACCAAAGACATAGAGAATATGAAGACCCAAGTCCAGCTCAGAACTTCTCACTGGTCACACACCGCGTTGAATTGACCAATACCCAAGCCAATATCTTCACAATTACCGTCAACCCCTTCACAATCATATCCAAGCCAAAGAACAGTATACGCAAGATAGTGCGAGTAATTCCAGGCAACTTCTTCCCCTCTCGCGACGAACTCTTCCCATATCGACCATACTTCTCCAAATCAAACTCCTCAACCACAATCTGCTTGTTCTTATTCTTCTTCGTGCTCCGACTACTTTCCTGCGGTCTGGGAGATGACTTGTTCCAGAATTTGAATCCACTTTTCTTTCCCGAGGCCTCTTTGGACTTCTTCTGCGCAGATTTAATCTGTGATGCCAGGTTCATGCTCTCTGCTGCGTCTTCGCGCTCAGCAACCGTCGTAATCAGTTTACCCTGGACGACGGGCAGTGAATAGGGTCCGAGAGTGTGGGAGGTCGGTGGTCTAGACGACTTCGGGGATCCGAGAACCATGTCTGCAAGGATGGGGTTCGTGGCTTCGTCTGAGACCGCGACTGCTAACATCGCAGCGACGAGAGAGTCGATGGCGTATAGAGAGGGGATAGTAGCGATTACAGCAGCCGGGGAAATCGACAATGTTTTCGTGGCGAAATCCAAGGATGCGAGTGGCTCGTCAAGGTCTGTGACGGGGAGTACGGATGTGCGTGCATTAGCAGCTTGCTGAGAGGCTTCCACGGCCGTTGAAGAGACGGGGCCAGTTACGATGATGGTCGGGGGTTGGCGAGGAGAGGCGTCGCTTGACGGTGCGGAGACGGTGATGTGCACCATCCCCGAAGACTGGGATCGCACGGGTGAGAGCGGGATTCCGGTGGCGCCAACAAGAGCGGCCGGGTTCTGTCTTGAGAGATAGGGGTGTCGTAGCTCGTATAGTCGTCGATGGCGGTTCCAGGAGAGGCGACAGGACTCTTGTGCTGCGGCTCGTTTGAGTGCATCGGTTTCTACTTCCGTTGTTTCGGCGCGAGTTAGATGGTGTTGTTTGCTGATCTCGTCGGCTTGGTCTATGGCTAACATGGCTGCTAGTCGAGAGAAGAGGAGGGTGACGAGTCCGTCGTTTGGATGCTCGCGGCGGATGCGGTCTTCGAGGCTCATCATCATGATTGGTACGTCGTGGTTTGGTCTGGAAGGATCACATCTGCTTAGGGATAGTTCGTTGGTTGAATATGTTTGTAGTGTGTAGAATGGGTTCTGGGAGTTTCCAAGGGTAAATGTAGCGGGTCCTGTTCTGGGAAATGTTAGTATTTATGTATATGTGGGAGGCATCAAGTCTTACTTTGTCATGCGTAGGTTCAATGTTCCAACAACATCTCGCATTCCCTGGCCATTGGCTGCTTCCCATAGCATCTTTAGTTCCTCCATAGATGAGTAGGTAACCTCCTCGGACTCCAAAGCCTCAGATGGGAAGTTGAGCACACTCGCAGGTACAGTCTTCGGCCCGAGAACATTGTCAATCTCAGTATTCGTCGTCAGGGTAAGCTTGGGAGGTTTCCGAGAAGACTTGACGGGCCGTGGGACATCTGGAAGCTGTGGATGATACACTTGCTGATTGAAAGGCAGTTTCGGATCAAACTGGGGAAACATTGACCTCATCGGGACTGAGGCAGCAGACGACTGCGATGACTGCGGAGAGACAGTAGACGCCGTAGTATGATGGCTGCTACTGCTGCTGCTCTGACTAGCATGTGAAGGCAATGCCTCATGGTTCATTTTCTTGGCTTGGCGATTCTGACTGTGCATGGACTGAGGAGATTTCGAATCGTTGGATGCCCCCGCCACAGGCGGGGATTTGGACCTTGAAGCATCACCCGGTGGGGGGAAATACTCTGGGTGTCTTCGATAATCTGCAGCAGCAAGGATTCAGTCTTGCCAGGATCCTTGATCTCCTCAAGAGGGATGGAAGAGGCTGGCTCAGATGTGGCTACTGGTTTTTTCCCTTTGCGAAATGGATTGTTCGATCTCTTTACCTCAGGCGATGGAGGTGGAAATAATTGAAATTGATTCATCTTGTCACTCATCAAAGCTATAAACAACAGAGCGCGAAAGCAGGGGGTCTCGACTGAGATATACCCCCATTCTCACCGAATATGTGCATAGGCCCGACCAAGCAGAGGACATGGTTTGTCGAGATGTGTGACAACCCTGCTGATACGGTGGGCGCTTAACCCATTGGGGGTGTGATTGGCCCCCATCCTGGGATGGGCACGTTCATATGCAGTAGCGGCGCTTCGATGCGGACTGGTGATTGGTGTTTGGACTATGAGGAATCTATATTTATCACAATCCGGAGATTATATTGGTTGGTTATTTTTGCAAGAAGTCGGGGAGTAAGCTCGTTTGGCCATAACCCTGTTGACCCTGGTCTCTGCATATTCGATCTGTCGGCTCCGAATATTCTTAAATGGATATTCTTAAATGGTTAAATTCAAAAGAATCACAATCAATAGGTTGCATGGTATATAATTAAACTCTTTGAAAGCGCCTAACCGAGGTTGCTATACAACATACAGCATCGAATGTCGTATATGCCACCCGGTCGCCTAAAAAAGCGTTGGTGATGATCCCTCGGGGAATATTTCAGATTTGGAAAAAGGACAATCATGAAACGGATGCTAATAGTGTTGAATAAGATATGGAATGCAATTCTATTTTAAAATCTTCTCTATTTCCCGAACAAATGGGTAATTTACATGGTAGAGCCCTCCAACTCCTCCAAGCGGTGCATATCCATATCCTTCTCCAACAGAGGAATGACGTAAGGGTCGAAAGTCTTCCAGTAGGGGTTGTTGAGGTGGTATTCCTGCGACGATTCCTGGGCGTAACGCTCGACGATGGTGAAGTCCTGCTTGTCGAAAACAGACTGCATCACGAACCAAGAGAGGGTTTCCTTATCGTTCGAGTAAACATTGGAGGCTTCAACAAGCTTGGCCTTGAGCTTGGAGATGGACTCTTCGTCCGGCTTGGCGCGGAGGTCTGCTGTTGTTAGTATGGGAAGTAGCAATGGTAGGGATATTCACATACGAACGACGATTGTGTAAACCATGATGGATGTTTAAGGTGGGGGGAATATGTAGGGGGATTGAGGGGTAATGGATTGAGACAGTTAAATATTCAATACTTAAATACTTTATGACATATTTAGTCCATCGGTGAGAGAATTCATGGTGGATCTATGTAAATCCCCGAGATTTACCCCTAGTGATCCCGGATCTGGTGGGATAAGCTTATTTCCACATTGTCTTGAATGTTACAATCCAGAATATGGCTGTCTATATATTTTAATGGTTTTATTTACATGATAGTGTACAATTACTCGTTCTTCCCTTGGTCTTGACCCAAGGCCTCAGTGTGCACACTGTAGGTCAGACCCTCCGCCATGGAAATCGCACCCTCCATGTTTCCCTTGTTATACAAGAATAACCCTTGGAGAGCAGCTGCGCTGGTGGTAATAGACCGATCAGCCTTGTTGCCCGATTCATCTTCAATCAAGCCAAGCTCCTGAAGCCGATCCAAGAAAAGTTTGCGATAAACCCCGTCCGTATCGAGATCTTGATAGAATCGATCCCATAGGCAGCCGACCTGGTAACGAGTCACTTCGCCCAAACGGACGGTCATATCCACACGCCCCGGGCGCACCAACGCCTCATCGAGTCGTTCAACGTGGTTGGTAGTAAGGAAAATGATGCGTTCCTCCGCACTGGCGACTCCATCAAGTGCATTGAGCAGTCCCGAGAAAGTCACATTAGCCCCGCGGTAACCATCTGCGTCGCTTTGCTCGCGGCGGTTCGAGAACGCGGCATCCACATCTTCCAACAGAACCAGCGTTCGATTGGGAACAATCGTGAGCAGATGATTTAACCGGTCATCGGTCAAGCCACGCTCGCTCAGGTTCAGAATGGCAATGTCGTAATCCAACTCGCCCGCCAGCGCCTGAATAAAAGAACTCTTGCCGGTACCCGGAGGACCATACAAAAGATATCCTCGTCGGTATGGAATTCCACGGTCGTGATACCATGATGAACTTGAAATGAAATCTTCCACATCTGCAACAACCCGTTCCTTGACTCCCTCATGGAGGATAACCGACTCCAATGGACGCTTCCGGCGTGGGTTTCCAAATGGTTTCCACTCGGTACCCCAGCTGTTATAGATTGTCGTCTTGCCTTCATGGCCCTTCGCGGCGTATGCATGGGCTTCGGTGAAGAGGTCCTCGAAAATGTGGCGTTGAGAATAAAGGGTGGTGAGGGTGATTGTCTCCCATGGCTTTCCAGTCTGAATGTCGCGGGACTTCGACTCGCGCATACGATTGACGAAGACAAACGCATTCTTGTACCGTAAAACGTGCTTCCCGGGCCCCGGGATCAGCGAAAAGTGTGTGTGTATTGCTCCGTTCGAATGTTCGACCTTCTGGGTTTGGATGGAGAGGTGGCGCATTCCGGGTGTGATCTTTTGGAGGAATCGGTCCATATAGGTAGAGCTATTCGCTGCAGCTTTGCTTGCATTGAGTTGTGACTGCTGGTAAAGAGTCATCCAGTGTAGAAACCACGGATAAGAGTCATCTTTGATGTTGATCTCGACGTCCACCAGCATCCGCCGGCGGAGAAGAGCAGCGCCATGTCGCACACCTTTCTGTGCAAAAGTCAACCCTGCTCCGAGACCTGCGAGGCCAAATCCCTAGCAAGATAACAATATTAGCACATTGCTGGAGGAGCGAAACACTGCCAGGTCTCATACCGCTGTGAACAAGGGATTATTCGTTAGCTGCGAGAGGAGGCTTCCGTCGCCTTTTTGCGCCGACTCTAGGGCCTGTGTTCTCTGCTGCAGAATCAGGTCGCCCGCTGACGGCGCAGCACTAGGGACCGCATTTGGCTCCATACCAAATCAACACTGTCGTGAAGATCGCAAATACCGAAACGATCGATAAGCGCAGATATCGGAGTTACAACGGGCCGAGAATTTGACGTACCCGCGGTCGTGTCACAGCGAAATCCACGGGCCAATCAACGACATCTGGGTGAACGACTTCTACAACACCTGCCAAGGTTGGAATGTACCACTTTGACCGATGTCGAAGTATTCAAGATGGAGGCGGAGGTATGAGTTTACACTCCGGTGGCGGTGTTCACACGCGTCGGCGGAAGCCTAATGTCGGAGATATCGGAATTAAAAAATAACTTTCTGCTTCTTGCATTCCTCTTCTCAAAAGCCTTCTTGTTCGTGGTCTGAACGAGGGGGGCTCTTCTCTATAAAAGCCTTGACCTCCCATGCGACCCTTTTTCCGGTCCCCGCTTACTCGGCGGACACGGTACGGACGCGCTATTTATCCAACAATCCGCAACATGAGCACCCCACCTACCACCGAAGTGCTATATGCGCTGACCGTGGCGAAATCCCCCCGCTAGACCTAGCCCAGAAGATGTCTTGGAGAAAAGCCATCATGGAAAGAATGGATTCAGAAATCCGTGGGAGTAAGTGACACTGTGACTTGGGTTTTTGATCTTTGGTCGCATAGACTAACCAGGACCGCCGTGTTGTAGGTCTTTCCGCGATATGGATTCGAAAGATATCATGCAAATGATGATGTAGGTATTATTTTCGAACATTGAAGCAGGCAAGTATCTAACGCGTGGAATTACAGCACTCGTCGATTGAAGGGCAAAGCGAACAATCCCGATACCACACCTCCAACCGTCACTGTTCGCAAGCCCGAATTTCTTCCCAGCAGAGATACCCCCAAGCTGCGCGCAACATGGCTTGGACATGCATGCTATTATGTGGAGTTCCCAAGCGGTCTCCGAGTACTGTTTGACCCAGTGTTTGAAGCGCGTTGTGGACCGTGCTGCGGACCATATCATTCAGGTCCCAAGCGCTACACTGAGCCTCCATGTCAGATCAAGGATATCCCTGTCATTGACGCGGTGGTCATCTCCCACAATCACTACGACCATCTGTCCTACCCAACTGTCTCGGAGATCGCGAAACGACACCCCAATTGCCATTTCTTCGCGCCACTAGGTAACAAGTCTTGGTTCCACAGCTCAGGCATTGAAAATGTAACCGAGATGGATTGGTGGGATGAGCGCGATATTGCAATGTCACTGAAGGAGGGAAAAGACCCCCAAGTTGAACCAGTAGGCGAAGCTTCCTCCACGGCAGATATCAAGGCTCGCATCAGTTGTCTGCCTTGTCAGCATGTTACTGCTCGCAGTCCTTTCGACAAATACAAGACACTGTGGGCTTCCTGGGCCATTGAGTCCGGTGGTAGCAAGGTGTATTTCGCTGGGTATGATAACTCCGCAAACCATCCGCGCCATCATAATGTTGCTTTGCTAACCTCCACTCCAGTGATTCCGGCTATCGAGCAGTGGACGAGCTACCAGAAGGGGAGGATGATTGGGACCCCAAGTACAATTTCCCAATATGCCCTGCTTTCGAGCAGGTAGGTGAGTTCCGTGGACCATTTGATCTCGGCTTGATCCCCATTGGAGCATACGCCCCTCGTCATATTTTCAGTGCAGCACATTCCGACCCCCACGATGCTGTTCGCATCTTTAAAGATACCAAGTGCAAGAAGGCATTGGGCATGCACTGGGGCACTTGGGGTACTTACCGAGGAGGATGTGCTTGAACCTCCCAAAAAGCTCAAGGAGGCACTGAAAAAACATGATCTCGTTGAGACTGGTGTTTTTGATGTGTGTGATATTGGGGAGAGCCGGGAGTTCTGAACGAAACCCCGTCTCGTGTACATTACTTCCATGGCCTGTTCTAGGCCCGTGCTTGTGATTTCTTTCTTTTTGTATGTTTTCATATCTGAACATCGCCCTTCACGCATCAGCGAATCTTGTACCCTTGGCTCATATGTTCTGGCTAATTACCGTTTCTATTTTCTCTTGAACTGTAGATAATAGGCTGACAACTTTACCCGAATGTTGGTTATGTGATTTCGTCTCGCGCTTACCCAGGTTCCTATATAACGTTTTGGTTGTTGATGAAAGTTCTTTCGTGAAAGCGAAAGAAATGCCCTCGCAGTCTACATATGTACTGCCAGCACTCTCATAGTCAAGAAAAGGCCACCGGGTACACTCAGGCACATTTCCAAGGGGTTTCCAACGCAAGTGAACACCGTGGGGTCGTTACACCTGGCTATGGAAGGAATTGGCACAAGACCATAATCGGCGAGACCAAAACTTCTGGAAAGCCAAACAGTTTATCTGGCCATAAGAGAGCAAGATGCACAAATTTCAAAGCCAAAGATAACAAACACCGAGCCCGGAGACCGAGGACGCTGCTGAAAAGAACATTACGTAGCTACATCTGCTAATAGACCTTCACAGTGTGCGGCCGAAGAATGACCCATGACTCGAGCTGTGCTGTCAAGCCGTCTCATACGAGCCCATTCATCCTCCATGTTGAACTTTGTCCAAGCCCGTCATCCGATACCTCTCAATCTATTCTAGTAACGAAGTCGTATCGCATGCTGATGTCCGGGTAGCGGTTGCCCTAAGCCAGTTTTGTTTCTGCAATGTGCCTTCTTTCAAGGAACATTTGGATATGGATAGCAAAGCACAATGAAATAGATCATATTGCGACTCAATATATTGAACTGCAACTCTGTATATCTGTAGAGGTCCCGTCAGATGTTGTTAAGATGTAGATAAGTTGGGGATGTTTGCCTGGTTTGTCAGAGCGGAACGCTAACCGTATATGGACTAGTCCGAGGGAGCTCCCACTTCGCCTGGAAATTTGATGGAATGCGGGCGAACAGCGTTGAAGTCGGAACTCTTGGATTGTCATCTTCGTGCAATATTTTTGGATATTGACAAGAGATAAAGACCATTTTATACCCTATTCCCATCCAAACTACAATAAATCACCGCCAATATGCAGGCTCCGGTGGTGGTGATGAGTATGTTACCCCCCCATCGAGTTGCTCCCCTTTAAGTGCTAACAGATCATCCAGACACCAATTCCGGCGAGCGCCAGGTTGGCCGGAAAGCACAGATGTCTAACATTACCGCGGCGAAGACGTACGCTGCCCCTCGATCCTCCACTGTTCTCCCCTGACCGATGCTAATTTAATAAACACCAGTGTTGCGGATATCATTCGGTCATGTCTCGGACCCAAGGCGATGTTGAAGATGCTGCTTGACCCTATGGGTGGTATTGTATTGACCAACGATGGCCACGCTATCCTGCGAGAGATCGAAGTGTCGCACCCCGCGGCCAAGAGCATGATCGAGCTCAGCCGTACTCAGGACGAGGAGGTCGGAGATGGTACCACAACAGTCATCATCCTTGGTATGAGAATATTCTTTTGGAAGACCCGATGGCAAATGCTGATATTCCATAGCCGGTGAAATGCTCGCCCAGGCCATCCCCCAGCTCGAACGCAACATCCACCCCGTTGTTATCATCCAGGCTTTCAAGCGTGCCCTCGCCGATGCCCTTCAGATCGTGGAGGAGGTCTCGACACCCGTTGACATTCACGATGACAAGGCCATGTACAGCCTTATTCAGTCCTCCATCGGAACCAAGTTCGTGTCCCGCTGGTCAGAGCTCATGTGCAGCCTCGCATTGAACGCTGTGCGAACCGTCTCCTTCGATGTTGGTAGTGGAAAGCAGGAAGTCGACATCAAGCGCTACGCCCGTATTGAGAAGGTCCCCGGTGGTCAAATCGAGGACTCTGAGGTGATTGATGGTGTCATGGTCAACAAGGATATCACGCATCCCAAGATGCGTCGCAGAATCGAAAACCCCCGCGTTCTTCTCCTGGATTGCCCCCTGGAGTACAAGAAGGGCGAGTCTCAGACCAACATTGAGATCTCCAAGGAGGATGACTGGAACCGAATTCTCCAGATTGAGGAAGAGCAGGTCAAACACATGTGCGAGGCCATTCTGGCTTTCAAGCCTGACGTTGTTATCACTGAGAAGGGTGTTTCCGGTAAGAAACCGGTCTGATTAGGGTGATTGATTCCATGTTCTAACCACCGAGCTTTAGATCTTGCACAGCACTTCCTGGTGAAGGCCAACATCACAGCCCTCCGCCGTGTGCGAAAGACCGACAACAACCGTATTGCCCGTGCAAGTGGTGCTACCATCGTCAACCGTGTCGATGATATCCAGGAGTCCGATATTGGTACTGGGTGCGGACTGTTCGAGATTGAGAAGATTGGTGATGAGTACTTCACATTCTTGCGCAAGTGCAAGTCCCCGAAGGCCTGCACAATCCTGCTGCGCGGCCCCTCCAAGGATATCCTTAACGAGGTTGAGCGCAACTTGCAGGATGCCATGTCCGTTGCTCGCAACGTTATCTTCCACCCTCGTCTGTCTCCCGGTGGTGGTGCTACTGAGATGGCCGTCTCCGTGAAGCTCAGCCAGCTTGCCCGCTCCGTGGAGGGTGTCCAGCAATGGCCATACAAGGCCGTTGCCGACGCTATGGAGGTCATCCCCCGGACATTGGCCCAGAACGCTGGTGCTAGCCCCATCCGTGTGCTTACCAGTCTCCGTGCCAAGCACGTCGAGGGCCACCATACCTGGGGTCTGGATGGCGAGTCTGGCAACTTGGTTGATATGAAGCAGTACGGTGTTTGGGAACCTGAAGCCGTCAAGCTTCAGAGCATCAAGACTGCGGTCGAGGTAAGCTCCCTACCTTTTTTTTCCACACTACGTTTCACTAACATATCTCTCTAGTCCGCATGTCTCCTTCTCCGTGTCGACGACATCTGCAGCGGAAAGTCCGCTCAACAGATTGCCGGCGGCGGCGGCGGTGGCGGCGAGGAATGATTGATAGAGGAAAAAGAAAAAATGATACTTGGACTCGAGGTCCATACATAATGTTACACGATTTGCCTCACGGCTGTCTTCTGTATGAATATCCTAGATTCAAAAAAACTAAATCCAGATGGGTATCTTCGTATCGTACACAGCCAGCATTTCAACCCGCCTCCACTAGTCTTCTTCATGGAAAATGACACCAGGAACTTCCTGCTGGGCCACCTGGCCATCCACAGCGCCTCCATCCCCGCCTTCCACATTGACCATCGAGCCTGGGGCAGCCGAGATCTCCATAGGAGTAGTATCATTCTGACCACCATTACCCTTCTTCCCACGCGCATTCTTCTTCTTCTCCCTCCTGCGCCGATTCTTCTCCGTCTTCTCATCATCCCTGCGCTTCTTCTCCTCTTGTTCTTTCTGCCAAGCCTCATTATTCTTCTCATTATCCACCTCGGACTGCATCAACCGCAGCCGTTCATACTCCCGCCGCCGACTGGCCTTGTACACGTGGAATTCACCGGAGCCCGCACCGGCCGATGATCCCTGCACATTGGTGACGATCTCCGGCGGCGCCGAGAGGGACGCTACGGTGCGTGGCTTCAGGGTATCCGGTAATTGGATGTCTTTGCTGGGGTCTTTGAAGAGTGTCTGGATCTCGCTGGCGACCTCGGAATGCGGTGTCATGGCGCGGCGTTTTGTCGGCCGCTTGCTGCGTGGATCCGCGCTTGTGGGGATGGATTCTGGGCCTGGTTCGGACATTGTGTGGGTGTTGGGTTGAGGAGAGGTGATGCGACCGCGTGGAATCGGTGGGGTTTGCGCGAGTGGGAGGAATTGGGATCTTCTCCTTTGCACTGGTAGTGAAAGAGGCTTTCCCTTGGACACTAGGTGGCAGACAATGCTGGTGTAGTGGGATTTGATTGCTCGAGTGCAGTGGGAAACCTTGGATGGTGAGTAGAAGGTAGTAACAAGCTCAAGATGTAGATTTGGGCAACCTTCAACCGTCGGAATAGTCTAACCGCCTTCAGTTAGCGGCATAAGCACATGGCAGATCACCCTGTCCAAAGCTGCCCAGGTGTTTCTTCCTGTGTCGTATATTGTTTAGCTTGGGATACTTATTTCTATTCTATTTTGGCTACTAATAATTGCTTATGTCCTAGATACTATAGTGGTGATATCCAACATGGCCACTGCAGGAAATTATATAGGCATAGAATGCGAGTTCTTTACAAGTTGGAACATTGTTATAGCAAGTTCTACCATATCTCGATTCAAAGTGACCTCCTATTGAAAACTAATTGGCATACCAGGACGAATCCTTGACTGTTTCAAAATTGAAGAACATCCAATTTACTTCTAGATGGACTCCATATTCTAACCGTTTTCCTACCGCCGAGTACTCCTGAATGAAGCAATTAACTACATAGCTAGAATGCCAGGCCCTTTTAGGTCTAGTAGCGTAATGCACACATAAACTAAATTAATTAATTAATCATTAAGATACACCTGGGCAGTTATTTAGGAAAAATAAAGAAAATAAAAAATAAAAAGCACAATAGCTAAGTATGCCAGAAGCATTCTGATTGGCCAGAAAACGGATGATATTCAAAAGGGGAATGACACGCAACGCAACAAAAGGGATCATCTTCTTTGTCTCTTTATTGTTCTTTCCCCAAATGAGAATCTTCATGTCTCACTATTTTACTGAGAACAATGAAAGACATATAATCCAATACTCGGAGAAAAGTCAATTGACAGCTTCACACTTTCTTACGTCCGCTTTAAACCCGCGGTAGCATTCTATTCATCCTGCTCTTACAATAACTTCAATTTTGAACTTTCCTATTTTCAGATTGTGATCACATTCAGCAAACGGGTTCTATTTTCTTTGTTCAACTTCTCAACTTCCTTTGTTCACTAGTGACCCGAATATCTGTGCGCTGGTACTACATATGTACTTAAGCTTCACTCCACAACCATCAACCTCACACATACACCTCTTTTTTTTTCTCTACTTGCACATTGACTACCATCAGTCAAAATGCCCTACCGATTCGGTGAGTACCTTCATCTCATGTTGCTATGTCTTCCTACTGCTGTTCTCCTGGTCAATGGATGCATGTCTGTTGCGCCAAATGAGAATACCTGGTTGCACAAAGATATGATGTCGTGCCCTAACTCACAGACATCGTCTGTGTACTCTGGCTTTTCCGACAAAAATAACTCCTCCTCCGGAATTCAAGGAAACGAGAAGCCTTCATGACATCATAGCTAACTTCATGATCAGAGATTGCCGCTCAAGGCCGCGCTGGCTGCAAAGCCACTGATTGTGCCAAAGACAAGGTCAAGATCACCAAGGGTGAATTCCGTGTTGGCACCTGGGTTGATGGACAGGGCTTCCAGGGCTGGTCCTGGCGCCACTGGTGAGTCCAGCTTTGTGAAGACACATGGTGGTCTTAGCATCATTCATGGCTTCTATTCCTGAGTGAAGGATTTCAAATACTGACCTCACCCAGGGGCTGCTTCACCCCCAAGCAAATTGTGAACGTCAAGAAAGACCTGACTGAGGTCTCCGAGGATCCCGATTTCTCTCGCCTTGATGGCTTTGATGAGATGAGCGAGGAGCTCCAGGACAAGATCCGCAAGGCCATCGAAGTAGGCCATGTCGAAGACGAGGAATGGCGAGGCGTAAGTTCATCTTCCTCGATCTACAAGGACTGTGGATCAATCGGCTAATACTTCATAGGATGTTCAATGCAACCGCCCTGGAAAGGTCGGCATGCGTGTCAAGGCTAGCAAGGCCAAGGCCAAGGAGGTTCGTGGATTCCATTTTGTATCCACTTGTCATATGTGATACTAATCTCACTTCCAGACAAAGGATGCTGAGAAGTCCTCGCCTGGCAAGAAGCATGATCTGACCGATTCCGAGAATGCGGCAGAGGAGCCCGCCAAGAAGAAGCAGACCCGTGCCAAGAAAGCTGCCGATGATGATGAGGCCATTGCTGAGGCCACCGTCGTTGAAAACGAGCCCAACATGGGCAAGAAGCGTGGCCGTGGTCGTCCCCGCAAGAACACTTCTGAGGACCAAGTTGCTGCCGCTGATGTCAAGGTCGAGCCCAAGAAGCCTGGCCGTCCTCGCAAGAAGACTTCGGATGAAGACAGCCCCGATGCTCAGACTGAGGTCAAGGTCGCGCCCAAGCGTGCCGTTCGCGGCAAGAAGGTTTCCGAGGACGAGGGTGCAGATGCAGACACTGAAATGACGACCGAGCCCACCGAGCCCAAGACACGTGCTACTCGTGGCAAGAAGATCACCAAGGATGAAGCCGCCTCTGCCGACATTGAGCCCAAGCAGCCCACCAAGCGTGCTACTCGTGACAACAAAGCCACTACTGAGGCTAAGGTTGCTGACAAGGAGTCCAACGAACTTGACCCTGCCGATGAGGACAAGCCTACCAAGAAGGCGTCCATGACTCGTGCAACACGTGCCAAGAAGGATGTCAAGAAAGACGTTTCCCCTGTCGAGAAAGATACCTCATCTGCCGACAATGAGACCGCCGCTACCATCGAGTCAAAGAACACCCGTCCCACTCGTGCCACTCGTGCCAAGAAGGATGCCAACAAGGACGTTCCTCCCGTCGACAAAGACATCTCCTCTGCCGACAACAAGACTGCCAGCGGTGCGATCAAGAAGTCGACCACCCGTGCCAGGGCTGCCAACGGCAAAAAGACTACCAATGGCTCGAAGGCTACCAATGATGCCAAGAACAGCGGATCCGACACTTCCAAGGACGAGCACGCTGCTGAATTGACCGAGAAGCCCAAGCGCACCCGGGGTGCCAACAACAAGACCAACGGCAACAATACTACCTCTGGGAGCAGCCGCAAGGCCTCTGTCGACAAGGCTACGCAGACGCCACCCGAAGAGGATGCCGAGATTCCAGATGCTATCAAGGAGAAGCCCAAGACTCGAGCTCGCAAGCCAGCCGCCGCGAAGATCACCATTGAGTCCGCTAAGACTACCGAGGAGCCTGCCGAGGCCTCCACTGAGCAATCTGTTAAGGACACCATCGTGAAGTCCGAGGATGGCCCCAAGAACGAGAATGCTTCCGCTGAAGCTCAAGATGAGCCCACCGTCGAGACTGCTGAGAAGCCCGTTGAGGGCGCTAGCGAGAAGCCCCTCGAGTCTCCTCTCAAGCCAGTCAAGGCTGAGTACACTGACGATGACTTCTAAGCTCGCTTACCCTTCGTGCTAGTGTCTCACTTGTGTGGACAATCTCGCATTATTGTGAATTACGAAATACCAACCCTTGTCTTCTGTGCTTTGTGCTGCTACTGGTCTTTTCCATCTGTTCTTTTGTGCTTCATTTCGGTCTGTGCTAATAACACCGATGGATGCCAGCGAGATATCAGCTTTGCGTTTGTTTTTCAATTCTTCCAATTGTTTTCATTTTTTTTTCCTCCGGGCGTGAGATTCGGTTTCCCTTTAGCGATGGCTGGTTTGCACAGGTGCACCAGTTTATTTGTATGCTATGCATTTCCGGGTCGTTCTCACCATCCATTAGCCTGCGAGTTGACATAACAATCCAATTGTTTTCAAAAAAATAACTTTCAGTTATACGGCTTGCGTTAAGGAGCTTTCTACAGTCAGGGTCTTTGGGTAGGTGTGTCTTCGAGATGAGCAGCACCATGATATGGACACTGAATGTCACACTACATAGTATCCTCAATGTGGGTCAAGAGCCAAGATACTCTTGTCAGTATGGCTTGCAAGAATCAAACTTGATGTGGTCCTCGAAGCTACAAAATACGATTAAAGGGCTGTCACTGCAAGTGTCGGGGACGAGCGAAATCTGTTGAATAGGAATACCTCCCTCGATAAAAGCTAGCTATGAGCTTGCACGGCCTCTCCATTGAACGAAAGCAAAAAAAGACCCATAGAAGTCCTTATATTGTGCATGATGAAATGACGGGAATATCGTAATGAGCAAATGCAAATGAAAGACGCGAAAAAAAAAACACGCAGAGCGATTAAGAATGCAAACGATCCGAGATCGAAACCTGTAGAAAACGAAAAAGAAACAAGTCAAAGTGAGGAATCCCATGCACTCAATAGGCAGCTGGGGAAATCATGGGACACAGAGTTCTTTGCACTGCTCCCGCTGGATCAGAGTGGACATCAAATGTTTCCCAGACCACGGCTCTCAAGTAGCGCACGGGTATTACCATACAACTCGGGGTTATGGACATGAGCCACGGTGCGAAGATTGAGAACTTTCTCTTGCAGCTTTGGGTGTTCTCGCAACAACGACCAGAACTGCTCGCTAGCATTATACGTGAGCAGGTCCGAGGCCTCAGCAATGAAATGAATGAGCCATGACTGGAGGTAATCACAGCCCGCCTCATCGAACTCTGTTCGGCCAGTGAAAGCAAGCGAAGCAACCGCGAGGAGGGGTTTGGACTGGTATAGTTCTGGGTAACAGTTCCAGGCGACTTGGAGCTTGAAGGTAATTCGGTAGACCAAATCCATCAGGCCGAAACGGCGGGCTTGGAGGTATACTCTTCCCAGGACGATGATGGCATTTTCCAGATCGAGGCTGTTGCTCACGCCGTTCAGTTTGAAGTTCTGACCAATTCCCATTTGATCGCCAACCAGGCGGTAGGTAGTACTGCTGTCGGAATCGAGGGCTGGGAATGGAGTGGGATGCGAGAAGCCTGAGTTTTTAAGTGTAATTAGGCGAGGGGGGAATTCTCCATCTGCTAGGTATTCACGGATCTGTAGGTGCTCCGGCTGTTTTTCGAGAGCTAGGGCGCCTAGGAACACATCGGTGATCTTGGCAGTTTGAGGCTGGTTCAGGAAGACATGTTTCAGAGCTTGGCTGAGAGTCAAATCGAAGATTGAGAACTCTTGGATGGGTTGCTGAGTTGGCACATCTGCAATTCTACCACTAGCACCAGCACTGTAGATTTAGGATATATTTGTCAGTGGATCCGCAGTGAGAATTTACATCAGAACTTCACGAACCTAGTATCATCTTCAACCTTAGGCACCATGTTTAGCGTCATGGTAGTTTGTGGCGCATTGGTTGTCGATGACGTTGGGAGAGAAGAAGAAGTGGGAGGCACCAGAGGGGGACACGGATGGAATTGCTGGGTCTTTTTGAAGCTAGAGCTCTCTCTGTCAGCAAAAGGAATGCTTTCGGATGCAGAGCTGACGGGTTTAACATCTTGCAAAGACCCCAATGTTTGTCTGAACTGAGCGCTCTGAGGAGCACGTGGGTCAGAAAATGACCTGATGGTTGTCAGCTCATTAGATGAGGGTGCAGCGTCAGTATCAGGCTCCACGTGATTTGATAGGTCCTTTTTGTCTTCTTCTTCATTGTCATCTCCATCTCCATCTTCCTCCTCGGACTCAGATTCTGCATCGCTTTCTGCACAGGAGACCATGTCCTCATGGCCACTTGGCAGGACCAGACGAAGTTCCTTGCCTCGTTTCCCCTTGGCTCCTAGTTCCTGGAGAGACATGTTCTTCCAAAATTCGAGGCCAGGCTCAGTCCGAATGATTTCCATCAGATCGTCCCAGATCTTGGCATCAGGCTCTCTCTGAGCGCGACGAAGAACGTTGATGGTCTTTTCATTGAGAATAAAGAGATCCTGGAGTCCGACCCATTTGCTGCATGCACGTTAGATTCCAGTTCTTATAGATCAGCAGTGACAAAAATAATCAGAAAAACTGAAATATTGATCAACAGAAATGCGGAAAAGCCAACGGACACACATATACATAAACAAACAAGCAACTTCAGGTGTCTTTTTTGGGTATGAAAAAAGAAACCAAACTTACTACATGTTTCGACCCGGAAGATACACCGAGTACATCCGGTCTTTCAGGTGCGTCATCCAGGCACCCTCAACTGGCTGGGCACCAACAGGGCGACGGTTTATGTGCCGGCTTGGTCCGAATTTCTCTGGCAGTACCACGCCAATCCAGACGTCGGATTTGTATTGCCGGAGGGAATTCTTGTACCGGACAACGAAGGTTTCACCAGGCTCCAGGAGACGGGGCTTGCCTAGGTGTCTCAAGCCAGTGGTCAAATAGGTTCTGGGGGCCATCTTGGTCGATTGGCCGTGCATTGGAGTATTTGAGATGTCACTGCTCTTTTGAGAAGATGATTGTTGGTCTTGGTCACCGGGAGTTGGAAGTGATTGATAATGTGAGTAGTAGAAGGCTTCCGGAAATTGCTTGGCTTTTGAAAGAAAAAGCGAAGTGAGGTTGCTGCTGATCTCGTGCTCAGTACAATTGTAGCAGGCGATCAATCCGAAAGATGATATTGGGTTACCGGGTTGGAACTGAGGATATAATGATAGGAAGCCACAACGTGCAGATTTCAGCTGTTGTGCGGGTTGGAGATAATTGCAAGTAAAACCAGGGTAAGGTCAATGACCTTTCAAGAAAAAGGGAATGAGCTTCTGAATGAAGATAGAATGGTTGGCAAGTCTTGCGGATATAGTTCCTCTGGTGTGCACCTGGATCAGAAGCAATGAGGCCTAGATAAATCACGTAATAATGCCTTCGCTAGCACATGCAGAGGATATATGGTCCAGGGGAAGGGAAGAAGAGATCGAGGTAACGCCGAGCCCCGAGTCTTTATAATGTGTTGGTGTAAGCGACAGGTGAAGAGCTTCGTGTCGCGGCAAACAGACGTGTTCCTTGTTTGCAATCGAAGTAGTAATTGATAAAGGTTGTTCGTAGTGATAAACCACAAGGTCCTCTTCGCTGTGATTGTACTTAGTTTAAAGAAGCCGTTCTGTTATGACGAAGACGTCCTCAAATGGTGGATATTGCCCATGTGGCCTTGATATCCGGAGCCTCACCTGAGCAACTCGACTACAGTTTAGTTGACGAGCTGTGACTGGCCTCCGGGGACCTAAGATGTATCTATGGACTTTCAATTTGTATGCGTGAGAATAACGACCTTGCTTGTAATTCTAACGTGCTACAGAAGAACTTTTATTGCATACGAATAAATCTGTCTCAGCTCCCCCAGTATTGAACAACCTTCGACGCAAGCTATCCACAATAACAATCCCTCGATGTGATATGCTCACTTGGCTTCAGAAGGGATTCTGGGCACGAATTTTGTATGGCTATCGGACACCAAGAAAGATTGCACCAAATGTCCAAAAAGCGACCAAGGTGGAAAACGAAAATATCGAAGTACGTAGAATTTCATTGATGCCATTAACTCACTTCCATGGGAAGCAAAGGGCTTGGTGAATTGCTAGTGGACAGTCTCACGGTCAAAACCAAGAAAACTATCCAAGATTTGGTGTGGAGGTAAATTCTTACAACAATCCGAAGACTGAAAATTGTTGAAGGACTGGACTCAATATTACTATGTACGTCACGGGTATATTGCTACGGTTCCTTTGTTTGAGGTGGCCGAATTTCTTCATTTCTGTTTCTCATCACTATATGGGGCGCGTTGCCCAAGAGCAAATTAAGCGATGAACGAAGCATCGCCTGAGTAGCGGCAAAAGCACAACCACTGTCGCAAACAAGAGCAGCAGACTAAGCGCAGATAATTAAAGACTGTGAAAAAAAGCTCAATCTCAAGGAGTGTAGAGTGGTTGAACGCAAGTCAAGATACGCCGTGGATCCAATCAAAAGCGAATAAGGTCGGTTCTTCAAACCAAAAGGGCGGCCAACCTCGGTAGAAGCGAAGGTCAAGTTGCTGTCAAAGCAATAACGCAGACCAATGCGAGGTCGTTAATGTGCCATTCTGGTGCAAAAGATGCATGCCTCGCTTGTTCAATTTCAAAATCCAAGTCGCTCGATCCAGTACATAGGAAATGTTGCAGCCGCTTAGAAAAACCTCGGCGATCGCTTGGTGCTGGTAGACACGAGTGTAAGCACTCAGGGCTCGGCATCCAAAAATACAGTCAGCAGTAAAGAGGGTTACGCAAAGATCTAGGGCGAGGGAGAGGGAGAAGGAGAAGGGGGAATTGAATCGTACCGCAGCTCCGAGAGGTCGTCCATGTGGTTGCACATTGCCACAAACAGGTCGAAGAACAACTTGCCTCCTTCCTCCATCTCCATCTGCAAGGTTCCGCTGCTCTTAAAAGTCTTACGACTGCGGATGATAAGAGCAAGGTAATGAGCGCGCAGGCGGGAATCAGTCTCGGGTGTATTGTCATATGCATATCGAGCAGATCGCAAGATCACGTCGGCTGGAATACCACTCTGAAGACCCTGCTTTCGGAGAGCAAGGCGCTTGAGCTCTTCCAGGCCGTACTTCTCAGCAGCACAGTACACTGCCGTGTCTCGGAGAATAAGATCTCCCACCCCGAGGTGAAACATTGTCGGCTCGCTCGATCCACGGCCACCAGTTTGATTGATATCCTGGGCGTTCTCTAGTGACCAAGAGTTCCTTTGCTTTCCACGCAACAGGCGCGGGTAGTAGTCACCCTTGTACAAAAACTCGAGAACACACGACAGAATCTCAGGTTCTCTATCTCAAATATAAGCTTGTATTCAAATGAAATAGGCAGGGCTTTCTCACTCGTCAGGCAAAGTCAGTTGCTTTGCACCGTCCCTCAGAAACTGCTCCTTCAGAGCAGCACTAAAAAACGACGACGCGGATAGGACATCTTCATGGGCGGCGAAGAGACGCTGATCCCGGCCAACAATCATAGTAATGATAGGGCTGGTAAGGGGACTATAGGGATACATCATCAGCACATGAAATCCATGTCTATATTTGTCGAGGGCGCAAGAGTCGGGATTCATATAAAAAAAAAGACACACCTTCCCATCGAGGGACTTTCCACTTTCTGCTTCATCTTCTCCTTAACCAGCTCGTCGTACTTCTTCTTGGCGACCTTGACGGTCTTACCCGCCCGGTCCTTGGATACGAAAGAGCGCTTGAACATAACGGCGCAAAGGAACCCTATTGCCGAAATATGCCCATAGAAGGTGGTCAAAGGTGGGATAAACCTGTAATTATCAGAAGGAATGATACGAGTTGGTCGAAAGAAAGACGGATTGACGCTGCTGGTCATGCACACGAAGCATGTGAGTCTTGGAAGCTCCCCGCAGAAATGGTCCCCCCGAGTCTTAGTTAAAAGACGAGGAATACGCAGTTCTGGGATGACTTTGCATTCGAGAATCTGAAATGACTCTCTAAGCGAACAGTTATCGACTCCGGCAGGCGTGGAAGGAAAGAAAAAAGAAGAAAGGAAAACGGGAAGAGGGGGTTTAAATGCGGGGGTCAGGTGATATCAAATGTGACTAGAGACAAAGTCACCTGTTAAGTGAGGCTCAGGCTCAGGTGAAATTCCGTGTGGCTGGTTCTTTGGGAAACATCGAGGGCTGTGCATGTTGGCGCTAAATTGTCACATCACACTAGTCACAGTGCATGGGCTAAGTTCCGAACCAATGAGAATGTACATGGAACCTTGCCAAAACCGACTTGTCTACCTTTTAACAGGCCATGATGGAGTGTAATTCACGTCAAATTGTATTATATATATATGCATAGCCCAATCGTATTGGATGATGAACCATCCAGTGTACACTAATAAGTGTAAACTAACTATTAGAACAATAGATGGTCTATTCCCGTCGCCGGCGAGGGAGTAATCATCTGAGATTGCTTTTCCCCAAAATAAGCGGTCTGTGTCGAAGATTACTCTGTTATATCCAATTCTGGTGCTCAAAGCCCGCCACAACCAGCAGTAAGCATCGTAATACCAAAGCTTGAGAAGTGACCGATAGTCACAGCGTACATGCCATTGCCGGCAGAGCAGGCCCTGTCTCGCTGCCCTTCACACTTCACGCAGCTGGACTCCGAGCCGGAGCTGTAGTATTCCTGTTCATGGTCACGGTAGGTAAGCGATTGAACATTGAAATGAAAGGGGCTCTATAGGCTAACTCACGGTTCCATAGTGCTTAAAGTTGACAAGGCCACTCGAGTACATGTTCTGTTTGTATGGTTAGCCTTTTTAATATAGCATCTGTAGTCCAACCATGGCTTACTGGAACACCGTCAAGAACGTTATTTCCACGGTTGAAAGTACCGGGCTGCGAGCCAGCAAAGTTGGCCCACGCCTCATTGCCGATAGGGAAAGCAGCAAGAGCATTGCTGGTGAGTTCCTTGTCCGGGAAGTTCTGGGCCAGTGCAACGTGGGCAATGGATGTGAGGGCACCACCTAGAGAATGTCCAATTGCCTCTAAAGTGTAATCCGGGTATTTCGCGATGAGCGATTTGACTTCGGCGATGACGGTGTCGTGTATAGCGGACCAAGGCCTGCTAATACCCCTCATGATCTGCACGTCGGATGGGAAAGTCACGCCGGAGAGCGAAGGAGTCACGAGATGAATGTCAATGTCATTCAAGAGATCGACAACTATATTAATTAGCACGATGAGGTAGCAAAATAACGAATCGATTTCCCCATACTAGATGTTGAGCCCCTCATGATGACTGAGATCTTCTTCTTCTCGGTGGAGTATCCGATGAATCCCTATTGGAATTAGTTATTTGCTAGCGTATAGAGAAAATGCCACGCCTACATCGGTACCGGTCAGGATGTCATCAATCCTCTTAGTAATAGTGACATCGAAAGCTGTTCCTTTGCAACCGCTGTAGGCAGCGGAAGAAAGCTGTGCTGCACGGTGCAAATCAGGGAAAGCAGAAGCGGCTTGAGATAACGTTAGAGCTGTGTATCCGAATAAAGATGGGCTCATTAATTGACGCACCAGCAGTTGCCCTCGACTCCAAAATAGGTGCAGACAGGGCCTGAGAGATCAAGGAGATCCCTACAAGCAAAGATTGGCAGTTGAACAACATGTTGGAACAGTATATGAGGATTTTATAGAACGCTTTGCAGATATTCAGAAAGGCTGCTGGATCGTTGTCTTCGAATGGAAAAAAGGAAGGCTGTCTTGGTTGAACTGGGTCTTTAAATAATCCTTCATATACCCCTCAAAAGTTTTCTTTATCTTCATTGTCACTATATTCGCACACTATATTCCGCGGAGGAGAAGGAATCCCGCGCCAGGTGGGTTACATCGGGGCTCATATCCCAAACCGGTACACCATGCATGGTGAATGCACAAATGATCATTCCGCCGAATATTTGTGGATTCCACGAGTTTTCCAGGCTGGTGGTAGCAGCCCTAGTGAGTTGGAGTACTACCCGTAAGCCTCAAAGACTCATTTGGTCTTTACACGATATGGGACTAGGGTGTTGAGACATAATATGAGTCCCCAAGACTCGTCAACTAATCAGAATTACCAATATCCTGGCGTGGAGCACTATAACAATGTTTATGTCTCAAAGCACAGAAACGGGAGCCTAGTACTCCATACGGCACGGAGTAAATAAGTAAATTTTGACCGCCTGGCTCACCGCTGGCCTGTCATTACCCACTCTGTACGAAACCTTAAAGATCTACATGTAATCTTCTCACCACGTTTCCGAGATAATTGCTCTATCTCCGTGTAATAAATTAAATTTAATAAATAGGTTGTCACATAGATTAAATGAAAATTTATAGCATAGAATATTCAAAGTATAGATAATTCAACCATTAAGAATTCAAGAAATAGAGAATAAGAATAGCCACTTCTACGGCCTTTTCAAGTCTTTTAGTAGACTCTTTTAACGATATATAGGATATTGACTGTAGTACGATGCGTCTGACATCGAAGCTATGGAAACAGACAGAATAATCTGACTGGTGAGATCTGAGACACGGGTAAATCAGGGGGATTTGGGTTGTGCCGGTGAACGGTTATTGCTTACAGTGTTCTATGATGGTTTACATACACAGGCCAGTCGAAGGGTATGCGGCCCTTATTGACCCTGGGCTATTTGTTAGACCAACCCATTGGGTCGGGTTCGAGGTCGGGGTGCGGTGGAGCATACGTTCTGGGTGAACTCTGAGTTAATTTCTCAAGGACAATATCTCGAGATACTGTTTGCGCTGGTTCCCATGCCGTAGTGCATATGTATGCCTCGGGTTCTTTTTAGTAGTCTTTAGTAGACTTCATTGTGTGTTAGATCTTCAAACATTAGAGGGCCGTCAATTCCAGAATACTAGAAAGAGGGGAGCAGGAAGAAAATAGAGGAATAAACTCAAGAAGATGACAGTACGGAGTATAGGTATATCGCGGGACCCACTTCGTCACGCTATATAATACGAGTACGACATCACTGGGCGAATGAACAAAGTCAATACAGAACGATGCTGCAGCATGTGATAGCATGTGATCGTGTTGGTCTCCTTGCACAATTCTCTAGATGTGCTTTATTGATATACTCCCACTTCTTATCGATGTTATAGCTAGAATGAGAAGCATTTGCCTCAAAAGATAGAATACAGGCAGCGAGAAAAGTGTGAAACGTGTTCTCCATAAACTGACTTTCCTTATAATAACTATGTGACCCCCGTTGCACTGCCCTCTCACCCCACCTATCCGTGGGCGAGTAGACGATGGAAGTACAGAAAGCTAAGCAATAGGAAATTCAGACTTCGAGAGCTTGGCCATCCTTAAGAATTCACCTATCGAGAATTAGATTCAGCGAGTGGGATATGGGTGTATTCATATGACCAGTGTTACCAACTGTATTGCGGGCAGAATCTGAACTGGGAGACTGTCTTACTCGCCCGCCGCCCTAGTGTGGAGCAAAATATGAGATTGAGCAACCAAACTTGGGCTTGGCAAGCCTAGCGCCAGAAACGGGCTTGGGTCATTGGCAAACCATCCTAATGCGGCTAGACTAAATAATATTTGCGGGGGAAACGTGGAAGTGCTCATGTGTTTAATTAAACAGCCTCGGGATTTAAAGTTCGGAATATATTAAGGCTTGAACTCTCATAAGACTCTGATCAACGCGAATTTTGATGAAGATCGTCACTATATTCCACCGGAAGGATCACGGTGGGATGATGTATAATCCGAGTATCCCGAGCAGAATCGGGCTCTTCAACGTTCTTTCCCGTGAATGTTTTTGTCGTGTTTGCCCCACAAAGATTATTTCTTCCAAGGCTGTAAAGCGCCATTGGACTTGCAAGATCCGCCGAGTCAACAAGCGCTTACCTGATACTAGGATTACCTAGGTACATATCTGGGTAATGCCAATGAATATACTGCAGGAATTGCTTCCATGTCATGAACTTGGCACAGCCTCCGGCGATTCCGACCATGCATAGACGGGCCACTGCCTCCATTCGGGAAGCTTTATTCCCGGCGGAGCGTGGCCCGGAGTTTGAAAACATCCGTTGAACAGAAGCAATCGGCAGCTTAGGGTTCGGCAGTGGGAGACTGAGGTGCTTGGCTTTGCGGGGGTTTTAAGACAGATTAGAACATGTCAAATAAGCTAAAATATGCAGCTTTTCAGGCAGAAGCAGAGTTTCTATTGGATTTTTGATCCCGATAGTCACGCGTTGGTTCGATTGTGGTATACATTCCGGCCCATTGGACTACTGCCAGCTCATGAGCTGCGATTGGCAGAGATGGGATGGATATATCTGCATCCCCTCTCTTCCTAACCAAGAAGGACATGGAGATGGGTGATTGCCTGAAAAGATAACACAAGCCATGCCACCGTTAGTGTTCCGTGAATATTCGGAGAGCCATAAATATGAATGACATCGACAAATCTTCAACCCTTTGGAATATCAACCCCTGCGTTACTAGCTGGGATGGATACATGCCTTTCTGCATATTATGTGTGCAGGTGCAAGCTTGTGCTTTGGTACCTGTGGGATCACTCCCCGGAGTGAACGTACGCACCGGTACCGCGGCCAGCCTTGTAACTCCAAAAGCCGAATATCAATTACGCGTCAATAGCTCCATTCATTCCGACATACGCTCAAGAGCTAAGATATTTGTAGCCAATAATCAAGTTTGATCAGGTCCCTATGTAGTAATTCCCCGTGAATGAGAGAAATAATGCGTAATACTTTTGCTAGTGGGGTTGAACACATGCTGGCTGCAGAAATGCCGCTCTTCAGGCACTCATGTACCCCGACGCATCACATGGTAGGCACCTACATATGTAGGTACATGCAGGGTCCGTGTGGGGCACCTGAGGAACGCATGGAAAATGGTGATCTAACAGCATGGATACCCCGCCTTTTTGCAACTAGTCTCCAAAAGTGAGACAGATTCCACAACTGCTGAGGTAAGATTTGGAGGTAAACGGCTATACGGAGAGGCTTACATTATAGTGTGCAAGCCTACATACTTTTTAGGTAGACGAGCCAAGAATGATTGTCGGGCGACCGACGGAGTTGGCTGATCCTGCCGTAAATGTCCACGTGTAGATCGCACAGATGTCAAAAGCAGGAACCTCGACGGCTTGGCTCAGCCTTGGAACCTTGGAACGGTGCGGCCCCAAGTCTAGTCCTATTTAGGGAAGGTGGCGGTTTGGCCCGTTTGGTCGAAAGAGGTATAGATCCTCCTTTATCTGGGCTTACGATAAAACAAAAAATCTCCAGTAAAGCTTACAACGCCGGAGACACACTTCATATTGTACCCTTTTTGCTGCAGACAGGGACTTTAATCCCGCAGTTTCATCCTGTCGGAGAGCTTTCAACTTCATGCTAATTTTTTTTTTTTGAAGAGCTATTCTTCGCCCTCACTTCTGTTGATGGGTGGTCCCACAGACTACCATTTATGATGAGATAATGGGTTATCATACCCGAGGAGCGCTTTGAGCGATTCTAAAGAGGCAGTAAGTTTCACTTGGACAGAACAGATCGATCGATTATCGTCCAAGTTCGATCCCGACCCAATCAAGCTTGTTATAAGCAAACTCCCTAGGAATGGAGGGAAAGTCAGTAATTAGAAGGAACAGATGGTTTCAAAAAAAGGAAGAAAGGAAAGGAAAAAAAAAAGATTAACGAAAGAATCCTTAGCATATAATTGACAGCATATTCCGACGCCTCATTTGATTTGTGCCTACATGTAGGTATGGTTGAACACCAGCATGGTCACCGTTGACGCATAGATCTCGACTGACTTCAAGCCTGAGGGTCCGAGAATGGTACGAATTAAACGCAAAGAACAGCGAGACCTCCTGTCTTATTGGAAACTTTCCTTTTGACATTATGACTTTTGATTAATGTCCAACTCCTGTGATTGCTCGATTACCTTGTCGACGTTTTTACTCTCTTTCCGCAATCATTTCTAGCGACATCGTGTCTTTGGTCAACAAAGACACCGATATTCGAGATGATTAGAAATCCTCATGAAAGGGACCAACGGGATAACGCCCGAAGCGTCAACAGAGTGGACAGGATCCTTGCAAAAATAAACCGCCCCAATATAGGGGCGGCTATCGGAGGGTTCTCATTAGTGCGTATGGCAAGTGAATCCACTATTTCCCCCTCGTACCCACTGAAATTACTAACTTACCAATTCAAAACCGCCGCTCACTTAAAAGACGTCTAAATCGGGATTGCGTCTGCAGGACCTGGGCATGAGACTTACCGTAGCCCGAGATATCTGTAACATGAACACGTCGACCACCCTAGCTTTAAAGCGATACCCAGCGCTTATCTATGTTGTTAGATATATCTATTGATGTCGTAGTATAGAAACTCAACAGCTGAATACATATTTTTCTTGCATTCAGCTTACCTTTCATATAGTTCCCTGGCTCAACTCGCATTGCCGGGAGAACGCGCCCGGTTCCAGTCCACCGAAAGCCTCAATGAGCAACCAATCATGTTCAAATTGCAGTCTCGGCCTGTCACCCGACAAGAAATTGGTCGGCTGGATCTGGGATAACCCCGGTCGTGGTACAATAAGTTTGATAACAACATGCCTGGCCACAATATTTCTGTGCACCTGGGTCGTGATTCATCCCCGAGTCTACAAGCGCGAATCTTACGCAAACCTCCATAAGGTCGCCCTTTTCTTCAAGACAGTATTTGCACCGGAGTTTATTGCAGTGGAAGGACTACAGGAATGGGCGCAGTGCCGCAGGATGCAAAGGGAATGTGCCGATTCCACAGCAGGCCAATTCAAGCTTGTACATGCCTTCTACATCAGCATGCTCGCATTGAGGTACCGAACACCGAATGGCGATCGTGTCATTTGGCCGAATCAATATACCTGGTTACTAAAGCAAGAACTTATTCGGTGGGAAGACCATCCAAATTGGGGCCTATCTCTCGATGACATCTGCGACAAGAGCAAATCAGATAATGCTGCAAAACTACTCGCTTTGATCCAAGTAACCTGGTTCTCAGCACAATGCATACTGCGTATCTCTTATCATCTGCCACTCTCGCAGTTGGAGTCGATGACCCTGGGCTATATCCCGTTTTTTATCGTGACATACTTCTTCTGGTGGAACAAGCCGAAAGATATTGGATCACCATCTCTTGTTGCACTTCCGGAAATGAGCATGGAGCAATTACACTTTTTCGAATCGATGGCTGTGAGTAATAAGTTCGACAACGAAGGGATGAAAGAGCAAACATCATACTGGAATATATGGTATCTTACCCCACGGGTGTTTGAGAAGATAGAAGAGGACAGACTCATACATGAGGCTCGAACCAAAGCTCTGAAGAGCCCAAATCGAAAGTCCAATTATCGAACAACCATGCGAAGTCTCAATCAACGAAAACGAGACCCGAGATATCGAAAAACAATATAAGTTCCGCAAGGATATCGTCGTATCCCATTGGGATCCCGACTTATATAGGTCAAAGATCTGGCCTTTGGCGTGTCTGCTCGGAATTTCCTTTGGCGCCCTTCATCTCGTATCTTGGAATACCATGTTCCCATCCATCGTTGAGTTGTGGCTCTGGCGTGTATCCGCATTTGTTTCAATTGTGTCAATGCTTATATTCATGCACTTTGAGAAGGTTGTCCTTCGGTGGGATGGCATCTTGACACTTTTCAGTCTCTCGTCCCCCGTGTTTTATCTTCTTAGTCGCATTGCGATGATAGGAGAGGTATTTGCAGTTCTAAGGGCAGCAGACCCGGCTATTTACGACACCTATGAGTACTCCGTCTACTGGTTGCCTTTTTTCTGAGAACCTCTGGATTACATGCGATCTCGATGACTACATGGACCGCATTGTTCTGATAGTTTAGGAAGACAGCCATACTTTGTACTGTGCTTCGGCCGGCGATATAGAATCAACACTGGGTTTTCTTTTTCGGGATTTTTCCTTTCCTTTCTTTAGAATTTGATTTGCAGCGGAGACACGTCATCTTAAGGAGAGATGTGCTCCGTAGGCGCTGAGTCCTCAGGCAGGGGGGTGTGGCAGGGTATGCGCATACCCCTGATATCCAATCAACTCACTACAATAGCCGCTACGTGAGGATCCACATGGCTGATTTCATTCCAGGGCGATGAGGCCGAACAGACAAGGCAAGCAGAATTAGGCATCTAGAAGCCATTGAATAGTACTCATCTTTATAGACACAGGAAGAAGGATATTATTTCGTAGATTGCAGATGACCTTCCGGCAAAAAGCGACATTTAGCGGGGGAAGTATGTAAACACCAGACAGGTTAGCCTGCCCCACTCTGTTAGTGTGCTGCACCAGGTCGACCGTCAGCGTTCAAGATTCTCCTCTTATTTCCTTTGTTTCTGTGCGATATTCTCGTTTCATTGTTTTAATCCATCATGACAGCTAGTGAGGTAGCTGGTTCTTTCTTTAAGTATGCGTCAATACCAGTCGCTGTTGGGGTTGGGTTATACGCGATCCTTCTAGGGTTACTCACCACGTCAACCTTCCAATCCCATGTGGTTTATCTGCACGCCATTCAGATGACATGGTTCAAAGACCTCAATGTCCCCGAAACCTTTGGATTCCTGAGGAACCAGGTCACTCCGTTCTCCATCAGAACGACGGACGGTGAACAGCTGTACGCTTGGCATATTCTTCCCGTGGAATTATATCGCAAGCATCAGATATCTCTCATTGAAGAGCCCGTGGGCTTTGTATCCGATATAAAATCTCGATTGGGATTTCAGTTACTACGGGAGGACCCTGAGGCTCGTTTGATTCTTCACATGCACGGCGCTGGGGGAACCGTTGCCTCAGGTTACCGGGTCCCAAATTATCGCGCGCTGTCAGCGGGTAATCCTGGAAAAATCCACGTTCTTACATTTGATTACCGAGGGTTTGGAAAGAGTACTGGGTCACCATCTGAAACCGGGCTTATCATTGATGCCCTCGCCGTGGTGGATTGGGCAATGAATGTTGCAGGCATTCCTCCGTCTCGAATTTTGATATTTGGTCAATCGATGGGCACAGCTGTGAGCATCGCTGTGTCCAAACATCTTGCTGTACAGAATCCACCAATCGTATTCGCTGGCACCGTGCTGGTTGCGCCATTTGTGGATGTCGCGACATTAGTCTCAACTTATCGAGTCGCGGGCACCATACCAATCTTGTCGCCAGTTGCAAGGTTCCCTCCTCTCTTCAAATATCTTCAGCGATTTATTCGAGACAAATGGCTGAGCAAAGATTGTATCGCGCAATATATCCGGGCTAACGAGCTGAACGGGGAGGAATACCGGATAACGATTATCCACGCTGAGGATGACTTTGACATTCCATGGCACCATTCTCAACTTGTGTTTTGGCATGCGGTTAATGCATCAATGCCAGCTGGGATCAGTTATGACGACCTTGAGCAAAAGAAGCTCGACTCGAAAGCAGATCTGGGGGCTGCCGGGTCAATGATGGAATGGAGAACAGATAACGGGGTTATTCGCGAAGAGATCTTGAAAACCGGATTGCACGATGTGATCATGGGGTACCCAGTAGTCACAATGGCGGTGATGCGATTTTTTGAGGCGGCAGACCCATCATTCACGTCCTGAGTTTAAGTGTCGGAATCTGTATGCTGTCATACAGACATCGATTTTCTCTTTTTTTCAAAAGAAAAAAAGAAAAGGAAAAAAAAGAAAAAGTGGGCATGATGTACAGGATAAATAGCGTTTATATGCTTTTATTTACTCTAGAATGGAAAACAGATTTGCACAAGCGAATGAATACTAGTCACCTAGGTAACAACATCCCTCTCAGTAAACGAGATATACACCCGTGGGCAAAATGAAGTACTTGAGTAACTTAGATCTACAGGTAAAATAGAAAGTGTTAACCAATGAATGAAGATGGAGCTCTACGGAGCTTTCTGTTATAATTCAAAAGCTGTTCGGGATATTAGAAGCCAAGTCCATAGATGGGACATGTGTGGCGGTGCTGTGGCGGTGCTACCGAACCAGTGGCACATGCGGGGTTGCTAAGCCACCGGTGATATCATCACGAGGAACAGGCTCGAGTCCACATTTTAGCGAAACAAAAGCTTGGTGTGGGCATCCAACTTGGCTAGCTGTTTGGTTAGCTGCGACATCTTCCGATCATCGAATCATTTTATCTGACATATCATCTAGCGCTTGGGAAAGCTGATCTATCACTAAAGTCTATAGCGCGCGCCTCCCCTTACCTTCAGCACGCGCCCGTGTTGTTTCGCCCTACTTTTTTCCCTATCGTCTACTTCCCACCAAGGATCAGGAGATAAAACACATATTGCTGCTCAGTACCTTGAATTTATCCATTATGGCTATGCAATATCTCAACCAAATCAAAAACCTACGGCGTTCGTCGCAAATGACCAGCGCGCCCAAGCCCGTCCTGACGCCGGAAGATGAAGCCTACCTACGCGAAGTCACTGGCCAGTCGGAATCTGCGCCCATTCCAACCCGCCAGAATGAGCAAACCCCAACAGAAAGCCCTGCGGGGACGTCTCTGCAACCTGTGATGAGCGTACAAGCCGAAAACATCCCTCTACCTACATCGCCTGTGGAGGACTTGGCAAAGGAGCTTGGCGAGGAGGGTAGACAAGAACGGAAGAGCTCTCAGCCAACATTGACAAGATCAGAGACTCCGAAGTCGGAAGTCTCAAAGCCTCCACAGAAGAAGAAACGGTGGAGTGCCATGTTTTGGAAGAAGAACACAGAGAAGGTCGGTCATCTATTTGATTGTGTTCATTTTCGGGTCCTTGCATCTGGCTTCAGTATGTACTAACATACGGATCTCTGCAAATAGGATAAAGACGCCCATGATGCGAACAAATCGCAGACCGAAACCGCGACTCCTCCCACCACATCGGATACGCCAACAAACGGGAAAGACGCAGATAAAGATGCTGATGATGTGACGGATATTCTGGAGCGATTGAATCTGGCAGCGGATAACAACCGTGTATTTTCGATCAGTGAGGAGACACAAGAGCTCTTACGCAAGTTCAAGCTCATTTTCAAGGATCTGATCAACGGAGTACCGACTGCCTATCATGACTTGGAGATGCTGCTGACCAACGGAAATCGGCAACTACAAGAAACCTATACGAAGCTGCCTGGCCCCATGCAAAAGTTGATCGAGAAACTTCCCGAACGTTGGACCGAAACCCTGGCTCCAGAGATGCTGGCGGTTGCTGCCGAGCGCGCCGGCAAGAGTGGTGTCAACATGGAGAATGTGGGCAAGGCCGCTGCAGCTGCAGAGAAAATGGGAGTCAACATGCCAAGTCTAAAGGAACTTGTGTCGAAGCCAGCTGCTCTCGTAGGAATGCTGCGCTCTATCATGACATTCCTGAAAGCTCGATTCCCTGCTGTTATGGGCATGAATGTGCTCTGGTCTTTGGCATTGTTCAGTAAGTGAAGCATCCCGTCCAGTGGATGAATATCTGCTGACTATCGGTTTCTCCAGTCCTCCTCTTTGTGTTGTGGTACTGCCACAAACGCGGACGCGAAGTCCGTTTGGAGAATGAGCGTCTGGTGACGGAAGAAGAGATCGCCAAGCTCAACCAAGATACCTCTGAGGGTCTAATTCGGCCTACTGAGACTTTAACGACGACTGCACCACCGGGTGCTTCGTCTGATGAAATACGTGAAGGTGTGAGGAAGGTAGAGGAGGCCCGCGTCGCCCTGTCGAGTCTGCTGTCCCCGCCGAAGCGGAGAGCGAGGGCCAACAAAGTACCCGGCCAGCGGCAGTTCCTACCCGGTCGAAATCACGTTTGTCTATGTTTGGTCGGACAAAGACTGAGCCTATGCCTAGTAATGTCGCTCCTTATCCTGGCACTTGATGTCCCCTATTTTCAGTTTTGTCCACCTTAATCTTGTTTTATGGACAGAACCATGGTTGTTGATCCGACCAACCAAGGAACCTTGGATTTGATTGGGCGACCCAGAATGGAGGGGTTGCTAAATGAAACCTCGTGCAACGGAGATTATGTCCATGAATCTAAAGAACTTGAAATTATATTATTTTTCATCTAATTAATGTCATTTGGCCTTATGCGGTACAACTCGGGTTACATGTAGTTAACCGCTTTCCTTTTGATAGTTGCTCTTGGCAGACTCCACTTGTTTCCTCTTCTGTCAGATATCCCGGTTCACTTGCTTCTTAGTGCTCACTGTGCCGGCGATAACATAATAGCCATATTCTCTCAATATCGACTATATACTGTAGTCGTGGTTGGGCCTTCTATCAAGTGCTACAGACAATTGTCGCCCCCACCTCGTGATTCCTAGCGCCCCTCGGAAGACACGACAACCTCCTCAACCTGAATGAAACAACCATCTCTTTGCTTTCGCAAGAAACCTTACTAGCCACGTCATGGTCATGTTTCTCGACCTCCCAGAGGAGACTCTTTGCCTCATTGCGGAAGATCTGCATCACCAAGGTGATCGATATTCCCTGGTTCTGTCCTGTCGTCGACTGTACACAGTTCTGCTACCAACTCTCTACTCTCAGGTTATTCTTGGTGACGTTAGCAATCATACAATTGGACAAGTCAGTCGATTCTTCAATGCAATCGCGCGACGGCCGCAGTTGGCGAACGCGGTGCGATCTTTACGCTTGGAGAGTTGGGACACTGAAGATGACGCTGGGGATATCGACTGTGAATTTGAATATGATGCGGAACTTATTGGCGGACTTGTTGCTGGTACTTGTTGGTCCACGCAACCGTACGGTCAACTGTGGCGCGGAAACACTGATGCTTGGCTGGCTTTGCTCATCCCCCAGCTAAAAGGCTTAAGACGAATCAGCATATGCTACCCGTATGGGTCAGAATATGTTCAACGAATGTTCGTGAAGGCTGCCAAAGAGGATGTCACGGCTTTTCCTCGCCTCGTCGAGGCATTCGCCGAATGGTACGACACGGAAGATTCAATCCCTGCGAGCTGCATGGAACCGTTCTTCAAATTCCCGGCGGTGCGCAGGATTGGAGGATCCTCTATCGTTGACTCCGGCCGTGAAGAAGGACAACCCCGCATTACACCCTTCTCGGGAGTCACAGATATTGATCTCGAGATGACAAACACGGAGTGTGGATTCGGTGTCTGGATTGAATCTTGCAAGGCTCTCAAGACTTTCCGGTTAAATATTGGCGGAGAAATGATCTCAGATGGGCCCGATCTTCTAACGGATCCCCTTCGGGAATCTATATCCCTCCACAAAGCATCACTAGAGGCCTTTTGGCTCTGTGGTGAATCATATCAGGAAGATGAAATCGGATGGATGGGATCGTTTGCCGATTTTAATGTGATGAAATATCTACATATTTCTATATCAATGCTTGCCAGGCTTGACGACAACCTGGAGCCGACGAGAGATCTCGTGACACTTTTGCCGCCGTCCCTTGAGACTTTGTATCTGTGTCACTGCCACAACGAGCTGCTTGAATGGTCGGTCGATCAAATCGAACAATTGATAGAGTCAAAAGCCCTGCCACGCCTCACTTCATTGGGGCTTGAGGGTTACGGACCTTCAGAGGTCCATGAGAGTTCCTTGGAGACTATGCGCAAGCTGGAGGAGTTGGACAAAAAATGTGCGGAAGCTGGCGTATTCTTTGCTGCTTCTATTGGAAGTCACAGAGTGGTCCCGAACCATTTTGTATCACTTTGGCCTTGTTCCTAATTTAATGGTTGCTGAACGGGCGCGGACTGGCGTTGTCAGTGATGGTGACGTGGGGGTTGGTCAGCGTAGCATATATTCTAGCAGATCACTTCAGTTTCTTATTGAGAATGGTATTCTATGCCCAACCGTATGGCTTTACCATGTTGTTGCATGTTATGGAGCAAAAAAAGTGAAATGAAATATTTATTGAGGATAAGAATTTTAGATCTATGGAGCAAGTTATGAGATCGTGGTCCCTACACTTGATCTCTTCCGTACATGGGTGTTGTCAAGTCCATTTTGACATGTCGAATTACTCAAGTATCCAGGGTCATTACCCAGATACCATTGGGCATTAATCTACACCGACTGTATTGGAATCCGCTCGGGCGAGTGTCGACACCGGTATGTATCATGTATATTGTCCTACAACATATATGGGGAGGGTGAAGAAGTGGGGGATGCAAGTTAGAAGACTATCGAAGTGGCCAGGTGGAGGATTGACATCCGAACGGCGAACGATTTGCCTCAACTGAAAAGATGCTACGGAATAGTGATGGGGATATTGTTTCCCTGAAGAGAGTCTGATTGGTGTTGGGGGGGAGTAGAAATTTTTCCATCGCAGCCACTGCGGGGCAGAGAGATGATCTTGCATGCTTCGGAAAAGGTAGAAGGGGCAAGAATGTATTCAAAAAGAGAGAGAATCGGAAAGATCTTCCGTTCTACCTTTACCCCTCAAGATTCTTGATCCGCAATGTTATACATCGTAGAACATAATATTGCAGGTGTAAAAAGCTATACAAGCTAGAGTTGCTCCCTCACCGATCGAAAAAGATAAGAGAGCAATGGCTCTATCTCATGCATGTTAGACGCGCCCAGCCTCAGCCATGTTGTCCATTTTACCGCCTCTGATCTTTTTTAGGCCATTTAGGCAGGGCGAAATTAAAAAAAGACCTGCAGGTTCCCGGCTTGGGAAAAGGACAAAATTGCCAAGCCCCTCGGAATAGAGTAGAGCACTTTGCCACTCGTAAAGTAAAAGGTGGCCGGATCTATGGCTCGAACCAATTAGCCAATAGCCTTGGTGAAAATTTGGGTCATTGTGAAGTCCAAACAATATGATTCATCTCAGGATGTGTCATCGATGAAAAAATCTCCCGTAGGATGAATCATCATGCATGCACTGGGCATGCCGCACGGGTCAGCCCCTGCACCGTGTATATTCTAGTTTGACATGCACCTAGGCAGTGATCTGATGTTCGATATGGCATGTCAACAAAGTGGAAACGTGAGTCGACCTCGAAACCTGTCTCTTGCAGGTTTGAATTTGCCGGGAGAATTGCGCCGAGGATCTTTAATGACGTTTATGTTTTCTAAGTTTGTTTTTGTTCGGACTCGACTCGGGTTATATCCCTTCGAAGGCCAAATAGCATTGAATCGAAGAGATGCCCGTTACTGCACAACATCAGTAATAATAGAACCCAATACCCAATATAATCTCAATATACCCAATTTTAAGTAAATGCCTAGGTGGATATCAGATTCATGACTTTCCTGTTGCGACTTTCGGCGATCGCTGATTGGCGCGAAAGAGTCGGTGAGCGGCGCCAACGAATGGGCGGTCGTGTTCTGCAGCCAATCACGGGTGTCCCCCACTTGGGGGGGAAAAAAACGACCCGTCCTCCTCTTCTTCTTTCCTCTCCCATAGCACTCTCAACTGATCTACTTCGGATTTTCCTGGACTTATTGAAACCTCTTCTCAAAATACTCACTACATATCCACTACATATCGTCAAGAATTCAGCCAAATGGCCTTCGTTGAGCTGTAAATGCCTCGCTGGGGAGCCTGTCCCTGCCGGCTCCCCAGTCCTGCAGCTCCGATCTTCAATTCTACTTGACGATATTTGATTCTCTTTCGACGCCTTGTGAGAAGGCGTTGGAATTGCCCCCTAGCAAACTCCCAGAAGGAGCATCATAGCGTCCGCAACGGACTGCGGGTGCTTTCGTGGCTACGAAAAGAAAAAAATTGGGACTCCTCCCCTCCACTCCATTTCTCAAATCTCCTCCACTCCGTCCCACCTCCTTTCGACTTCTTATCCCTTAACGGACTACTCTTTTGGACCAAACTACAACCGTCCTCTCACCCAAGGAAGATCTACCCCTCTTCCTTCATCCCATAACCGGATCCCCCTGGAACGGACCGGACCATTTGAACAACAAAAAGCCAAGGACCAAATAAGTCCTTTTACGACAAAACAACCCCTATTCACCCATACGTCTCTATTACAAGATGCCTCAGAGTTCATACTCTTCCAAGCGGGCTCCTAAGAGCACCGCCAAAAACGCTCACCCCCGCCCCTCAACCCCCGAGGCCAACATCATGCGAAACCTGGATATGTCACTGAAGGGCAATCAGTCTCGAAAGTCAGCCAATGTCCAGTCATCAGATAGGAAAAGGAGAGCTTCATCATCATCGGTCTCAAGTGTTTCTTCAGTCTCGTCCCTCGGGGATCTGAGCGACGAGGCAGATGATTCAGAAGAAGATGCGGACGACGAGCAAGAACCAGCAGTTCGGGCCCCGTCTTATGGTCGTCGCCGAGACAGTAAGGCGGGGCGCCAACTCGCAGTCAACAAGAGAAGACGTGTCTTGGACGACGACAGCAGCGACAGCAGTGATGGCAATGACGCCAATGACTCGGATGATAGCTCAGATGATGTGTATGCCGGTGTAGACTATATCACAGACGCCGAAGATGAAGACCAAGACGTCGAGAAGATGGAAGAAATGATAATTGTGGAGTCTGAGAAAACCCACCGGCCTTTGCCCAGCGCTGGGTTTGCCGATGACGAGGATCAGTGGGCTATCAACTCCTTTGACGATCACATGTTCCTACCGGCTGCGTCCTTCTTTGATGAAGAGCACCTTTACAGTGCCATGGACACCTTTGGAGAACCTCAGGTGACTAGTGAAGCCGCTGAAACGCCAGTCGCTCGGCGAGTTCATTTTGAGGAGCGATCCGATTCGTCCTCTGATAGTGATTCACACAGTGACGACGACATCCCGGGTGACTTCCTGCAACAAGACAGTTTGGACCCACAGTTGCGTCGTATGATTGAAAACGACAACGAAAACTACCAAAGAAGTACTCGCCGGCAATCCGAAGAGATGTTCGGTGACGCCGACTACGGCCATGGAAGCATTTACCATGTCGAGTCCGATGGATCCTCCGAGGGTAGTTTGAGCGGTTACGAGAGTATGATAATTGGTCATTTGGATTTGAAATTTGGTTGTGCTAACCCCTTTGAAAAGGCGATGACGGTGACACCACAGACGAAGATCTCCCCCCACCAGCAACCATCACCCACCCTCGCTCCCTTCTCCGCCGGGACTCCTCCGACTCTTTGGCCCCTGTGGACGAGAAGAGTGATTGTGTCCCCCGCCGCCGCGGGCCTATCATGGGAACCTTCGTAGCAGACCCCCACAAGCCAGTAGCCTTGGTCGACTGCACTGGCAAGCATCTCGTCATTATTCCCGCGTATGCCTCTTCTCGCCACGACTGGTTGGACTCTGCGGCCAACAGTATGCCTGGAACTGCCAACACTAGCCCTCGCCAGACTACACTTCACTTGGTCGACGAGAGCGACACCGATGCACTCGCCTCGCCCAATCAGATGGATTTCAGCCCAATGCTGGCTTCGAGTGCCAACCTCATGATGACCGCTCTCGGCAACGATCTCACCCCGGGAGGCCAGGTCATGGGTCCCCCTGAGGCATTCTACCCCTCTCAGGACTTCACGATCGACAGCTCCTTCGAAGAAGACGAAGAAGATGACCCAGAATCTGCTCTCAACGTCGATGACTTCATCGACTTTGGCAATGGATCCTCTGATGAAGATGAGGACCTGGATAAGCAGTTCGACGATGACGCCCTGGTCTCCCCGATGGCCACTCCCTTTGGCAAGTCCCTGGGCACACCTACCCCCACACGCAAGTCTGAGTTGCAGCCAGCCAACAGCGAAGAGCGCTTCCTCAATCACCTGGACAAGGGTATTGTCACCGCTTTCCGTCGCAACCATAACCGCTACCAGGCGCTCCTCCGCCTCCCTCAGCACCGGGAGTTTATGCCCGCCAACTCCCCCGCGCGTCCTGCCAGTGTCTTCCGGCACGCCAAGAACAACGACCAGCGGACTCCCACCCGCAAGCGCAAATCGAACAACGTTGCAGGTGGCGAGGCTGTGCGACGCAAGCTGATGGATGCCCAGCAACGTCGCTCTCAGCTTCCCATCCCAGCACCTCTCTGAGGTCTCATGATTGCACGACCTTTGGATTTCCACCAAGATCATATGATAACCACGGCCACAATTTATTCTATCTGTTTCTAGTCGCTGGTAGACTCAACTATTAGGGTCTTGTGTCTTTGACCCCCCGACTTTGCGTTGAGCATACCGTCTCTTCGCTCTGGTCGTATTGCATCGTGCCACTAAACTATCGTAAATATCAATCTATCCTTCTACTGGTTGGGTTAGATTTACCATGCATGTTGGCTTGCGAAAGATCGATGGTTCCCAGAACCTAAAAAGCGATCCGTTTTGATATTTGATTATCGTACTCGTCCTTCATTTCCTTTTTCATTTCATTACCATGTCATATCTATCGACTGGCCATTTTCTCCCTCGCCTGTCGCGGGGATGGTGATACCATTGGATTTGTGGAGTTGAAAAAATTGCGGGTTTGCGTTCTAACGAGTGATGGCTGATTAAGTTGCTTTTTACATTTACCTTTACCAATATCAAAAACATTCGAAACTTTATATTCTCTCGCTACCCTTCTTAATCCTTAGGTCAACCCGACCCTCTAAACGTGAAGCTCAGACCTCATGATATACCCCGCCAGTCCGGACCCACCTAAACCTTATTCAACTGAGATCTACCAAAGGTCCGTGTTGATCGGCTCTATCCTGTACCTAGCTACCATTCCCGCTTCTCTCCCAGATTGCCTTGGACGTCAAGCCATGAAGCTCCTCCGCTTCTAGCACCGCGGGCGACTTCACCTACGATACATAACCTGGAGTCTGATAAAAAAGCCCGGCCTTGATTAATGGATCTAAAAAGCTCGATCTACGCAGTTGTCACGAATATCTTCAGTTTCGGCCTCAACCACTGCCTCGACATCACCGACACCGTCGATCCAACCTTGAATCCTTTCAACTCGAACACCAGTCGTAGAATCATCAGACTCATGTTCATCAACCTCCTCATCCGAGTCCATCGCAATCTCAATCCACGAATGCTGATATATCCCATTTTCATTCGCAGGAAACCCATCCAACCGAAGCCAGCAAAATATGCCTCGTGTGGGATTATCCGACTGCCGATCTGAGTACAGATCATACTCACAATCTTTAGGCAGAGCGGGAAGATCCGCAGAAGCAACCCCTGGTTTCGGACAGGAGAGACACATGGAAACAGGCGCAGACGTAGACGCACAATTGGAATCTGACAGCAACGAGGCAAACCGCGCTCCTACCCCGTATCCTCAACCCTCGACCCATCCCCAAGCTCCCAATCCCAACCCTCATATTGCAAAGCATGGCATCCGCAGCTCAAATGCTCTCGAAGCAGAAGATCAGCATCACTGACCTTGGTACTACCAAACGGCTTCCACGGCCAGGTAGTAAGATACCCATGGTTATAGCCCCCGTCAGTGTGCGTCGCAAGGAAAAGCAGCTTACATTCATCCTCGCGCTGGACGGAATCAACGCCGTTATCATAGATACGCGGTGGCTGTGTCAAAAATGTGGTGGGCGTCCCCATCCACGCCTCGGACTGAAGTGAAGACGTCATCATCCCCTGCTCGCATTGTTTCAGGAACACGCTACTCGTGCCCATGATTGCCGCGCCGAGCCAGAGACTCGCTACGCGCGGTTGCCGCGCTGAGAGGCCGTTGAGAAGATGGGGGATGTTGCCTTGTTTCACGAGTGGGTTTATTATTGCGAAGGCGGGGTTCTTCCATGCGCTGACTAGATTGCATGGTATGTCTGGGTTGAAGAATAGGCTTTTCATTGCTGGCATTGTTGTGAGAAAAATGTTGCTGCTTAGCGTCATATAGTATGGGAGGAGGTTTTCGTGTTCGGATATCAGAGCTGAGACGGATTGGGGGCTTGTCGGGGTGGATTGGTACTTCGGGTTTTTGGCGGTTCTTGGGATTGGGAGAGTCGGTGGCTTGCGGACACAGAAGTTGCGCGTGAAGAACGATGCTGATAGCGCTGCTGTGCATTGTGCGTAGATAAGGTGGTGGTTGCAGAAGCGGAGGAGGTATTGGAAGGCTGTTGTTGATGATGGAGGGTTGTATGCTGTCGACTGGAGATGCATTCCTTGTTTCGCTCGCATTGATATCGCTCCGCCTAAGGAAACGGACCATGGTGAGACGAATTTCTCAGACTGGTATTCCACGGATATTTCCCATGCGGGTGTTCCAGAGAGTACAGCGTTCCACCAGACGATCTCGGCTTCGCTTGCATATGGAGGTAAATCAACCTCTATCACCTCCGGTTGAACTGCCTCCGTTGGTTCTTGACAAGTTTCAGAGTACTTCGTTGAACACTGGTGCGTCTCGGAGCGATGGAGCGACTCGGCCCATTTCGCCGATAGAATGTATGCCCAGGCCAGGAACAACACGGCGATGTGGTTACCCTCGTCATAGCCAGAGATACCGCGCACACCGGGCCATTCTGACAGAGGGGCTTCGTTGGAGATTTCCACCTTCCGAGCTTCTGGAACACCTAGCCGAAGATCCAACGGTATAACCTTAGGTGGGGTAATGCAATCCGCGCCAGCTCTGGGCGTCCGCCATCTCAACTGCCCCTTTATATCGAGATTGCCACGGGTTTTCGCACAAGCAAACGAGAATGCTTTATCTGATGCAATTAATCCGTCGGCGAGATATGCAGGCGTGTCTTTGAGAATGGACTTGAGGTCGATACACTCCAGCGGAAGACGGGTATCACTGGTCTCGAAATAAGTTGACCATAGCTGATGGCTTGCGCGGAGGGTGTATTCAAAGGCTTCCTTGCTAGGGCGGAGGGCGTCTTCCATGTTTGATGTATAGAACTTGGAAGGTTGTCATGGTAGAGCGAAGTGGGACTAGATCGTGAGGCTCATTTTGAGGCTCGTGGTGTTCACCGCTAGTTGATGCATCATACATGTTTATGTATTCAATTTGATCTGCGAGGAAGCTAAGATGTAAATACTGTCTAAGTGGTCAATTTATCAGTTTGCAGGCTATTCAAGGGTTTTCCTATATAGGTCTTTGTTCATCAAGGGAAATCAAGTTGGTTAATTTATATCAGTCAACCAGGATATTATATTCCAAGACAGTATACTTAATTTGGAGAGGAGTTGTGCTTTCTCATCTTCTAGAGTAATATATAGAAGCCCAAGGGACTTTGAGTGTCTAGAGTTCAAACTCTGAATAAAATTCATCATCACATTCTTTCCCTGTAGTGAGGAATCCGGTCTACTCCGTACTCGTAAACATTTACGATGATATTCCACCAACCGGAGAATGACCTAATAGATTATAGATGAAGCTAGGGGTCTTGGTATTCCGTAGTGGTTACAAGTGGAGTTGAATATGACTACGGAGGGCAATAACACCGTTAACTTGGCACCGGGTTCCACTATGCTGTCAAATATGGATACATACGGAGTAGTCTAGTAGTAGCTAATGCTACAACTGGCTAGTTATCCACATAGTACCTCTTGGTATAATAGCTATTGGACGCCCTACGTTTATCCACGTTTTGCATAAATTGTCGAGGGGATCATGTTGCCCTTACTAAATACGAAGTAGTTAAACACAGACAGGATGTCCAGACAAGCCTTGAAATCGGATGAGCACTGCATGGTCAAGAAATCAATAAGTTGCAACCTGGGCGCAGTGATTCTCGTGACACTTGCACAACATTAATTATTTATCCAGCAATCGAGGCCAATAGACTAATATTGAAACCTCAAGACTATGAATTAATATTATTGTCTAGACTCCGATAGTTCAAGGAAGTACAGCGTAGCATTCACCATGTGGCGCTAAAAATGTGATTTGTTGATATTTTTAGTCGTTTCACCTTTGACGGGTTTAAACCAGACAAAGCCATCAGTCCGACGCGCCGAGAGATGGATATGGTTTGTATTTCTGTTTTCATTTCAAGGAACTCAAAAAGAAATAATAAAATAGAAGACTAATGCGACCGAATATGAAAGAAATACGGAATATCGGCATTTCTACGCCCCAGCCCAAGACATTGTACCTGGAGTAATAGTCCAGGAAACAGGAGAGAGTACTTTTAGGACATCATTCGGACTTGGATCGGAAATGTCATAGTAATGGCACAGAGCCACGAAGAGGATCCCCTCGAGCTGTTTAGACCCACTAAGTATAGTCTCGGCTCTAGAGGACAGGTTCGTTGGCGCTGGGCTATTTTAGCAAAAGTGAGACGGAGCGTTCAGGTACCCGAGTTGTTACCCCTGGGGACAAATATAAAAAAAGAAAATTCGATTTTGTGCGATACGCAAGCAGCGTTGGCCCAGAGTATGGAGTACACCATATCTTCTGTGTGATTCGTCGACCCCGGCGCTTCGAAGACGCACGAAAGAGCTTGTATACAAGGGAAAAGATCATCATAGATCAAATAGTAAGCACATATACAGGAAGTGAGCGACAAATGGGCGAGACGCCAAGGGTTCTTTTCATTTTCTCACCGGTCGCATTGCATTAATTTGCATTAATTTCAATATGTGACGCTCAAAAGTAGTGAGTTTCAGTCAAAGAGAAGTTCAAGCTAGTCAAGCCCTACGGAGATGAAAGACTCCAGGTCAAAGCACGTGGATCCCCGTGGCCCTGGGCATCCGACCTCCCCTCAATATCGGCCATCTGATAGTTTCCGTGCCGATCAAGCGCCTAATGTTCATTCTCTATTTTTAATTGACGATATTCATTGGCTGGTCAATAAATGTCGATCTCACAGTCACATCCCACGAACTGATGCTGAATGGGATTGGACCCCGGCAAGCGCCTTGGTCAACGGTCCCATTATGCAAGTCCTGACTGGCTCTTCTCCAGCTTCTGCAGGTCGTTCCTGTACTAATGGGGCGCCGAGCTTTGGATGGATCCCCAGCTCGCCCTCTTTTCAGCCACTACCGTTTCATCTGTACCTCGAGATTTCTGCCGATTGGATGAAGGTTCGCTTTTCTCTGACGAAATGTCTTACCAGGGTCCTTGACGCCAGGATGCTCTGGGTCAGCAGAGAAGGGCTTGCTAGCTGCAGCCAAACCCTTTGTCTGCAGAAGTTCTCATAGCCTGGGTTGGACGATTGTTTAAAGACCGCGACTCTTCCCAGATCCTGGACTTCTTTCATTCTGGTCATTGTTCCATTTTCTTTTGGCTTTTGGACCATATTGGTTCGCCTTCAAAGACGCTCGTTCAGGGATACGTATTTCCTTGTCCCACCCTCTTTCGTTTGATATTGGTCCAGTCTCATTGAGGCTTTTTTTTTATTGTCGCCCATCAACAATACTAATAGCAATTGCTTGTTTTGTTGCCTATACAATTGTGGCTTATACCGCAATATCTATTGAGGCCTAGCTTTCTATATCGCAGCCTACCCAGCCCAGACCTTTATATCACTCCATTCTTGTTTCTTTCATCCATACCTCTTCCATCTTCTTTTTCTCCTTCCATTCTGTCTTTCTTTCGCGTCCTACTTCTCCGTCACTCGTTGCCGACATCTTTCCATTATGAAAGTCACTTCCGCTGTTGCGTTTTCTCTCTTCTGGCCTCTGGCCAGGCTACCGGAGCGGTATGCCTCAACTCCTACTCTGTCGCCGTTGATATACATCCTGACTCGAATACATTTAGTACTGGGGCTCCGACAAATTCTACTCCAGCCCGGGTAGATCGCCTAACAAGTGTAATGACTACCAGAACAAGGGTTTCAGCTGGTCTGACCTCGCTCCTGGCTCTTTCTCCGACTATGGTGGCTTCTCCTTCTCTGGTTTCACTTGCGGCAATGGCTTCGGTTCCAGCCTTGGCAAGCGTGGTGTAAGTGACGCAGGGATCTCTTTCATCTACACGTACTGACCATCGCTATAGACCCAAAAATGTATCTCCGGTACCGTCTCCAAGGGTAGCTCCTCTAGCTCTGGCTCCCAAAGCCCCGGTTCTTCTGCTCCATCGTTTGCCTGCGGCTCGCATGAGAGCGGCTTTTCAGTGACCAACTTCCACGTTGCCACTGAGAAGGATACCGAATTGCACATCATCTACAGCATGCCCGATGGATCGACTTGTAGGAATACCGCTTCCTGCAACTCGGCTGGTACTGTGGTCAACAACGACCAGTGTGGTGGCGCTAAGTCTGTTCACTTCGAGCTGCCCGACGATAGTGAACACGAGAGCTGCGGTTTCGGCATCTACAGCGTTGGCTTTGACTGCACTCCTGGTTCAACCACCACTGCGCCTGTCCTTACCGCCACTCCTGTTACCAGAGTTCCATATGAGCAGATATCTGTGTCTGCTGCCTCCAGCCCTGTCGTTGTGCCTTCGGTCTCTGTCCCAGGCTCTACTGTGGCTCCAGGTACCACCACGGCGACGAGCACACCTCTTCGGATGACTACATCGACCGTGTTTACCACCAGTTTGTTTACCATCACAAGCTGTGCCCCCACTGTCACCGATTGCCCTGCTGGATCAGGCTCAACCACTGTGGTGACTTCAACAATCGCTCTTTCCACCACGGTCTGCCCCGTCACTGAGACTACTGCTGAGACTACTGCTGCCGCTACAACCTCGCTGCCTGTGCCTGATGTACCTAGCCCGAGCAGTGTTCTACCTGTCAGCTCATCTGCTGGTGTCCCTCCCAGTGGCACATCCGTTTCCACATCTTCGATCTCGGCTTCATCATCCGTTCCCTTCACTACGAGCCAGACCCCTGCTGGAACTTCTGCCGCTTCGACCCCGCTGATCACCACTCCAGTCCAGATGACTACCTCAACCGTGTACACTACCAGCGAGGTCACTATCACCAGCTGTGCCCCCGAAGTTGTGAGCTGTCCAGCAGATTCGACCACAGTGGTGACTTCGACTATTGCTATCTCGACCACTGTCTGTCCCGTCACTGAGACTACTGCTGAGACCACCGCTGAGACTACTGCTGCCGTTACAGGCTCAGTATCTATTCCCGTCGTACCCAGCCCGAGCAGTGTTCTCCCTATTAGTTCATCTGCTGGTGTTCCTCCTCCTAGTGGCACATCTGTTCCCACATCTTCCGTTTCGGCTTCATCATCTGTTCCCTTCACTACAAGCAACCCCGCGGGAACTTCCGCCGCTTCTACCCCGCTGATCACCACTCCAGTCCAGATGACTACCTCAACCGTGTACACTACCAGCGAGGTCACTATCACCAGCTGTGCCCCCGAAGTTGTGAGCTGTCCAGCAGATTCTACCACTGTAGTGACTTCGACTATCGCTATCTCGACCACTGTGTGCCCCGTCACTGAGACTACGGCAGCAACTGTCAGCTCCACAGTACCTGCAGGCCCAAGCTCAACCGGCGTCTTGCCCGTTAGCTCCTCGGCTGTATCAACGCCTCCCAGTGGCACGTCAGCTGCTTCCACGCCGGCTGAAACCTCAGCTCCTGGCGTGACCTCAGATGCCTCGTCCCTGCAACCTCGTCTCCTGTTGGCACCACCCCCGCCCCTGGTGAGGCCACCACCACTGTCGTTACTTATGAGACTGTGACCACTTGCCCGGTGACTAGCACTGTTACCACCGGTAGCTCTACTTTTGTGACTACCTCAAGCACCATTTCAACTATTACTATGACTACTGTCTCTACTATCTGCACTGAGTGCTCCACTACCGCCACCTCCGTTGCTGGTCAGAGCACTCCTGCCCCGCCTGATACCCCGGAGGCTTCGACCACCGTCGTTTCCAGCACTGGACCGTCTGGTATCCCCGGGGCTTCGAGCACGGCCCCATCTGGGACTTCCGAGGGAGTAAGCCCCGTCTCTTCTTCATCTGCGGAGGCCTCCAGTCCACTCCCCAGCGGCCCCGATGTTACTACCTCGGTCCCCTCCAGCGTGGGTGTTGATACCACACCTGCAGTTCCCCAAGGGTCGACTGCCACGGTTATAACTTATGTAACTGAGACCACCTGTCCTGTGACTGCCACCGTCACTGAAGGATCGTCAACTTTCGTCACGACATCCAGCACGGTATCAACTGTTACCTTGACCTCCACTTCCAACCTTCCCAGCTCTGTCGCTGCCGGAAGCACTCCCGCTCCCTCTGAAACGGGCGTCGCCTCCACCACTGCTCCTACGGGCCCCGCTGTCACCAGTGTCGTCTCTTCAAGTGTTGGCGCCAGCTCTACACCCACTATCCCCGAGGGTGCCACTACCACTGTTGTGACTTACGTGACGGAGACCACCTGTCCAGTGACCAACACCGTCACTTCGGATTCTTCCACCTTCGTGACCACATCCAACACAGTTTCCACAGTGACCCTCACCTCCGTCTCCACTATCTGTACCCAGTGTGCCACTACCGCGACTGCCACCGAGACTCCTTCTCAGTCTACAGCTAGCAACACTGCGACAGTTCCTAGCGGGGTTTCCCCGGTGACGAGCCCAGCTCCCTCAGCTCCTTGCCCCAACACCGTGCCCCAGTGCATCAACACTTGGCTCACCCTCGCCCCTAAGTGCAAATCCAACAGCGACGCCTCATGCTTCTGCCCCAACAGCGACTTCACTAGCAAGGTCATCTCCTGCATCCAAGCATGGGGCGCCTCCAAGGAAGAGATACAATCCGCCCTCTCCTACTTCACCGGCATCTGCGCCACCTGGGTCCCCGAGAACCCAGGCATCGTAACCGCCATCCCTTCAACAATCACCCTGATCCCGACAGTCGCTCCTTCCGCACCCCCATCCAGCATCGCCGGCGCCAGCGTCACCCCCAGCGCCGTCGTCCCCATCACCTCCGCCCCCTCCCTTCCCTGCACAACAATCACCTACTCGACCTACACCGTCACCGTCCCGCAAGTCAGCTTTGTCACAAACACCGCCTCTAGCCCCGGCGCCGTCCCGACAGTCGGTCTAGTCCCGGCCGGTCCCAGCGGCGCTTCCCCATCAAAGACCGGCGTGGTTCCCGCGCGCGCATCGGCAACATGGGTGACTTCGAGCGGATACCCGTACGCCAGTCGGAGCGCCAGTCGAAGTTACTCGCCCAGCGCATCCCCGATCTTCAACTCCGCCTCGACTGTGACCATCGCTTCCAGTCTGGTGCTGGCTTCTCTCGCTGCTTTCCTTAGCTTGGTGATGTAGATGTGTTTCCAGACTAACGCTTGATTACGTCGTGCTTTTCCTTTTTCTTTTTCTTTCTATTGCTACTACAATATGCACAGTGCGGATTGATTTCGTGTTTTTGCTTGTCTTCGCGGCCCTGGAGTGGTTCGTCCTGGTTTTGAAAACTGGAATTGACTCGGATCGTTGGTCCCAGGGGACTTCTTTGTATTTTATTATTCACTCCCTAATTGAACGCGATAGACCTCGTTTGCTTCTTAAGGATCTTCGATTTAGTTATCCCCCGTTCTATGTAAGTAATTTTATTCGATCTTACTAGAGTCTTTGGCTACATCATCGAAATCTACTGCGCATTGAACGACTTATCGGCAGTCGGTAAGCCCTCTGCCATGTTGACATAGCCAAACCTGCATTTATAGATATTGACCTTTTTCCTTTATTTCTATTAGGTGTATTACTTTACTTTGGGGGTCTTTTGCTATTCCCGAGATACCATATCATCTCTCGATTATAATTTGCGTACTCTGGGTAGGAGAATGAGACAGACAGATTGAGTTAGAGGTCATCTCGGAGACGAGGCCAGACAGGTCGGTATTGGCATTCGAATTGACATTGGTATTGGTATCCGTCTTCGATCGCAGGTTGTTCATAGCGGAGGTGTCGTTGTTATTGGCCGATTCGGCATCGACATTGTTGTTATTGGCCAGAATTGGCCCGGTATGGCAATGTTTGCCTGCTAAATGCGCGTGGAATCGGACTTTGATTCGTATCAATGGAGAAATTGTCGGATCTATGAATTGAGATATCCTTTTATAGGGGTATGGCTCAGTGGGATTCTCTGACGCTCTTTCCCTCTTTCCTGAAGTTTGTCGTGTCTCCGTTCCAAGGTTGCTTCTTTCCTTCTTTTCCCTTCCCATCTGAGCACCTGCCTAGGTGGGCATCTACCTTCCAAACTTGGAAACGGAACTTATCCTCAGCTACCTCATAATTCCCGAATAGGCTTAGTACCTTTCTTCGAAATGACATCCTACACCTCTCTTCCCACTTTGACATCCTCAATATGCCTCCAAAGATCCATCCGAACAAAATGGAACCCGCCCGGTTGCAGCTGGCGCGTCCTTTGCCTCACTTGATTCAAAGTTATGGCACAATGCACCCATCAGTTTCCAACGACCGCATAGCTTTGGCATACATGGGACAGTGGAACTCGTTCCTGGAAGAGGCTATGAACTTGTTCCGGTCGACGCCTCTAGACCATGACGTCCCTATCCACAATGAATCCGAAGTCTACGTTGTGGGTAGTAGACTTGGCCTTTCCGGAAGATTCGTTCGAAACCTCTGTGATCCTGTTACGGAAGCACTGAGGCCACTATCTCAGAAGCCCGTCCGCTTCGGTGATATCCAAGCCCTCATACCCACTGCCCGCGCTGTCCTGGATATCGCTTTCGGTCACCTGGATGCTCATTTTACTACTTCTACTGGAGATATCTATATGGTCGGCGAATACAAGACACCCTGGACGGTGTATGCTGATCAAATGACAATCGATTATCCAAAACCAGATCCTCAGCTAGAAACACTTATTGGTAGCCCTCCACCAACTCATATGTCATTCAAACTCCACTGACTTTGTTCTCGCTTCTAGGACAACTTGTAAACAATATGCGGGCTGCCCGCGTTAGACATGGATTCCTGACCACATATAACTACACTGTTTTCGTCAAGAGAGAGAGCGACCTTTCCTTTCTCCTCTCTCGGCCTTTTAGAGACGATTCGCAAGACCCGTCTCTTCGAGAACTGTTTGTTGGATTCTGTCTCATGGCCATGTCGGATTCAAAATACTACGAAAGTCATCCCGACACCGCGACAATAGTAAGTGCATACATTGGGATATACAGGATATGCAGACAGCTGTTGACATACAAAAGTTGAGAGGTACATCCAGCCCACAAGTACCGCAAAGAGAATTCATCCTTCTTTCCGAAGAATTACCTCCCCCGAACACACCCCAGACCATCACACCGACCAGCGTGATTATGAAATGCGGCACCTCAACTCCTATAATCGTCAATTGCACGGAAGAGATTTCATACCCCGGTAATCGGCAGGAAATGCACCCCGGTACCCGGAAAAAGGCAGTGTGGTTAGCCGAAATCAATGGTGTTCGAAGAGTATTCAAATGCTGGACGGAGTCAGATACAGATAGACTGTGAGTTCCAAGACATTCCATTATTGAATTTCGCTAATGATCTCTGTAGGTACGGCTTCGACACTGAAACTGCGGTATACGATCGCCTTGACGCAACCCGACCGGATGGGTATTACTTTTTCCCCAAGTGCATCGCATGGGGAAAGATCCTGTGCTCGAGTTTGTTCCCAACGGGCTATGCAATGATCTTCGAACACCGGGAGGGCGAATTACTTTCTGATATATGGCATACCCTGGACGCAACTGAGCGAGCTCATGTAAAAGCGGAATGCTTGAAAGCCATACAGGCCCTTCGGTCAACCTCTATTCGTTGGCATGATGCGGGTATGCATAATATTCTGTATGCAAGAGAGAGTCGGACTGTTACTCTTCTCGACTTCGAGGCCGCTGCGGAAACGCCAGACTCATCCTTCCGTACAAGTTACGAGATGGAGAAAATCTTCAGACCACACTTGGGTTGAAGAAGAATAACCTTTAATTCTTTGTCATGTTCCCGGTTTTCTTTGTTTTGATGTTTATTCTCTGGCTCTGCCCTCTTTTTCCTTCTTTGTATTATTAAAATTCCTAGTGACCTAAATCGTGTAGCTATTGGTATGTCTGCTAGCCCTGTGATTGATGGTGAGACTCATGTGTTAACTGCCAAAAATCAACGGATAGGATAGACTGCACGCCTGAGTCGATGATTACAGAAGGGCATATTTGAAAATCTCAGTTCCATTGTCCATGGACATTCTGGCTACCTAGTTGACATTGATGTGAAGGGCCTGTTCAACATGGTTCAACAAATCTCGCTCAATCCAGGCAACACAAGATGTTCATCATTTCGTTTCTTTGTCATTTCCTCGTCGGGCAATTTTCGGTCTTTTTTTCCTTTTCTCGTCTTGGCTCCTTGTGTGATGCTTCATAAGTATATTTGGTGTACCCAAATATCGAGAGATTTCTGTAAACAGGAACAAATGACGCCCCCATATCGGTTCGAAGGATAAAGTCTGTCGTATTAGAATGGAAGGCCGAGCTCCCAAAGGCACCTTGAGTGCCATGCGTCATCATGTTCGGCCCAATTACCAGGCCAACCCCTCAGGGCTGTCAAGCCATTCCATGTAATCCTTAATCCCTTCCTTAATGCCGCGGAAACGCAGCACAGAGCCAGCCCGGCGGAGCTTCGAGATATCAGCACAGGTGTAGCTCTGGTATTTGCCTTTCAGTTCAGCTGGGAAGGGAACGAATTTGATGTAACCGTCGGTGTTGCCGAAGTGGCTGGCGACTTCCGTGGCGACTTCGTGGAAACTGCTAGCAACACCGGTGCCGACATTGTAAATCCCGCTGATCTCCGGGTGGTCGAGGAACCAGCAGTTCAGACGGGCGACGTCTTGAACGTGGACAAAGTCGCGCTTCTGCTGTCCGGCTTCGACTCCGGCGTATTCTCCAAAGAGCTCAATGGTTTTGAACGATTTCCGTTTCTCGTAGAATTGGTAGACGGTGCTGGGAACTGAATCTCGGTACTGTTCGCCAGGTCCATAGACGTTGAATAGACGGAGTCCCGCGACTTGCGGGGAGCGGATGTCGGTGTTTTTGACGACATACTGGTCAAACAGCATCTTCGAATATCCGTAGACGTTCAGAGGGGCCTCTTGGAAGTCTCCCTCGGCGAAGGCAGTGTTGTTTCCGTAGACGGCAGCGGATGAGGCGTAGATGAAGCGAACTCCCTGGTCCTTGCACCAGTGGAAGAGCTCCTTGGAGTAGGTGAAGTTGGCGTCGAGCATTTTCTTGCCGTTGGTTTCGGTGATTGAGGAACTTGCGCCATAATGGAAGATGACGCGGGGACGATGGTGGAAGGTTTTAGTCCGAATCGCTTCACGGAATGCAGTCTCATCGATGTAATCGGCCACTTTGCAGTTGACAAGGTTACGGAACTTGGAACCGTCTGTCATGTCGTCGACAACAACCACATTTGTCACGCCACGCAGGTTCAGCTCCCTGACGATGTTTGAGCCGACGAAGCCGGCACCACCTGTGACAACAATCATGTTGGGGAGGTTTGACTTGGATGGAAAAGGTGATAATTAGAGGGAGGAGGTGAAGTTGAGGGAAATGTCGATGGCTTAAACTGGCAGGAGCGAGGGAAGGCACAACAGAACATCCGAGGATGTTTGCCAAAGGAACATTTTGTTCTTCTGCTTTTTATTCTCGAACTTGTCACTTATAAGCACCTTTATAAAGACCGAGGTCAAGACTACATATGTTTAGTTCAACCTGGACTTGAATTTGTTGTTATAACCTCACCTTGGTAAGTACCTTTCCGCGATATTTGGCTTCAGTGCTGTTCAATGCGAAAAGTGGACTAAAATCCCTAAGGATACTTACCTATATCATCTATGGTTTCCTTATGGAATTGCACTATCTTGGATATAAACACGGCATCCACCGATGTACCAGATGCCGATGCCGACAATATGGCCAATACATCTACGGCACCGTCTGCTGCCAAGGCTCTCATTTCCATTGCCGAGCAAAGGGAAAAAAAACAATGGCAAATCCTAGCCCCAATGATACGGGGCTATCTATATTCGAAAACGAGTGGTTTAATCTCCGCGGCATGTCCACCGTCATCAGCCAAGTCTCGCCGATCGGCCCAGCTCCGACGCATCATTCATAAAACCCAACTCGTGCAGTTATCATCGCGCTAGCTGGCATTGATTATTACGTCGTCTTCATCCTCTCCCGAGGTCATCATCAACGAACGAGACGGAGTACCCCGCTCAATGTTGATCCAAGTGATCCTTCCCGATAGTCTGGATACAAAAATGAGATTGTGGGGGCGAGAAACGGTGGAGGCTGACGGGGGTCGTGCACGTACGGAGTAGATGGGCTATCTCCAACGGCGTCAATGCCATTATCCAGCAGTGCACACGTACTCCGTACAGGGGGTTACTGCAATGCTGATGATAGGTATACGGAGAAATGGATCTCCGCAATGATCTGACGGATGCAACGGATATGGAGTACATCCGAAGGGCATATGCATCATGGATCAATCATGTCCCCCTGAAGGGAATACAATTATTGAACCTCCTTACTATTTTACCGCATTTGCCCGAAATCGAACAAAGTACTCTGTACAATAGATCCATCCAAGTGCATATGACAGTTGACATCCGATGATCCCTTATCTCCCTAAAGATAAGCCCGAAGCCCTAGATTGGCTGAGAATGGGGTTAAGACATTTCTACTTGTAACGAGATACGTCGAAAGTGCAATGGGATATCCCCTAAATATTTCGTTTGTATATGTATAGTCAACTCTAAACTCGCACTACTCATCTGATCTTCTGGGCTATTGAACATTCTCTCCTTGCGGTCGAGATAAGCTCTCCACCAGTAGCCGTCCATCATTCCCTCGGCCTTTCTACCGTTGAGGAAACATGGACTTTAACAGCCGCATTGTCCAGAGTGACACGGTTCATTATATTAAACGTCTGTTTTCCCAATTATATTGATCCACAACGGTTTGTGCAGGTCATGCCAGGATGTCTCAGTATGAACACACCTCACTATGGTGGCCCGAGGAGCGCATCAAATCCACCCTCAACGCAAAGTATATCGTCAGTCGTCTGCGACCAGAGAATATCCCACGCCTCTTCGAATTACCGGACTGGGGCGAAGGCTTGACCAGCGAGACCTATATGGAATGGATCCTCACCAAGGCCGGCCGTGTCTTTATGATCCTCGACGCTATCGGCATTCCCGATCGTATCTTTGCGCTAGTCGACGAATCGTGCGACGACGATGATCTACCTGTCGCCGAACATAGCGTCGATTTACTACACTTGTCCCCGCATGGAGAAGATCTCGCCCTCGAGGCGAGTTTCTTTCATGCACAATGGCGCTTCCTGGTCCGCGGTATAGCGGAGGGTGAGCATATCGTCTCATACCGAGAACGAGGGCGTTCCTGTCGAGGCGGTACGCACCAACTCCAGCAGTGGAATACACGGACGTGATGATACAGTTGATAGGGTCGTCCTCGCCGGCTCGGTCTGTCGAGTCTACATGCGCACCCAAGTGCAAGTCGGCGGCGCGCCATATTTCTTCTCGTCCGACGAGGTTCTCGCTGAGATCCGCAACCTAAAAAGACTGTCGCATGATCATATCGTCTCTGTTTACGCTTCATATCTGAAAGACGACAGCGTCTCGGTGCTCTTCACCGGCGCCACGGCAGATCGAAACCTACACAGCTTCCTCACAGACGAGCCGATGTCCTTCAAACGGCTAGACAAAGAACAACGCCGCCAGATCTTGATCACTTGGCCCCACTGCCTTGCATCCGCAGTCTCCTGGCTGCACGCACGCGGCCACTCCCACGGCGCAATCCGTCCATCCAACATCTTCGTCGACGCAAACTTTCATATCTGCCTCGGTCAGTTCCAAGCACTCGACTCCCTCCTAGCTCCGCCACATGTCAACGACCTCGAGGCATACAATTACTCCGCACCAGAGCGCTGGGCTCGTCCCACAGCTCCGGTCGTCCAGCAAAAGCCTCAGCCCGCACAGACACTACTTCCCTCGGGAGGACGTACAAAGCGCAGACAACGACCAACCCGGCTAGCGCTAGCCCCATTGAACGAAAACGAAAGCCCACCTGCTTCTCCAGACCACGCAAGGCCAGACTCCGCCGCGTCCAAAAGAACAGCGATCCGCATAGGCTTACCAGGCTCACCATCGCGTTTCTCCTTCGCCTTTTCATCATCATCTTCATCCTCCGAATCCTCAGCAGCCTCTTCAACCCACACAGACGCAACAGCAACCTCACCCCAACCAAGGAAACACCGCATCTCCTCTTTTCTATCCCGCAGAACAAATAATACCCTCCCAACCCCATCAATAACCTCGTCCTCCACATCCTCCTCAAACACATCAGCCACACCAACCTTAACATCAAATCCCCATCCCGCCTCAAACACCCTCTCCCCAAACCCTCCATCGACCCTCCACCACTCCAAATCCACCCAATCCCTAACACAACCCTCCACCAGACCACAAACCTCCCAAACCTCCCGATCCTACAAATCTACCTCCACCCCAAACCCCCAACAAAACCCAAACACCCCAGCAGATATATTCTCCCTCGCAGCAACAACCCTGGACATCTTGACAGTCCTCCACAAACGAACCCTGACATCATTCAGCGCGCACCGCAGCGCGCGCAACCGCTCCGCCGGCCGCGGCGGCGGAATAGCAGATGCATCCTTCCATCTCGCGCGGAATGCCGTGCAAGTGCAGTCCTGGATTGCATTGTTAGAGGGCGATGCATTGAAACGGTGTCGACGGGATCGATGTTCTGATCGGGTTTTCTGGGCTGTGCCGCGCATGTTGATTGTTGTGCGTGCTATGCTTGATTTTGAGAGTGGGAAGAGGCCGCTGGCTAAACGGGTTCGGAGGGGGTTTGCGGATGCTATTACTAGAGGTGGGAAAGGGGAGGGGGATGGGATGGGTGTTTTGCATTGTGGTAGGGAGAAACGGGAGGGGGGTGAGAAGGGGAGTGCGGTGGAGGTTGGGAGGGAGATGGGGGTTGGGAGTGCTGTTTCTGTTGTTTCTTCGGCTCCGTTGGGGGTTTCTGAGTCGGGGTCGGTCTCGGAGTTTGATTTTGGGTTTGGGGATGCTGGGAGTGGGAGCGAGAGTGAGAGTAATATTGATGATGGAGATCGTGTTGATGTTGATATTGAAGAAGAAGATGTTTCAGAGGTTGAAGAGCCTGAGAGACGGGTGGAGCAGGTCTTGCCTCAGTTGTATCTGCCAGAGTTGGACATGAACATTACTGGGATGGAAGGTCTGTCGTTTAATAATTAGGGAGATGTACGATAATGCCTTGATGGACCAATGACCGGCCTAGGTACATAATTCAGACTAATAATTCATTGTCTTGTGTACACTTCATGCTTCGTGAAAAACAGACCTGGGATAACATAACCTGTATGCAAACAAGCACGCCAACTCCAATATACCATGCAGTTGCTTGGCCGAACTTGTCTATCCCAAATTCGTGATGCTATCAATACAATGGCTTGAGCCGCAATCGTTAATAGTCGGGTTAGTACAAAACAAATCAAAGCCAGATCGCAACGACACCCAGCAGGCCAGACAGCAGTAAAGATCCAGCGAGCAAGCGCTCGGTAGCTGGCGAGCTGACAGTCACAGCATAAGCACCGCCTTCCTTCGTTGCCGATGCAGAAGGAGCTCCGTTTGCAGTAACCTTACTGGCCTTGTCGTTCTTACCGGTTGCTGTGGAATCAGTTCCCTGCTTAAAGGTCTGTCCCAAGGTAGGAAGCGGGGAGCTTTGGGTCAATTGCCCATCCACCAGAGGTCGAGGCAGGGCACTCAATGGCGGCGAGGCTAGATGCGCTCTTCTTGTAGGCGGAAAGGGCAACTCCAGTCGGGTGCAGAGTAGCCCATTGAGACTTGAGGTTGTTGAAATCGGGCGACACGGGCGTCGGGGTGCCCTTGCGGGTGAAGCCGTCCTCGATGCTGCTCGCGGTCGCAGTCGCAGCATCCACAGAAGGCCCATAGCTGATCAACCCGTAGTCGTTGGTCTCTTCAATCCACTCATAGACCATGGATCCAGACCAAGTGTCGGACATGTTGTCACCAAAGATGGCAGCCTGGTCCTCAAAAGTGCGGGGCGACGGGGTGTTGCAGCCAGTCTCGGAGAAGAAGATAGGGATGGGGTAATCAGTTGCGTTCTTCTGCAGAATATTGTATCCAGACTGTGTATAGCTGGACGCACCGCACCATTCGTAGGCGTTCAGCGAGTAAAAGTCCAAGCGCTCGGATGCATTCTTAGAACAGGCCATATAATTCTGCAGCATGGGTCTCAGATCGGCAATATCGGCTGCGGAGTAACCCACGGGAATCTCACGATAACCCTCCTGATCACGGTAGGCCTTGATGTCGCGGGCAGCCGCCAAGACGTAAGGGGCAGCAGCCGAGCCATTGGCCGTGGTGAGTACCTCATTTCCGACGAAGACACCGGCAGTATTGTCGAACTTTTGGAATTCATCGAGCACCTCCTTGAAATGATCAAACTGGGTCTGATTCCAGTGTGGCTCGGTCTGTGATCGTCAGTAGATGATCCACAGAAGGAAAACCTTGGAAAGTGGACCTACCTGTTCAATCTGGGTATTGAAAGTGTCCAAATCGACGAACAACTGGATTCCTAGACAACGTGTCAGTATAAACAATTACCCGTGGGAGTAAGAATCAACCGTACCAGCATCAGCCAGTGCCGACATACAACCCTTGTGATCAGCATGAGGATCCACGTGGTACACACGGATCGCGTTGGTGCCCAGCTCGGACATCCGGGCGATATCCCGCTTGCATTGGGCAGTGTCGATAAGCGGGTCACTTGGGGTAAGCTGATAAGCAATGCCTATCCAAGTCAGTCAGGTACCTACAGTGTAGGATTTCTAGGTACCCTTGATGTAGAACTGGGTTCCATTCTCGTAAAAGAACTTGGAGCCGACAGCCGAAATGGATGGGCTTGCCCCCACTGTGGCCTGTAAGCCAGCAAGTAGCAACGGTAGTGAAAATGCCAGGGATGATAACATGATTAATTCTGTGGGAGTAACAGTGAGATGGAGGATGTGATGAAATAGCAATGGCTTAAAGAGAAGAGAAGAAAATGCTCTCTCAGTTTATATTGTTTGACGCTGTTACCTCCGCACACGAAGGAATCAGGGCAGGTGCAAACCAAGAACTTCTACAGAATAAATTTCAACAGTAAGGAAAGAAGGGGAAAATGGAAATAGAGCTGGAACGTAAAAAGAGCTCAGTTGCTTGATTTGGGACTGTATCAAATTATCTGCAGGGTGTTCTCAACTGTGTTTCATTCCTGGCCCAATTTGGGACATTCCAGATATTATTTTGTTTACCTCGGTAAGATTCAAGGCATACGAAGTAATAAGGGAGAGTACACAATTTATACAACTGGAGTACAATTAAAGTACGGAGTACAACTGGCCGAGTTCAAATGTTGACTGTTGTATATATTCTTGTACGGAGTATTACCCCTATAGCCGTTGGGGCCCAGCCCTAGTCCATCACATGCAGATATCGCACAAGTACAACATACAAGATAAATCTAGACTAAATCTACATATGTTCAAATCTAGACTTCGTACAGATATAGATACTCAAGTAGGTAGAAGATGTGCAGTCCCCAGTAAAATATTAAAATTAACTTGCAAAGTCTGCAAAGTCAATCCAATGCCCATATTGCCCCCCCTAACCCGGCATCTACCGAGTTCCACCACGACTCTTCCCCCTATACTATAAATACTACCAAATACCACTAGAACCTTGGGAGGCTTGAGACATGTTTTATGATATAAAAAACTATTCATCGCTTCCTAGGTACTCCGTACTATCACTACCATCACTGTGGCACGATGTCGGACAAGTATCCCATCTTAAACCCTGTCAATCACTGCTATTCTGGACTTGACCCTGATATCCACTCTAACTGGACATGGGAAAGATAATCCTACCTATGTTGTACTCCGTGCAAAAACCTGGCACACGGCACCTCATCGATCGGCAGATTATTAGATTTTTATTTTTATTTTTTTCTTTCAAGGGAATTCAAGAAATTCTTTCCAGGGTTATCTTCTTTGTTCACGAGATGCGTTGGGCAGATATCAGGCTAGGAAGGCATCAAACGATAGTCTCGTGGACCCCTAATGCATATAATCTTAAGATTGGATATCGCTAGTAACGCCAACGCGATCTTAGGAAGTCTTTTTTCAATTCCAGACTGCCACGTTACCCCACTGGGCGGTTTTCGGCGGTTGCCACGGAGGGCTAGAACGAGGTCCTAGCGAGATAAGGTCTGTTTTTGTGTATATTCGATTTTGAAGAGATGAGTGTGTAAGAAGCAGAATCTAATAACGTCGCATTCGTCTAACATTTATGTAATTGCTATGTTACGTTGTAAATAGCAGATCTATACGGAGTACAACATACGGAGTAAACATCCCTCCCCTTGGGATGGGCGACAGTCCAGACTTTCTCCAATCTCCACTCCTCCACTTCATTCCGAGATGTCCACCAATGATAGTCGCCACACGCAGAGTGTTCGTCAGCTAGTGGGTCCCTCCATTAGGATCGACTGGGCTTGTCCTTGGACTTGTCACCAAAAACGGGAGAACGAAATGACGTTTCCGCAAAGGGGGGTTATAATAATATCTACGCATCCGGCCCTGAATTAATTTCTCTAGACTATTTCACCTCAGCCCTATCCTATGGTTTGATTTCGCGAGATGGTTCTATTATAATCCTATATCATATCCGATGATCCAGAAAATTACCCGATATACACTCATCCACAATGGCCTCCCCATTCCACATCTCCCGACACGAACAAGTCGAGCTAGAGCGCAATGAAGCCTTCCGAGTAATGCGCGAACAACTGCGCCGCCAGGAATGTGGCATGGAGCGACCAAGTTTCTGCGCAGGCCACCGACACTCCTGCACCTCCACCGAACAAGAAACCTACCGTCTTCACCGCGATATCATCCACACCCTCCTCGTCCCCCTCTTCCTAATCAACCACCAAGCCGAGCGCATCGCAGCCCGCACCCTCCCGAGCCAGAAAGGCGCCGAACCCGAGCGCGCATTTCGCGGCGAAGCCCGCAGCGCCTTCGCCTGGTTGAACTGCATCCTCACCGAAGAACACGACTGGTACCTTACAGCCCGCTGCCCTGCTTGCATCGTTCAGCATGTGCTGCACTCGGAGCCGACAATCCGATTTGTCACTGTCGCCTCGCAACTCGCAGGCGCTCGCTCTGGCTTCCAATGCTGGCTGAACGCTCTCGAGACAGCCGTCTGCGAAGACCCCTTCTGGGGCGATGCCTTCTGGCCGGATATCGAGGAGCGCGCCACCCGTCTGACTGAGGGCGTGCAGGAGCTCGTCCGTCAGTGCTACGAACTCAGCGCGACCCTCGATAACCCTGCTCGGGCTACCCCGTCACTCGCCAAGACCCCAATGCCTGTCTACGGCAGTCGCTCCGCCTCATGCACAATCCCCCTGAAGCCTTCTAGTTTTGCGCGGAAACAGGTTCGCCTGACGCGGGAGGAGCAGAGATACCGCTCCTCGGTTTTGTGGAATTGCTCGCAGACTATTAGACAGCCGCTGGCCGGCTGCACTACTGCGACTCAGTCTCGTCGCCGGTCATTGACTTCGTGAGGGAGCGATGTTGGGCTATGGTGGTGACTCCCGCCATGCATTTTCCTCCTCTCAACCAACCGGTTACTTTACACACTCCCGGCGCATTTTCCAGAATCAGCCTTTTGCGGATTGAACTACTCGTGATTCAAGAAAAGTATCTACGGACCTTGCGAATCTACGTTGTACAGAGACCCTATCGGGATTTTCGCGGATACCAGTTCCCCGATTCTCACGTCAGAACACATGGCACTTCCCCTTTGGCGTCCCACGCGACCGAGACCAGTTTCTCGATATGCAAGGGTCTCCGCGGATCTGGAGTCCGCTGTCATGATGCAATCGATCTAGAACCGTGGATGATCGAAGTATCCCACCGTCTCGGGTCGATGGAGATATTCCAATGCGTCGGTCTATATGGCCGAGAATGATGTGATTTGTTGATCATATCGGGTTATAGCACTATAGTGGTTATAGTGATAGCATGATAGTATAATTTTAATCATAATTTACTCTTTTTTATCCTAGATATACCAGACTTACTATCAAATAATGCAAGTAAGTGCATTAATATCAGTTGACGTGTACTATTCTATTTGGCAGTCTTTTCCAAGGTTATGTATATTAACCATAAAAGTAACCCCACGTCAAATCCATTCTTAAATTGCTTCATATGATCATATGGAGTACAGCAGATATGGCACTCAAAGATTAATCTAATGGGGTGGCAATACACTCTACGTGAGACGGTGGAGCAAGCCGGAGATGGGAACAGGGAAGTGAACCAGATCTGAGGCGCACGGTGGAAATTAAAACGGTCCCAACGTCCCTCAGACGATCAGGCTGGATCTGAACATGGGGGTTTCCTGTCAGAGTGCCACTCAAATTCCAGGATTCTAAGATTCCAGGGTCTTCGGAATGCGAACTTGCTGCGAACTAGACATTGCATAAATCTTAGACCGATATATATATGCTTCATTTGACCTAGAGTAGATATGTACATATATTGTAGCCTATATGTGCTATGCGTTGGCAGATACATGTAAGTATATGCCAATGCCCAACCCCTTCTCTCTCACACCGGAAACGGAGACGACATTCGTATGCGTACACTTGACTTGAAAGTACTCAGTACCTCGTCTAGGCCCACGGTCCACATACGTTCTGTGGTACTGGCGACTTGTGAAACCAAAGGCTTAGGCCGCATTAGGGGGGAAGTAATATGATAAAAGCATAATAATATGCTTGAGTCTGGTTCGGGTAATGAAGACTTCATATAAGTATATTCAAATAGATAAAATAGATATTAGTTTAAAGTGTATTCTGGTCTCAACTTGCACAACCCCGATGATCGTCACCGTGGAGCCAAGGCTTTCGGTCCATCGGTCGCTCTAGACTGGCAACATTTTTATACACATTTCAACTACGGATTTTTTGTTATAGGCTATAGATTCTGTATATAAATTAGTTCTATCAGATTTATCAAATAATATATCCCATATAAATTATACACATATATATATTATATCCCTTACAGCAAAAGGAAAAAGGAAAAAAGAAGAAAAGTAAAGTGGAAACCGATGACTCCATGACTTGGAAGGTCTAGACTTGTCCCGACCTGAAGAGTCTGGCCCCAACCCTTGCCCCAGTTAGTACCTAGTACATGGTCTAGTGCCTACTAGACCATACTATAGCCAAGTACCTAATACCCACTCTTCTCTTCCCGTCAATTTCCATTCGATTCACGCCCTCTTTTGCTTCTTCTTCTTCTCTTCTCTTCTTCCTTTCCCCCTCCCAAATATTCAATCATTTCCTGTCTTAAATTCCTTTCTTTATCATCAACTTTTTGTAGCATCCAACCTCCAAATCCCCCTCCAAATCCCTACCTTGGACCCGATCATCATCTTTTGGTCATCTTTCGATCATCTACCATCGGTCGACGGATGATTCATGACGGCTGCCATCTCCTTCCGTCCGTTGGATAACACAGACTGGATGACATCCTCATGCAATGGACAGTACTGGCCCGTCACTTCCACTCCTGACGATCACACCATGCATGTCCCACCAACAGTGAATCTCGACACCAGAGCACATCTCCCCCAGAATTCAGATACACAGGAAACTTCCAACCCATCCAGGATTCGCCGACGAGCTTCACAAGGATCTCTTCGAACAAGACCGTCACCGGTATCTCGCTTTCTCTCCAAGAGCAGCGTTGCCGTGAACTTCCCATCCTGGGACCAACGTACCTCACCTAGTTCGCCTGGTTCGCCCTACCGTGTGGAATCTCGCACTCGGTCGGTCGACTCTCGCCTTCGTCTTTCAACCACTGTGTCTCGCGGGCCGAGGCCTTTGGCTGCTTCCCCTTCTTGGAATTCTCACTATCAATCCGAATACCCCGCCACATTACCCCCCACGCCGCCAGAGGAGGAGATCCACGTTGCGTGGAACCCCAAGTCCGAGATGATGTTGTTCGACACACACTCCCACCCGGGATCCATGGCTATGATGGACGACACCCCTAGTGTGGACAATTCCTCCGCGACCGGTGCTTCGGATACACTCAGCAGTCCATCAGATGGGCTTTCTCATAGGTCCTCCAGCTCTGGAGGCAGCCCTGGGCCCCACGATGATATGGACTGCCAGCAGGATATTGGCTCATGGCTGGATCATGGCATCAATTTGACTGGTAAGCTATCGGTACATCTGCGTTTCAAGGCCAATCATTGACCTTTTCCAGCTTCATCACTTGCCCTATGCAAGACACGAGGCGAGGCCGTCAAAATCGTTTCCCAGACTCTCCCATACCCCAGGACATCTGATCAGGCAGTATCAGGGCCGAAAACCGACAGTGTCTTTTCCTCCGTTGTGCAGGCTGTCCACAACCACTTGCAACCTGGTCAATCACCCTATATCAATGTTACCCACGCAGTACCGGAGCAATTCAGTCTTTCGAATCTGCCCCACTCTCCCCCAGCACCCCTCGTTCTCCAACCGTTGCCGAGGAATACTTCAACGCCACCGTTTTCTCCAGTGCAGCAGTTGTGAGTGCTTACCATGACTACCGTGGACCACTCCAACGGCAAATGTCCCACGCCCCGATGCCCATTGTCCCCCCTCGCAGTGTCCACATCTCGGTCCTCGAGCGCTATCTCCCTCCAACCTCCGCTCAAGAATACCGTGATTTGTTTTGTCGTACCCGTCCATCCTTTCTCGTTGACCGTATGAGCGAGCTGTCACCTAATGGTGGCTCCCTCCTCTTTGTGTACCCAACCAAGAAAGGTGCATCAACCTTCAAATCCCAGTACCTGGGCCCCATCCTCGACCCCCTTCTCCGCCAACTCGTTGTGGTGAATGAGTTGTCCGCAGACGTGGGCCGCTACCTCGGCAAGCTCTCGCCCGTTTCTCAAATGGATGACTTTGCCACCATGAAGGCGAACATCGTGGCTCTCTGTGAATCATTGAGCGATAACGATTCCTCCTCTCGGTTCCACGTAGCCGATGCAGGCCGTGGAGAGACCCACCTCGACCGCAACCTCTGGGCCGAGTGGTTCATCCACCAGGAGAAACCCCGCATGAAGGAAGTCCTCAGTCTGTACTGGCAAAACGGCCGCCGTTCATCTAAGAACGCGAGCTCTGGATTCCCCGGCATGATGGGCAACAAGGAGGTCACATCTTCCGGGCTCCTGAGTGAGATCTGCGATGGCATCCGCAAGCGGCGCTATTGCGAGGACAATGAGCCGCGTGATGGTATAGAGCTTGGTGTCTTTGTGATTCGCCGAACGAATTAGATCGTCGCAGAATTGCTAGATCACTCTTCCTCCCTGTTCCTCGAATCCCTCACCCCTTTTTCATTCTTCCACCCCTTCTTCCGCAATAGCATATTTTAACAAACGGCCTTCACAAAAGATGACATGGGACCCAGGAGGTGTCCCCGGTGTTGGATTTCGATTTTCCGGTGTGAAATAATTTTTTCCGCACCTTGCATGACTCGTTTGGGGGTTTCCCGCTGCGAACATTTTGGATGAACTATGAATACCCCGGTTGTTGTTGGCGATTCGGGTTTTATGAACTTTTTGGACTTTTTCTTCTTCTTTATGATGGATATAGATATACACGATTTTGTGGGAATATATCTGCTATTAACAATATCTTTTCTTTTTCTGTAATCTACGATATCCCTGAAGTATATGTACGTGGTCGTGCTAGGTCTCGTCAGGCTCCCATTAGGCATCACCGCGACATAGTGTGAGCACTCCTTTACCACGGTTGTCCTATGCCTTTATTGCAGGCTATTCATGTTATAGTGTATATATGCTAAGTTCATTATATTGTCTTAAGCCAAATGCATCAGATTACTGGACTACGTCACCACGAACAGAGGCCCTTGATCTAGCTGAGAGCCACCGCGTAGAGTGATCATTATGGTTTCTTCCACTTGATTAACTGTCTGTATGATCCATGGTTAAAACAGCTGCGATCAATGTGTACAAGTGAAGGCCATCTGTGCCGATGTATATAGCTTGCGATAGCTGTGGTCCTGATTGCAATCTTGGAAGGCACACCAATGGAAGACGGGAAACTGATGTATGTCAATTCATTATTTTCCTTATTCTTCTTCCTAACACACTCTCTCAATTAGAATCAGGAACTCCATTTTCTTTTCACATTGTCTCCTTCACCTCGCTGTCTATTCTCCTCGGGGCGGCCAAACATTCTGCCGTCCATATTCGACGGTGACCCACCCCTCCCATCTCATCTTCCTTCGATTACCAACTTAATGCAATCTACCACCCTTTCTCGCCCACCCTCGCCACATACAATGTCCTATCCGAATCCTCCGCCCCTTAGCCCTGGCGGCGGGGCTGGTGCACCCTCGAAACGCGACAAGCGGCGCACCGCGCTCCAGGAGCGGCTCCAGGAACTGACGGGTCAGTTCAGCAATAATCGGGACATCCAGTTTCGTCAGCAGTTGCACGCACTTCAGTGCGATATGACGCTGATCAACAATGCTGATCCTTATGGGACTGGTCCGCTGCCGGACTCCGCGGAGAGCATCGCCGCGTTGATTGAGGAGACCGTTGGTGGCGGCAGCAAGTTTGCGAAAGAGATGGCTGGCCTCGCTGGATCCTGGTATTCCAAGTTTGTGCAGGAGGTTAATGAAATTAAGGAGAAGAGAGATGCAGAATTGGTCATGGCTATGGTGAGTTTCCAGTTTTTCGCAGCTATGAGGAGTTGACCCTAATCAATGGCTTTTTTTTCTTGTACAGAATAACTACAACAACGTTATGGAAAGACAACAGCGGGACCGTGACTTCCGCACTTACTTCGCACAAGAAGAGTTCCGTAACTTGTCCTCTACCCTGCGAGAGCGATTGGTCCAGAACATCTCCGGCAAGCGCGCCCGTCTGATGCGTGAAAAGGAGCAGCTCGATATTGCCGACACCAATGCCCTTCTTCTCCACCCCAACCAGTTCAGCATCACGAACCCTTCCAGCCCTGGCGGTATCCACAGCAACCGCAAGACTACTCGGCACACCCGTCACCGCGTTGACCTCGACGAGCTGGGCAACGGTTTCATGTCGGAGTTGAACAAGCGCAAGCGGAAGGCTCCAGAGGAGGACAATGGATCGCCTGCGCGGGACGCAGGCGATGCCACTCCCGCGAAGCGCAACAAGGTCGAGGTTACAAAGGAGCAGGTCGCTCCTTCCTACTCGATCCACTCCCTCTTCACCGACAAGGAACTCAACGCACACGCCAACCAGGCACACCTGGCCACTATCCATTTCTTCTCTACATCTAGACGCCCAGACCACGGATCCGGCGCGGTGACGAACGGCAACAATACCGATGCCGAGGATACACCCGAGGGCACAGGCCATGAAGATAACGGCACCCCAAGTGCAGCCGACATGATGCGTACCGCCAGTCACAACTTCCACGCTACCCGATCTACCCGCACCACCGCCGCGCACAGTGCTCTGAGCGCCCTAGCTGACCTGGCCGATAAGCCAGCCACCCGCCCTGTTCTCCCCTACCACGTTCTGTCCAACCACCACGCACGACCCAACGGCAACGCGCCGCCACTGACCTCCCTAATGAACGAGGAAGTCGACGACGATTGCGCCCGTATAAGCCGCCTGGCCAGCAAACCACAAAATTGGATCGACACATCTCTAGTCGAACTCGTGGCTGCACCTCTTCCTACTTCCGCAGAGACGATCGATGGCCACCCTGCCGATCCCGCCGTCTTCAGCCAGCTGCACCCGGATTTCTCGCCCGCCATGGGTATCGACTGGACTCCCACCGTCCACAACCCGGGCTTCGAGATGTTCCAGCCGCAGGCCATGGAGCGCGAGCGCAGTCGCAAGCGCACCCGCAATCACTGAGGGATATGCACATGAAGTTTCGGATGTACGTTAAGATGGGATGGGATGGTGTTTACTGCAGGAAGCGGTTACGGATTACCCTTTATCATTGATCATATTAGCTATGTTGTGAGGGATGGACCTCGGAGGTGTTTGGGATTTCTATTTCTTTTTCTGTGTTTATCTTATTTTTTTCTTTTTCGGATCATGTTCGCCCCGACCTGTCTGGCGTTGTTGGGACACACACATAGTACTTTGTTTCTCAGGTTTATGCTTGCCCCTATGTTGGGTAGTACAATCAATTTACATGTATACCTTGTTCTTCAGTCTCTGTAACTTGGGCTCGAAGTGATATTAATCTATATATCATAGCTCTGGGCCGCGGATCTCCGTCGGCCTGGTCAGCGCGATATCTGGCCAACATTACAGGCCAATGCCATCCGAGAGAATGATCCTACCATCTACAAAGCTCAATAGCCTACATATCCAAGGCCTGACCATTGCAGACCCTAGCCTTCCATTCCCATTCAACTACGCGATCGAACAACAAACTGTCCGCCTAACATCCGCAACGCCGGACAAACCTATATTCTAAACATGGCCTCCTTCCAAGCCCTCCAACAAATCCACACGAAAGCAACCTACAAAATATTCAACTCGCGAAATCTACTGCGCAGAAGTTGACCATTAGGTCTGACTTGGCCCTGGACTTCTGGGTTGATGTTCCATATCGTTCGAGATTGATATCAACTTAGGGCTAGCATCTATACCATCATCATGACAAAAACGGAACTCATCACCGACTATTCTATCAAGCAGGTTCTCCATATTTCTACTACAGCAAACACAATAAGTCTCAAACAACCTCCAACCTCATGCTCCGACGCGCCCTCCCCATCCACCCACCCATCCCCAAACCAATGACAGCTCCAGCCCCAGCACGACCAAAAGCCGAATCCCCCAAACCCCTCTTCAGCGGCAACTTCCCAACCCTCCAAACCTTCACCGAAGACACCGCAACCCCAACTTTCCACAGCCGCATCCTCCCCGCCATAAAACACGACCACCACGAACTCGAATCCCACAGCAACAAGATCCTCTCCTCAACAAACCCAAACGAAAAAACCCGCTTCCAAAACCAATTCGTCTGGGAACTAGCCCGCCACCTAATCGGCGAGGAACTCATCGTCTACCCAGCGCTGATCGAGTCCCTCCCAGACGGACAGGGAGTAGCAGATAAAAACAGACTCGAGCATCAGGGCGTGAAGCAGCAGTTGAAGGCGTTCCAGGGTCTTGAGTCTACGGATACGAGGTTTGTGCCGACGCTTAAGGGGCTCATGCGCGATTGGGGGATTCATGCTAGACATGAGGAGGAGGTGGACTTGCCCAGGCTTGAGGAGTTGTTGTCCAAGGAGGAGAGTGTTGAGTTGACTAAGTCCCTGGATCGGGTTAAGATCTTTGTTCCTTCCAGATCGCATCCGCTTGCGCCTACGGAGCCGTCCTTTGAGACGGCTGTTGGGCTTTTGACGGCCCCGATTGATCTTTTGGCGGATTTGTTCCGGAAGTGGCCTGATGGGAAGGAGAAGAAGTAGGGGGGTTAGGGGGGTTAGATTGGTAGAAATGCATTGCTATAGTGGAAATAGTATGTTAAGATCATTTCATTCTACTTTAGTGTTCCTTAAGCGTACAGATTTAAAAAAAATATGCCAAGGCAAAGAGCGAGCTTGTCTGATACCAGTATGGACCTCAGGATGTACTCCGCAGATCCACGTAAGCACTAAAATCCACCTGGGCACTTCGCCGAACGGCCCGTGCCTTGTAAGTTCCTGTCTCCTCTTCAGCGAACTTGCCATGCCTCCACGTCACCGTCCCAAGCTATCTCTCTGGGCTCGTTTTCGAACATGGCTTCGCTACGCCCACTCACCCCTCCAACTACGCGGTAGTCTCGTCCGACTCAGCCATCAGCACAAGTACCCATTGCTCACGCTCCTGCGCATGTTCATCCCCTATCCGTCCTGGTTCTTCCCAGTTCCCGGTCCATTTTCTCCCCGCGCGCTTATTGAAGATACGAAGAATAAGACGGGTATAATCACATCTCATTTTGGCGATATCCATAATCTCCGCGCTATTCCTATCTGGCGTATGCGTGACACGCCCATACGATCGATCTACCGGCTGTATGAGCTCCACCTTGCTGATCATTACGCGATGATGGGATGGGAGACGGAATATTTCTTTTATCGGCGAGATTGGAAGCTAGGAGATATACCAGACTCGAGAGATCCTGACCCGCTTCGCTACGCAATTGTCGCTTCTATTGTTGATGAATTACACGAGGCGGTTAATTGGAGACTGAGTCTTGGTCTACGGAGAAATCGAGAGCATGTTTATCGCGAAGAAGATGGAGACCCGTGGCCGCCCTTCACTCCGGAGAAACTGCCTGATTGGACAAAGAAGGTCGCTCCTATCGATAAGGATCTGCTAAGGCTGTCGGTGCCACCAGAATCACTAGATATGGAGGGGAATCTAGTGCTCGAAGCTAATGGTAAAAGTCCCAATTTTGCCCGACGCAATATTATCACGAACACAGGTTGGCTCTATACTATCTAGGAATTCAATTGCGCATATCTTTGAACACACAAAGCCAAATCAGTTTTGCCGTGTGATCGCAGTGTTCAGAGCACCATTCATAGTAGGCTACAGGATGTCCAAGACAAATGTCCTTACTTTGTCCCATGTCAATTTTCATTCCTCGCCTACACTGTACATATGTACAGAGTATGAAGGCTCAAGTATTCAATTGGCTATGTAATAGTCTGTTCTATAAGACCACGTTCCGACACTTTTAAGTGTCCGATGCCAGTATAATACATTCTTGGGTAAATATCCGCCGCATTCCAAGGTTCCTGACCGATACTGTAAGCATCCATGGATCCATGGGTCATCCGTAAAGTTTGCCGAGACGGCCCGTACCTTGCTAACCCCTTACACTCTCCCACCACTATCGCCCAAGCGAGTTCGACTAGGCCGCTGTGATAATTCTAGGGAATAAACAGACTCGATTAGGTATGATCAAGAAAGCGGATATATATAGCCTCACCATATCAGAACATCTAGTACTCACTCCAGGGCCTTTTGTGCCCGGTGATGCAACCGCTGCCATAAAGGGCACAGCAGGACACCCCCCCCCTCCCACCACCAATGCAAGTCCGTGATTTATTGTAATGTCTTGTACCCTGCGGCCATGTTATTTGTTTGGAGGGAGAGTATAATCAGAGGATTGGACTATTGATTATTGGTTATATGAGACGAAGTTAGATGCATGCCAGCATATTCAATTCCTACTCCTGATTTACCAAGCCCATTCTGCGCCATTCAGCCACTAATTAGAGTACTCTAAACTGAACGAACAATGCAAGTTAGCATCTATTATCATTTCAGGCTTAGATTTAGAAGCCACTTTGGCCACTATCTCATCCCTCCACAGTCAACACTGCCGATCTCGTCGTGCCCAACCGCTGCCCAGAATAGCCATACCGCTGCAAGCGACGCAACCTGCCAAGTCGATTCGCAGTCTCGACCACAGACTGCTGCATCTCATCGTCACCTGATGAAGATCGTCGCCGCTTCCACGCCTTACGGAATTGATGCTGCTCGTCGTCCTGCTGTCTATGCCGCATAGACAGGAAATAATCATGGGCTTCCTTTTCTTCGCTCAGGGCCTGGACCTGAAGCATCGACAAATTAGTTCATGATTCCTCATTTATCAACTTCAAAATGCGATAGCCAACTGGAATACATAGAACAATACACAGCAATAGAAAAAGAAAAGCACTTTCCACATACATATGATAACCACACCTCCTGCTCAGAACTCCATGCCTTCTGACACCTCTCCAGCTGTTTCTGCGCATGCACAAGCTCCCTCTCCTGCTCGGCTGTCCACCGGTCTCGACTGCGGATAATACTCGCCCAACTAACAGCGCGAGCGAGCTGGGCCCGCGTCGGACGCGCCTGGCTGGAACAGTGTGTCCGGCCCTCGGAAGATGAATCCGGCGCTGCACCCGCGATGTTTTCCGGCGCAGATGATGTTGATTGCGGGGTGGGTGCGTTGTGGTGCGCGTTTGCCTTCACCGCTACGTGCACGTGGCCGTGGACATCACAGTGCATGGATATGGATTCATTGTTCTGGGCATGGGGGCAGCTGTTGGGGTCTGCTAGGATGGGATTCTTTTCATTGAGATGAGTTTCCAGCTCGGGGGTTTTGCCTTTTAGACTTGTTCGTCGCTTCCAGGGGAGGGATAGTGGTGGTAGGGCTCGATGGACGATTGTAAATACCGACATGGCTGGGATGATCGACACACATACACCATGTATGGAAAAGGAACGGAAGAGATAATCGAAGTATGGTGGCATATACTTGTTATCCTGGTCTCTGGAAATGTTCTTCTCCCCATGTCGTACCAATCCTTGCTTTTATAATGTTCCGGCTCGCCTCCCAAGTGGTACTTCACGATCTAGCCAGGCCGACACCAAAGGACGAAAACGCGTGCAGGGACACCTCGCAGGAACCTCGCACGGGGGGTGGGGAGTTCGAGGCTCTCCTGCTTCTGCTTGGCTGCCCACGCGATAAGTATACGATCGTGCAGGAGACGCGGGGTGGCCTGGTTGGTCGAGATGGTGGAGGGCTGCAGGTCTGGTCGAGACTTAAATGTAAATTTTGTTTGCTTCTGGGACGGTTTGACAGTTTGAGGGCTTGGTTGTACAGTTGTTTCATTGGGATGGAACAAAAGCAGATTTGGATGGCGTTGGCTTGGCCGGTATAAAGAGCTGGACTGAGTTGCGTTCTGGATTCACCTCACGCGATAAATGTTTCCATCCCTGCTCCATCAGGTAGTCGGGGAAATAAGGGATCTTGATGCAGCAGACCTCCGTAATTGGCTGGATACGCATGTTCGAGATGCAATATACACATGGTGTTCGCAGTTGAAGTCAAGGATCCCCTTCCGGGATTTGGTACTTTGGTCACTTTGATCGAAAACTTGGAAGTTATAGTATACAGCACCCCATTCATGTCCAACTGATGAGGCTAGAGACTAGAGAGGCCTAAACTAAGCACAGGCGCAATAAATCCCCCAAAACAGACTAATGCTGCATACAAGCCTAACCAATAACCGTGAGGGAATCATAACCATAATAGACGCATTTTAAACAAAACCATGACGCCAGGTGCTCATCGGATATCCAAAAAAAAAGGCCATAATATAAGAAGTGGGCGAAGGAAAAAAAAAGGAATAGAGGTTTATCTCCATGTATCCACTGAAGTACCCCGGTTGGCCTTGGCCTTTCGTTCCTCTCGGATCTGCTCGCCAATAATGATGCTGATGAGTCTCCGATGCAGATCAGCTTCTGTCCAATCGATCTGTCCGCTGCCACCATATTGCATGTCAGCCCGAGCAAGCTCGTGGGCAAAGCGATCGATGATGGCAAACTGGATCTCTGTGATGGGTACCCCGTGATGACCATCGGAGGTCCATATCCAATCACCGATGATGGCAGCCCGCCCTGGAGCATCGTAGTATTCAAAGCGCTCGGGGTATCGCTTGGCAACTCGGTAGATACGACGAAGCGCAGCGTAATGCTCGTCGGAGAAGTATCCGAAGACAGCAAGTGGTCGTGGGCCTGGAGACGCCTCATCCTGGTGGTTCACCGGTTCTGCATCCCCGTTCTCCAAGGGATCTTGCGAGACACTCCGCTCAGAGACCGGCACATCCTTTTCTTCCGAGAGGTCTCTAGAAACGCCTCTCTCGTGTATTGGGTCATCCTCTTCTTCCGTTGTGGGGAAAGGATCTTGCTGGATCTGGGGAGACTGAGATGGCGATGGCTGTCTCCAATGGCTCGCGGGTGATTGGCTTGCTTGCTTTGAGAGCGGCTCATCCTGGAGGTGTCCGTCAAGCTCCTTCGCAGATTCAATGCTGGCCATTTCCTCTTCATCTTCCAAGTCAGACGCTTCCTCCGGGATAGTACTGACACTTGAGCTTCGGTCACGGTTGGGAGCCTTCAGCCATTGCGGGGTGAAGCTAGTTATTTTACTGAACCAGGATGATGTTGGCTCCTGCCTATTAAGCTGACGATATTGTGGGGTGGATGCAGAATTTACGTTGGGTGATTCCGATTGACTGAGAGCCGCATTGGAAACGCTGATGTTGCCATGGTCTTCTTCCAATGGTTCTTCCATAGGCGGGCTTCTTTGTACAACCTTCGGTGATGCCTTGCCATTGAGGAACGCGTTTTGTGGACCGAGGACCCGTGGGTTGGGAGTATCAGGGCTGGACTGGGAGAGAGGTTGTAAACGAATACGCGCTGGCGTGCGCGACACGGGGCCCTTCATCACAGAGTCATTGACTGGGGAATTCTGTGTCTCTGATGGGCGGGCGAGTAAACTCCGAGGCGTACTCGTTCCATTGTAATAACGTGCGCGGTTTGGTGTATCCTCTTCTGCAAGCAAAGCAGACAGATCGACTTTTTGTTCACGGAGCTCGCGAACTTTAGACGGCCCAAAGCGCGCTACATAATCATGCTCTGAAGGAGCGTAAGGTGATGAGCTCAGGTGGTCTTGATCTGCAGAAACCGGAAGGTTGCCCAAAGGACGTGCAAGTGGCTGCGGATGAGATTGAATACCATCGTCTTTAGAGTGTTGTGAAATATGGCTGTGGTCGTTGGCTTCAAGTTGCCAAATATCATCATAACCATCATCCTCATCTTCTAGGGGTTCGGGCTCGGGTTCAACATCTTGGGGCACATCTGCTGGTTCTGGTACAGGCCCAGGCGCGGAATCGTTGGGCTCTTCATCGAACCCATTTCCGGTCTGAGGTTCAAATCGCCGTTCATATTCAAATCCGATGTCCGCATCATCTTCCGCCACATTTTCATCGCTATCGATGTAAACGACCGACCGTGAGTTTGAAGCCATCTGAGCCTGGCGGCTGACTGATTCTCGTTCAAGCTGCCATCGTGCCTCCTGCTGTGCCTTTTGGTGGGACACTGGGCTTTGCTGCAGGGAGGTATTGAGTTTGGGATGTGACGGTCGATTGTATATTTCTTGCGTCCCGGTCACATCTTCGAATGTTTCGTCATGTTCCCGGCGCGTCTTTTGGTGGGGCATTGGGCTTTGCTGCAGGGAGGTCTTGAATTTGGAATGTAAAGGTCGGGTGTATGCTTCTTGCCTCTCGATCTCGTCTTCGAATGATTGATCACGTTCCCGATGTGTTCTTTGGTGGGACATCGGGCTTCGTCGTAGGGAGTTGTTAGGTCCGAGATGTGAAGGTTGGGTGTATCCATCTTGCCTCTCGATCTCGTCCTCACAGGGTTGATCATGCTCCTGCTCTTCTGATTCTTCGTCGTTGAAGTCATTATAGTGACGTGCTTCTTGTTCTTCTTGTTCCTCCTGGAGACGTTCCTCCTGGAGACGAGATGCTTCATGATCTGCTGCTATGGCCGCAGCCTCATCTTCCTCAGCGAGCATTCGACGCATAGCAAGCTCCTGCCCTAGCCCCATAGCAGCCCGGAGTTCTCGCTGGGTCTCGGCGTTGAACGTGCTGAAGACACTCTCCAACCGACGTCTTTTGTGACGAGCATTGCTCTTACCCGACCACTCGTCTTCTTGAGGCCTAAAGGGACCTTGCAGGGCCAAGCTAAGACGAACAAGTCTGGCCAAGCTGGTCAACGTCCTTTTCTTTGGAACAATTGTTGGTTTAGTGGGAGACGATGTGGCAGGGAGTTCAGGGTAGGCAATCTCATTCATGTAGTTCACAGATTGCGGCTCAGTCGCATGTGCAGAGTGCTTCTCCGGAATATCAATGCTAGGATTTTCGTATAACCCAGGGCGTAGGGTCGTAGTGACTGGACTGGATGACTTTTGAGTGCGAGAATCACCTCGGAGGTCTTCGATCGTCCCAGGAAGTTTGCGTTTCAACCGGTCTCCGACTTCCTTCGGTTTGGGATCACCGTTCGCCACAGCACTGGAACCGAATCCATGCTGCTTGGCTGATGGGAGTGTATCAAGTGAGATCATAGTGAACCCTTCACTTTCCATGATAGTGTCGAATTCTTCGTACTCGTCTGCGGGATCTTCAACGGGACCAGCTTCAGCATGATGGGGTTCTGCCCTTGGGGGGTGATTCACGTCGGCTTGTTGGGTCTGATTTTCTTCATCGGCCAGCGAAGACGTGGGGGTCGGCGTCGGATATGTGCGCGATTGTGGGCTGGCGGTATTGTGAGAAGAGGCTCGCGATGACAAGATTGCTCTCTCGCGTGTAGGTGATGGCATTTTTGAAGGGGTAGAGTGGATGTTTTCATCATCTAAAAAGTGATGTTCCGTAGCTCCGATGACAGGCGTCTCCAAACTCGTTCGGCCGTATTCACGGCGAAGATTGCCCAGATCTTCCATGACCGGCTCAGTTGGGTCAGGAAGCTCTGCAATTGACATGTCTGAGTTCCCCCAAGAGTCGTCCTCGGAGTCTGCATCCCCACGAGATTCAAGGGACTGGCGTGCGCATTACTCCCGGCGAAAGAGTCCGTCGGACTGAATTGATGTTGGCCTTGGCCAGTGTTGCTGGCGAGAGCATCCGCGGGGCTGAATCGTTGGTGGCCGAGATCAGTCTCACTAGGCATAGTATCCATGGGACTGTATTCACGTTGGCCTTGACCTGCTTCATTGTTGATGGTGGTCACTGGGCTGGATTGCTGTGCTTGACGGGAATCACTATTGGGGATTATTTCCATCGGACTAAAAGGATGTTCATATTCGACAGTCGGCGTTGCCTGATCATCCAGCAGCTGAAAATCCTGTGGTTTGGGTTTGGGCGTGCTCCGTGGTCGGCCTCTTCTGCGTGGCTGAGAGCCAACTTGTATCCCAGGAGTATGGCCCGGCCCAGGTGTATGCCCAGCGCCCGCGAGAAACGGGGACACATTCATATCAGACTTTCGTGGACGCCCTCGCCGCTTCAAGGGCGTTTTCTCCTTCAATGGGCTCCTCTCATCCTTTAATGGTATCATCATTGTCGTGGTCGAGGGTTTTAATCGTTTGCGCGACGGGCTAGCCCGGTTCTCATCATCTTCATCTTGTGTCGCTTCGAGCGTGAGTCGGATGCGCCACGGGCTAACATTTCCCTCCTGAACCTTCTCCGGCGAGAGCGACTTCTGCCTACCACCATTGAACCTCATTGTTGGCGACCCCGGGAGTATGACATCGTTGAATTGAACGGAATGCGCGCTTTTCGCGGGACTGAGGCTGACGCGCGGTCGCGGTCGCTTGGCCGGAGTTCGTGATTTGGCTACTATAGGAGACATCCAGCTTTGGCGCCCTGCGAAAGGTTTAATGGGCGATGAGATCAAGTATTGGGCATCGCCTGGAGGACCCAGAATATCGGGGGAGGAGCTCTGGCTGCGCGACGAGGCCGACATGGCGGACTCATGTGATGGAATCTCGGGAGGCACGCGTGCCGTGCCACCGAAGGGGTGGAAGAGCGGACGTTGAGAAATGCGACCACAAAAAAGTGCGGTCTCGTAACTATTCACAGGCTGACTTTATGATACAGAAATAAGAGAGAAAACGCGGGGCAGCCATAAACAAGTCTCCCGATGCGGTACGAAAGAGCGGTCCTCGAGGTGGTTAGGTAAGCAGCCAAACAAACAGGGGAGTCTATTATTGGACACACGATCTTCTCTTTCTTCCCCCTGATACGTCTTGAAACATATGTGGAGATATAACAAAATAACAATACTAACGATATTTCTTTAGCTTGCCATCGGCTTAGTGATCTACAAATCTTTATCGACGTCATCCACACAGGGTACTTGCTTCAATGTCACACCGCAAGCTTCGACTACTAGATGCACACATTCCATGACCATTTGCACATCTTCCTTGGAGATCCCCAACCGCCTTGTTCCTCGGATATGCCAGTAGGTCATCCGTGGCATGTCTTGACCCATGACAGCGGGTAAGACTACCATCTCTGTATCCACGTCATCCAAAACCTGGCGGTCCGACAACAGTAACCCATAGGTGATATCAGCAACCCAAAAGCCAAAGTCTGGATGATCTTTGAATAACCCAAACAGCGCGGCAGTATTATCCGCATATATTGATTTTAACCAATCCATCCCCCGCGCATGATTTGCCTCGTCGCATTGCCAGCCTTCTCGGGTGAAGGAACATTCCGCATCTTCCTCGGACATGAATTTGCTGAGGCTGAGCAGTGCCTCTGCGGGTTTTGGGAGTCCCACAAGAGCAATGTCCTTAAATAACGTCTCGCGCATACGTCGAATCAGCTCTGAGCGTGCAGTGGTGGTCGAATATGCATGTTGGCTTATCAGGTACAGGTATAGCTGGCCGCAAAGGTGTAATTCTGGCGTCGTCGTAATTGCACTTAACGTTGTCAGATACCACTTTTCACTGGCGATATTCGAGGCTTCGAATTTGGCTTCGATCGTGGCAAAGAGCTCAGACCAACGCGGCTCTGTAGTTGGGTTATTGACATCGGATGTGTTCATAGTTCGAGTCCAATTCAGTTCACCGCGTGTCTTGTTTGAGATCTGAGATCTTGGAAAGAACAACTCTAAGCGCTTGGTATGACGCAGGGTTGAGACTGTACGGTGGCAATCCACGGATTTGGGGTCCCTACATGCGGCGCAATCCATGGTTCGCACAAGTAACCTCGTGTTTATGTTGTCTTATACCTACCAAGGTATGTAGGTATACAAGAGCATGCCGAGTCCTCTGACTTTTCCAAGGTTGTCCGGAAGTTGGCTCACTAACAGCCCCAAGCTATCCTCCACATCTGTCTCGATGTGCTTGGCGTGGTTGGTCCGTCTTATGAAAAACCTGGGAAACTGGGCATGAATTGCCGGAAAGAATAGCAATCTAGACACCCATGCCCTTGATATAGCAGCCCCTTTCCTCTTTAGGAAAGATTCGGGACCCGTCACTGGGTCCGACTTGATTTAGCATGCCGAAAATCATGCTAGCAAGCACGTTAGAGCGTAAATCCCCCGTTGTGCCATTTCACCTCCAGGGTTGCCTTCAGCCATGATATAATTCAACTGTCATAAACGTGGCAAAATCCTTAGCATGGCAACATATATAGCTGGCACTTGATATTCTCACATCCTTTCTTTTTACAAGCTTCATTTATTTATCCAAAGGCTTAACCAGAAATACCAAAACCCCCAACATGTCGACCGAAATTGACCCGAAGAAAATCATCGCAGAAGTGTCCGGTCATGATATTGATCAGTGGGTGCGCACAGCTTCCTTCACGCCGGAAGTTGAAGAGGTAGGTGACTCCGTACTATCTTTGGCATTCATATGCGAAAATTGCAACAGTTCACCTAACTCTTATCAGTCCATCCGTGGCCACATTCACCAGGAGCTGACTAGTTGGCTCTTCTTCCGCAAATTGGGTGCTGATTGTGCCCGCAGCAACATCTCCTTGCATGGATTCGCGAGGTGAGCATACCTTCGTACCCATTTTCGGAGAGTCTCGTGGAATACCTTCGATACTAACACTATCCAGACTCTGGGAGCGCTCGGCGGAAGAGTGCTTGGCTGACTTCAAGTGGCTAGAGAAATACCTTCTATCACGTGGAGGACGTTCGAAGCCTACGTCAATTGAAGCTACTACGTTTGAGTGGCCTGACAACCCGATTGAGCCAGTCGGTCCCTGTAAAGAAGCATTCTTCGTGGAGAAGAAGCTGTTGGAGGACCTGGAACGGCTTTGTTCGTTAGCAGACAAATCTGGGGACGTTGCATTGACGGATGCCATTCAAAGCAGATTCATGCGCAAGGAGACAAGGCACGTCAAAAGCCTCGCAGACCTCCTACGACAGGTAGTGCGAGCCTCCAAGCAGCCTGGCCTTGGTATCTACCTCCTCGACCGGGAACTACGGGATAGCGATGGTATTGTCCCGTGGGATTGCGTTAATGACCCTCGCCAACAGGGTAATGACCCTGCAGAGGTCTGAAGTACATGAAACTGCTCGACCACTAGGTAGTCCATGCTCATGGAATTCTTTCCATATGTTGGTAATTGATCGACAAGGCGGGCTGCCTAAAACAAATTGCACATTCTTCGGCATTCTCACTCATAGGAAGGACCCAATAAGATTCCCATGCTATAGACTACTACTGCTAAAGAGAGGAGAATACCTAGAGGCTATAAAGAGCACACAGACATTAATTCTCGCCGTTCATACTAGAGCATGCGCCTATAGTTGTACTCGCTGGATTCGTCGATGGCAAACACAAATTCTAGGTGCATCTGACATTGAATATCCTTTTCTACGTTTGCAGAGTGAAAATCTATCTCATCCTGACATGTGTGGCACGGTGGTATAGTCAGATCTTTCACAAGCAGTGTCTGAATGTGGCTCCAATTTTCTCCTATTGTGTGCTGCCACCAGACCGATGAATCTCTTGAGCCCACTTTCAAACCCTTTCTGCTCTGCAATAGCGTGGACATATCTAAGAAAGGGTACATTCGCCGTGAATGCACCATACTAATGCAAAATTTCATCCAAGGAGATACATCTCCCTTGTGTTTAGTAGTAACCACCATTGATTCAGCATCTTGGCAGGGTGAGAACCTGGCGGTCATTGAGGGGTGTGGGTAGCAGTGTCACTAGGTATGCCTTGGTTGAGATGCCCATATGAAGCTCTTCTTTAGTACCAAAACTGACGCTCAATAACGGGTTGAAGTATATGTTACATCATAATGACCGTCACGGGAATGACTCTGTCCAAGGCATAGTTATATATTTAGTGAGACCCCAATATTCACTATAATCAATACAAACAAATTATTGCTTAACTTTTAATCTATCTTTCTCAGAGAGATTAACATAATGAGCGACAACGAAATTGCAGACAAACACGGCAATATTATCCATCAAGGCGATTATGTCGCTACCAGAATTCGCGGCGGAACGCACGAAGGAAATGTTAGTAAATGAAATCATTTCACGGACAGCCTAGGTTCCATTTATATGGGTCTAGTGAGCGGAAATGTGCTAATGGCTCGTTTATGTAGGTGGAAGAAATTATCACAGACCAGCAACGAGCGGATGAACTAAACGTGAGAAACCCACCGAAGGTGAGTGGAATGATACTATTCTAGTATTACACTAGTATTCTCATACTAAGTGCATTATCTTGGATAGGTTCGCTTCGAGAACAAGAACGGTAAAATGGTGGCACATAATCCTGGCACATTGGAGATCGAGAACGACAAAACCGAATGAAGCAGTGAGTCTTCAAATTGAGCAACTTGAAGGGCGCTGGATTCCACATACAGTGCGTCAGGCTTATCATAGCTGGTCAATATTGTTGAATGGGAACGATTGATCAATGTGAGATGCGGTGGTATTTACAACAAAGCCAAAGGCGATTTAGGGTCTGACTCTCTATGTTTTGGTATGCTAAAACAGATAATTATGATATCAATTTCCATGTCACAGTGGAAATGTACATTTATAACAGGTCAGACTATTTGAAATTAGTTTTGGGATTTTAGTTAGCTGTTCAGGCACCTACCGGTACCTACCTAGGTAGGTAAGCGTATAAGCGTATATGACAATCACCTAGGATATTTCTCCTTAGGAAACCGGCCCTCAGCTGAACCCTACATAATATTTATAAGGGAGTACTTAAGAAGCACTCTTGGAGTCGAAGCCGCGCTAAGATTCGCAGAAACATGGCAATCCTTTCAACTTAGGACCAGTGGGAATTCACGGTCAGCGCAGCTCCATATGCCCGACTCCGAAGACGAGCCCTAGCCCTGTGTGCCCTTCAACTCTATGTAGATCTTAGTAAAATAGCAAATAGCATTGGGGTCGATCTTCAGAACATAAGGTCGATCGTTCAAAGCAGCTAGCCCCACTTATATGGCGTCAGTATCAGAAGCCAACAGACGTAATCTGACGCAATATTTCCCCCATTGGTAATGCACAAGTCAATTATAGGAGTGTTTTAGTCTTCATTGGATGCGTCATCTAAAAAGTGTTGAGAGTTTATCTTTTATCCACAAGCGCCATAAAAGGTTAGCATCATAATACTATATATGCTGCATGTACCCAAAACCCTATTCCTCAGTCCACATTCCTTAGCGAACTGATGGCTATCAGACCCGAATTACCTTCACGCTATTCATGTGGATAGCCGCTCGACTTCGAAATTGAGACTACAGTGACAGCCTTTCCTGAGATACTCATCGGCAATTCAGTTTCTCTGGGTGCCCCAACTTCCATGGCTGATAACTTGACACTGGTAGTGGTTGGGGACGAGGGCGTGGGGAAATCAGCGCTTGCAGTGCGGGTTTGTCATGTATTTTCCTATCATATCCGAGAAGGTGCTAATTTCGACCATAGTTCTGTCTAGACCAATTCGCCGAGGGCTTCGAACCAACGATGAATGATTCATATCGCACGCGAATGGTGGTTGACAACAGGCCTTGCATCCTCGAGATTATAGACACGGCGGGGCGTGGGGAATATGCTGCGCTCCGTGAAGATTACATTCGCGATGGGGACGCATTTATTATTGCATACAGCATCACCTCTCGGGAGTCCTTCTCTCATGTTCGAACGTACTACAGCAATATCAAACAAGTGAAAGAAGACATGGAGGCGGAAAATACTTTAAAGCTGTCGCCCTCCAAGCGCCCGGTTCGTTCGCCCATCATCCTGGTGGGTACTAAGAATGATGTGCAAGCTCAGCGTGAAGTCTCCCACAAGGAAGGACGGATGCTCTCAAAGTCGCTAGACTGCTGGTTCTATGAAACATCACCTAAGTGTGGCTCAGATGTAGAGAGGGCGTTTAGTGATGTTATTAGATGCTTTCGGCAAGAGAATCTTCCCGGTCATCCCAAACCTCCAGCGTCGAAGCGATCAAGGAAGGGTCAACATAGACGGAAGGTCCATGACGCACGCAGGTGCATCGTTTCGTAAATAGTATAACCGTGGTTTATGAAGTCAGCTACCAGTATCCGCAGTCATACAGACTTTCGATGGGCAATCAGTCGGGACACGACTCTTTAGCAACCTCAATTTGTATGAAGGGACGAGAAACAATGATTGAAGCATACCAACTCTAGCAGTACGTTTGATTGTGAGTCATGCCAAAATTATTTATCATCCCCTTATGCATCATTTATCCATTGGCTAGCAGGCAGTCCCGGAAGAATAGTACCTAGGCACCAGTCTACCTAGCCCTGGAGGTAGTGGGCTACCAATAACGTAATCCGCCAGCAATACACACCTAGGAAAAGCCTAGTCTACATGGATTATGTGTTGTATACTCCGTAGTTGTCGGTCAATAACTTCGTAATTGAGAATGAGTCAACTTCCAGGTACGTTGCTCTCTGGCTTTGAACCAAGCGTAACAGATAAATCTGAGGGATTGAGCCTAGCAGAAAGCGTCTTTGATGCTCACATCATATGTGTTGCTAGCCCTGGTTGGGGGCCAAAGTGTGGGGTTTAGCGTCTTTCCTTTCCGGTGAATAACATTACGCGCAGTATTAAAACACATTATCCAGCGTTACAGATCCAAAAGGAAGTTCTGTCCAATTTACTTTGATTGCATGGTAGAATGAAAAAAAGATGTCAGGTACCAGAAGCGTCGCACTAGCGTGGATCTGTGACGCTGGCCGAGGACAAATTCAACGAAAGCATACTTAGGTAAAGTGAGCTGATATTCTTATTAGTACAAGCATGTCTCTCAAACTGTCTCCGTTCCCCTCAAAACGCAAGTTTTATAAAGCTGCATGGGCCGCAAAGAGCCTCATTTACTGCTTTGCTAGACGGACCTGCCATCGATATTGCTCCAGCTGACCGGATCTAGGACGAGCTTGATTCCCCCGACGCTAGCGGATAATTAATTCCAGCCCTGGAGGGTAGCTTCTTCTGGCTTACGTTGCGAGGAACAATTATGGCCCCCACTCTTTTCTCACTAATAAAAGCCAGCAAAGACTTAGCATTCTTGGCAAGTTCTTGTTCTGGATCTCAACCCTTAACTTCTCACACAAGACACAAGACTGATCGGTGACATGGCGCGATCATTTGCAGATAATAACGCAATACCCAAAGGCTGGCGTACTCGACACCCGGGATCTGCCATGTGGATCGTCATCGCTATCTTTCGGGGCTTTTTAGAGGCAATTTTCTACAGTATCTACTACATCCCGAGCCCTTTGCGCCAGAGTCCAACGTGGGCCTACCGTCAGGCCTGTATGACACGGCTTCTGGAGAGAGTCTTTCATATTATCACGGAAATTGGTTTCACGCAATCTTTGAGCCTAGAAGCGGGCAAACTCGGCGATCGCTGGGTGACTATAGACCCAGCGCCAGCGTCCGCATATTACGGCGACTTCGCAAGTGACACTATCAAACCAGAGACGGTCGGCGGTACCTGGTATCCAAGTCTACCATTGAAACAGTCGCTGCTAGAAGAACAAGGCCTAGTGGTTTTATCCTTTCATTCTGGCTCGCTCCTATGGCTGACTGGACGGCCGGAGGACTCAGGCCCCACTGCAACTATGCTGAATAACAGTCTGGGCAACAATACTCGCTCTTTTTGGCTGCAGTACCGTCTCGCCGGTGGCAGTAACCCAACACCATATCCGGGGCCATGCAAGACGCGGTAACAGCATACATCTACCTCACCAAAGACATGGGAATATCCCCATCGCGCATTGTTCTCGCAGGCGATTCCACAGGCTCGACTATTGCAGTCGCGCTGTTGCGCTATCTTGCCTCTATCAAGGAGGTAAAAGATCATGAGCTTGCCGAGCTTCCACCTCCAAAGGCATGTCTTTTGTTTTCGCCCTCGGTCGAGTATTGCTTCGAAGGTGATCCGGAGGCTGTCAGCGCAAATAGGAATATTAAGACCGATTATGTCGAGGCGCGTATGATGGCATGGGGTGCAAGGGCAATTGCGTTACCTGAGACCGTGCGACTGGATGATCCGTATATCTCTCCAGCGCTGCATCCATTTGCTACCCCGGTTCCAATTTTCGTTCAGGCGGGTGGCGCGGAGGTTCTCGCTGATAGTGTTCGTGGATTTGCCACCGCGATGAGCTCTGTCCCGGGCAATGTGGTAGAACATTTTGAAGTTCCAGATGTGCCACATGATATTTATGCTGTGGGCGCTATTCTCGGATGGCCGAAGGAGCAAGAAGAGATCCATGAAGCTGCGGCCAGATTTGTTCTACAATGAGCTTTTAGCTTTTCATCATGTCATTTCATTTGATTTCTCCATTACAACATCCAATACGGTAAGGCCGTTCCCCCATCCATATGTTCTAAGTCACTAACTTTGCGCTATATAGGTCTATAGTGATCTATTTTTACATGTCTCTTTCTGTGTGAGTTCGTCTGTCGTCAATATTGTGATGGGGAGTTATGTCGATCCCTCCGCGAAACTGTTATACAACGGACAGGGTATCTCTTCACGATTCTGTTGGTTCGAGTGAAGTACATAGAGTACATTTCACGCGACGAGATAGCTGCTTCAAAGGAGCAGATAGAAGAACGCGAGAAGGAATCAAACTCCCCCTAGTTGAAGCAGAGAAAGGCAGGTATTTGGAAGGCACCCTCTTGGGGTCACTGCTTTGCTATTTGTCTTTCATGAAGAAAGCCATTCACTCTTTGCGAGGCCAAGACGCTGGTGAAAATTGGCTCCCTTCTGTGGCCGAAATATAGGTATCGATATCAACATTATCAATGCCAGGCATGGAACTTGCGGCATGAGAAAGTCGATTGATCATTCTGGTTTGCTACGACCCCGAGCCCAGATGGAGACGACAACTTCTTAATCACCTCAAGCAACTTTGTACACATTTTTCTGCCTTGAAACATTTGGTCGGAAGGGCCTGGTATTGAAGAAAGAAACCCTATGCACAGTAATTGCGAAGCCTCATCCGACCCAGGAAAAGAAAGAGAAGATAGTAACAGGAAGGAATTATAAAAAAAGTCGGAAGTCTTTTAGCGGGTTTAACATCTGCGGAAGTGATGCAGAGAACTTTGATAAGGACAAGCTATTTCTAAGGTTGTCAACGCATGCAGGTTAATAAACTTGAAAGGGCATAGTCTGTTGCGGCTTTGTGAACGTGTGAAGCTATATGAAACCCTAAAGTCTCTCATCAATCCTTTGCTACGTCGGTGAAAGAGACTTAGGAGTTGCTGATGGTTCGATCTCGGATTGGGGAATCAGATCCCAGAAGACGATTGTAAAATATCCGACAAAAAGAAATTCCGGTGATATAAACAAACGAGCAACTAATACCTAGGTAAATTGGGGGTACTTTGTAGGGCGGGGTTATGACCGTTGCCTGAAAACTAAACCCCTTCAAATCTGACGTCTCACACTCCAGACCAACAAAAAGAAAACACCAAACATGTACGTTTTACGCGTTTGCCAAGTTCCCATTGTGGTTCTTGGATTTCTCTCCCTTGGATGATACACTCGCTGACACTATGTAGGTCCACTCCATCGACCATCGACCGACTGCGACAACTAAGCGGCTCAATTGAGCAAATTTGCAAAATAGGCGGCGTCCCTGGCGTTTCAATTGGAGTTCTTGACCATGGAGAAAATCTGTGGACCGAAAACTTTGGGTTCCGTGACAAATGCAAAACATCGCTTCCAAACGCAAACACCCAGTACGGAATCGGAAATATCACCATGTCAATGGTAGCTGCTGGTGTTGGGAAACTCGTGGACGATGGAAAGCTTCAGTGGACAACTCTGTTGAGAGAAATCATACCCGAGATTGGCCATTCTCATGCGAAATGGACCTACACATCCACAATAGCTGATCTCTTAGCGCATCGCTGTGGCTTGGATGGAGAAATTGCAACATTGCTAGCTGACGGTGAAATTGGCGACGTACGGCTTCCTCTCGAAGCGTTCTTGAAAACTGTTGATCGCATCCCGCACCCACTTCCGCACCGTGAGAGCTGGTTGATGTGTCCGTGGGGATACACAATCGCTGCACACATAGTCGAGCTTATATCTCAGCAGCCACTTCACAAGTATCTTCATGATCAAGTGTTCCAGCCACTGGGGATGACTTCTACCACTTTTCGACCGTCGTTTGAAGGAAGCAATAATATCGCTGAGCCACATGCTTCACTTAGCGACGGGGAGGCTTGTCCATTGGCATTTCAACCCAGGTACTCCTTTTCTTCGTTCGAAGCTTCACGCGGAGCCTATTCGACAGTGAATGATCTTCTCTTATGGGCCAAGGAAACATTGGCTGCCAGCCAAAACACGAGGACACCTTCCAACACAGTATTGAAACAAATCCCGCAGATACTCAGCAACCATATTGCAATGAATAATCCATCGTTGTCGGAACGATCGTATGGATTTGGCTGGGCCAGAGCCCAGCTCCCTGGGATTGTGGGCCTTCTCGGTGGAAACTCATCACTCTGGGATATGTCCGAGCAGCCTGTCTTCGGGGCTGGAGATCAGTCTAGGCTCATGATTTATCATCAAGGCGGAGGACCGGGGTACTCTTCGTTCCTTGCTCTCTTTCCTGAGACACAGTCGGCCGTTGTAGTTCTCATGAACACCACTGCGACGAGCGATGCGGCTGATTGGATCGCACGACTCCTAATCGAAGGCCTCTTCGACTTTGCAAAACCCACCGATTATGTAAAGCTAGCAGAAGAAGGTAAAAGACGGACACTCGAACGGTTCGCTACACTACATGAACGATTGACCGAGGAGCGGATCCAGGGAGCACCACCACTGCCCCTTGAATGCTACGTCGGCAAGTACAACAATAAGGAATATAAGTACTTGCTGGAAGTCACTCTGAATCCAGGGTCGCAGAGCGACCTTATGATTTCCTTCCGGCCCGGCTCGCAGAGCTATCCTCTCCGTCACTATCACGACCACGTCTTTGAGTGGAGTATGAGCTTTGACGAAATCAGGAATAGTGGGAGATATGACATCGTGGATCCTTCATACTATAGGATTCGCTTCGAAACCTATCCCGACAACCGGGCATCTCGGATAATCTGGAATATTCACGACGCGTCAGTTCCCGATGGACTAACATTTGAGTGGAAAGACGAATGTCTTGCGGAAGCATGGCGTGCAGTACATGCCGGTATGGACCACCTCATTTCAAACATCTTCTAGGATTCAGTACTGACTTGAGGATAAACGGCTATTTAGACATAGTGTCCGCCAAGCATTTGCGGTAAATTCATTGGAAGAGTGCCGTATTTAATTTGTGTGGGATTTCTTAGGCTCGGGTGATATACTATGACATTGAAGATAGTAGGTGGGAACGCGTGACATTTAGACATAGTATCTTGTTCCCGAATGAACTAACAATCCTTGTAGGAGACCGACAACCCTTTGATAAGTGGGAAGTACGGACGAGCTGCCGAAAGGGCCCTTGAAAGATTGCACAGCTTCAGCGGTGGATCTAAGTCTATTCAAGTTGCTTCCATTTATTGACATTTATGTATTATACATCCAGGAACCGCTATTCTCATTATCCTTAGGCGATTGGTGGATACCAGTTTATATTTCCTGGGCGGGGAGAATAGGGGCCCGGCAGTGTCTCCAAAGTGCCTAAAGTAGAAATAGCAAGGGCGCATGTGGATTCCGCTCCTTTTAAAATCGAATTGGACCACAAGAAGCTTCATTGAATACCGTCTTTCCCCCACACAGGAACCCTTGCTGAAATGAAACTTCCGGTGGAGATCCTTCTTATCGTGGTTGGGGTACGTTCTCCAGGACTCTTTCGCAGCAAGCCGGCCTTACTGACCTCATAAGCAAGCTATGCCATAAAAGTGAGCTATTGAATATGCGAGCAGTGTCTCGAAATTTCAATAAAATATGTGAACCCATTATATACCGCTTTCTCGTCGATGAAATTCTAACTGGGCGACACTTTCATCTGCATCGAGCCGTCTCATCACGCCGAATGAGCACAATTGTACGACTCATTGACGATGGAGCACCTGTCATGCAGAAAAACGCGGAAGGGGAAACTCCATTACACATTGCGTCGAGGAATGGTTATGTTGCTGGTGTTGAGGCTCTGGTTCGTTACGTGAAAGATATAAATGCGCCTACATCCCACGAATGGACGGCATTGCAACTGGCGGCTCGGTACGGACATGAGGAAGTTATCGTTATATTTCTTCAAAATGGTGCAGATCCTGATATTCGTGGTTTTCACGGTTGGACTGCCTTGCATTATGCTATGCGAACTGGACATCGAAAAGCGGTTGAGTTGTTGATAGGCGCTGGTGCACGCATTGATATTCTGGATAATGACCAAAAAAGCCCCACCTATCTAGCACGAACAGCTGGACAGCGTGAAATATTGGAAATTTTCAATACAGCTGGTTGCCTGTACGATATATGATGTATACACCAATAGCCTATGCATGCCCAAAATGTTAATCTATTGGCAGTACTATCTGGATGCAAGAATAATAAAAGCGTGCAACAGGCACATTAAATGCTTGCATGAAGCGAGCTTGCTTTATGTCATGCCCAGTGCGTGTTTTCTCATTTTAATCAGGAAAGTGGAGTATAGGAAAGGTCGGAAGTAGCTCTTATTGGCTGGCAAGCAATAACCTTAACCCATCACTTCCTAATCGAGTAACTCGAAAGGCGTGCATGAGTCATCAATCCGTTGTCCAGGGTGGACCTCGACAAGGTTCCCATTACCGCAGGGACATTTCAACACCATCCAACCGCTCCGCTATGTCGGATAATGAGCTACCCTCATCCTTTTTGAACGACGTTGACCTGCAGTGCTCGCTGTTTCCCGATTTACCGGATTTAACGAACGATGATGGGCTGAGCCCACTGGATCGCTGGAAAAACTCCCCGCCAGAGACAGAAGCTGTTGATTTGAGTGATATAGTGAAGTCCATAAGACTCGACAACAGCCAGGGAACGTATCAGATGCGACAAAATTCTCAAGATGCAAAATTTTCACAGCGCGGTTATCGACGCTCTCGCCGCTCACCATCATCAGTTGCTGCGTCCGACTCAACCAGATCTAGTGCCTCGAGCAGTTCAGCGTCATCAGCCCACAGCTTTGGGTCCAACGTATCGGGCTCGTTTGGGCGATTTTATGCGGGAGTACCAACACGGCGCCGACGCAGACGCCAGCGTAAGAAGTCACCTGTGTCTCGTGGACGTACTCAATCACCAAAACGGCTTTACCAATGCACCTTTTGCACAGACACATTCAAGTCAAAACATGACTGGGTAAGGCACGAGAAGAGCCTGCATCTGTCGTTGGAAAGTTGGACTTGCGCGCCATTCGGACCGACCTATAAGATCCAAGGTGCGACTCTATCAAGATGCGTCTATTGCGATACAGAGGACCCATCCGAGATCCATGTTCGTGACCACCGCTTCTGGGAATGTCAGCAAAAGCCATCTGTCCTCCGAACGTTCTATCGAAAAGACCATCTTATCCAGCACCTGCGCTTGGTGCATGGAACAGACAACAGTATTCCTCACGTGGAAGAAACATGGAGGTCAGAAGTGACACACGTCAATTCACGATGTGGCTTTTGCGAGCAAACTTTTACACGGTGGGCCGACCGGAATAATCACCTTGCAGCCCATTTTCGGGACGGTCTCCTGATGAAGGACTGGAAAGGCTGTCGCGGTCTTGATCCTGCGGTAGCCCTTGCCGTAGAGAATGCCATGCCGCCCTATCTCATCGGTGCTGAATCTACTGGCATCAATCCTTTTAGTGCTTCAACACGATGCCCAAATCCGCGGAATGTCAACAATAAGTCCTATCCGCAGCAAAAAGCCAATATCCAGCCAACCCCATTTGAACAGTTGACAGAACGCTTGATTCGCTTTGTCCGAGAAAGGCAGGCGACTGGGGTTCCTGTAACCGATGACGCTATCCAACATGAAGCACGCTGCTTTGTCTACGGTGATGAAGATCCGTGGAATCAAACTGCAGCAGATAACGCAGACTGGCTGCGATTGTTCAAAGATGGAATGGGCTTAGGTCCATCTTTGTCCACAACGACTACTTATTCTGCCGTGGTCTCGCCAAAGCCATCGTTTCCACTCCCGTGGACAACAAACACAACGAATACACCGGGTAACAACGACCCACAGAGCCCGCCTGAATCTTGTTCCCGAGTTGCACCGCCGGTTGACCCATGGATGCCTTGGGCCTGGCAAAGCCCTGAATGCCTTGCGGAACTCCGCAGGTCTAATGACCCTTCGGGATCTTGTCCCATGCCACCACAGAAATGAGGCGTTTTCAAAGCGCCATTAGTAACACAATAACACAATCTTGGAACCTTGAAACCATCGAATGAGGTTTTAAATCTTCGTGAGATTGAGGTAATTTTCGAGAGTCACATCGCTTGCCTTGTTGATAATGTCCCTGAGGGCCGGCCTCATTACCCACCCGTGATCGCTGCCGTCGGTGTGTTCTTTCACGCTCACATCAACGAGTTCATGGACAATAATAGGCTCGACACACCGTCCTTAGCCGGAACACCCTCATTAGCAGAGTTCCATCTGTAAGATGCATTGACATAGACCATGAAAGAAGGCGTCTTGTTACAAGACTCCGATACCATTAGTGATAAACAGAAGAATGATTTAGTTACTTAGCATTATTATGGGCAAATTTATCTTCGACTCCTTTTTGGACTAGTCTTCATGACGTGGGTTGTTTTCAGTCGAATATGTCGTTATGTCGGACCTGGAGGCTTTTAAAATACTACGCAAAGTAAATGAATATTTTCTACGGTAGTAGATCTATAGAATGTAGTGACCTAGAATGCCTCAATATTTACAGATCCTTACATTTTCTTTTACTCTTTCGCATTGTCACAAGGGAAGGAAAGGCTACGATCTTCAAGCTGGTTACTTTCCTGAAGAAAATGGGGACTAACAAGATAGCGACCCGAAGGTTTCGCCTTGGTTTGACAAAAGGTATCTCACTGTTGCCTCTTAGAATTTCGCCCCAAAGCCACGCTGCTACTAAAGAACATCGTAACCATGCTCCTCCATCCAGTCGTCATCGGCAAACTTTGTCAGATAGTTGCGGAGACTATCCGGCAGTATAACGACAATGAGCTTGCCTTCCGCGTTAAGTTCAGGACGAGCTTCAACCAGCTGGGCTAGTGCGGCAATCGTCGCACCCGAGGACCCTCCACAAAGAAGCCCCTCCTCTCGTACAAGGCGTCGTGCATACTGGAAGGAGTCCCGATCAGAGGTTTTGATCCAGAGGTCGGGCTCAGCTTGGTTCAAGACCTCCGGCACAAAGTCGTACCCGATTCCTTCAACCTTGTATTCCGTTTTGTGGTTGTTAAGCTCGCCTGGCTGAGCAAGGACTGATCCAAGTGGATCGACCGCCACGCATAGGATGTCCTTGCTGTGTTTCTTAAGACCCCTGGTTGTGCCAGTAACGGTCCCTCCGGTACCAGCTCCGCCGATTAACACGTCAATCTGTCCTTCTGTCTGGTGCCACAGCTCCTCCGCGGTCCCGAACTCGTGTGCAGCCGGATTTTCAGGGTTCGTATATTGATTGAGGATGAATGAGTTTTGAATCTCCTTCTGAAGGCGATGTGCCACGCTGATGATGGAATCCGGAGAGTCAATGGGAACACCCGCTGGAGTACGAACGACCTTCGCTCCTAAAGCTTTCAACATCTGCTCCTTTTCAAGCGACATCTTCTCAGAGAGTGTGATGATGCATTTGTAGCCTTTGATGACCGCCATCAGGGCAATAGCGATTCCACTGTTCCGTCATATGAAATTAGCCCTTTTCCTTGCTGCTCATATAGCTGCTTCCACACTCACGTGTTGCCACTCGAAGCCTCAATCAATGTATCTCCGGGTTTGATCCTCCCATCTCTTTCCGCTTTCTCAACCATGCGTTTGGCGATCCGGTCCTTCACTGAACCACCCGCATTAAAGTATTCGAGCTTCGCATACACCTGCGCTTTGATACCGATCGCAGCAGGGAGGCGGTTGAGACGGACTAATGGCGTAGCTCCAATGCAGTCTGCGACAGAGCCATTCTTAAGCTGGCCGAGAAACGGCGCGGCTTTGCTTGTTTCTTCCATTGGATTGTATGATCTTTTGGATTTGTGAGGTTTGATGATAATGACTGAAGAAAAATCTTTTCCGGGGATTGTTTTGAAGATGATGGTTATCTAGTTTAGGAAACCGATAGGGCGGCAGTTACCAGTTTTCCCAAAAAGGAAATCGCAAGGGCTCGGTCGGCGCCAAGCTTTTCTCGGAACCTTATACCACTGACGTCATGTCCTTAGGTACTAGGTAAGCAACCTGCCCAGGTGTAGAATATGGGTAAGCCTCTGGACCGCTCTATATTATGAATTGACAAAGAGAAGTGCACTGCCAAGAAAGGAAACCAATAGGGCGTATCGTATCAAATGGAATCTCCGGGTGACTCCGAGAAAAGAAAATGGAGTGGTTTGCCCCACATCAACGGGCCACGTTAAAACGACGCAGACACCCAATTTTTGACTTCCCTTGATTCTCTCCCATTAGACTATTTACCTATCAGCAAACGCAACCGACACTTGAAATGACAACCCCCCAAGAACGACTTCAGTCTCCCGAGAATCGGTCTCGCTTGATCAGACACTTCGAACAAAGGTATGATATTTGTCTTATTCAGTCGAGTGATAGAGGTCTGACACCTCGCAGTTCGATCGAGAACCACAATGCAGCATGGGACAGCCTTTGGGAGACTGATAACAGCGACATGTGGGACAGAGGGAATCCCTCGCCTGCCTTAGTTGACCTCCTAGAGCAAAGGGAGGACATCTTGAGCCCAATTGCAGCTAACGGCCAGAGGAAGAAGATCCTCGTACCTGTAAGAGATCTTCTTTTAGATTTCCACACGAATCCAGGAAACTTACACTGCGTAGGGATGCGGAAAAGGCTACGATGTGGTCATGCTCGCTCTGCATGGATTCGATGCCGTTGGGCTCGAGATCTCAGCCAAGGGAGTTTCTACTGCCGAGGAGTATGCACAGAAAGAACTTCAAGCTCCACAAGCATACAACTTCGGGTCTGCTTGGACAAACAAGTTTGAAAGAGGCTCTGTGTCTTTCATTCAGGGTGATTTCTTCCAGTCAGACTGCACGAAAGGGGAGAAGTTCGACGTAATTTATGACTACACTGTAAGTCATCGGACCTGTAGACCTCTGCACACAAGCTAATTCAAGGCAGTTCCTTTGTGCTCTTCATCCAAATATGCGTGCTCAGTGGGCCTCGCGCATGGCTGATCTAGTGTTTTTCGGGTGGCCTTCTGGTTTGTCTGGAGTTCCCTCTCTTTAAAGAAATCAGTTATCCAGGCCCACCATGGCCCTTGCAAGGCGTGCACTGGAATTTGCTGGCTGAGAGTGGTGATGGAATTCTATATCCCCCTAAACAAGAGCAACAGGTGGGAACAGGTTCTTTCGAGAGGAAGTGGTATATCAAGCCCGAGAGGTCCTACGAGAGTGGACAAGGTACCGATATGTTGAGCATCTACGCAAGGAAGTAAACCCAAAACGGTTAAAAACTGGCTCTTTGACTGCCGCATCAATACATGCCATTCTATTCATTGGTTATGTAATATTTGAAGTAAGACCGTGAGCCTATCCAATATAGAGAAGCGGGGAAAGTGCTAGTTTGTGCGAAAGTGCGAGCATGACGCTGAGTTATTTTGCGTTCGCTGCTCACTGCTGGATGCATATGTACCGGATAATGGCTGGAAGTCAAGACCTTTCCCATTCCATTTTAGTGCTCAACTCTTGCCGCTTTTCTATCTCTATAGGGAGTGGATGCCTATAGCCTAGGAAGCGGCCGAGACACTACTTTTCAAGTCGCTTCTCAGGCAGCTTCAAGGATATAAGAAGAACCAAAACCAAACTGCCGCAGGATGTTGCTATCCAAAGTCAGCTGAAAAAAATAGGAATCTGAGAAGTTCTCTCATACCTGCGATGACCCCAAAAGACTGCAAGAAACAATTTCTTACAATCGACTGAACCGGCTCAGACAAGGTAAAAGCAAATCGATGATCATTCAAAATGTGCCCAACAAGCTATAAATTGCATCCATGTTAGATAAGAGACAAAGGGCCAAGCAAAATTTGAACACAAACCCGGGATTTATCTTTGCGTAGGGGAATGTCCTGGGACAGACACTTTTCAAAAACCGCCCGACTGGCTGAAGATACCACAGAAATACCCACCACTAATCCCAACTGCTGGCAGAGATAATAATTTGTCATAGCAGTGGCTGTCATCTGGCTTGGGACCGATACTGACAATGCTGAGAAGGTACATACAAGGATACCACCCACTCCGAAGCCCATGCCAGCGTAAAATATCATATCGCAAAATAATGGTCGATGTGGCCATCGTCCTGCTATCAATGCATTACTGGCTATCGCAACTATGCAGCCTGCAATTAAAAGTTTCTTGTATCTCCCAGTCCTAATGGTGGATTAGTTAACATATATTGGATCACCCAGGGAAGGCATACATACTTCTGCACGATTATACTATTGATAGCTGCGCTCGCAACGTTTCCAAATACGATTGGCAATATGCATGCAGAAGCGAGGCTGTTGCCATAGTCCTTTGTCCGGATCCAGAATTCTGTGACATGACTGGAGATCTGTGCGGGCTCGGTCAGTAAAAGTGCGACACGCGAGGTAGGACTTACCTACACTTCCATAGCTGAAGAAAAGAATTATTTGTGCGAGATACATTGCACCGATGCCGTTCGTCTTGATCAACTTTAGCGGAATCAATGGGGCATTTGTCCAGCACCGTTCGTTGATTCCAAAAAGCAAGACGCTGACGAAGAATACTGATGATACAATTGGTAACCCAATTGTTAATTTAGATCTCAGTTCACCTGAGAATTCACAAACTATCATTAGTGAAGCGACGGAGAGACCGAGAAGAAAGATCCCTAGTAAATTGAAATCTGGTCGAGGAGATACCTCTCCCTCCTTCTGAGAGCTGCTCCTCTCCTTGGCTCTTCTCAGTCGCCAGAAAGCCATAGCTAAACAAATGAGGCTCATTGGAATTTGTAAAACAAAGGCCCATCTCCAGCCAATCCACTGAGTCAAAGCACCCCCCAACGGGGCACCAACGGGAACAGCAATAGTCATGACGATCGATATGTATGAACGTAAACCTGTGGCTTTTCTTGGGGGGCACCGAGTCTGTGTTTCGATCGTCAGTACAATTCATAGCGTTTATATTGACTGTTTTGTTCCCAAGGTCGAATCCACAGACCGTTGACAATGACAACGAGTAAATCCGTCATCCCCGAGCCACCAGCGCCAGAAAGGAACCTTCCAACAATCGCAATCCACAAAGAGCTGGCAAATCCACTTGAAAAAAGTAAGTCACCTTCTTGGCCTGGAGGTTTCACTTGTCTCAACTCACGACATTGCACATCCAACAGAGAAAATTAAATAAGCCGCTTGGATTGGGTACCTGTACCCATAGATATCACAGACTCGTCCGTACTGTCACTGTCAGGTCCAGGAACGCCACAGTTATCAGAAATGGTAATCATACGACCGGTAACGAGACGGCAAATCCTAGATTGTATGCCGTGACGAGCCATGATCCCATAGAGCCGTGACCAAAGTCAGACGCGATCGTCCCGTATGTAGTGAAAACAAAGGTATCGTCCGCAAAGGCAAGAAATACGCCTATCGATGTCAGGTTAGATCGAGTTTTAAAACTCCAGAGGTCCTTGTTGGAAGTGATAGCTGACTTGCCTAATAGTCCAGTACAAAAGAATGTGTAATCCATTCCTGACTTCTGGACTTCATCTGAAGAGCCTTCGTTTTTCGGAGAGTCTCTTTTTCCTTGGCCATTTTTATCTTGGCTCATTAGATCCGTGGAAGGGTCCGACGATTCGTGTTCCGCCATTTCCTGAACTGGAATTGAGGATTGGAGTTATAACGAATAGTCAATTCCAACAGGCTACCTAGGAAGCAAATTGGGAGGGAATGGAGAAGAAGGAAAGGGAGAGCTACCACCCTATGGGTTTAGTTAAGGGAGACAAATATGCTATGTATCACCGCTAGGGATAGCATGTATAACATATTCCATACTTGCCAACATACTACGTGATCTCCACTTAGGTGCATTATCAAATAGCGGTAAAATATGACAAAACAAAACACTTTTCTTTTGCGTGAGATTGGGATTGAAAGGGGTATTTGTAAGTAAAATACGTAACGCTAAAGACATGGCTATGTAGACAGTCAGTGAACGCAATTTGCACGAAGTGGATTGATATCATTGACACTGCCTACAAACGATCTACAAAGGGGCACAAAACTATTGATTAAAATTTGAGGACTCATGTCTATCCTTCTGGAATTTCAGTTGGCAAACTCCGCTTCAGGTAGACAAAGATTAATGACAAATTCCTATGACGGCGCCACTTTCACTTGAGGTTCAAAAATCATCCATAGTTTCTGCTACCGGGGGTATTCAGGTTGAATCAGAACTGAACCATACTATCTCATACACATCAAGCCCTCTCAAAGACGGTCACGGTAATGATATAGCAGACAGTCTCAAGTGCTCTAAATAAAGAACCAAAGGCCGCTCCCTTCACAAAGATATTTCTTCTTTCCGTCGTCTAAGGTTGATTTTGATGTTTGAGTGCGGTAGGATATTATGCCCACGCAGCTGAACGCGGCCTTCTTCCGGTAGGATCACATTGAAATCATACTTCAGGATAATGTGGCACAGCGCTACTTTCAGAAACATTGCAGCGTAGTGTCTTCCAGGACATGCCTGTTTGCCGTGTCCAAAGCCCATATGATCCGCACTCGTCGAGGTAAGCTGGTAGGGGCTTGTCAAAGAATTTTTCGCGTTCTTGCGCAAATTTGCAAATCGGTAGCCGTCGTATTTGCCCCCATTCGGCCAAACTGAGGAGTCCATCATATGACATGATGATACCATGATTGCAGTTCCCTTTGGGATAATCAACCCATCAGGTAAAACCACCTTCTCTTTGGCGAGTCGCTCCATGTTGCCTAATTACAATGAGCCAATGAATTGTGCTTGTGCACATGATCAGCGTTCATAGATCACTTACTGTATCCGAGTGGGCTGAGCCTTTGGGATTCCTTAATTGCACTGTCCAGAAGGTATAGCCGTTGTGTAGATGACTTGGTCAAACCCTCTTTTCCGACAACCTCAATGATTTCCTTTCGAATGTCATTCACCAGAGCCGGATTCTCGGAGAGGTCGCAGATAGCCTTTGCAATCAAATCACTGGATGTATCCAGTGAAGCAAGCGCAAGTGTGAGCTGCAACGTAGTAAAGTCATATGAGCAACCTTTGCTCACCTCCTTGACCCACGCAAGCGCATTCATCTCTGAATCAGGGCCAATTTCTTTGTCAAGCAGAGGATTTAGGTATTTCTCGACCTCTCGAAGCTGTACCCGAACCTCTCGACATTTTGGAATAAATCGGGAAGCAAGGCATCTCATAGGCATTGGCCATCGGCGTAACTCATGAGCGGCGATAAACGTGTTTTCCAGAAATTCAAACATCAGATCTAGCCATTCTTGGTTCTTACACAGGTCTTTATCACCGAGAAATCCTCGGCATACCATTTGTGCCACGATTTGACTCGCTGTGTATCTCAGGTTGACTTGGTGCCATTCTGCTTTAAAGTTAGTAAAGTCCTGCCTGTATCATTATATTCGAAGAATTTGAGACGGGAAGTTATACCTGTTTCTTCAGTCCAGTGACGATCTAGGGCCAACCCTGTTTCTTCGGAGAGCGGATCGACGAGTTTGGCTTTGAATTCGAGTGTCATTCAAATGCTGGTGTTGCAAGCATGCCTAAACTTTTCAATCGACTTACGAGTCTGACGTGAGAGTTTTGTCTTCACAGCGTTCTGTATAACCCTAGATTCTAAGGCAACGTTCGCAATTGGCTCAAATCCCGGTACTCCTTCATGAAAATCCTAAAGGTAGGTAAATACTTTGCACTCGATTGCTCACTGTAATCGGAAATACTAACCTCTCCTATAAACTTTCCCAAATCGAATCGGTTATCACCTCCAATCACATCGGCATATTTCGGGCCTAGGATCAAGCGAAAATGTGACTCTGTGCACAGATAAAATGCATCCCCGCCCTATTATCAGATTGTATCCCCAAGGTCAGCGATATATGTGTAGACGAGTCGCGATTTTGCATGAACAGAGCTCTGCGCACCTTCTTAAGCCCGGCCCTTATCAATCCCTCTGGATCATCGATATACCGTTTTGTTGCTTTACCATAGCCAAATTCCCACCATTTCCTGTCATTGAAGACTGGCAATCGGGATGGATTCAGCTTTCGTGCCCTTATCTCAAGGAGCAAAAATGTTATAGCAATCGCTCCCAAGACAAGACCCCCAGAAGTAGAGTCAAGGTAAAACCATTGCTCGATAGCCATTTTAGTACCTCCTGTATCCGCTTAAACCGACTGTTGTACATGTGTTGTTGAAAGCTTTGAGGGAATACTAGCATAAAAAGTATTTGGAGGACCAAGGATGTTATGTCAGGCATATCCCCCTCCGTAAGAAGTCTGTCGATGTGGCTCCGCCAAGAATAGCCTAATGCTTGCGAGCGGGGCGTATTGCGTATACTATTTGTATGAGCCTGAAATTGTTAACTACTATAGAATACAGTACTCGGTTGGTATAATACAACAAGAATGCTACATCGGACAGGTCAACGAGATCTACTTTGACAGACTTTTTTAGAGGGTGGTACATCGATTTGCACTTACCCACTGAGTCAGGACGTCTACGCAACCTCCTCATTGATTGAAAATTGATGACTCCTTACTTTTCAAGAATGGCAAGAAAGATAAGTCACATCACAATAGGTACTATTAAATGCATAGATATGTCCATGCATGTACGGGTACGGAGGACATCCACGGAGTATGCAATATGAGTACGGCAAGGAGAAAGGGTCGCAGCTTACATGCGTGTTTCAGCCTCGAGGGCTGATTCCAGGGTTTAGACGGTTAGCCTGACCGCTTTTACACCGTGCACACTGTGTAGCTTTTGCGATACAAAGACTTTGATGTGATTCCTTTGATCTTTAAGTAAACAGACTGTGTTTATACTTAGCAAGCTGACATTTACTAAATGAAGTTTGAAGCCCTGGAGGTGATCATCATGAACCGGAACTCATCCTAGTAGAGAAATTTACCAATTCATGGAATATTGTATTATTTGCTTTTTGTTCGGAGGTCCCGAGGTCAGCTAAGCCGTGTGCCGATCAGAAGTTCCCTGGTATGTGTTCTGTGAGCTCAAAAATGACGATCACTTACTGTAGTTTCAGCGCCATGTTCTAGATGGCTACCGAGAATTTAGAAAGATGACTGGTAGAGGAATTATGACGTAGATCGCGATATATAGAGAATGAGGACGAATAGAAAGAAATTAGAACATTAGCTATCTTGGGAAAATTCCGATCGGGCATTATCCGATTTCCACCCGAGATCGATACTAGCGTGAACCTTAAATCCCTTTCCGAGTCTTAAACTATGTTTAAAAACTTTAATTAAATCCAGGGACTTCAAGCCGAAAACTCATCAAAAATACATGTATCAAATATTCCCGGATTGAAATTACTATCCTTTAAAGCCAATTCACGCATCAATAGCCAACATGAGTCAGAGAATTTTATGTAGAACCCCAAATATCTCCACCTACGGGCATCAACCAGCATCTTGAAGAACACCAACACCAGAGCATTCTCGACAAAGAGTATGTGGCATATTGGCCATCTTTGAATAAGTGTTGTGAAGCTCAGATTGGGCCAATTTGTCAACCTGAAGAATGACATTGGCGATAGTTTCCGGTTTCACAAGGGGATTCATCGTACACATTCGAAGCGTGGTTCTTCCGCGAATTTTGGTCGTGAGTATAGCAGCAATATTCTCAGCCAAGAGTCGCTGCGAAATAGCCGTGTTTAATGCATCCAACGCTTCTTCGTCGAGCCCACGAGGTGCGTATTGAAAAACCACAATGCTAGCAACTGTTGGGGCCGCAATAATCCAGTTCTTGTACTGACGGATACTATGATCTGCGGTACGAGCAAGAAGGAAACCTTGGTCGATCATTTCACCCATACGGTGACGACCCAAGGTCTTGAGAGTGAGCCACAGAGATATGGCACGCGCTGGGCGGCTGAGCTCTGGACTCAGATTGTAAAAGTTGGTGGTACCTTGTGGTGCCAATATACCACTGAGATACTCGGCATCCACGGCGAAGCTGCGCAAGAGAGAGCCAACTTTTCGCGTGAGCACAATCCCACATCCGTATGTCTGGAAGAGCCACTTATGCCCATCCCAAGAAACACTATCCGCGCGGCCGATCCCATCAACTAGGTAGCGATGCTTGTCAGAGAGCGCAATGGAAGCACCGTATGCACCGTCCACATGTAGCCATAGCCCTTCATCTCGTGCAATATCAGCGAGTGCATGAAGAGGGTCGATGCTGCCTGTGTTGGTGCTTCCACAATTGGCGACAAGAAGAAATGGTACACGTCCCGATTTGCGATCTGTGTTTATCGCGTGTCGTAGGATATCAACGTCTATGCGGAATGCATCATCGCTGGGTATCTTGTGGACCTGATAATCCATAAAGCCGCTTATATGTAGCGCCTTGCGAATAGAGATATGTGTCTGGTCGGAAGTGTAAATGACCGCGTCACCTCGCTGCGTAGGATGTAGCATCTCATCCCGGGCTGCAACTATGGCTGTCATGTTTGCTATAGAGCCACCCGAGACAAAGCACCCTCCAACTGAGTCTGGCAGTCCAAGCTGGCCACCCAGCCAGGCTATCATGGCTTTTTCGACCGCATTCGGACCAGAGCTCACATCCCAGCTAACAGCGTTGACGTTGTAAGCAGAAGTAAGAAGGTCACCCAGACGGGCAAGGGGAGTTGGGCAAGCTGGTATGTAGGAGAAGCAATGTGGGTGCGTGAGGCGCATGCGGTTGTCGAAGACTGTCATAGCTTCATGAAGGACGGATGAAAGATCTTGAGGATGGTCACCTGGCATGACTTGCTGCTGCATACTTTGGATCTCGTGTGCATGAAGCTTTTGAACAATAGGGTCAGACGGGGCTGGAGGCTTGATCGTGAGAAGTCGAGTCAAAAAAGACTCCGCCTCCAACATGATCCCGGACGGTTCGTTGTCTAACCTTTCCTCCTCTCCAATGGAACCCATGTTGAGATATCTGAAGAACGAATCAGTTTCACGGGCGATAACATAGTGAAGAAGTGTATAACAACTTGGATCAACGATCGTTGTCAGAATACGTACATTGCTCCAAGGATTCTACAGAGAAGAATGCATATGTGGTCGAGATTGATTTGGGGAGCTTCAGCGGAGAATATATCTCAGACTCGGAAATCTTTATAACAGCGCACTTGAGTATTTGATAAGAAGGAAACAGGAGATATTTCCTACTAACCCTTGCCACCCTTCGTAAAACTAACATAAACAGTGGAATGTTATACGCACAGCCACGCCTGCACTAGTCCTACACTAGTCCTACTTCGCTACTACATACAGCAATATAACACCACTATAACATTTACACGTATTTACGCGTCTGCATACTGTCTCCACATGTTCAGCCCCATGCTCTCGCATGGATGCATCTTATACCTCACATGCACTTCCAAGGTTGATCACGTTTGTCGATCCTGCTGTTACTCACAAAAGATAGAGTAAATTGAGATGACACGTTTCAAACCAGGCGAATCACTTCTTCCATATAGTGAATACTCCTTAATTTGGCGACAAAGCGTTTGGCACGCTGTGTTGCTGTATGTGGGTACTCTTGTTACATTTCTGTCATGTTAGCTCAAAAACAATAGATATTCAGAACCGGCTAGTTTCTTTGACCTTTGTTAGAGGTCAAAATAGAGCATGCAAATTGATAAAGAATACTCTAATACTTCAGGAAAATTTCACTCTCTTATTGTCCGTAACTAATTAGATCTAATATTTCGAAACGAACCACGCACGTCTCTCTTCAGGGGTCATCTGTTGCAGGACCTTTAGCTCAGATCTCTTCACAGTAAGATACGTCGACACCAGAGAATCACCCAAAATCTGCTTAAGGTGGTCGTTCGCCTCCAGATTCGTGAGACTTTGGGCCAGCTCGCAAGGCATCGTCTTGATGCCCAGCGCAGCTCGTTTTTGGTCGGACATCTGACTCGGCTCGATGGTGCAAGGGCCGGCGCTCAGAAACGAGCCTTGAACTAAGCCATCCAGCCCAGCTGCTAGCAATGCACAGAGCCCCAAATAAGGATTAGCTAGCCCGTCCATCATCTTGATTTCGAAGCGTTCACTGGAAATTCGCCGCAAGATTGTCTCTCTATTTTCCCATCCCCAGCACACATAGTCACCCCCACTCCGATGCCTCCAACAACCCGGCCGTAACTGATTTTCTGGGGAAGCGTGAAAGCAGAAATGGAAGTAAAATGGTCGAGGATACCAGCAAAGAACGACTCCACAGTTGGCAAATCCACCGTTTCAGAATTGAGCGAGATATGAACATGAGCTCCTGTTCCGGGCTGTTCGGGGGATAGTCGGGGATAAAGAGTTGCTCGGTATCCATGCTTGTTTGCAACCTTCATAACAACCTGTCTGGCGAGGAGCAGGGCATCAACAGCTCTGAGCGGGGTGTCTGGAGGAAGAACAAATTCCCATTGACCAGGAGCTAATTCCGCATGGAATTGTTGAACCATGATTCCAACGTCGCGCAAAGCCAGGACAGCTTCTTCCAGGATACCAAGTAGAAGCTCGTCCTCACGAGTCATGCTACACCACGAATGATCTGCATTGACCGTTTCGTACTCGACTTTCCCGTTGTCCAGAGTTCGTTGCCGTAAGAGACAGAATTCAAGCTCGAACCCGACCAGAATTGAGCAGTTCGACTTCTGTTCAATCAAACGTTCCAAAGAGTCCAACTTAGAGCGTGCGCATTCCCCCATAGGAAAATTCCCTTTGTGGGTCCATGTAGACATGACAATCGCCTTGTTCTTATCCATGTAGGGTGAAAGGCATCGAGGATCGGGTTTTAGCAAGAATGACCCCGTCAGGGTCCCACCTTCCGCCACATTATCGTGAGGGAGAACATGAAGTATGACCATTGGAACCGAGATTCCTTGATCCGTCTCCAACAATCGCTTGAACTCTGGCGTAGGAATTATGCGGACCAGATTGGTGCCAATGTATGTTGTGAAAAACACCCAAACGAAGTCTACGTCTGGGTTTTTGGCGTGAAACTGCTGCCATTGAGTCAAGGCTGTCGTTTTTGCCATTTTAGTTCGATCAATGGACAAAAAGTGGCATTCAAATGCTAGAGGGTTTTGAGATCGGCTGTGCGCGGAGGATTTATTCCTCAAGATAGTACACCTTAATTGTATATATAAAAATTACATAAACGTATTGTTATGTATCAGTAATTCAAATGATTCATAACGCGTCAACCTCTACAGGGTGAATGTTTTCACAATCGTCAAATTAAAATTTTGTTTCCCTGATTTTCCAGAGGATGCAGGTACGTCAGATCCACCGACAATGCGTTAGTCCGAATCTGGAGCAATCGATTTTCAATCGCGTGTCGGACTTTCCATTTGTATGCACATATACGCACATATACGCAAGCCACATACACAATGTGGTGCCGGGTGGTGCTGATATTCTGTATTCTCATGGTAGTTGGTACCTAGTGTCAACTAGTTTCTCACATTATTTGAGCCCTTTTGTGATTGTGCGGCTGAATCACACCGACGTTGGAATCACCGACCTCTACAGAGTATGCCTCTGGAAGTCGATCTATCACCTCCTCCCCTTGCTCTCAACCTCTCCAGCTGAAACTTGCATGTACGTACACTCAGACTAACCGCTTCAAAGAAAAAAAGAAATTTAGCGTAGCTAGTTTGGATGATCACTTTCTCTTACTTTGCTCTTCCTTCATAAATATTTGCCAAATAGGAAAGGAAAAAAAGCTTGACCGACTTCTTCACTTTTCTTTCTTTCTCTCTGTCTTTCTGCACATTTGATGAACAGCAAACATTTCCGACATGACGGTTGTGAATGACAAAATGGTTGTCCAAGGGGCGGATATGCTCCAATTTGAGCTCCTTGACAAGTCTTTGAACTGCCTAGTTGATAGTCAAAGGGACTGGTGGCAGAAGACCGGGCCTTTACTGGCCAGTTTGATGTCTTCGGCGGGCTATACCGATGAATCCCAACGTCAGCATTTGATGTTCTTTTACACATCTGTCGTCCCGTATCTCGGGCCATACCCTCAGAAGTTCCCCAGCGCGATGACCCATAATGAACTCCCCCTGGAACTCAGCATCAACTTTCAACAGTCAGGTGATACCGGACCAGTTATTCGAGTCGCGGTGGAACCTGTCACCTCCATCTCTGGAACGAAGGAGGACCCATTCAACCTGAGCCCTATCCGTGACATACTTTCTCATTTGGAGGAGCTCAACATTGAAGGATATGATCATCGCCTGTTCGAGCACTTTTTCCCTAAGCATACCTTGGATAGAAGTGAATGTCAAAAGCTCCAACAGAAGAATGAAGCAATTCGTGAACTTTCCCAAGTGGCTTTTGGTTTCGACCTCAAACCCGATACCATCTCCGTTAAGGGATACACTTTTCCAGGCTTGAAGTGTCATGTGGCAGGCAAAGACATGTGCTCTGTTGTCATCAAATCCATCCAAGAATATCTTGGTGATGCAGACCGCTACAATACATTGGGCTTGATGAAAGATTATATCGAAACGACGGAGGCGAGGGCCAACTTCGGGTTCGTCTACTCAAATGACTGCACGACTCCTGAAAAGTCACGCCACAAGGTATACGGCCGTACCAAAGATATGTCTTGGAACAAGGTCGAGGAGATTTGGGCTTTGGGCGGGCGAATTGATTCACCCGAGTCAGACAGGGGTCTTGATTACCTTCAACGATTGTGGGAACTGTTGGAGATTGGCCATGGTCCCCATCCCCTTGACCTTCATTTGGTGTGGAACTATGAAACAAAGGCCGGTCTTACGGTCCCAGCTACGAAGATTTACTTCCCTGTTTATGGTCTCAATGACCAGAAAAATGTGCGTGCCATCGCCCAATATCTCAAGGAAATCGGACTTGATATTTACGGGAATGCCTATGAGCAAGCTGTACGAGACTTGTTGTAAGTTTTTCCGATTATTTTGCGATGAAAGATCTTACGAAACTAACTGAATAAGCCCCGGTTTTGATATACAACACACGGATCGCCTGATTTGCTGGGTATCGTTCGCCTATACGGAGAAGACGGGGGTGTATCTAAGCGTTTACTATCACTCTTCACTGGAGTACCCTTGGCTTGAGAAAAAGGCCTGAACTTGGGCATCTTTTACAGCAAAGCAGTGCCAAGCATCCAAATATTGTTATAGATCGGTGCTCTCTTGCTGCGTACCACGGGGCGCAATTCAAACACAGTTGATATAAATTGCTATGAACTGATAAGTCTTCCATTTATTACTGGCCATGCACGTTTTGTCTAAGCCCAGTGTGCTGGTGCGGCATTTAGTGCTGATGAATTGCGCCCTGCCGATTTCCTTTTGGGGAATTAGCGGCCCATTATCCCTCGCAAGTGGTACCCTTTAAAACTCGGCCAAGTTATCTTGTTCAGACCGTAACTTTATCTTTCCTTATTATTCCAAAAGATTAAATTCAAAAAGGTTTCTTCTTCCAACAGACAACTGTTTACAATATGGGAGGGTTTGGTACCCGTGCTATTCGATCAGGCCTGCCGCGTGACGCCGGAACAGGTGCTCTGGTCGAACCTGTAAGTACGCCCAGAGCATTCAGACTAATACAAAGCTGACATGGTACCTGCCTAGATATTCCTTGCCACTACCTTTGCTCAGCATCAAGTGGGAACTCCCACAGGCTCTTATATCTACAGCCGTTCTGCGAACCCGAACCGGGAAAGCTTCGAGAAAGCTATCGCTGAATTGGAGTCGGCTGAGTATGCTCTAGCATTCTCTTCCGGGATGGCTGCAACGGCTGCAGTCTTTCAGGGGCTTGCGACTAACTCGCATGTTGTCGCCATGGGAAGTCTGTACGGTGGAACCCACAGGTACTTGATGCATCTTGCCCCGGCATTCGGAATAAGGGTATCATTCGTGAATGATATCCACACAGAGCTGGGCCCGCTCATGAGTGAATCCAAGGACAAGGTGACTGTCGTGTGGATCGAGTCGCCGAGTAACCCGACTCTGTCACTTGTCGATATCAGGGCTGTGGCAGACACAGCCCATGCCGGAGGAGCTCGTATTGTGGTGGACAACACCTTCTTGTCGCCTTATTTCCAGAACCCTTTGAACCATGGGGCGGATCTTGTGCTGCATTCAGTTACCAAGTACATCAACGGGCACAGTGTAAGTTACGACCCTCCGAGACTGGTTAAATTACATTTACTGAAATACTTCAGGACGTCTTGATGGGTGTGATTGCCTCTAACTGCCTTGAAATAAAGAAAAATCTATCTTTCATTCAGAACGCCGCTGGAAGCGTTCCTGGTCCATTTGACTGTTGGCTTGCGCATCGTGGACTGAAAACTCTCCACCTCCGTGCTCCTGCCGCATCTCGCAGTGCCCTGGCCATAGCAGAAGTGTTAGCCGCGTCGCCCCTTGTTCTGAGCGTCAACTATCCTGGACTTGATGATCATCCCGACCGAGCTATTGCACTTAAGCAGCATCGGGATGGTCTTGGCGGGGGAATGGTTTCATTCCGAATCCGAGGTGGACGTGACGCTGCCACTAAGTTCTGCGAGGGCTCAACGCTCTTCACATTAGCGGAAAGCTTGGGAGGTTTGGAGAGTCTTTGTGAAATCCCAGCTACAATGACACATGCTGCAATGCCACAGCATGTGCGGGAGAAGGGTGGGATTTACGACGATTTGATTAGGCTAAGTGTTGGTGTGGAAGATACGGATGACTTGGTGCAGGATATTCTAAAAACCTTGGAAGTTGCTGCTCAGAACAGTATGTCTGGGGTGCCGGAGTGATTGAAAGCCGGCCGGTGAGTTACAGGCATTCAGAACTGCAATCTGGAAGGTAGCCTAGAACCTCTATTTCACTTCCCTTGCCATTGAAAATATTGCATTCAATGAGCTCTCTTGATGTAGCAGATGTATTACAATTTTGCCGCATATCGCGACGCAGTCAATGCTAATTAAGAAAGACGAAACGGCTATAGCTGTTAATAACTAGGATCTTCTGGTAATCCATTGACGTGGGTTGCGCATTGCCATTTGATTCCGCAGACCTATACTTAGAAGCTTTGATGGCGCTCTTTTATTACGGTAGACTGTTGGTCTGCTGCGGTTATCGTCATTTCAGCTTGTCTTGTATAAGACTACTTCGGGTCATATCATCTTAAAAAGCCAAGGGTAGCGGACAGGCCTGTAGAGGGAGAGGTGTATATTGAAGAAAGTAGGGTAAATGTGACCTGATCAGAAGGGCTGGCTGGTCAATATGAGTGGAGTATTCACCTCGAGATACCTGAACGACCAAAAGGGTAATTATAAAGGCGCACGGGGAAACCTCGGCGGATACCTATCCCAAGTTTATATCAAGACACTCCATAGTCCATTTCCTTTTCTTTCATCATGACTTTCCCGAACTGAAGTCACAATATCAGAAGTTGGGCAAAATTGGGACGATCCGTAAGTGTAGGCCTTTACTCTACCCCTTGATGGCTCCGTGGACTAATGTCATACAGTGCCATTTCTGGTATCTATTGACTCCAGCTGTGAGAAGTCCATATTATCGCGATGGCATTATCTTCAAGATTCAAACAACTTTTTATGAAAAATGAGCACCTGCAAGCTGCAATCATCCTTGATCGTGGGGATGAGACATTTATGCCGGGAGATGTGGTTTCCGGATCTGTCAAAATGGTCGTTCTTCAAGATATCGAGATTGCTGAGGCTCGTGTTTTAATTGAAGGTATGTTTCTCGTTCTTGGAATGCATTAATATCGGTTTGCTAAGTATCTTAGGAAGCACTTTCATCGAACTACAACGTGCCGGTATGGGCAGCGCCCAAGGCGTCGTGGTCACAGCACAGGAACAAATCTTCTTGAAGACGCAGGAGAAATTAATAAGTAACCAAGAGGGATCTTCCAAGTTCTTTGCGAAAGGTCAATTGGAACTATTGGCATTCAAACTGGAGATTCCACTTCGTGCGAATCAGGTATGCAGTCACTCAGTTGACAACCAAGAACTCCGGGAAGAGCATCGCCTTCTTCCTCCCTGTCTTTCTTTCGGTGGTCCTGATACAGTGAAGATCCAATACCGCGTCAATTTTATCAGCAAGGGAAGGTCTATGCGTAATTTGCATAGTCTGTTCACCACGCAGGCCGTCGCTCGCAAATCGATCATTGTGGTTCCCACGCGGTCGACCCGGCCCATGCCTCTTTTCACAGGCCCACGTTTCGAGGAAAAGTGCCTCGGAAACTTGTTTAGCACGTCTGATCTGAGGGAAATGCAAATCTTAGCGCATCAGCCACCGGCGATTTTTGTCGATGCCCAAAAAGCAGGACCACTTTCAACAGAGGCAATAGCTGTGGGCTTGGTGCTGAAAGTCACGTCGAAAAGCGAAGCAGATCTCCCTGGAGCCATAGACGTGAAGAGAAGTCTTACTGCGTTGACATTTTTATCCACTGTGCCATGGAATACTATTCCGACGGTATACCCAGGGCTTGGGTCAAGTATGAAACGCGGTTTACGTCGAGAAAGCTTCAAGTTGTCCAAATTCAGGTTACTACCTATAACCTGGGAGAGAGTCACTAATGTGGGTTCTGGTAACGCAGATGACCAGGATAGATCTGTTTATATTTGTCATTTGAATATCCCCATATACCCTACTGTCGATATGGATATGCTCCCCACGTTTTATTCCTGTTTGAGTGCGCGGCAATACTGTGCAAGTTTCTCTCTATCTTTTCGTTCTCTGAGTTTATGGCGATCGCGGATTTCGTTGGAGGTTCCTGTTGACATTGTTTATGTTAATAGTCAGCTGCAGTGTGCAGAACACACTTTGAAATAAGCAGATGTTCTTACCTAGGTACGGTTCGGCCCGTTTATATACGTACTTAGCGCACCTGGCTTGGATACCTCATGGTAATTAATATATTCATTGGCCGATCCTCCTACCGTGAACATCGCATCTATGACCTACTGGATTAAAAGACATTATAACCCCGGACAAGCGACTAGACAGCGTCACTCCATGCCTCAAACTCCCGTGTCGTTAAAGGGAAGACCACAACCCTGCTGGAATCCTCCACCAAAATAAACCCATCTTCCCCTTTGAAAACGTACTGAATGGCGTTACGTCCATCTTTGGGTTTGAGAACCATACGCTCTGTCACTTCATCCGGAGATAGCATATTGCGAAAAGAAATGTTCGATTTCCCACAAATGGTCCCAACCAGAATAGTGGCCAGATTGTACTTTTGCAGTTCGGATAGGAGTGGTACTTGCTGCCGGCGACAATTGAAGATAAGCGACTTCCACTCTGTGCTAGGCCAATAGATATGCTGGATGTCGGGTGGAGAGAGAGACTCAATAACCGAGTTCGGAATAGCGATGTGGATAATGCCAACCGCGCTGCATATACTACGGCGCTTCATATAGCAGGCATGATACTCGGCCACTTCTCGGTCAAGAACCAAGTACAGATCTTCTTGTACTAACGAGAAATCAGCAGCTTTCCGAGAGAGAAGCCAACCAACATTAACATGGCCATTATTGCCAAATACCCTATCAAGCTGAGCTTGGTCATTAACCTTGTATAGAGTCGTATAGCCCGGTGCATTTGCAGCTGCATTTGTTGCAGCGGTCGACAAAGCAGTTTCTCGTGACAACCAAGAGACCATCCTTGAATAATCCTTTTTATCCGAGGCCGATCGTTGCCCGGAATCAGCCTGGGAAGCTTTCCGCCGACTAGCCATACAACGCTCACGAGAAGCTGTTTGTGCCGCCTCAAGCCCCCGGTATCGCAACTTAATAGTGTCCTGAACCCAGTACTTGCAGGATTCAGTTAAGCGGATATGTCGGAATTTGGGATCCATAATGGCCTCCTGAAACTCACAGTTGATTCCGTATAAATTCATACAGTGCAACCACTGATCATCATCATCTTCGCAGGTGTCGAGGGAGCTATTAATATAATATTCGGCGACCTCGATAAATGGTACACCACCGATGTCATCTGTCCCTCTCTGAGATCCCCAAGTTGGCCAGTTGGTCCAATACTCCCAGATACGAGTTGCAGTTTCAGAGTTATAACCCAGATGCTCAAAGGTGGCAAGAGAGACGAGATTTTCCGGGATACTGACAAAGGAATCAGAGTTTGAGGCGATCGATACCGGGGTCAGCGGGAGATGCTGTTCTTCTTCGTCGCTGGATCTATTCAAACGTCGTCTATGATTTCGCCGGGTGCCATCCGGTAAAGAAGGGCTGACCAGTCCGGACATCTTGCAGGAGGATTGCATCATCGGGAGAGAGTATTGTCCACAGGCCTTCCTCGTGGGTTGACAGGCTGGATTCTTCTGTACTTTTCGGGTGTTCTCCTTGAACGTCTTCTTGAATGTCTTTTTGGATCTTCATCTTGATATCCCTCTAGGGGTCTTTTTGGATCTCGTTTTAGATGAACATAAAAGGGTAAAAAGCACAAACGGCGACTCCATATAGGTCCCAGTTGGGGTGCTTTTAAAATGTGGTGAAAAAAAGAATTGGAGAGAGGCTATGATGTGGTGAGAGTAAGAGAAATCGAGACAAATATGAGAGATGGAAGAGAGAGAACTGTCAGGAGGATTTCAAGTCCGCTGAGTATCTGGAAAATACTCTAGGTACCTACTAAACCTAATTCGGAAGCTTCAGCCCTACCGATGTCGAAAAGGTCCACAGGTAATACGGAGAGCGGTCCAACAGACCTTTGGTCTGGATAGGAAAGTAGACTCGGATCAGGGTCATTTCACTTAGTAGGAAGCCTCTGATCCCACCCGGATCTATCCCCTGTCCCATATTTCTTCTTTACTCTACATTCCACCCTTATGCCCACCATGGATGAACCCGAGATCTTCACCACCCCTCAAAAGGATGGCCAGGTGTAAGTGCTGGCGGACAAAGGACAAAGGCATTGTCGGATCGCACGACGGCCGCAAGGTGACCCCTGGTTGAATACATCTACAAGCATTTCGATCCGGATGCACAGCGGGGCTCCCCCATCCGCCATCCTCGCCACAATGAACGATTTGCCTCCCAGAAGCACTTCATCATCAACATTGGCCTGACAAAGCAAATAAGCTTGCTGTCCTGATCCGCGAACACTGCACCCGAGTGGTGGTGGAGCTGGGCTGTTATGGTGGGTACGTTGTGGATCCCGCGATCACCAGGATCTACTAGAGACGCTAACCATCTATGGACGAGTAGGCACTCCCGCGGTCGGCCATCGCATTCAGAGGTATCCTGCGAGATATACACGAGAAGAACAAAGCCGACCTGGAAGAGGATGAGGAGAGCGGGTCTGGCAAGGCGAAGCTATATAGCGTGGAAATCGATCCACTCATTGCGACGGTCACCACGAATCTTATCAGCCTCGCCGGTCTCCATGATATTGTCGAAGTAATCGTGGGCGCATCCGCATGCAGCATTTCTACGACGAAGGCGTCTTGGTTGAAACCGATATTGACTTGTTGTTAATCGACCATGACGAGGCGTTCTATGAGCTGGATGTGAACCTGGCCTAGAAATTAGGATTTTTGATCAAGGACGGCGCGCTGGTTATTGCTGTTAATGGTGTGAGGCCCGGTGCGGCTCAATATCGGAACTACATGCGGATGAGCTCGCGCCTATGCAAGAGTTGGGGATTGCCCGGTTTGATTGTCGGGGTTAGTTGCCTGACCTACGACCGATTAGAATTGCGTCTGTAAGGCACTGGCTCATTTTCATTTGAGATATTCCGCTAACTATGGTCTTAGAATGAGCTCTAGATTAGCGTGGCACAAGTAGGGTGAAATCGGCAATCGGCGGGGTTGAAGGCTCGTACTTCGGTAAAACCTAGCCAACCTCTGGAGAGGAGCCACCCCTCGGCGCCCAGTTCTAGGCAGTCGTTTTCGTGATTGGAGCAACTATTCTAAATTCCATCGACTTCATGAGTTGGACAGTCATACAGAGGTCTGATCCCCATGGCCGTGAATGACGTCAGCCACAAAATGTAAGCTTGCTCCGGGATACATCCCCGAGAAAAGCTCCAGTTTGTACTGCTCTGGTTTCCACAATATTCTGATATCTGTTTACGATCGAAGACACTTCATTATGCCAAACTCATACATTCTTATTAAAGGGGCTACAGTGATCTCTGTAGAGCCATCGAAGGGGAAGCCCCTCTACAACTGGGACATTCTGATAGAAAACGACCGGATAAAGGCTGTAGGCCGAGACCTACCTTTGCCTGAAGGCAATTCGTCCATTATCGATGCAAAAAACTGCATTGTCACTCCAGGGTTCGTCGACGGCCACCATCACATGTGGCAGCACCTCCTGCGCGGTATCACAGTTGATTGGTCTCTATTCGGTTATGCATGTCACCTAAGGAGTGTCTATGGGAGTTTATACACACCAGACGATGTCTACTTCGCCAACTATGCTGCTGCGTTGAGTCTGCTTAACAATGGCGTGACAACCGTCCTGGATCACTGTCACGTTATAAACTCCCCCGCCCACGCCGATGCAGCAGTGAAGGGTTTGAAGGATGCTGCTATTCGAGGCACGTTCTGCTATGGGCTATACCAGAACCCGAAAGAACCAGGGAATTTTGCGAGTACTGCGACAGACACGTTTGACCAAGCCGCACGAGTCGACGACGCTCTCCGTGTGCGCCAGGAATATTTCCCAGCCAACGATCCCCAGAGTTCCCTTCTCACTTTTGGTATTGCATTGAATGACCCACCGACGATATCCCGGGAACAAAATATCGAGGAATTGGATCTTGCGAGAAAGCTTAAAGCTAGGCTGTCGACTGTCCATGCTTCAGCGGTATCACACGGGACTCCTAAGCCTGAAGTCATCCAGAATTTTGTTGATGCAAACCTGATGGGACCAGACCTCGTATTCAGTCACGGAAGTTGGATGACAGATGACGAGCTGGCTGCGGTGCGGGATTCTGGGGCTGGGATTGTTGGGACGCCCGACACAGAGCTGCAAATGGGCATGGGGTCTCCCGTGGTATGGAAAGCCGCTGATATTGGCTGTCACGCGGGCCTTGGGCTGGATATTACCTCGAACCAAGGTAATGATTTCATGGCGCAGATGAGGTTGGCTCTTCAGGCGCAACGACCTCGCGAGTATGACCATCGTATAGTCGAGAGAGATCTCCGCAGGAAGGCAGTAGACGCATTACGCATGGCAACCCTGGGAGGAGCGGAGGTTATGGACATGGGGTCATTGATTGGTTCTATCGCTCTTGGTAAAAAGGCTGACCTGGTGATCTTTCGCTGTGACGACATTGACACGGTGCCTGTTGTGGACCCTATCGCGACTGTGGTTTTCCATGCATCGCCAAAGAACATTGACACTGTTATCGTCGACGGAAAGATTGTTAAGCAGAACGGTCAGCTTGTCGGTGTTGACTGGGAGTTCCTGCATGATCAGATGATACGCAGATCGCAACGTCTGAGGGACGAAGCAGCGAAAGTTGATATGGGGAAGGCAGAATCGATGTTCCGCTCCATATTCGAGAAGGCCATGTAAAAGGAAAGGTCGTGGTGGTTTGTGTGGAGCTTCTAGTAATCGTGGCAAGCGCCCAACGCGCCTTCCCCTTAGCAATTTATGTTGGAGTTAAGCACTGTTTACTGCGTGTCTATACAAAATCCTGGAAGGTACAAAGGATATAACACGGGGAAGGTGCGTTGGGTTGGCAGCACCATCTCAGCCTCACTGTGGATATTGCGGATTCAGGAAACGATGGACCTACCTAGGTAAGGTTGGAACGTTGGAATATTCAACGGACGCCCCTTTTTATGCATTGCCGTAATATAACATTGGACCTTTCTCCAAAAAAGAGTATTGAGATATTGAGATATTATGTGATACTCTTAATAACAGTCTGATTGGAGTAGATTTGAGCTACCTAGGTAGCTCATGTATGAGTAGTATGTACTATAGGAACCCCAAGGAAGAGTGCATTGCCATTAAAGGCCACACAAACAGGGGCATCTAAAATAAAACAAATCAGGATTAGTATGTCCTGCTTATAAAAGCCTCATTCAGCGTTCTTTTTCAATAGAAGTGACTAGTAGTTAAATTATTTTCTTTCGTCCCGTTGTACTCTTATTATCTCTAATAGCCTGACAGGCTATATCACCCAGCCTAATGATAGCAAAGTCTACCCTTAAACCAGTCTCCGGCTATTTGATACACCTCATGTTAAAACTGTCAAGTAAAAATCGTGCTTTGACATTGCGTTCTAGGTTTTTCGTCGTACTTGGACTTTGGCCAGAGGGGCCAGTTTAGTGGATCGGCTCCAATCAGTGGCGAATGCGACCTACTCTCAACTTCTGATAACAATTCAAGCAACAATGGTTGTCATCTAAAACATTTCAACCAATAATAGATGTTAGAATGACGAATCGTAAAGGTTTTGTCCTGATTCTAGGGTTGGGGACAGGACTCGGAGGAATCCCGCCCTAGGGATCTGTGACATGCATTGCCTGACATTCCCAACGGTTCAACACTTTCTTGCTGGGAGCAACGCAACGGGCGATAGACTCGTTGGTATGAGATACCTAGAAACCCTTTTATTTTAAATAATGTTCCTGCATTTAGGGTCCCCAATTTGGAAACATTTTCACCTCCTCACAGGAATCAATTTCTTCCTAGGGATTTCATAAACACTGGCAAGGCACCTCCGAGTTTCAATCTCACGACCATAATGGCGAAATCTGAGCCAAGCGAAAAGCTGCATATCAGCGAAAAGCCCATCACGTTCAGTAACTGGTACCAGCACGTCAACTGGGTCAACACAACCCTCATCCTCATCGTACCCGTCGGTGGCGTCGTCGCTGCATTCTATACACAGCTTAGGGCGATCACAGCTGCCTGGGCAGTTCTCTACTACTTCTGGACTGGATTGGGTGTCACAGCTGGCTACCACCGTCTGTGGGCGCACAGATCTTACGAAGCGTAAGTCTGCCACCGTTCCCCTACCCGGCCAGTTTGCTTCAAACCTAAGCACTGACTAACACTTATATCTCTAGTGGCCTTCCGATTAGGATATTCCTCGCTTGTGTCGGCGGTGGCGCCGTCCAAGGCTCTATCCGGTGGTGGAGCAGTAAGCACAGGGCACACCACCGATGGACTGACACAGTCAAGGACCCATACAGCGTCATGAAGGGTCTTTGGTATTCGCATTTTATGTGGATGGTTCTAAATCAGAATCCAAAGAACCGTGGCAGGACTGACATCTCCGACTTGAACGAAGATCCGGTGGTCGTCTGGCAGCACAAACACTATGGATCTGTCATCTTGGTCTTCGGGATGTTGTTCCCTATGCTCGTTGCTGGTCTGGGATGGGGTGACTGGAAGGGTGGTCTTGTGTATGCTGGAATTCTTCGGTTTTCATTTGTGCAGCAAGCGACCTTCTGCGTCAATTCTCTCGCCCATTGGCTGGGTGAGCAGGTCAGTCATTGTCCATACCCTGTTCTTTCGTATTCCCTAACATATGTTAGCCATTCGATGATAGGAACTCCCCCCCGTGACCACGTCATTACAGCGCTCATCACTCTCGGCGAAGGCTACCACAACTTCCACCACGAGGTAAAAATTTCTTCCCTTGCATTTATTTCGCATCCTCTAAACCCTGACTAGTTCCCCTCCGACTACCGCAACGCCATCGAATGGTGGCAGTATGATCCCACAAAGTGGTCGATCTGGGTGTGGAAACAGCTCGGTCTGGCAACCAACCTTAAGCAGTTCCGAGCCAACGAAATCGAGAAGGGCCGTGTGCAACAACTACAGAAGAAGCTCGACCAGAAGCGCGCTAGGCTTGACTGGGGTGTTCCTCTAGAACAGCTGCCTGTTGTTGACTGGGACGATTTTATTGCAGAAGCTCAGAGTGGCAAAGCTCTAGTTGCCATTGCTGGTGTTGTTCACGATGTGACTGGGTTTATCATGGAACACCCTGGTGGTAAAACCCTCATTTCATCGGCCATTGGTAAGGATGCCACTGCTATGTTCAACGGTGGTGTCTACACTCATTCTAATGCTGCTCACAACCTTCTTTCCTCGATGCGAGTTGGGGTAATTCGCGGTGGTGGTGAGGTTGAGATTTGGCGTCACCGAAACAACCAGAAGGGAGTTTATGCGTGAGCTCTAGGTACATAATCAGAGATCAATTCACCAGTTCTAAATTCCACAAGTACATACATCCATTCTTACCGAACAAGAAAACTTGGAATTTCTTGGAATTCCCAGGCCCCGGGCGTATTGTTAGTTGACAGATGCAAATCTACCGGGATGAAGGGGTCAGCCGTAACAGCCGGAGTTAACTCATAACTCCGGCTCCCTTTTCTTGCACTGTACAGGGGTTAAGCCGTGTTCTCACGATCAATTTTTCCTCGATGGTCATGATAGTCGCTATGCGTTGGCATACTGTCTAACCTTTCTTTTCTTCTGTCTCTCACTTCCGCGCTTCATCGCTCCCTCACTTCCCCCTCATCTCTCTTCCTCTGGGAACGTGTCGCATGCCTGCCGAGCTTTTTCAGTGTAGGTATCCATTCTTTCCTTCCCACAAGCGAAACCTGATATTGATTTTGATCTTCAGTTCATGAAATTCTGAGCCCCTACTGGTTCCTGTGAGGAAAATGAGTCGCACGAGCATCAGCACCAAAGATCCGTCGACAAAAATAGAAGGCGATTGCCATGTTTATCGCACATCAGAATCAAATAAAGACAGCCGAAATTTGGACTTTGCTTTACGAAACGGACTAGCCGGTGGCGTCGCAGGTTGCGCTGTGAGCCTTACCATCTAAGCTACCAGCAGTACTAGTAGATTGCTAATGTCTGAGTAATGCAGGCTAAAACTATTGTCGCCCCATTAGAGAGGGTCAGGATCCTCTTTCAGACCTCCCATTCCCATTTTACGCAATATTCGACCCGCTGGGATGGGTTAATTAAGGCCGCTAGACACATTCAAACGTCATATGGTATATCAGCACTTTTCAAAGGTCACTCGGCAAGCCTGGTCCGGGTTTTCCCATACGCCGGTATCAACTTTCTCGCATACGAACAATTCCGGGTAGCAATTATCGCATCGGGAGCCCCGAGGAAAGAAGCACCATGGCGTCGATTTTTGTGCGGAAGTATGGCCGGTGCGACCGCGACCTTGGTGACATATCCTCTTGAGTTGATCCGTACACGGCTTGCTTTCGAAACAGTCCAAAAGAATCCCTCCTCCTGGCTTGGTATTTCTCGGAAAATTTACTTTGAGGGAGGTCGTGGAAGCTTCTCAAATCTCTACCGAGGAATTGCCCCGACTATGCTAGGCATACTTCCTTATGCTGGCACATCATTCCTCACCCATGATCTACTTAGAGAGTGGCTTCGCACACCTGCCCTTGCACCTTATACTCTAGAAGCACAAGCACAATCTTCCACTCGACTGACTGCAGTTGCGCAGCTTTCCTGTGGAGCAGTCGCTGGCATATTCGCTCAAACTATTTCTTACCCAATTGATATCATTCGGCGCCGAATGCAAGTGGAAGGTGTGGGTGATACCAAATCGAGCATCCTGAAGACAGCCCGACGTATTTTTCTGGAGAGAGGAGTGAGAGGTTTTTATGTTGGGCTGACTATTGGTTATGTGAAAATGGCTCCCATGGTAGCGACAAGCTTCTATGTATATGATCGGATGAAGCGATTTTTGGGTCTTATTGAGTAGTCGCTTTTTGTTTCTCTTTCTCTATTCCAAGGTTTATAGTGCTGGCTTTGATCTTGGAACCTTCGAAGGCTCCACGGTTACCGAGGAAGGAACTAACCCAAGTTGGAAAGATCTACCTGTCCTCCCATGGACGGATGGGAGGCTGACTAAGGGCCAGGGGCGGTGAACAACGTCGAACCCCACCGGAGTTTTGCTATTCACGTGGACTCAATCGAAGAAGCATTGGTTCCGTGCCGTCAGTGGCAGAACGCCTCTTGAGCTTGACTGGACGGCCCTTTAATTCAGTTAATTTACATTCGAAGGAATTGGGGCTTGGATCTTTCCCCTCATTTACCCGCGTCCGCTTTGTCCCCAACTGTCCAATGATTGACCGGCCTGTCAATCACACCACCTGCATTCGGATAAATCTTGGTCTTACCAGAACCTTTACCCCGGTTTCCGTCCATGCCCCCGCCCCCTAGCGTCAAAGCCATGCGGACGTAGTTTAGCGCAAATTGGGGAATGTTTATCGATCCGAACGGAGCTTCTTATAAAATGCCTGTACCCCTCCGTTGGCTCCGTTCATTAGTTTCCCCTGCCCGGATCACCCTTCGTTTTCTTCTCTTCTTCTGTATTTTGTTTCTCTCAGTCACAACCCTCCTGGGAGTCAAAATGCATTTCAAATCTTACGTGACAGCCGCCCTATATGGGCTGCCTGCCCTGGCCAATGCTGTGCCGTCACCATCTCACTCCCAGGCTGCTCCCTCGCCGTCTGCTGCTGGTTCAGATGCCGATCATTTCAAGAGCTATACGATCAAGGCAGAAAACATCACTGCCAAGCTGATTCCGTACGGCGCGCGTCTCACCTCCTTGCTAGTTCCAGATCGCGACGGCAACGTCCAAGATGTGGTCGTTGGATACGACGACCCCAAGGAATATCTGCATGATAGTCAGACCAACCGCACGTTCTTCGGCGCGGTTGTCGGTCGCTATGCCAACCGTATCAAGAACGGTACCTTCACCATCGATGACAACGAATACCACGTTCCTGAGAATGAGAACGATGGCGCGGACACCCTCCACGGTGGCTTCACCGGATATGATATGCGAAACTGGACAGTCACTTCGCACAGCGATTCCTCCATCACCTTCACCTTGCTCGATCAAGGCTTTGAGAAGTTCCCAGGAGACGTCGTTACCCACGCTACTTTCAGCGTGTCTACTGAGAAGACTCAATCGAACCCCAGGGGACTTCCCCAGTTGACCGCAAAACTGGTAGCTCTCTCTCTTACCGAGAAGACCCCTATCATGCTGTCCAACCACATCTACTGGAACCTGAACGCGTTCAAAGAACCCAACGTGTTGAAGGACACCACCCTGCAGCTTCCCCTCTCACAACGCTTCATCGGCGGAGACAGCATCTTAATCCCGAACGGCACGATCCACGACGTTGAGAACACCTACCAAGGAGCTCTGGACTTCACCAGCCCCAAACTCATTGGAAAGGACATCGAGAAGACCTACGACCTCTGCGGCGCCGGCTGCACAGGCTACGATACATGCTTCCTCGTCGACCGGCCCTCGACATACGCGTCGGACTCGATGGTTACAATCCTGAGCGCCGAATCCAGCTCCACCGGTATCAGCCTCGACGTCGCTACCAACCAGGCCGCGTTGCAGATCTACACCTGCAGTGGACAGAACGGCTCCATCGCCACTAAGAAGTCGCAGGCGAAGCGCAACGAGGCTAACGGCGGTGACGGCGGTGCTACCCACATCAACAAGTACGGATGCTTCGTTATCGAGACCGAGGACTGGATCGATGGTATCAATAACCCTGAGTGGGGCCGTCTTCCCTACCAGGTCTTTGGTCCTGATGATGGGCCAGCTGTTAACTGGGCTACTTACCAGTTTGGCACTATCTAGATTTCATAATTATACGTACAGTGCCCTATCTACCTAACCTAGCCCTGGTATTTACATTGAATTAATAATCATTTATGTGTGGACTTTTACGCGCAGCGCTTATGTTGCGATTTATTGCCTCAATCTGTACGGAACCACTTGTGGCCAATTCAATAGGACATAGAGCGCGATACTGCAAAGATATTTAATGGAACGTTGGATCAGCTGTACATGCAGATTCACTCAACTCGGGCTGTGCGACATCTATAACTTCGACAAAATACCACGCCCATTATCCCCACTCCCCTTCACAATCTCATCCTCCCAATAATTCGGATTGAATGTAATCCGGTTTAGCGGATTCAACCGATGAGCGCGGTTAAATAGATCCTCGTAAACACGGCCGTCGTACCGGCCCAGCGCGCTATACTCGGGTCAGCTACGGTTAATTCGTCAAAATCCTCACAACCGACTTAATCACTCACCTGTCCAATAAGTAATCAGGAATCATCCATGAATCAACCAGTTTCACGGCATGGGGTCGTATCCGCGCCATCAGGTCCTGGACTCGACTCGCTAGGGAATTCAGGTCTGTCTGGGAGACGGCGTTGGTGCGGAGAACTGGATTGTTCGTTAGTTTTTGTGGATTAACGGCGAGTGTATTGCTGTCAGCTTACATTCGAAGCTTTCGTTCTCCATGGTGTATAATGTGAATAAGCGGTAACTGTCCCATAGGACGGTTTTGGTGGGTGCTGAGAGGGTTTTATCGTTTGAGAGGGCGTCGAAGAAGGTCGTGACGATGATCGATTCGGATTGTGCTGGTGTTTTGTCTTCGGTCAGTGTGGAACGATATCTCATCTCAAGAGACTTGGCTTACCCCGACTTAGTTTGTGGAGCTGGATGAGAAGACTATTCCAGTTCCGCTTTTTGATGACCCTTTCTTCGTATGCATCGTATGCCTGTCGGTTATTAGTTTCAAGTGTTCGACGTTATGAGCTTTGTAGAACTTACCATGGCAGTAGCTCTGAGCTCAAAGCTCTTAACAATGTCCAAATCACTGTTCAGGATATCGTAAGTCGGCCTTTCTGATCTGGGGCGGCACTTGTTGCGAATAAACTCTTTAAATCGAGCATCAGCCTCATCAACCCGGGGGTATCAGGCGACTCAACAGCGGCAGTCATCTTCTTAATCACATACGCCGCAACCTGCTGCGTAATCATCCAATTATCACCTTCAACAGTTGGCTTGGAGAGGTAGTCATTATTAACCTGGATCAACCCACTCCCGCCACCAAACCCATGTCCACCCATGGCACGTCGACATGTCTCAATCCCATCCGCGGCGAGGATAGTACAAAGACTCTTTAATCCGGAGGACATGCTGTGCATATGAGCTAAAGAATTGAATTCCCCCTTCTCGATATCCTGTCGTGCGTTTCTGTATACCGTCTCCATCGCAAGACCTGTATAGTGAAGTGCAAACGTCGTGGCAAGGAGAGGCAGGATCCGAATTTGGACAGTCGGGTAGTCCAAAACAGACATCTCCGGTCCTGTCTTATCGCCATCTCGGTCTTGGAACTGCCGCCGCACACTGCTGTACCTCACTGCAACGGTGACTGCCCGTGCAAGGACGAGTCTAGCGCGGTGGACCATGTTCGACCGCACATAGGTCAGTGATCCATAGACCAGAGCTGGCTTTTCTGGTTTGGTATAAATTCCTGTGTTGGGGTCGACATTTGAGTATCGTGATAGCATAGCAGAGTGTGGGATTCTAGTACATTATCAGTGAAGGGACTTGCATAGTATAATGAAGGAACAAACCTGAACTGGTCAAATAGCATATACGCATTGTCCATAGTAATATAGCCATATTTCGGTCCAATATCTCCAACAACAATCCCATTCAACGGTTGATGTGTCTTCATATCCCGAACTTGCACAATAAACGGATGAGGACCATGCGAAACATATTGATCCGGCGAGCTAGGATCCGGGAGAAGCAATTGCGCGACCACAATAGCATGGTTAGCTAAACGACCCAAGCTGCCATTCCACCATTTGCTCGCCGTGAGGGTCGGACTATGCAGCACGAACTCCTTGGTCCGGTTATCCCAACGCGCCTCAAGCTCCAAGCCACGGACATTACTCCCGTGTCCCAGTTCTGTCTGTGCATATGCACCGATAATTTTCCAGGACTCGATCAAGGGCAGCCAGTGCGCCTGCTGTTCTTCGCTGGCCTGTTCGCGGATGGTCGTGATGAACATCTCCATGTGCAGGAAGTAAGGCGACACATCGTCAACCAGGTACTCGGCCATCTGGTATTCGAGGTGGCTCCATTTGTGCGTGTCTTTCATTCGGCGTAATAGTTTTGCGCGCGCAACTCCTAGCTTGAACCTTTCCGGTCTGGAGAGGTTTTGTTGTTGGTCTTTGGAGAAAAGTGGCTCCTGTTGTATGATGGGCAGGATGCGAGCTTGTCGTTCCAAAAATCCATCTGAGCCCAACAAATGCCGGCCTAGCTCTTCCGTTGTGATGTTGGATTGTTGACGTTCGCGAGCTAGCGTTGTTGGTCCATCTGGTTGGCTTGGACGAAGATTATCCGTGAAATCAGGCATTTTGAATCCTTTGACTCTAGGAGTTCTGTACCTCAATCACAGTTCCATAATGTTCAAATTTATTCGTAGATTAAGTACAATTACCGAATTGCCTTGGCCAAATCCATAGTATCCTGAAAATCACCGAGTCCCGATTGCCGACAGTTCTACCCCGCAGAGTAAATGTAAACCGCAGAGAAGTAGCGAGTAGCCGAATAGAAAGGGTATAGCGATGAATTATTGGCTAGGATATTCGGCGGGGGAATGTTGCCGCAATTTGTATACTCAAATGCAATAGAATAAGACCGTCAACTATCCCAGCTCAGTCGTCACAAGCTCAAACAAAATGGGAGACCGCACTCTATTCATACCTCCACATGTGGGAGAGAACGTATTGCCAAATCTTCCCTTTTTCCACAGACTATTGCGTTATGCGCAACGTAAGCCTTCGCCCATTGTGGTTCGGGACTTGGTTGCCGGCGTGGAAAAGACATACCACCATCTTGTTTCGGACGTGTTGGCCTTCCGCAAGGTCTTGGAAAGATCCATCAGCCATGAAGCTCGACGCGATTTGAATGCGGATAAGGAGGTATACATTGGATTGCTTGCACCCGGGGGATATGAATACACCGTCGGCTTCATCGCAATTCTCGCAATCGGTGCAGCAGTCGTACCTATGGGTGAGTTTCAATACTATGGAAGAAAATCTGTAGCTAACAAGCAGCAGCAGCCGCATTGCCAGCAGAAGAAGCCTCGTACTTCCTATTAAAAGCGCGATGTGTAGGTCTGGTAGCCAGCACAACCAGCGAAAAGACCGCCCAGTCCGTGGTTCACTATATGGGAGAAAGCAAAGGCGTGCACATTCCCTGCATATCCCCAATCGCATCTCATTTCCGCTCCACGCTTCTCCCATCAGATGAAATGGCCATCTCCTCCGGTCCAGTTCCAGATATGAACGCCGCAGCACTGGTGATATTCACTTCAGGCACCACAGGACCCCCCAAGGGCGCTGTGCAGCGTCGCAGTTATATTTCCGGAAATGGAGAGGCCGACGCAGACTATTACCGAATCACAGACAAGGACACAGTCCTCCATGTCCTTCCGGTGCATCATGCCTCCGGTGTAGGGTTGACTTTCCTCCCGTTCCTCGCAGCCGGCGCATGTATTGAGTTCCGCAGTGGCAGCTTCGATACAGCGTGGACGTGGGAGCGCTGGCGACGGGGAGGTCTTACCTTTTTCTCTGGAGTTCCCACCATATACATGCGTATGATGCGGTACTACGAAGAAAACATTGCGCACCAAGCTCCTGAGATACGTGACCAGTATGTCGCTGGTGCGCGTCAGATTAGAGCGATGCTTTGTGGTACTTCGGCACTTCCAGGGCCAGTACAAGAGTTCTGGCATAATATTAGGAACAGACCAATTCTCACCCGATATGGTGCGACGGAGTTCGGTGCAGTAATCAAGACTGAACTTGATTCTGATGGGACGCCGCAGAACAGTGTTGGTTGTGTTGCTGAGGCGGTCTCACTCAAACTTACCGAGGAAGGCCAGATATTAGTGAAGTGTCCTTATATGTTTTCCAAGTAAGTCAAATTTCCTTTCGAGAAGTGGTGGTCCATCCTCACACGTCTTTTCAACAGGTATCTCTTCGACGAGAAAGCAACAGCGGATGCACATGACGCCGAGGGGTACTTCAAAACGGGAGATATTGCTCGCCGCGAAGGAAAATATTATTTCATCCTAGGCCGTGCCTCGATCGATATCATCAAGTCAGGTGGCTACAAGATCTCCGCATTGGACATTGAGCGCGAGATCCTGGGTCTGGACTATGTTTCTGAGGTCATGGTTGTGGGCGTCGAAGATGAGGAGTTCGGTCAACGAGTTGCTGCTACTGTCAGCCTCAAACAAGATCAAAAGACAACACGCAAAAGCCTCACAATCGCCGAGCTGCGGGAAGATCTGCGGAGTAAGATGGCTGGGTATAAAATGCCAACTATCCTTCGTGTGGTCCAAGGTGAATTGCCTAAGTCCGGTACGGGGAAGGTGCAAAAGAAGATATTGGGACCGCAGTTCTTTCCGTCTAACTATGGACAGCTGTCTGAGGTGCAAGTCTGGAGCAGGGAGAATAAGGCGAAGCTATAGTATTAGATAATGAAAAGAAAGAGAAATTATCAAATTCAGGTGCCAATATTTCTTAGACCTTATATGTAGTTAAATATTTACATACGCGCATTGATCACTTGATATTGTCCCTCTCCATCAAATCTTCACCTTAGCAGGCGCCGAAGTCACCCGACTATGGACATAACTAATACGCTGAAACTTCTTAATAGCATCCCCCCAAAGCTCCTGGCGAAGCAAAGCATATACCCTACACAGCATCAGCAGACATTCTTTCAGTTATGAAGACTTGGATGGATCAAAACTTACCCCATCTTTGCTTTAGGCGCCCACTTCGCTCCCAATTCCAAAGCAACATTCAGCATGTCCTCCGGCTCAGCAACAGCATCCACAATCCCATCTTCCAGCGCTTCAGGCCCCGTCCACCTATGCGCCTCAAGCAACATCTTGCGCGCAACCTGTGCACGCAGCTTGAGACGAGGCAGCGAACCGATCCCGTCGAAGTGCAGGCCCAGGTTGACGGGGGGCATGGAGATAAAGCCGCGGCGGGAGTTCATGACCCGGTAGTCGTGTGCCAGGGCTAGTGGGCAGGCGCCGCCGAAGGTGTGCCCGGTCAAGAGGGCAATAGTTGGGAAGGGGAAGTCCAGTATCGTGTGAATGAGCTGGATGTTAGTTGTTAGCGTGGTCTCATATATGACATTCTCGCGTCTCTGTTCTGTTCAACACCGGCTCAGGAGCTGTTCTCACTGGATAGAAGCCATCTGTATTGGCAAAGGGGTTGTTGTCTGATTCATCAAGCTCGAGTCCCTGGTGATTATTCTGTTAGTCCTTCCGATGTTGTTCTGTTTCAGAACTTCGTTCAATGTACAGTGCACCAGAATTTGGCATCATTGCCTCGCGTGATTACTGCTCCTTCTGAGTCGGATCCCAGAATTCTTTCGACGGTGCGATAAGCTCGGATCATCTCCTGGCAATATGATGAATTCAACCGGTTCTCCGGGGGTTTCTGCATGGTCAGGACGAATACATTCCCATGCCTCTCGAGGGAGAGATTGTGGAAGGTTGGGATTTCTGTCATGATAGCAATTGTACGAAGATTGAGTATATTATTCGAACTGCTTCGTTAACCAGTTTATTATGCGTATTGTTCCAATAGACCGTTGTAGCACGCGGACGACAGTTCGTAGATCCCCCCCGCATTTCACATCCTCACGTATACATTGCCGGAATTCACCGAGTGCCGAAATCAAAGGATACTTGGGAATCTTCACAGACATTTTCCTGGTGCCATTTTCTTTATAAATGATCTGAAATCCAAGGGTATATAGGTACATAGTCAAGAAACTCCTACCAGGAAATCTCACCATTCCATTCCAAATCCTTGAAAAGCCAGTCCCCCATTCCCTGGTATTGATTAAAGAAATTACCTGAAATATCCTGTGGCATATCTCCCATAGTGAGACCTTCATTGCGGTCCAAAATCGTAGTGAGTGGCCTGTACTCATCCGAAGATATCGCATCCGGTGCCCGGGACTCGGCCCAATTTTCTAGCACCTCTGCGGTCCCGGCTACCATAGAACGATTTGTGTTGCCAGCATTCCCCACAGCTTGTCCGTTGCCCATGAAATATGACCAAGCCCAGGAAAGTTCCGGGCCAAATCCCTCGAAAAATGGTTGGTGCTCTCTGGAGAGTGTCATCGACGGCATTTGGTTAATTGTCGACGTGCTCCGCTGCTTTTCAGAAATGCTCTTCAACGCTCTTAGGCTGCCTTTCGCGGATGACCAGCGTTTTGCGAGTTCCTCAAGGGCCAGGTAGATGGATTCCAGGCTACCTGCTGCCTTCTCGCGGTGTGCTGGTACGTTATTGCACGAGAGAAGCCCGATTCCAGCAGCCAAAAGGTGGAATGTGAATACCGGGCTCAGGAATTGGATCTCATCTCGAGCGAGGAAGTCTTCAAATATCCCTGCTATGAAAGACGATGCTAGAAGCACTCCTAGTGACGCAGACTCTCCGGGGTTGGGACGCAACATGATGGCGAGGCAGGTAAAGTAGGGGATATGAAGCTGACGCGATTCGAAGTTGTATTTAGCCAATGTTCTTTTCGGTGATGTTCCGTCTTCTGATGTACTCCGGGTGCAAAACAAGCGCAGGGAGGGTGAAAGATCGCGTGTCCATCGGTATAAGCGATTCTCAAGATTCTGTCGAGCTTCACGTGTGAGGGTCTTCCGACGACAGTGTTCGGTGAGATGGCCCAGAATAGAACTGATCTCGACATATGCGATAAACAGAGTCGAATTTGAGCTTGAATCATGGAAATCTTCGGGACAGGGCGGTGCAACCTCACAGTCCTCTAAATCCACTGCTAATGGCCGGCCCTGCCCTGCCGAAATACAACAATCTCTGGCCTATCTGATGTTAGTGCTTAAGGTTGCTATGCTAGTGACAAAGCACATCCATGACTTACATATAGAGTCCACCACAGTCTGCGCCTCAGGGCAGCGTCTCTTTTACTCGTCGGCTCTTTATGCAATCCAATCTGATGAGCTAACCCGACCCCCACATATCGCCAGAATCCACTAGTATTAGTGGACACATGCTCAGGACCTTCCGGGTTATACCAGTGCAAAATGCACACTGCTGCGACGACGGTCACTGGGTTTCTCTCATATCCAGACCAGAACAAGGCTTTTGCGCGACGATAAAACTGATGCAAAGATGCATAAGCCGTCACGGCCGGTGCAGATGTGACTCGGCTCGCTGCGACGAAGATTGACTGGAGAAGTAGCATTGACGGCTTCTGGGAGCCGCTTTCTTCTAACCAACTCCGCTCGATTATCGGCATCCATGGTGAACATTTTTCCATAAATGTGTTGATCAATCCTTCTCGAATAGCTCGTGGCGGTAGGTCGAATGCACCTTGCAGTCTGAGCAGCTGGATGTCATCTTCAGTTGGTCCATCTGCGTCTCCTTCTGGGTAAGATCTCGCCTGTTCTTCGTTAATTGCCACTGCGTGGTCAAAGTAGCGCGAGCGTGCCATGAAGCTCGAAGTCGAAGAGGATGAGTATGGGTTGGAGTCTGGTGTAATCGGTACATAGTCTCCAATACCAGCGCTACCTTGACTTGTGTCGCGGCACTGGTTCCGATCCTGGTCATACTCAGAGCTTGTACATGGAGACTTGGCTGAGCCGATAGGACTAAAGGTGGTCGTCGGCTCTTCCCAGTTCATCGGTCTCCTAACCGCTTTGGCCTGATTGACGCTGTAGTCACCATCACTACTATGGGCTCTTTTTCTCTTGCGCTCTCGTCGACTGCGTGGCAGTTAGTATATTTACTCCAACGCCAAAAATCAACTATCTTACAAACAGGGCCATTGATGCCGTTGGCAGTTCACACATACATTGGGATTTCCGCCGAAGATACAGCGAACCTACAAGAGGTTAGTATCCATGGATGTCTCCTCCGGTTATTCAATATTCTCGTACCTTTTTCTTATTACAGCCAACACATGCTGTAGGTGCTCGTAATGGTGGAGGACTAAAATCGTTCATTTTTGCTCTGACTGTCAGTATCATGAGTAGAAAACCCAGGGACAATTTCAGGGCCGCGGTCTGTTCCCCGCAAAAGCCGGCCATAACCGAACCTCCGGCTATCCTATTTGGGAAGCTCCATGAGTAGATTGTTGTAAATGACAGAAAAATAGTGAAATAGTGAAATGTATTGGAAATCCAATGGGGTATCTATTGTTTTTGAAAATTTTACAGTTCTCATGCCCAGCCTGCAAGCGTCCAACTTGACCGATCACCGCCAGATCTCAAGCCCGATCGACGGTCAGGAACAGGATAGTCAACATCTCGTGTAGCTCCAGCAAGTCCGTGCTGTAAAAACTTCTCTCGTTCGATCTCTACCATCCCCGGATCTTGAGACTAGTTGTCAGGCTTGCACCCGCCCATGGACCAAGAGATTCAACTTCGCGCAATACTCCTTGAATAGGAACTGGGATATCTTTGTTTTGCCGGCGAAGCTTTTGTTCGACGAAATCGAGCTCAGGCACTGCCTTCGAGGGGTCGGCTGGTTCGTCATCGGTGGATGGTGTTTCCCCATTGCTCTTAGGGGTTTCAGGCTCCTTAGAGGCTTTTTGGGCTGAAAGTTTCAGCTCCTCCAATCTCTGTCGTTGCCGCTCGAGAGCTTTGCCTCTAATTGGACTCCATCCATGACGATCAATCAAGAGTGAGACTTCTTTAAGGACCCGCTGACGCAGCCCGGGAATTCGAGAACCGCCGCCCACAAAAATAATGCGGGACATGCATGTTCCTCGTGCATCAGGGTACAGTGAGAGAAGGGTGTTGTAGACAAGCAAAGGCAATGATTTTTCCTCGTCATCCAATTCATGTTCTGCGACACCTGGTGCAAATAAAACTTTCTCGACAGGTTCGGCGAGACGTGAGAACGGCACGTCCATGTATTCTTCGTCAGGTTTTGCGGGAGAAGGAATCGACAACTTCCGGTCGGGTTCGTCTGAGCTTGTATCTTTTTCTGTTTGCGATTTGCACCAGGCAAACCGACTAACCACTTCTTCACAGTACGCAAATCCAACAGAGATCTTATCCGCAGTCTCCGTATCCTGGTTTCCGTCGGAAACCAACCCAGTAAGAAGCAGCCCCATTTCCTGCATCAAATGCTTCATAGACCGTGTCGTTCTCTTCGTAGTCATCTCTCGGTATTCGTAGATCGCCGTTGCCGTGGTCTCGGCCCAGCCAAGGTCAACCACCAAAGCTGACCGCAATCCCGCGGCCGTGGCTGACATGGTCGCACTGGACAGAAGGGTAACACTCGGGAAGCGCCAGCGACTGAAAAGCGTCGAGAGCAATGACGACAGCAATGGATGAGGCATGAGAGACGGCAGCACAAGAACCAGGCGAGATGTGCCTGCATCCGTCAACAGGAACTGGTTGTATGTCTCCCGAAACGCGCGCTCAATCTTGTCCTCGACCAGGCCCAGATCAACCTCTCGTGAATCTGGCCGCCACAATTCATATGCCCGCGTCCACTCTTCCATGTCAACGGGTTGCGGTAGCCGTCCAGCACCAGTGCTGCCCTGAATCCATCCTCGATAATCCCCCGCTCTCCTGGAGTCCTCAGGCCCAAATCCAACCACGCACATTGGCGCGCTGCCTCCTTCAAATCCTGCCCGGAGCCATCTTGCGCCTAACTCAAATATAATCGCGTCGTCTTCGCCTCGAAAGGAGGAGCTCGGTGATGTGCTGCTGGCGAACGAGTGGTTTCCCGAACGTTGCTGTGGTGTGTGAGGGGAAACGGGTCGCGCTGTCTGGCTATTGCGCAGACCAGAAGTTGCTGATGTGCGTTTACTGGCACCCATTGAGGGTGTGTCACTCGCCATGCTTGGTTGAGCTCGGGCGCGTTGCTATCCTTTGTGGGAGCAACAGGAGTTCGCGGGGTTCGTAGCGACAAATTTTCGATTCACCTGTTCAGTAGTTGGACTTTTAACGCCATCGGATTGAATTCAAAGACAACAAAGTAAAGTGAGACCTATAAGCCCAGGAGGTTCGCTTGGGGAAGCTTGTTGGTAGGCAACGGATCTACATCGGGCCGTCTTTATTTACTTGACCTCCTCATCTCTCCGCAACAACCAAGACATATTGTGCATCTTTAACTCCAATGGGCTCTTTAACTGCTTTTTAGTTTTCCTATTGCTTACAGTCAGCATGGGTATTCCAGGGTAAGTCAACTGAGTTCTCTTTTTTTTTTCGGTTGCATGGTAGAAAACATATAGCCCGATGAACCCTGTGAGAAAGCATTGTTTATCCATCGCACGAGATGCATAACTTCGTATCTCCAGATTCTCGATAAAAGGCTAACTTTCCAAAGGCTTATCAATGCTATTGGCCCAGGAGAGCGTATCTCTCTGGCCAAGTTGGCAGTGACGCACCTGGAGCGAACAGCAAGGCCGATCCGCATTGCAGTCGACATTTCGATCTGGCTCTTTCAAGTCCAAGCCGGTCGAGGCGGAAGAAACCCAGAGTTACGCACCCTATTTTATCGATTATTGAAATTACTTGCATTGCCAGTTCACCCCCTTTTTGTCTATGATGGACGGCAAAAACCAGCTTTCAAGAGAGGCAAAGCAGTCTCAGCCCGCAGTTATGGCAATACGCCGATCATCAAGCGCTCAAAGGACCTCATTGAGCGATTCAGGTTTCCGTGGCATGAGGCACCCGGCGAGGCAGAAGCCGAATGTGCACGGCTGCAGCAGGCAGGTATTGTAGACGCTGTCATGAGCAACGACGTCGATGCATTGATGTTCGGATCGTCTTTGACCATCATGAACTTCTCAAAAGAGAGCGGAAGCGGCAGCTCTTCCGCGACTCATGTCACATGCTATGCGATGGGACAGGATGGGCATCCATCAAACATACCCCTTGACCGACCGGGAATGATTCTATTCGCTATGCTCAGTGGAGGGGACTATCTACCATCTGGTGTTCCGAAATGTGGCAGTAAGCTTGCTGCAGAGATTGCCAAAGCTGGGTTCGGCGAGGATCTTTTGCAGGAGCTTGCATCGCACGCAGACGTGGACACAGGATTGAACGAGTGGAGAGAAAGACTCCAGTACGAACTTGAGGAGAACGAGAGTGGCTATTTTACGACGAAACATCCAGCAGTTCGAATTCCAGACGTTTTTCCGGACCGACAAATTCTCGAGTACTATGCCCGGCCCAAAGTTTCCAGCGATGAAGTGATGAGCTCTTTGAAAAGTCGACTCGCGCAGGCCTGGGATAACGATATCGACCCCTTGGCAATCCGGGCATTTGCCGCAGACCACTTTGAATGGAACTATCGATCAGGGGCAAGGAAATTGATCAGACTGCTGGCCGAGCCTCTTGTCTCGTACAGACTCCGTCTCCAAAGGCCGGTTCTAGGCGTATCGCCTGGTTTTTCATTTGTGCCCGATTGTCCTCCTGGCATGCAAAAGGTGTATCGAAGCCGGTCAAGCTTCGGCACTGATGCAATGCCAGAACTCCAACTAGATATGCTGCCGGCAGATATTGTTGGGCTGGATCTCCTTGCCGAAGAACCAAATCCGCCTGTTCCATCCCAAACTAGCGTACAGGAAGGTGAGGAAGAAGACGATCCGGAAGTAATTGCTGGGTCGCCACCTCCGACACCATCGAAGTCTCGGGTCACAAAACGATTTGATCCGTTCTCCCTCGAAAAGGTCTGGGTATTCGAGACTGTCGCAAGAATAGGTGTTCCTGGAGTCGTCAAAAGCTGGGAGAAGGAACAGGCCGAAAAAGCCGCGAAAGCCGCGGAAGCCGCGGCAAAGAAGAAGACCAGTACTCGACGCACTGGTCCCAAGAAAAAGGGACCAATCGACGCTGGGATGAAACGAGGGAGTATCTTGAAATACGGAACCCTCACGAAAGAGAAATCCGAATTGTCAACGACTAAACAAACCCACTTGTTGGAAGCCACTACATCGACCCAGAATCCTCTTTCCCGGCTTGTTTCCGGTTCTGGATCTTCTTCACCAGTAATTGTCGACCAGGAAAACGATCCTTTCTCCTCTCCGAGCATGTATATTCAGCAGAGTCCATCATTGACGAGGCACTACGTTTCTCGGGAGGTCGACGATCTCCTTGATACATTCTCTTCAATGTGTAGCTTGTCTCCTGCCAATATCAAGCGTCACCCCATGTCGAACCAGTCCCGCCTTAGATCAAGGCGTACAGCTTTGGGAACTGGTGGGGTTGATATTGAAGAATCGGACGCGCTGGGCATGAACACCGATTATTCTCCGTCTCGACCGGCAAGGCGCATGGGGCTCAAAATTAGCTACTCGGTCTCCGACGTTTGTGAATCTGACAGTTTCTTGGAGGACTTCCTAGTTGAAACACCGATGACAATGCCCTCTCCGTCCAGGAAGACTCTGCCTAAGTCAAAGAAGATTCCCAAGGTGCAGCGTGAGGAACAGGCCGGGGTTGAACACATCGAAAAAGCCATCGAGTCCCTTTCTCTGTCCTCGAAAATTGACGAGGATCAGCACGAAAACACCGCGACTCTCTCATTGCGTCAGCCCTCGACGAAGAAGGCACCGCAACCAAGAAAAGTTCGCACTCGTTCCTCCAAGGTCGAAGCTGTCGAACCACCCAGTTCCTACAGTCAAGCAACCCCCAAGCCCGAACTTGAGCCGGGGCATACATTGCCATTGAACTTGAAAACGTGCGAAAACAACGAGACCAACGTAAACAGGTCTCCCAAGAAGTCTTCAAAGGAGACAACGAGCACGATCTCGAAGCACAAGACCACCGGCCACCTCGAAAACATCATATTACACGACGGCTTCTGGTCGATCGACCAATCTCCGCCTGGACAAGATCCATGTGAAGGCTCAACTGCCGATAGCCTGAGCACATCGCGCAGACAGGCTGCCAAGAAGAAAAGAATCCCACGCGTCAGCATCCTTGACCTCGTTTGATTAATGTCTTTTATATACCCTTCTCGTTTTGGCGGATTGGCGTTTACATCAATTTGAGTTTTCCCCGGTCTGGGGTTTTTGAATACAAGCATGTGTGGTGCAACAACATTTTCGATATCCTACGGCGTTGGATGGACATGTCGAATACCTTCTGTGGCAAGAATTAGGCTAGCTGACGATTGCTAGATGTCATGTACATATGTTACAGGCAATTTTGTAAATACGAAGACAATGTGCATATGCCTGAAAGACGTACAAGAGCCATGTCCAGAAAGTATACATGCAGAGAATATATCCAAAGAGTATGAATTGAAGAGAAGAGATGAGTATCAAAATGTGCATGGCTTCAGCAAGTCCTCTATCTAAACAAGAATCCAATTCTTGATGCACCAAAAAGTAGAGAAACAAAAGATAAAAATGTCCAGATATAACCTCAAACCCCATAGTATTAGGAAACGAAAAGGGAATATTGTGCAAGCGCTGATAAATCAGGAGTGTATCGTTTATCCATCTACCCAAAGACCTTGAGGAAACCCCAGAGACCGACTCCACTCAACACGGGGATCGTCAGATTATCATCCCAGCCCCACATATCAATAAACTCACTGCCGGCGGCAACAACGCCAGATACAACACTCATGACGCTCAAAGCCAAAGGGCCAGTGATGATCGCCGAGTCACTAGACTCCCAGCCCAGAAGACCGCGGACACAGTTCGGGAGCAGATTCAAGCGTCCCGTGAACATAAATGCGTCTTCTGGGTCATTAGGGAAAGCACCAATGTAAGGCACAAACCAGCCCCAGAACGCAGCGGCGGTGACAACACCCACGAGCCAAGCCGCAACAGTACCAGCCAAGCTCTTTCCGTGACGCAGACGGGGAGTGTAGCGGCCGTACAAACGACCGAATGTCGAGGCGGCGGTGTCACACCAGCTAAGGAGCAGCACGCTCATGACACCGACATCCTTAGGGAAGAAGCGGAGAGCAACGTACGCCCCGAGGAGATACCAGATCACGCCGTTGTAGCCGGCGACCTCGGTTTCGCGCATGAGCGCACCCATACACCGAATATATACTTTGTTGACCTTCTCGAAGCGGTGACGGATCAGATCCGTTGCTGCAATCGGCACCAGCGCGGTAAAGAGCACTGGTGTAATCTGCAGAGATTGGACGCCTCGGCTGTATAATGATAAAGTCAAGAACCCGATTGACACGTGCAAGACCTTGCGTGGGATTTCATGGCGGTGAATGAAGCTGCGGTAGCGTGCGTGGAGGGGGATCAGTCCGAGAGGAGATGGCGACCTTGACAAGTCGCGCAGGTTATCGGGGATGCTTGATGGGGATAGATGAGTGTTCGAAGCAGTACCGTTTACAGAGCGCGGCGGTGAGGCGGGTATCTTGGGGTGTGATCGGCGGTTGCGCCGAGCCGAGGATGTCGTGGGGGATCTTGATTCTCGCGCTGAGCCGGAACTTTCGGGTGGGCCTTCTGGCTGGTGCTGGCGACGTGTTGCAGACCGTGTTACCGGTGCAAGGTATCCATCAGGTGTCTCGGACGGGTCCGATATAGAGGGGGTCGGTGAGATCACGCGAGGTGTCGCCGGTACGGAGTTTGGCGAGGACATGCCGGGTGCCCTCACTTTAAAGGCGGGAAGCGATGCGGCTCGGACGACACCAGAAGGTGGCCGCGTACAGATATCTGCGTTGTCGCAACCGAATATGCCACGGGGTATCAATGGGCTTGGTAACAAAGCAATGATGGCGGTTTGGGAGCACGTGATGGTGCCTTAACGTTAATTATGGGCGAATAAGCTGTAGACACAAGGCAGGAACCCAGTACATGATGCGACCACCAAGTACTTGTTATATTAAATATAAGTAAAGTAAATGAAACAAAACTAAGTCGAGGGAAAAAGCAGATCACGATCTCGGTTTCCGCCCACAGCCGCAGTCACGTGCCTGCTATCTAATCGATAACGGATAATTTTTTTTCTTCTTTGCGACGACGACTCGTGAAGCGACTTGACGACTCGGTGTCTGTCGAAATCAATAAATGCCTCCCAAGTCATCTTCAAGAGCGTGGGATGCTCTCACACCCCCGCTGTCAGAATGGTCCCTCGACGCTGTGGCCTCAATGGGCTTCACGCGCATGACTCCAGTGCAGGCCTCGGCCATTCCTCTGTTTATGCAACATAAAGATGTGGTGGTGGAAGCTGTCACTGGAAGTGGAAAGACATTGTCTTTCTTGATTCCAATTGTGGAAAAGCTTCTTCGCCTTGATCAGCCCCTCAAGAAGCATCATGTTGGAGCCATTGTCATTTCACCGACAAGGTAGGTAATGCGCAAATCCGGGTCTGCAGGAGTCCGTTACTAATATTGATATATCAGAGAATTGGCCTCCCAAATTCACCAAGTTCTTCTCTCGCTATTGGAGTTCCACCCTGCGTCGGCCGCAGCCATCAAACCCGCCGAAGATGGTGCTCCTCGTCCGAAAACCTCTTCATCGACATTGAAGGTCGTGCCACAACTTCTTCTAGGCGGCGGGACATCTCCGGCAGAAGATCTGAAATTATTCCTGAAAAATTCGCCCAATGTATTGGTTTCTACACCCGGAAGATTGTTAGAGTTACTTTCGTCCCCTCACGTCCACTGCCCCCAGGCATCTTTTGAAATGCTTGTCCTGGACGAGGCGGACAGACTTCTGGATCTTGGATTCAAGGACGATCTACAGAAGATCCTGAACCGGCTGCCTAAGCAGCGACGGACAGGATTGTTCAGTGCCAGTATTAGTGAAGCAGTTGATCAGATCGTCCGGCTTGGCCTACGAAATCCCGTCAAAATTGCTGTCAAGGTCAAAGGAGGATCTGGCGTCGAAGAAAAGCGCACTCCGGCGAGGTATGTCTTTTGATCTCATGTTCCAAGTTCAAAACCAGACCAATCTAACCGCTGAATAGTCTGCAAATGACCTACTTGACGACACCCCCGCTTCACAAATATGCCATCCTGAAGCACATCCTCTCCACGGTTCAGCCCACACCTCAAAAAACCATCTTCTTCGTGTCGACATGCTCCAGTGTCGACTATCTCGCCACAATACTACCCATAATCCTGGGAGACGAATTCGTGCTTGTCCCACTCCACGGGAAACACCAAGCCAACGTCCGCCAAAAGAACTTCAACCGCTTCACCACCTCCACAACCCCCTCCATCCTCCTTACCACCGATGTCGCCGCTCGCGGTTTAGACATCCCCTCCGTCGATCTAGTAGTCCAGATCGACCCTCCCTCCGACCCCAAAACCTTCATTCACAGATGCGGTCGTGCCGGTCGTGCCGGCCGTCGAGGCCTCAGCATCGTCCTCATCCACCCAGGCCGCGAGGAGGACTACGTATCGTTCCTGGAAATCCGCAAAACCCCTGTCGCGCCATACCACCTACCCGAATTCACCGACGAACAGGCCACGGCCGCGACAGACAAAGTCCGCAAAGCCGTGTTGAAAGACCGCGCCATGCACGACAAGGGTCAGAAGGCATTCGTCAGCTGGCTGCGCAGCTACAGCAAACACCAAGCAAGCAGTATCTTCCGAGTTACAGATCTGGATTGGGAAGCTCTCGGCAAGGCATGGGGACTACTCAAGCTGCCGAAGATGCCCGAAGCGCGCTCGTTTGAAGGAGATCGGTCGTTAGGCGTTCAACTTGACTGGTCCAACTACGCGTACAAGGACAAGCAGCAAGAAAAGCGCCGCAAAGAGGCTATGGCGGAGGCTGCTAATGGACAAGGCACTGAGCAGGGATCTAACAAGCGCCGTGCTACGGAGAGTGTGGCTTGGAGTCAGAAGACCGAAGAACGGGATAAGAAGTTGAAGAAGAAGGAGTTCAAGAAGGCGCGGAAGGAGAAGGAGAGATGGGAGCAATTGCCAGAAGATCAGAAGCAGAAGGCTCTTGAAACGGAGCGCATGCTGGAGGAGATTCGTGCTAAGAACGAGCAGCAGCGGTTGTTGAACCAAGCTACCAAGGCAGAGGAAGCAAATGGCGGCGAGTTCCAGGGCTTTGACTAGGTTGGAAAATAGCATAGTAGATATCTATATCGATACCATGTTGTGTTCAATTCACTGGTGCTCCTCTACTCTATGAGCCGCATCTTTACAGTCTGTTGAAACCTGCGTTGGAAGCTAAGCATTCCATTCAAATACTACATATCAACGCTAATACTCCTGACAATGCCGCTAAATAGCAACAAAAACAAAACGCAGAAACGCAAAACCAAAACCAAAAAACAAAACCAAAGCCAAAAAAACACAAAAAACACAAAAAAGCAGACCCCGGTGCTCACGCCGGGTCAATCCGAGGAGGCGGGCCAGGGAAAGCCTGTACTCCAGGCTTTCCCTGGCCCCAGCCTGGTTCCTCGGAGACTCAAGGCGGTGCATCCCTGGCCCCAGCCTAAAAGGCGGGCCAAGGTATCCCAGGAGTTCTTGCAAATGTTCTTTTTTCTTTTTTCTTTTATTTTTTTTCTTTTATTTTTTTTTCTTTTCTCTCTTTCTGACTGAGCAGCACGCCGGGCAGCAAGCTTGCTCATGAAAATCTCATCAATGCGACATTCGGGTATCTCTGATCATGTCGTCCAATTCAAGGTTCAGTCTCTGGCCAGATGATTCGAGCCGCCGGTAGGGCATGCTATGGCCAGTAAGTTTGTCTTCTTTTTTTCTGTTTTTAATCAAGCAGCACGCCGAGCAGCAAGCTTGTTCATGAAATCCTCATGGTTGAGATCAAAATATCTCTCCCTTCCGCCGTACCACGTGGGAACTGCCCTATTCTGATATTTGGCAAAGTTGCGGTCGTGCCAGTCAAAGCGCTCAACCCAAGTTTCTTGCTCTGGCCAGAGGACCTCGTTCAGATCGCCGGTAGGGCATGCCGTGGCCATTGATGTCTTTCTCATCTTGCGGCGACGCACAGCATTCTGGTCAGCTTCCTCGTCAACAAACGAGCTCCAGCTACTTTCGAAGCGAAGGGCCGCTCGAAGACGACTGGGGGTCTTCGGCTTGTACTGCTCAGCAAGCTGACGGGCCTTTCGAAGTTCTTCACTGGAATCCTCCATGGGCTTTGATGGGCCCTGACGGTTCAAGTTTTGCAGGTGGGTATTGTCGGAGACGGCATGCTTGGAGATAGGCTCCTCTTCCGCTGCATCGCTGCCAGTGGCTCGTTTTGGCGTAGTATCTTGGCGCGCACGCTTGGAGACATGCTCCTCTTCCGATGCATCGCAGACTGTAACTCGTTTGGGCGTGGTATCTTGGCCTCCCTGCTCTCCTGCGGGCAAGTCCTCGTCGTCGACATCGTAGATGAAGTACTGTGGGTCAAACCCATAACTACATCCTGGAGGGTGTGGAATAACATCAGGCGACGGTTCTCGCTTGCGCTTCTTCGATTCGTTCTCGGAGAGTGTATCAAGCCGCTCTGGCGAAGTTGAAGGTGGTTGGAGGGCTGCGGGGTTCGACTTCCTGGCACGCATGCGCGCGAGCAGTTCTGGGTCGAAACCCTGTGGATCCAAATCATAGGAGTATTTCTTTCTTTTCCCGGCTTGGGAAGCGCGTGCGCTGGCTGTCAGACGCGAGTTTGAGGTTTGCGGCTCTGCAACGCGCGGGCGCGGAGTAGGAGATTCGAGGTTTCTTGGTAACACAACAGAGGAAGGGGAGCTGAGGAGGGTGTTGCGACGGAGGATGAAGGTTCATTTCCAGTTGGACGTTGAGGCTCGGCCACTAGAAACACCATGTTAGCCACTAGACATACATACCATGATATAGGAGCACCTACCTTGCGGGACCTGTGCAGTTTGAGGCACATTGCCTCGTCCCCAAAGACCAGTCACTGAGTTGAATATCCATTCTCGCCAACCAGGCCGGTTCTGGTTCTGGTTCTGGTTCTGGTTCTGGTTCTGGTTTTGGTTCTGATCTTGTGGAAGTGCGGAAGGCAATGAAGAGAACGGAACAATACGATTACCACGGGATGCGGGCTCTTCGCTTGCATCTGAGGCCAGCGCAGTCGAATTGCCAGACCTCGCATCTTCTCCCTGCTGAGCCAAGAGTTGGGGGAAACGATAAATGGTACGATCGATTCGTCCATCCCTTTCCGCTTCGCGTCGCCGCGCGCGGTCCGCATACGTCCTGCGAGAGCTACCACGAGGACGATTTTCGAAGCGGGGTGGGGTTTGAAGTGCTAGCTTGTGACGTTTCGACGACGAGGGGTCGTCTTCGGACGATCGGTTCCGTTTCCTAGTTGGTTCTTCCGCGGGGGTCAGCACGGATTCATCCGGGGTATTAAAGATGGCAAGTCTGCGAGGCCAGTTTCTCCAGGGAGATGGTGGGGACCAGGGAAGTGACCAGGGGATTCGGCGACGCTTGTCATAAGTTATTCCGGGCGGCCAGGCATAGTGCGTCACAGGTGTTTGCGGAGGGGAGGGAGTTGGCTCAGGATCTTGCTCTTTTCGCAGGAGGTCGCGGGCACTGCCCCATCGAAAGGCTGTCATGACGCGTCCTCTGTACATGCGCGGGGGATCCTTGGGCTTGGGGGGGCAACTTGGGGGGGCAACGTACGGGCGTCAGGTTGCTCCACGGATGGAATGAGCGTAACGGGGTCTTCCTGGGGCTCGGCTTCGGGCTCCGCGGTGGGAGCAGCGGCCTTCTTGCCCTTTGCCGCGGCCTTCTAGAAACATGAGGTCAGTTGTGAATAATGGTGACGGCCGGTTTCTGAACTGACCTTCTTCCGACCGGCTCTCTTGGCTGGCTTCCGCTTTGGAGCGGGCCTCTCTGCGGCAGACTGCTCGGCAACATCTGATGCGGACTGGCTCTCTGGCACAGTCTCTTGCGCAACCTCAGGCGCAGTTTCTGTTGCGGACTCCGTCCCAGCTTGTGCCGACGCACTCCGCGTTGTGCGCCGGCGGCGTGGGACGTACTCCGAAATTGGCGGAAGAACGTGGTTCGACCGCAGTCTCATCTTGGCGAAACGCGCAAGATGAGGAGGGAGGTGGGTGGCGAGGGTGTTGTTGTGGTGAGGAGTAAGTGAGTGAAATCTTACTGAAATGCAATAGATCAAGTCAGAGATGTCCAAGGGCTACCTAGGCACATATGTAGATACAAACCGCTTGGCACAGAGTCGATCACAGAGACTCTCTCGAGATATCCACAGACAATTGCTTTGGATAGGAACGTTATGGGTGATGAGGAGGAGAGGAGGAGGAGGAGGGAAGAGAAGAAGAGGAAAAGGCGAAATGTAAACAAAACCGTTGCTCGACGCGACCAAATAAGTAAAAGGGAAGGAGCTTGGTTTTCGGCCAAACCATGTAACTTTTTCAAAATCGGAAGGCGCGACCTGGCAGAATATTTAGGGCGGTGTGATATATAACCCTATTATCTCATCTCTATATTATAAAAGTTCTAAGGTTATATCTAGGTAAGGGAGACCTATAACTACCTAATTATTCCAATTATTATCACTATTCTTAACATCATATATTATTTCTTTAATAGACTATTCTCCTTTTAATATCCTACTAAAAGTTTCAGTTACCTTAAGATATTATACATTATATAGCCTTACCTATCTCTTCTTATCTTCTCTCATTTTATTTCGATCAGATCGGAATAGACTTCCCCCCGCATATTCCATCTATAGATTGTCTTTTTTCACTTCTCTTTTTTCACTCCTCTTATATCACTCCTCTTATATCACTCCTCTTATATCACTCCTCTTCTCCTCGTCTACTCCTTATCACTCATAACGTCACCATCTAAAGCAATTGCCTTTGGATATATCTCGAGAGTCTTTATGATCGACTTTATACCAAGCGGTTTTTATCTCCATATGTGCCTAGGTAGCCCTTGGACATCTCTGACTGATCCATTACATTCCAAGGTTTCAATTAGATTTAAGCCTAAAATTGCATACCTAAATATTCTCCCACTCCATCCGATCATCACAATCTAGCAACCAAATCCTTTATAGATTTGAAGTCCACGTCTGTAGCCAATACTTAATTGAGAGATTGTCATCTCACCCGAAAATCACTAGTGGTCATTGAGGGCGACTTGACAAATTCCAGAACTTATCCTCTACAGAAATTTGGCTACGTCAAATTATTTCAACTGAAAACAAATGTGGGAAAAGAAACAATGCTATTTGTACAGATGCTCTGCGGATGAAACATGGAAATAGAGACATAGACCAACAAGTACCCCCTCGCTAGCTCCTAGATAGATGATACAAGGTAACACGCCGATACTTTTTTTCAAAGCCCAGCCAATCACAAAAGAAGAGAATGGTGTAGAGATATAAAAGACCTCTTATTAAAACAATGCCCTTCATATGGCAATCTCTCCCTTCCACGCAGCGTCAGACAATCCCAATGTCCCCATCAGGTTCTGCCACCGGGGACCTCCGCGTTCCTTCTTGCGGATATATTGCAGCAGCTTCTGGCGCTTGTGGACTAGTAGCTGCAGGTTACGCTTGTTGTGCTTGTCCTTGTTGGCGGTCTCGAGGTGGCGGGAGAGGTTCATGATCTTCACGGTTAAGATCGCGGCTTGCACCTCCGCAGAGCCGGTATCGGGTCCAACGCGCGGTGCGCGTTCCGGATGAACAGGGGCAGATCCATGGGCGACAGCCGAAGGCTTTGGTGAAAGAATTGAGTCTGTATAGTGTCGCCCGAATGTCTCGATGCACTTTGCAATGTTGAGTCGCACGCGGTCCTTGGTGTTGCCATTGTTCAGGTTCACAATTCGGTTGATTGCTTCTTGGGCATTCTTATGCTCTTGGTTATGCAGGTTCATTTCCTCCTTCTCAACTTGGGGATCGGCTGTATTGCGATCGGGATTCTTAAGCGGTGCGGTCAAATCCTTGGAGAAGTCGAGGGCGGCATCCAGCTCATTCGACTTCAAGTAGTAGTTGAGATCCTCGGACAAAGATGATGGGATGTGCGGGTTGGTTTGGATGGCTGTCATCTCTTGGATAAATGGTGTCGGCTGGCTCCTGACAGGGTCCCCGAGCGAGGATTCCCGTTCCTCCGCAAGAACTTTCTGGCGGGAGACATTTGCTGCCTTGCGCTGGCGCGCCTGGGCCATCAGAAATGGGTCATGTTTCCTCCGAGCTTGAACCTTGCTGGAAGCGGCTCTGACAGAAGTGTTGATCGAATTGGACAACGGGCTATATCCGTAGGTTGATCCTAAAGGAGCCTTGGTTAACACCCACGTAATTGGACATTTGACAAGACTGATTTCGACTAGCATACCGGTCAAGGCCTTCAGGGAGGACTGAACTGAGATGCGCGGAGGCATGGTGGGCGTAGCTGGCGAGTCGATGCCTCTACTGTAACAATCAACTTCTCTTTTCCATCGACCTTTCGTCGGGAAATCTTGCGGCCGGAAGTCAAGTTACGCTAATCCTAGTCAGGATATTAGCTGCCCCAGGCACCTACAGTCACGTGTACGAAGAGCCTTGGAACCTTGGAAGGATCGGTATTATATAATCAAATCCCCCTGCCCTGGAGCCCTAGCCCTAGCGCACGCAAGCGAAATTCTCCCGAATCGCGAGAGTGCAACAATTCTGCGGCTTGGCTTTGATCTTTTTCCCTCCATCACCACGACAAGAGCCAGACGATTGATCCTCCAACTCATCAATCTATCAATCGCCCAACATGGCCCCTTCCCAGCTCCCCCCGGTTTTCAACCCTACCGCGCAGGACATTGAGATGCTCCTTGCCGCTCAGTGCCACCTTGGTTCCAAGAACCTTCAGGTGCACATGGAGCCTTACCTCTGGAAGCTCCGCGCCGACGGTGTCAACGTCCTGAACATTGGCAAGACCTGGTATGCGCGAAAGCGAAACGACTTCTGACTGTAGCATAGTGTCTAATATATACGTTTGATTGAAATAGGGAGAAGATCGTCCTGGCCGCCCGTATCATCGCCGCCATTGACAACCCCGCCGATGTCTGTGTCATCTCCGCTCGTCCCTACGGTCAGCGTGCTGTCCTGAAGTTCGCCTCCCACACCGGTGCCACCGCCATTGCCGGTCGTTTCACCCCCGGTAACTTCACCAACTACATCACCCGCTCTTTCAAGGAGCCCCGTCTCATCATCGTGACCGACCCTCGCACTGATGCCCAGGCCATCAAGGAGGCCTCTTACGTCAACATCCCCGTCATTGCCCTTTGCGACACTGACTCCCCCACCGACTTCGTCGATGTTGCCATCCCCACCAACAACAAGGGTCGTCACGCCATCGGTCTCGTCTGGTGGATGCTCGCCCGTGAGGTCCTCCGTCTCCGCGGTACCCTCGCTACCCGCGAGACCGAGTGGGACACCGTTGTCGATCTCTACTTCTACCGCGACCCCGAGGCCGAGGAGAACAAGGAGATCGCTGATGAGTCCAAGGTCGCCGGTGCTGAGGAGATCGGCGCTGGTGCCGTCGAGTCCGGCTTCGCTGGTGAGAACTGGGATGCCTCCGCCCCCGGCGCTGGTAACCCCGGCACTGCCTTCGCTGCTGCCTCCGCTGCCACCGGTGCTGCTGGTGCCACCAGCTGGGATGCTGAGGGTGCCGACTGGGCTGCCAGCTCCGCTGCTCCCTACCACCGAGTGGGCTGAGGCTCAGCCCGCCGCTGGTGAGGCCAAGTGGTAAATTGCTTCGCGGTGACGAGGATAGTCGTTGAGAGGGGGGAAGTTTGATCACGATAAAAAGTTTTGGCGATCCGGGATGATTGTGACGATTTTCTGGGTCCCTCGAGGCACGGGAATCGAAGAAATGCTCTTGTTTTCTCCTATACACCATCTACTCCATTCGCAGCAATGGATTACAATCTCCCGCAAATTCCCTTGACATGTCTATCCTAGTCTCTGTGTGCAATTCTCCAAAAACCAAAAGAAACTGAAAAAACAGCAGAAGAAAACGAGCTTTCACCGGGAACCTTTCAATCTTTTGCCTCAGTGGTCTCATTTTACCAGCACTTTTTTTTTATTTCCGTGTTTTCGCATCGGGGAGGAATTGCCATGCCAATCATTGACTGGCGCTTATGAGGGAAAGAGATCCAGTTGCTTTTATTTACGAAGCTTCTGGGGGAAAGCCCTGTGCTGTCAATTCACAAGGTGGACTTAATCGTTACCTTGGTTTCTCCCTGTGTGTATTCTAGTAATCTGAAAAGGTTGTGCTTGGTATCATATCCAGTAGGTTTTGTAGTGTATGTTGGCTGTAGACTTGATCGTGTCATGATATATGTGCGCGTGTTAGAGCACAATGCCATTCATCTAACGTCAAAAGTTCCTGTCGGTATGTTATGCTGTCGACAGAGTATACCTCGTCTAAACGACAGGTCCCTTCGCCGCAACTAGGCTACTATATTCCAAGAGGTACGTATCTTGGGCATTAACATGACTGGTTGATACATGTCTGGGTGTGGAAAACAAGATAGAACATTGACAACGAATAATCAAAGAATAACACAGGAAGTGCCCTCGCTCTGGCCACCTTTTTCAGTCGTCGTCATTGCCGCCAATCTTGCAAGATCTTCAAACGTCTCTGCGAGCAGCTCGCCTGTGACAGCCGAACACTCGGCGTATCTATCGCAACGAAGTTCCTGCGCAATACGATAGGCCTAGGCAGCTCGGTTAGCCAATTTAACGCGTGAAACTCCGCCTCATAATCACGCACCTCTTGTGGGTAGATAATTCCCTCGCCTTCTCTCCGTAGGTCCCGTTTCAGACCTAGCATCATTACTGGAAGGCGCTCGCCGTGGCCGTACTGGAAATAACGAGTAATGTCATTTCGCCACTAAGGAATAGGCATTGAGTATCAGCACCAATTTCCAATTACTCCGAATGTGTATTCGACACTTACCTCTTTTAGTCCGACGAGTGTCTCTCGATTGGAGATATCAAAGGCTAAAACAACCACGTCGGGCCGGAGAGTTGTCCAATGCTGATTTGGGTTGGATGTGTCGTAAAGTTCCAGAGTGAATGTCCTTTTTGAGAACCGGATGTCGTAAATGAAAGGCTGATCACCATCTCGTAATAGTTCAAGAGTATTATGTTCAGTAATAGGTGGCCCTGATGGTGACGGTCTTCCACTCTTCAGGCGACTAAATCATATTAGCATGTCCCCATACAACGCTATATATATAGCCCCGGGATTGGCTCCAAGGCCGCGGTTCGTGGGACGTCCAGGTAGGTACTCACGCTAAGAATGTTGATTTCCCACATCCTGCATCTCCGACTAGAAGTAAAGATACTGATTTGTTACTGTCCGGGTGGGGATCTGCCTCGGCCATGCTGAAATGGCTGTTGACTCGATTTACGCGCAACCGTCCAGGTAATGACCAACTTGCACCCTTCAGCCGGTCAATTAACGAGTATATTGCAAAAGCTTGTCTCCGCTGCGAATGCAGAGCAGTCTATATGATTAATCTTGCATTTCAGGAAACAGTAGGTGTGTTTTAGGTTAGAGAGGTGATGAACTTTTGATGATAAGGTTCGATGCTTGGCGAATCCAACGTGGTTGTTGATTTATATATTGTTTCGACGGTCCTAACCCCATGTCATCTACACCTACTAAATTTCTATATTGCGCAGCTCGCTATAAAAACAAGTCCCCATAGTAACTTATTTGCCGTTAGATCCTCCTAATACAGCCTTAGTACTGTGATATACATTAAATACATGCAAGTGTGGCTACAAAGAGTGTGTAATTATACCATAATACAAGAGGTCAATACCGAAAATACACCAAACAGCGCCTCCGGGGAACTTTTTCAATTTCGATCCCCGCCGGCTGAACGTTCACACCAATCCAATCTCAGCCTCAGTCGCCTTGACGTGGTATGTGGAAACCACCCGCGAGGCTCTTTCCACTGAGTTGCAACCTACAACGAGTCCTCAGACAAACCCGATACTTGTGCCAATCTCGCACCCTCACACCCCAAACTATGGCGGACACCAACATCAAAGACCAACCCGACTATTCGGCCTGGAGTACCTCCAGCCTGATCGCGCGCATTACAGAGTTAGAGCGCCAGCTCCACTCTCAGACAACAGAGTTCACAGCGTCGACCGATGAGCCGCAGGCAGCCCTCTCTTCTGCTACGCCCATCTCCACCGACGTCCCGGAGCCTGCGATCCCTCTCCCGGAGACCTTCAATACTTCGAAGAAGCGGCCGCACTCCCCTCTCGATAGCGATTCTACCCCCGTGCCCGCGCCCACGCGTGTTATCAAAGCCGCGAAACCTCCAAAACCCGATCGCAGCTTTGACCCCTCCAAATACTCGACGCGGTTCATTGCGCTTAAGTTCGCATATCTGGGACAGGCATACAATGGGCTCGAACATACAAATGGCAATACTACGCCTCTTCCTACTGTTGAAGAGGTTCTGTGGAAGGCATTGCGGCGTACACGGCTCATCTCTCCCGAGACCACCTCTGATCTTGAACCGTCCGATAGAGCGGAGCGCGTCCCCATGCGCCCCTACCACCTTTACTGGGATGGTTGCGAATACTCTAAAGCAGGTCGTACAGATAAGGGTGTTAGCGCTTTTGGGCAGGTTATTGGACTGCGGGTCCGCAGTCAACGGCCCATTCCCAAACCCCCCGCTGAGGGCGAGGATGGCATGAGCGTTGACTCGGGATCTACTGAAAAGGAGTGGGATGATGTAGCCGATGAGATGAATTATATCAATGTTCTGAACAGGGTGCTTCCAGAAGATATCAGGGTTCTGGCATGGTGTCCTAATCCGCCGCCTGGTTTCGATGCCCGCTTCTCCTGCCGTGAGCGTCGGTACAAGTACTTTTTCACCAACCCCGCGTTCACTCCGACTCCTGGGTCCATTGGGTTCCAGAACCGTGCACAGAATGGCAATGGCCCGCGTGCTGAGTTCCGCGAGGGTTGGCTCGACATTGAGGCTATGCGCGAGGCGGCTAAGCATTTCGAGGGTTCGCATGATTTCCGGAATTTCTGCAAGTTGGACACCAACAAGCAGATTGATAACTTTGAACGCATTATCCATCACTCTAGTATCGAAGCTGTCAATCCCAAGGTCAGTCCAGTGGGCTATGTTGGCCAACCTGGATTCCAGGCCAAAGAGGATAGTATGCCTGAACCGGATTTGGCGACTCCCGACACGGTTTCTCAAAGTATCCCTCAAGTCTATTCGTTCAACCTTCACGGCTCTGCCTTCTTGTGGCACCAGGTGCGCCACATGGTTGCAATTCTGTTCCTAGTCGGACAGGGACTCGAGTCTCCATCAATCGTCCCTGAACTTCTTGATGTTGCCAAGAACCCGCGAAAGCCGACCTATGCAATGGCTGATGATGCTCCGTTGGTCCTTTGGGACTGCATATTCCCCGACATAGAGTCTGGCAGTCGCGCAGATTCCTTGAACTGGATCTATGCTGGTGACAGCCCTGCAAACGGCAAGGGAAGCGCCAAGGGCGACAGCAAATTCGGGATGCGGGGCACTGTTGAAAGTCTGTGGGCCGTCTGGAGAAAGCGCAAGATAGATGAGATGCTAGCGGGTGCTCTGCTAGACTTGGCTGTCACCCAGGGTAACCAGAAGGTGGAAGACATTGACAACCAATGGCAAAACGCGGGATATGCCAAGAAATCAAGCAGAGGCGCCAAAGTCTGGTCTGGTGGAAACGATACTTCTGTTGGAGGGAAATATGTCCCTGTCCACGAGAAGGCCAAAATGCAGCCCGTGGAAGTTCAAAATGCCAAAGGACTTATCACAAAGCAGCGAAGGCTAGCAAAGGGCGAGGCTGCAAGGGCAGCGCTGGAATGAATTTTGTTTTGTATACTTGCTGATAGAGCACGCAAGATAGACTTTTGCATAAACAAACATTTGTTGAGGCAGGGGCTGTGGGTATATCATGACTTTGCATCGTAAAGACACCGCCGAGAACCCCTCCAAACCTGCTCTAGGATCTCTCGCTTGGGCAACATATGCTAGTCACACAATTAGCTTGGATACATAACGCGGAGTATGCCACATACCGGGAAGACCACCAGGGCATTGGGCTCGCCTTCGACAATGACCGCCAAATAGAAGCGGACTTCGAAGCCCTTGAAAGCTTCGTGAATCACAATGTCCTGGATTTGTGTGGTAGGAATGAACCTCGTTGAGGCAGTAGAAAGATACGTCGAGGACGATGTCGAGGTCTGGATTCCGAAGCCTCGAATAACCAGGAGCGATTCCTCTGTCGAACGGTCAGCCATGCACGGATTTTCAAAGCCAACTCTTCCTTCTCAACCTACCGATATAACCTCTTCTGAAAACACCGTATATCACCAATGCACCGACTACAGCAATTAACAGCGGGTTGTATGAATCCACCAAGCGACACAGTTTGGATCCGAGGGGGCTCGACCACACAGCTGGCCAGCTTATCACCCTTCCATCTTCTTGGAAGAAGAAATTCCGGACGCGCGCAATACCGACACCAATCACACAGAAAAATAAAACGGTACGTAGCAATATTTGGAGACCGAATAAGATTTTGGCGGGGGAACTCGACCGCTGCGGCGCATTCGATACCGTGAAGGAAACGGTCGTCGGAGAGGGACGCTGAACTTCTAGTCGGCCTGGCATTTTGTGTATGAGCCAGGTGAAAGAGAACAGAGGCAGAATCAATTGACAATGTGCATTGCAGCCAGTCTATCCAACCGGTAGATCAAAAGTGTGGAGAGATCAAATGTACATTACAGGAGAGCTCTCGATGTGAATAAACACGCTAATCCAATCTTGGACTAGCTTACTCCACTGGCAGCTGCATATGGTCACGTGCCTCTCAGCTTCGTTTAGATTACATCTGGGCTTGTCAGGCACCCACGCAACATCACCTTCCCTCCATTCCACAGTCATGGGTGACCGATCACGAAGCAGGTCTCCGCGCCTGAGAGAAAATGCTGATAGAGAGCGCCCCAGAAAGACCGGAGGATTTCGGTGGAAGGACAAGAGCCGCACCGACGATTCCCGCGGAGATGATCGCAGATTAGAACGAGGATACCGAGACCGACCACGATCACCACGACGCGACCGCGAAGGCGACCGGTATGGAGATAGACCGAGGGATGGTGACCGCGATCGGGGCCGACAACGTGACGATCGAGATGCGCCGCGCGAAGACCGGGAAAAGAAACCGAAGAAAGAAAAGAAAGAGAAGAAGCCCGTCGCTCCGCAGTCTTCAGAACCCATGATTGTGGTCCATGTCAATGATCGCCTGGGAACTAAAGCCGCGATTCCTTGTCTCGCCTCAGATCCGATCAGTATGTTTTACTTTTTTTTTTTTACTGTTGGCGTACACCAATGTGCTAATGTACTATACAGAGCTCTTCAAGGCCCAGGTGGCAGCTCGGATCGGCCGTGAACCCCACGAAATCCTTCTGAAACGCCAAGGCGAACGTCCTTTTAAAGATCAACTTACACTGGAGGATTATGGAGTGAGCAACGGAGTTCAACTTGACTTGTGAGCCTCAAACCCGCTTTCGTATACCAAGACTGTGATACTAACTCTATTATAGGGAGGTTGGAACGGGCGAATGACGGATTCCCGGAGCAGACTGCACTTGGTGGGAAAGTTATGCCAAGCTCTTTTATGTTTTTCTTTTTCTTAGTACATACTATCTTGGGGACCGGAGCATAGGAGTCACGCATGAATATGTTTCTCTTTTTTTTTCTTCTTCTTTTGAGGTTTCCAAAGCGACTGAGGATTTGAGCAGAGTCATGTATATCTACGGATGGGAACAAATGGAAAATATGAAGCAGTAAACCTGCACATGTGACCATTTACTGCGTTGTCGAGAAGCAATTCAACCGTTTTCTGCGGGGGGCCCTCGGTCACGACATGCGCTTTACCCGATCCGGGTCATTTGCCACCTGAGGCATCAGCCACAGATCCGCTCCACTCCAGAGGCTTTTTTTCCCATCGCCGGACTCACATCGTCGGTTTTTTTTTTTTTGTTTTATGTCTTTGTCCCTCGAAGTCTCGATTCTTCCGCGATGAGGTAGCATTTGTCCTCAATTCAATAATTCCTTACTTTTCTTTTACTTCTCTCTTTATTTACTTTTACTCCCTTGACTGCTTACCGAGATCGCCCCCCAGATTTTCCTCCCCCTCCACCCAATCTCTCCAAACCCGATTTTCTTCAGATCGAGCGCCCTTCTTCCTACTTACAATCCACACATCACAAACAATAACACTATGGTCCGCAATCTTGTCGTCATCGGAGGCAACTCCCACCCTCAGTTGACTCAGAGCATTTGCGCTGTTCTCGGCATACCTCCCGCTGAGGTCCTGCTCTCAAAATTCGCAGTGGGTGAGACTCGAGTTGAAATCCAAGAGTCCGTCCGTGAAAAGGATGTCTACATTATTCAATCTGGCGGCGGTAAAGTCAACGACCACCTGCTAGAGCTTCTCATCACCATTTCCGCTTGCAAAACTGCCTCGGCCCGGCGAGTCACCGCTGTTCTCCCTCTTTTCCCTTACTCTCGTCAGAGTGACATCCCTTATGACAAGGCCGGCGCTCCTCTCGTCAAGGCATCTGTGGGAGGTAAACCTGGGAATGGCTACACATTCGAGAGTACCCCTTCGACCCCGGCTCTTGGTGGAAAAACCGAAGGCCTGGGCTTGATGAATGGAATGAATGGAATTGAAAGCCTCCAGAAGGGCCTTGCCAAGGCTCAGATCGAGGAGAGTACTGGCAGCCCTGTGAAGCGGCGGGGCAACGGTCTGCCCCGCAGTGATACAACGGATTCCCTCAAGTCCGTCACCAACGGCACCAACGGCACCGACGACGCAGCGAGCAACACCTCCTCCAAGATCAATTCCTTCCAGCCGCGTCCTGGTTACAAACAGTGGGTTGCACAGGCCGGCACCCTGGTGGCAGACCTGCTTACCTGCGCCGGCGCCGATCACATCATCACCATGGATTTGCACGACCCACAGTACCAGGGATTCTTTGATATCCCCGTCGACAACCTCTACGGCCGACCTCTTCTGAAGAGCTACATTCAGCGCAACATCCCAAATTACAAGCAGGCTGTCGTTGTCAGTCCCGATGCCGGAGGTGCCAAGCGCGCTACGGCAATTGCCGACCAAATGGGCATAGAGTTTGCTCTGATCCACAAGGTAGGCTTATCGAGTGCTTGAATTACCCCTATAATTCTCTAACAAGTTCGTAGGAGCGTCGCCCCACCAAAATCACCGACCGCCAGAATGCCACCATGATGTTGGTTGGCGATGTCCGTGATCGGATAGCCATTCTGATTGATGATCTGGCGGACACCTCCAATACCATTACTCGTGCAGCCAAGTTGCTCAAGAAGGAAGGTGCATCTAAGGTATATGCCCTTATCACTCATGGTATCCTGAGTGGCGACGCTATCGAGCGCATCAACGCCAGTGCCCTTGACAAGGTTGTTGTGACCAACAGCGTGGATCAAGTCGACCACTTGCGCCGATGCCCAAAGCTGGAGGTCCTGGAAGTCGGCCACGTTTTCGGCGAGGTGAGTCCCATACGTCCGGTTCATTCCGTACAATATACTGACTTATACCCAGGCCATCCGTCGTGTGCACCACGGTGAAAGCATCAGCGTTCTCTTCCAGTACGATTGATCGGTGCCTAAGATCTTTTTCATTTTCTCCGATATCCTAAAATTTCCATGTTTGCTCTACGACACCCTCAACATTTGAACCTCAGTTCCCCTTCCCATAGATCCACAGTAGATTTGGGACGCTGGATTTCTTCTGGTATTTCTGGTATTTCTTTTTCTGTTGCTCTCATCTGGCTTTGGCTGGCTTTCCTTTTTCCAATGTTCCTGTCATACTATCTATCTCTGCCACACCCTTTGCCATCTGCACATATGAGCAATGAAATGTTGAATCGAAATTGGGAATTTCTTATTCAACATGCAAGTAATCGCCGGTCTTGGACTAGACTATCAATGTGGCTGACGTGTACTTCATGGAGACGTAATACTTTCCAATATTGAAGCTCGTGCATGTCGGTCTGCGCTTGATTGATCGCGATTCTTAATCCTTGCATGCTACGCCAGATATTTATTGTCTTGACACTCAGATCCTTTTCCGTCTCATTTGATACTCACCTATTGCGCAGAGCCCATGATGCCATGGACCCCTAAACAGCCGAAGAGTGCAGTCACCCACTCTCTTCTACGAAACATTTGGGAAACCAACAGGGACATCGCTACCAGAGTTGATGTTCCGAGTCGTGTCAGATATTGGTCGGAGAAAGGAGAAACTAAACAATAGTTCCTTGGCCCCACGTGCCACTGCGAGCCGCGACGGCTATTATTGAAACATTCCCATCAACACTACTAAGCGATTGGTGGAATTTGAGCAGAATGTCAATGACCCCTTCCCGTTGGTCTGAAGAATTCAGCGAAGAGAACTTGGAGCCTCTCAGTCTTTGTTTTTACCTCGTGTCCAAAGAAATGGATCAAGCAGATGACATTGAAGCTTGAGTGCAGAGTGCTACTCTCGAGGTCAGCATGCCCAACCACGTCATCAGTGGCTCGAATAGATTTTAGCATGGCCATGCCACCGGCTTTTTTGTTTACACCGCATGACTATTGCCTCACTAGCTAACCTATCTCCCCTTACGCATCTCTGTGTAGCCTCGGCTAATAGATGATATAATTAATCGTTACCTCGGTGAGCCTTAAATCAAGATTGTTTAGAGTTCCACCTATACGGTTGTAGCCAAATATCTTTCTAGCAAACCCTAGAACTTTCCTATAAAGCGAACATTTATCTATAATAAGATCCACTCGATTAGGTGCGCAGATGGCCTAACAATAACAAAGACCACTAAAAAGACCACTAAAAAGACACATGAATAGACTATCGGAGAAGATTACCTGAGAAGACTACCTGAGGAGACCACTAAGGAGACTATGACTATGCATTCTTGTGACAGCATATTGTTTCTTGCCATCAACCGAGTGCACTTATAGATTCCATGTCCGCCACATGGACATCTATCTCCACTGTGTCAACCACGAGACCAATAGGATCCATTCTAACTAGATAGGCAAGTGCAAGACATACCTAGATATATTCCTAGAAGGGACTATTGCATCTTGGCATAGTTTAATGCTATGCAGGCAAGGACTTGGCGCCTTTCGGATACTTTCGTATTCCTACGATCATTCCCAGAAACTGTCATATCTACGACAGAAATTCCACTGTGCAACACACCAATTCATTCAATGTTCCCTTTATTTCGAATGCCGATCGTAAACGAGATAGACGACAACTCTCAATAGACTTACAACAACGTGACTTTTCCGTTCGGAACTCATCATTTTCATAGATCGTCAAACTCTTTTCGTTCCTTAGTATCATAGATCGCCAAAGGTCTTTCTTTATTTATCCCAGGACTAATACTTCGACACGTCATGGGAAAGGGAGGCAGGAGAATGGCTATATTCCCTTGGGCCGTTTATATAAAGCGAGCCCTGCACATTGCCATTGAACTAATATCTAATCATCATCCTTTCAAACTCTAAGCCCTCGCGTATCGCCATGGCACCAACTTTCTCCCCTCTAGATGCCTCTTCCTACCGACACCCGCACCGGAACGGGCCTTATGAGTCACTTCGGGAAGCAACGATTCTCGCAATGTTGGAACAGGGAATCGAATATAACACCCTGAGCGAGAACCCTGTCTCCTGGGCTGATGACCAGGACCCGTTCGGACATGTCATGGCTCAGTCTTATATGCATTACGCTGGCAATTCCTTCATTCGCCTGCTTGAGTCGTTCGAAGGTCATCTCAAAGATGAATTCCCAAGGTTCATGTCGGGTCGTGGAATCGGTGCTATGTCGAAGCAATGTTCGATGAAAGCCAAACGGGTTGTCAAGTATCCTGACCTGGTGAGTCTTTGCTTTCTTTCTTTAAAAGTGTTCTAGGATAAGAGATGGGCGAAGCTAACAACGTATCGACAAAGCTCATCACCGGTGTCCGCATTTTGGATGTACACATGGACAGGATTCGAGTTGATTATTATATCTGGTCTGTGACTCAGAACGTACTGGTTACCGAGTTTCAGACCTGGATTGTGTTTTTCCACCACAAAGAACAACGACTTGTCAATCTCGCAGAGGAAGGTGGTGTGTACCAGTCCCTGCATGCTTCCTTAACAGAGCGTGCAGCGGAGTCGCGTCGTACCCTCAACGCATGGGAGGAAAAGCAGGCCCAGAAGGCTGGTTCTAATACGGCAAAGCTTTGAGCTGACAGGCCCTGTTCTTAATCTAGATTTAAATATGGAGTAGTGTTTCTATTGTTGCAATTTGAGATTCAATGTCATTGTTTTTATCCGCACAAATTGTCAATTCAGATCTTTCCATTTTAGTGAGAGATTCCTATACCATTAATATTCACTATACCTTCGTCATGCCTCGTATATCTGTCTAACTTTCCCGCCTCGTCCAATTAACTTACTAGCAAAGGCGGCTGAGCAATTTAGGGATATAAATCATACCAGACGACGATCTTCACGTTACACAACATGCTGTTGATGACCTTACCACGCTCACACGCACATTCTCCGGGAGAGGATTCGGCTAAAACTGTGACTGTGACTGTGACTGTGCCCGATTTCGTGTCCATGGATTCTCTTATAGGATAACGAATGGTTGCACCTGATTTCATATTTTGTACAAAGGGGAAACTGCAAGCTTAGATATCTAAGCGTTTAACCAACCTTACAAATTCCTAGCATGACCCTGAAATGAATATAGGCAATTTAGCGGACTTCTATGCTTCGATTAAGGGCAAGATCACCGATCCGTCGTATTCCCTACCGGAATGACATCGTTTTCAAAAAGGTAGACAATTCCTCTACCCCAATTTCTGGCTGATTGTCCTCTTCTTCCTGGGATAAGCTCCCTACCCGTCAATTGGCTAACAAGTTCAATGACGAGGAAAATTATGACCAAGATTAAAGAGAATGTTGAAAATATAAAAGCCACGGGCCGTCGAGTGCCTGGGCACCTTAATAGACTCAGTGAAAGATACTCATTTTAACACAGAATCCTTGCATAGGCTTTTCATGCCTGCTGGTACCGACCGAGGTCGGCCCACTGAATGCCTCGTTTAGCCTGCGGCGGCTCAGTTATTTTCCTCCCCCTCTCAATTCTTTTACATCCATCATCATCTACCTTAAAGACCTTCTACCCGATCAATTTCGATGTAGGATTTGGCCTTATGTACCACCTAGGTAGATATCATGGAGAAGTAGAATGTCCCTCGAAAGGTTCCGCCGATTTGGATCCGCAGCGGATCCCCAACGGGCCGAGCCATGCGGACGACATTCCTAGGGAGAGGACAACCTGGGAAGAAGTGGAAGAAGTGGAAGAAGTGTACATAACTGTACAAGTTAATTACACATTCTCCTCACACTAAATAAGTACAATGACATAGTTCCCTTGAATACGACAATATCCAAAAGCTAGCTGTGTGTATCAATACCAGCTTCAAGGTCCTTGATCATCTGCCAAAGATTTACCCCCCTATCGCTCTCACAGTCTTCATAGTGGATGCCTTTTAGGATTCCAGACAACAGCACACGATCATTGCTTGTAATCAAGACCCCATTTTCCGGTGCAAGCACGCGCTCAGCCACTTTCTGATAAGCGAGTCTGTGGGCGCGGTGCTTGACAGTATTTCTCATTTCAAAATATAACCATCTCCGACAACCCGCAAGGAACTTGACTCTTTCAAACGCGGAAAGCCTGTCGAGCTGATCCCTAGAGTCCCCAGCAGGACCCCCTCTCGTGAACACCCGTTGTTCGATCTCGCTAGCCGTCAGTTCGTAAGCTTTGTTCTGCGCTAGAGTCGCCAACTCCACGGCGCGTATGGGGGTTTTCACGCTCAGCATTTCACGAGTGGTCAGATGTTGCAGCTCACGTCTTCCCATGAGATAATCTGCAACGTATTCGGCCAAAGTATCGGTGAGGGATGCATAAGTATGCACCCTCTCCGCCTTTGCACCGCCTCTATCTCAGACGTGAAGAGGACGGTGAGAAGCTCGCTGAAGAGAACTCCATCCGAATACCGAGGTGTAGGGTCTGCGGTGTGCATTTTCGGGCTGCGGATTAAGGCTGTCAGCTCGGACGGGAGCTTAATGAGATGGGTGAAGTATTTCGAGCCGTATAGGTCGGGGCAAACCGAGGCAGCGGAAAGATGGGCGAAATCGTGTAGATCCCAAATAGCAGACGGGTTGTCTAGCATGCGGACACTATCTCCTTTGAAATCTTGTGCCCGGACTGCAATGTGGCTTACGCCAATTGCTGATATGGCCGTTGGAGGAATGAGTCTTGTTTGGTAGTCCACGGTGAAGGTTGAACTGTTGACCAGTCGATGAACGCCATAGTTGATAGCACGGATGGCGTTGTCGTTGCAGGAGAGAAAGATGTTGATTTCTGTGAAAAGTTGTTGGTTGGATTCTATCGCTGGTAGGAATTCTTCCCGGCACTCTGAGCGAGCGGCTAGATACAAAACCCCATATTTGTGGGCTGAAATTGCTGCTTTCCAAAGCAGTTCGTGTTGGGTTATTGAGGGTAGAAGGGAATGATTGTCTGTTCCCTCCAAAAGGAGTTTGCATCCTTCCAGAATATTCTGAAGGAGGACACGCTTGATGGCCTTCACATGAAATCGAATGCTCTCCCCATCCTGGAAATGGGGGTATGCAGGAATCTGGCCATCCAACCACCAAGTTGAGGGATCATAGGTAGGAGGCAAATTTTCGAATGGGTGCAGGGGTGTCTCCAAGGTACAGCAGGCTGGTGGCTTCCTGTTTTGGGGTTCCTGCCCATCTGCATCGTTGCGAATCGATTCAGCCGGTTGGCCCACGGGCTTGAGATATCTCTGTAGAAACCTTTGCACAATCTGGGCAATTGGATACATTGTGCAGAGATGTTGAAAGCGGACGAAGCTAGGAATTACCTCACTGGCTTTCTGTCGATATCCGTTGCTTGTACTTTTATAAGCATCAGATTTGGGGCCAAAATTACAATACCCTCATCTTGCTTCAGACCCTAAAATCTCACGCGAGATTTAGCCTACTAGGATGGTTCCATATGCATGGACATATGGCTTCGACGTTGTAGTAGCATCCTTCACATGTTGTCCTGCACCTAGGTATTATCATGCCTGTAAGATTGAACTGATAGGGCAAAATTAGTCGAGGCCACTTTTTATTATTCGGTGTAGATCTTCTGTTTTCCCTTTCGTGGAGTAATATGCTATTATAAGAATCATTAACAATATGGGGTTCACGAGCGAATTGAGCCACCTTTGCAGTGAGTGGATTCTTGGTTTTCATAGAAATCCCTTTTCCAATTATCATATAGCAGATAGAGGGACACCCATCGATTGTTAAAGGAATCCCTTTACGAGGGAGATGTGATATCAACCTGTTGCCAAGAGACGAATACATTGCTTCTACAGCAGGTAGCCTGTTTAGGAGGCAACCATCCGCCTATGCAACTGCATACATGTATGTATCCTCTGATATCTATTTATAAGGTCTTTTAGGTAAAACGGGAGATCGTCAGTCTTATCATTTATGCCTCTTTGTCTATACCTACTATATTGTATATATTAAAACGGCTGGACCCTGGCAAGTCTGGATGTCTTTCTTGCCTAATTTGGACTAGGTCGGTTCGCGATGTAACCCTAGTGCCGTGCTTTTTCCTTTTACGTTTAGGAGCTGTGAAATATCTACCTCCAAGTATACATAATGGATGTGGATTTTGTTGTCAAGGGTGATAATACCAGCACTTGAGGAGTACTCGTGAATGTATGTATAGTACAAGCCCGGGTAAATTGACGATCGCTGGATCCTGGCGACTTTAGTGCGAAGGATGCTGATCCCCGACATTTCAAGCCTCTTTCTTTTTGAGGGGTAGAGGACAATTGCGTCTCAAATTTATGGAGTAATTAATTTCAGCCTAAGTGTTTGGCAGAAACAGTCACTTAGCCTTATCCAAGATAGGAAAGATGTCTTGCTTACTCTTTTTTTTTCTGGCCCTTGCTTCTCAGTACATTTGTCACGATATTCATGGTTACAGTAATGTCGAAGTAGGTGAAAAATAGTGAAGACTCATTGGAATTACTACCTACCTACATTTTTATCTCATCGCTTTGTCTTGTTATCGGGGTCACATGTCACAGCCCTAAAGGGGTCCCCGACATGTAGATAGGGAAATTTTAGTTTTGAGACCGTTTCCTCCTCCAAATTCCATCTTCTATCGTCTTTTTACTCCTTTCTGCTCCAGAAGTTCTAGACATGGCAACCACGGAATCGAAAACCACCGTGGCTGTCTCTAGAAGTGATGAGGAACCAGTCGGACAGTTGGATCAAGGACTTCGTGCGTGGACGGTCGTCATTGGAGCATGGTGCTGTTTATTTTGCGCTTTCGGCTGGGTGAATGGTGAGATCCCTGTCTCTCACATTTTTCATGCCGATAACCTGACACGCTTTACCACCAGCCATTGGCATTTTTCAAGAGTACTACCAGAACAATCAATTACATTCTTATTCCGCCTCCAGCATTTCCTGGATCTTATCTCTGGAGCCATTCGTACTCTTTGCGGCTGGAATTGTCATCGGAAGAGTGAATCTAGCCCATACAAGCCTAAGCGGTGCCTATATTAATCTTCTCTCAGGTATTCGATAATTATGGCCCAAAGTGGCTCCTTCTTATCGGGACATGTCTTCACGTCTTCGGCATCATGATGACCTCCATCTCGACGGAGTACTATCAATTTTTGCTAGCCCAGGGAATCTGCAGTCCTCTGGGCGCAAGCTTTGTCTTTTCGTCCGCACTCTCCTGTACCGCAACATGGTTCGAGAAACGACGTGCTTTGGCCTTTGGAATCGTTTCCAGTGGCTCATCACTGGGCGGAGTGGTATTCCCAACCATGTTGTCTCGGCTCTTCCCTAGTATCGGGTTCGGATGGACGCTGCGTATCTCTGGATTCATCGTCCTCGCGCTCCTGGTAATTGCCAATTTGACTGTCCGATCGAGAATCAAAAATGTTCCGCGGCCAGTGAAGCTGAGTGATTATACGAGTCCGTTCTCGGAGATACCGTTTGTCTTGCTTATGCTGGCTTCCTGCTGTGGATTCTTTGCCATGTTTGTGCCAATCAGCTATGTCGTTGTGGAGGCTCAGGAGGACGGAGTCAACCGTGAGCTAGCTGGGTATTTGTTGACTATCCTCAATGCCGCCAGGTGAGTACTACCCCCTATTGTGCTTGATGAGACGGCATGGTTGAGCTAACCTATTCCGCAGTCTCCCTGGTCGAATCCTACCGGGCTATGTAGGGGACAAACTGGGCCGGTTCAACGTCATGATTGCCATGTGCTCCTTGTCCGCCATCGTTATCCTAGCCCTCTGGCTTCCAGGTACCCTTCTCTCCCCAGGCAGTGCGGCGATCTATATTGTCTTCAGCATGCTGTATGGGTTTGCATCGGGTGCATTTGTGGGCATGGTACCTGCCCTGCTGGGCCAGATCTCGCCCGACGTCACCAAGATCGGTGTTCGTCAGGGCGTTTTATTTACTTGCATCAGTATTGCATCGCTCACGGGAAGTCCCATTGCTGGAGCAATCTTGAGCCGACAAAATGGGACCTACTGGGGGTTACAGGTCTTTTCGGGTGCAATGATGGTAGCAAGTGTATTCTTCTTCGTTGCGGCGAGAGCGGTACTTGCAGGACTGTCTATCTCAAAAAAGGTTTAAATACAGACGAGAATACAATAGAGACCCTTTATACATAGCTATCACAGAGCTGAGCCGCGACAACATCCAAGCTGGTCAAACCTTTAGGGCGATGAGTCGTCCAACGGATGGAGACTTTGTTATAAACCTTCAGTATATTGTCAGCAAAGTAATTCATCTATAAAAAGGAATATCAAAGCGACATACATTTGACCATTCGGGATGGTGTCGAAGCTTAGTCGCTGTATCTGCCACATGATTCATAAACCTCTTGATTTCCTAGTCAGCGTACTTCCGAATATCAGTTCAACGTTAGCAGTAGAACTCACCCAAGCCTCTTTAAACCCGGGGAACTGAACCTCCCGTTCAATCGCCAATCCATCCTCCGTCAATTTCCACAATCCCCCATTCTCAACCAGTAAGCTCTGCACCCCCGACAAAACTCTCTCCACATCCTCTCCTTCCGCAACAACAGGCTCCCCCATCTTGCCCTCCTTTTTCCACACTCCCCCATAAATCTTATCACCTATATCTCCATTCGTATACGGAACCAAATATCCCCTCTCATCGCATCTCTCAGCCTGTCTCCCAACAACAACATACTCCACCACCGGACAACGAGCCACCCTTTCCAATGCCTCGGGAGCTGCATAGACACACAATACCACAACCGACCTTGGCAGGCCCCCACACATCTCCCACAGTTCCTCACAAAGCCTGACGACCGTATCCCCAGTAGCAATGATCGTATCGAGGATAACAATCTTCCCGTCATCAGACGCCGGTGGGAATGGTCGTCGGCCTAGCCAGTCCACAACCACATCCTGTGTGCCTTTCATCTTGCTGCACCGGGCTAGAATGCATGAAGTAGCGGGAAGGAGAGGCTGTGCCGCTACGAACATGGGTAAGGCTCCGCGGAGGATGGGGATCATTGTTGTCGGGGACTTGAGGGTTGGGTCGTGGGATTTGGCGGCGGAAATGATCTCGTGGGTTAAGGTGTGGATTGTGTCTTGCATGATCTTGGGCGTGGAGGAGGAAGAGCAGAAGGTTGTCATTAGGTTGGTGATGGTTGGGGTTTGGGGGAGTTCGATGATGGGAGCTGGGATAGCCATCTTTTCTTCTTCTTTTTGCATGTCAAGATGAGGGATTTAGAATCTGTGTGAGGAGTTGAAGTGTAGATGATTGGGATTTATAGGTACTTGGATTTATGTGGTGCGGATCTCATGCATTTTACAAGTAGTATACATACAGTTGTAGACTGTTGTATTTGGTATTACTTCTACTAGTATAACTAGGGCTTACTGCAACATAGTGAGAAGTCATTTATTATTATTATTATTATTATTATTATTATCATTATAAACCCGCAGTAGTTCGTATCTACACTATCTCAATGTAACATCGCAGCTGCATGAGCCACGTAACTATGTACGCTACTGTAAGATCCCTGACAAAGGATTCGAATTCATTTCCACAGGGATTAATTTTTAGAAGGATTCACGGGTTAATTGTGGCAGTACCCTACTCTTCCCCTGCTTCACTTTCATACTACCAACCACCCAGCTTCAAACCATTGAATACAAACCTCAAAATGATAGCCCTCGCAATCTTCGACTTCGACGGCACTCTCTTCGATACGCATGAATCCATCTCCCACACCATAAAACTCACCTTCGAGACCCTCCTCCCTACCCACACCCCTCCCCAACCCAAAATCCACCGTCTCATCGCCAGCGGAGCCGGCCTAGCAGACACCTTCAAAGCCCTACATCCTTCCCCCGCCGAATTCACTCCGACCGCTGAGAACGAGTGGATTGAAAAATACCGCGCTCTCTATGCCACCCACGGCCAACTACTCATCAAAGCCTTTCCCGGCGCCAAGGATCTCCTCACTGAACTTAATGCCCACAAGATCCCCATCGCGATTGTGAGTAATAAGGGTGTAGCTGCTGTGAAAACGGCATTGGAGCGGAATGGTCTGGATGGCTGCGTGCCTGAGGATTTGATCATCGGTGATAAGACACCCGGGGCGAAGCGAAAGCCAGATCCGGCTAGCTTTGTGGATGTTCTGATTCCCGTTCTGAGGGAGAAGTATGGGATGGATGAGATTGATTCGGGGATGGTGTTGGTGGTGGGTGATACGGTGGCGGATGTTCAGTTCGCAAGGAATATTAAGAGTAGGGTCTGCTGGTGTCGGTATGGGTACGGAGATCAACAGGCTTGTCAGGAATTGAAACCGGATTTTGTGGTGGATTCTTTGGGGGAGGTTGTGGGGATTGTGAAGGCCTAAGCTCGTTACTGGAGAAGCATACTGCATTGGAACTACCAACAAATGTAAATAAATGTAGAGACACTAGATGACTTGACTTATTCTGTCGCTGTATGAATATGGAGCATATGGAGACTCTTCGTGTTAGGAACGGTGCTTGCTTCTTAGGAGGCTGAGATCGGAGATGGTTGAATTGCTTCCGCAGTTGATTCAACGTCAATAAGAAAGACTCACCACTATCAATCCTAGAGGGCAAATCAAGGCTCTCAAGGTACCACCGGGATCAGATCTTTGTTCCTGAACCAATAGCGAGGTGCGCCTAATGGAACAAGTTAGATTACTTTTGTTCATATGACTCCTAGCGTTTAAGATCCTCGAGCTTCCACTAAGGGCTCTGGAAGATTATATAGCCCTATGGCTTTTTACCCTTATCTTCCTACTATAGCTAGCGTAGCTAGGGGTAGCCGTATTCGAGAATCTGCGCTAGATCTACTCTATCCTCGGCTTCTCTTATTTTATCTTCTTATCGGGAAACCTCCGCCTCTAAGGTTTTAAATGCATCCGCTTCGAATTCGGCGTAGAAAGAACTTCTAGATGTCTCGAGTCGCTCGAGTATTTCGGAGTAGTGTTCATCAGAAACTAGCGTTAGATTATCGAAATAATCGAAACGGATATCTTCTTCCGGAAAGCTAAGTCGTCCCTAATAGCGGCTATGAAGTAATTCAACCTTAGACGAAGTGAGGTCTCTAGGTGATTAAGCAGCTTTTTTTAAAAGCTCTTCTTTACTAAGAGTTGTTACAGCGGAAATGTTTGCCTCTTGAGTTGAGAAGTCAGGAAAGTCGAGAAACCGAACGCGGTCCTCTACACTAATGGCAGACGGGTTGCTTTCGAATTCTTGAAAAGTCGCGAGCAGCCTAGCAGGCTCGCCGAGGTTAAGTATGATACGGATGAAAGATAGGAATAGGTGCTCCATTGGAAAGACAGAATTGTAGATATAAGGGTGGAGGACACCCCCAGACCTCGAGAGTCTCTAGGGCTGTGACCTATAAAAGCAGCTCAAATAGGAAAGCCCCTATACTAAACTAAATATTTGTATTTTGTCCTTCTATGCCACAAAGATAAGGTCAAGCACATGCAAACGCCTCATACGAAAGGGGAAAAAAGGAACATAGCCGAAATCAGAGATGAGCGGTTCGTTCCGATCAAGGAAAAAGGAAAAGAGGTCGATGCGCTCACGTTAAAGAACAAACTGGGTACTCGATACAACGAAAAGCGGCTGGCAACCAAAGAAAAACACCAGCCAGGGAGATAGGTACAAAGAGGGAAAACAGAAAAATCATAGAGGGCCCGAGTCGAGCTTAGAAAACGGAGATGAAGTTTCCGATCCTCTCCTTCTGGTTTTGAGCAATGCATTCCGAGATCCAGGTAACGTTTCGGATTTCCTAGGCGATATTAGCTTCTTGAAAATTAAAGAGATTGACCCTGAGAGGCTTACCTGCTCCTTCAGCTTCATCCAGGCGTACACCACAGCCGGGGTAAATTGACGGGTGAAGACCAGCTTTGACAGGTCCATCTCCTTCTGATAGAACATATCCTCTAAACTCTTTCCGTCCGCAGGACCTCCACCCGTACCACCGAGACCGCCGCTGCCTTGGCTCAGGCCCACAGCATCGAAGAATGCCTTGTAATCGGCCACAGCGCTTACAGCCAAGGCCACACCCTCGACATCCTCTGCGCGTGAAAGCATGAGACTTCCCTCTGGGTAGAGCTTGCCAAACTCCGGGTACAATTTCCTCCGCTCGAGCTTGGTCAGCTCGGTGCCGAAGGAGTTGAGTGTAATATTGATAGAGCGGCGGTCCGCCTCGAACTGCAGAACCTCCGCCATGACGTCCTGCGTTGGTGTCCCGCTGAAGTCTGGGTGGGTGTTGATGAAGTTGTAAAAGTCCTCCAAGTAGTTCTTGTAGAGGGTGTTTCGAACGATCTCGATGTTCAGCTCGTCCAGGTCCTGGTGGCTCAGACTTCCCTTGAAGTAGGCGGCCAGCGGGGTCTCGATCAGTACCGAGTTGTACAGTTCCTCAATGTTTGTCGCGACACACAGCACAGGAAGTGTCTCGAACCATCCTAGTGGGTGGCATCGCTCCAAAAGTTCGCGAGTGTCTCGTTCATGCAGAGTGCCTGTGATCAACAGGGCAATGTTGTCGATCATGTATCCGTATGTCATGTACTCAAGGAACTTGGCAGATGAGCCTGTCGCTTGTGCGAACAGGTACTTGAACTCGGTCACCAGTTTATCGGTCATCCGGCTCGCCAGATCGGAGGTGGAGGGGTTGGGGGGAAGAGAGGCAAGGAAATCGCCATATGAGGGGGCAAGCTGGAGCTTGACATCTATTGGATGGAATTGTCAGAATCAATATGTAACAGTAGAGCCTACAACAGAGTCAGCGGAAATCGATAGAGCGTACCATCAATAGTCTCGCATTGAGTGAGGTTGGAGTAGTTCTGGCCGCTCAACAGGCTGTTCCGATAGCCGCGAACAATGCCCTCGACATATCTAAGAGAGTCAACAACGGGCTATTCGGACCAAGCAACGACATAGACCACATACCCGCCGTTAACATTAAAGAATAGGCCCTCCATGGTGAATGTGGAGAAGATGATTGGAGAGATACAGCTGTAGCTCCATCCGTCCTGAACACGCATGGAGCTTAGTCATGCACCTAGCCACAGGCCCAAGCCACTCGTGGCACCCGCTTTTCAACTTTTTTTCTTCCGTGCAAATTTAGATTCAATTTCTCCAACGACACCGGTGGCCGACACGCCCTACGCTAATTTTTTTTCCGCCATTTCTTCAGTTCGGTTTATCGTTCGTTTTGATTAGTTTCTTCTTTTCTGTTAATTTTCGATCCTAAACGCCGTGGCTGCGCACCATGACGCTTTTCATCCTTACTGAGACCAGCGCGGGCTATGCCCTGCTGAAGGCCAAGGACAAGAAGCTCCTCAAGCGTGATGATATCGCCGAGGAGGCCTCGACTGCGGAGGGTGTCTCCAACCTGTACGTCAATTGCGTCTTCCAATCCTGCCAAGTGAAAAGAAAAAATTGAGTGGGAATAAACCGACTCAATGAATGGGCGCAAAATTTTTGTTATCGGCAACAATGTCACTAACAGAACCTCTAGTCTCAAGTTGAAGAGCTTCCAGAAGTTCGACAGCGCTGCCTCAGCTCTGGAGGAGGCTGCCTCCGTTATGGAGGGCAAGGTCACCCCCCGTCTGGCCTCGCTTCTTGACGGAATCAAGGATGAGAAGAAGGTGTCCCTCGCTGTTGCCGACACCAAGCTCGGTATGTTAATCTAGTAAAATGTCTTCCCACGGTTTATATGCTGACTGTAATTGTGAATAGGAAACTCCATCAGCAAGCTTCCCGGCCTTGACATCCAACTGATTGCTGACTCCACTACCAACGACATCTTCCGTGCCATCCGTGAGCACCTCACCACCCTCATTCCCGGTCTTGCCCCCAGTGACATGTCCACCATGTCCCTCGGTCTGTCCCACTCTCTCGCCCGTCACAAGCTTAAGTTCTCCCCGACAAGATCGACACTATGATCGTCCAGGCTATTGGTCTTCTCGATGATCTTGACAAGGAGCTGAACACCTACGCTATGCGTGTCAAGGAATGGTACGGATGGCACTTCCCCGAGCTGGCCAAGATCCTGAATGACAACATTGCCTACGCCAAGCTCGTCCTGAAGATGGGTATGCGCTCCAACTGGGAGTCCGCTGATCTTGCTGAGATTCTGCCCGAGGAGATCGAGGGTGCCGTCAAGGCTGCTGCCGACCGCTCTATGGGTACCGAGATCAGCCCGGAGGATCTGGAGAACATCCAGGCTCTCGCTGAGCAGGTTGTTGGTTTCTACGAGTACCGCTCCCAGCTTGCTAGCTACCTCACTTCCCGCATGAACGCCATTGCACCCAACCTGACTGCCCTTGTCGGTGATCTTGTTGGTGCCCGTCTTATTGCCCACGCTGGCTCCCTTACCAGCTTGTCCAAGAGCCCCGCCAGTACCATCCAGATTCTGGGTGCCGAGAAGGCCCTTTTCCGTGCCCTCAAGACTAAGCACGACACTCCCAAGTACGGTCTGATCTACCACGCTTCTTTGATCGGCCAGGCCACCGGCCGCAACAGAGGGCAAGATGGCCCGTATCCTCGCCGCCAAGGCCTCTCTGGGTATCCGTGTCGACTCCCTCGCCGAGTGGGGTGACGATGTCACTGAGGAGGACAAGGCTGCTCTCGGTACTGAGGCTCGCTTCAACCTTGAGCGCAAGCTTGCTGGTATGGAGGGCAAGCCCATTAAGCCCCGTGGTGTGGCCATTGCCCCCAACGGTGCTCAGGCCGAGAAGTTCGACTTGAAGGAAGCCCGCAAGTACAACCCTGATGCCGATGCCCTTGCCTCCGAGGAGCCTGCCACTGCTCAGAAGTCTAAGAAGGAGAAGAAGAAGCTTGTCGAGGAGGTTGAGGATGAGGAGATGGCTGATGCCGACTCTGATGAGGCTGAGGATTCCGAGTCCGAGGATGAAGCTCCCAAGAAGAAGTCTAAGAAGAGCGACATTGAGGAATTGGCTGCTAAGGCTGGTCTCAGCGTTAAGCGATACGAGCGGAAGCTCGAGCGTGGCGAGATCACTTTCGACAAAGACGGCAACCCCACTTCAATTAGCAAGAAGGACTTGAAGAAGTCCAAGAAGGAAGCCAAGAAAGCCAGCAAGGACGACGGCAAGAAGCGCAAGCGTTCCGAAGACGACGATGAGAAGAAGAAGAAGAAGAAGTCCAAGGGAGAGTAAGCGTATGTTTTCAAAAGTTTGTGCAATGTGACCGGATGGCTTTCCTGGGATCTGTATGATATCACACTTTTTCTTTTTTTTTCTGTTCTTTTTTTTTGCAATCTTCCTGTTGCTCGCATGTTTTGGGGCATTTTGAGGTTGATCTACCGGTCTTTCACTGGCGCAGAGGGTGCTCGTTAGGAACAAGGCAGTACAGTTTTAGCTGGAATAATCTGTTCATACTTCAGTACTGGATTGTAAAGTTGTATGCCTATAAATCCGCACAAATCATAGTCAAGTAACTCTGTTTAGTCCCATTTCCATTGCTTCTTCGCCTCTAGTTATATACTGCGCTTTAACCTAGATATGCAGGTAGATAAAGACACCGCCCAGATTCTGCCGGCAGTTCAAACAATTTTCCTTTCTTCGGTCCAGTCACCTACTTGCTTCAGTCTATCTTCCCACAAGCAACACACAAAATGAGGGTAAGATATATCCTAATTGAAGCTGAAGATTGCAGCTAACAGAATTATCCAGATCATTGACCCTCAAACCGCCGTCCTGACCAATATCGAGGTCCTGGCCTATCTGACCTCCAATCCACCCCGCCGACCACCGCCAAGTTCGGGGAACTGGGCACCAAGCCCGGATCTCAGAGACCATAATACAGTGGTAAAAGAGGTGAGAACCCCTATACTGTCTTTGCCATTCATCGTCGGGGTGTTGTGGCCCAGCAACTACACCACAGGCAGCTTGGAGCGGAGTCGACCAGACCCCAAGCTCCAAAACCAGACACCAAGAAACCAACGATAGAAGAAAAGGTAACTGACTAGCTCTCCTAGATTCACAACTATGCAAGCCGTCTCTCCCCCATCTCCTACGATACCCCCGCTATACAGCCCGCCCTTCATCCTCCCAGTCGAAATCACAATCGCAAGCCGCAATGACCGGCACACTGCGAACCTCAAATTCAGAAAATACAGAGGCAGACGTTAATTCCCTGCCGCCAGCGATTCCATCCACAGAAACAACACCCATGGACAATGCCCTCCGCGACCTAGTAGTCCGCCTACAGCCGTACGGACTGACCAAAGCTGAGGTCGTTATGATCCTGAATCTCGGGGTGGGAGTCACTGGTAATACAGCTGCTGAGGGAGCTGGGGAGGAAGGTGCTAATGGAGGGGAGGCAATGGAAGTGGATGGGGAAGCGGGGGGTGAAGAGGGTGAGGAGGACGATTACACGGCTGTGGTCTTGATGGATAGTGTTATTGAAGAGCGGGAGCTCAGACTGTCTGATGACGATGTTAAGGCTATTTTGGCGATCATTAAGGAAACTCTTACGGCGGATTATGAGAACGTGAAAGGGTGACATGTTGAAAAGTTGTTTTATTTCGATATCAAGAATCAAGAAAGAAACTAGTCTGCTTCTTCAAACCTCCATAGCAGATTCACAATGGGGAAGGCCAAATCGCCTTCACACTTCCTCGGAGTTTTCTCGTCGGCCAGTTTCTGAATGTACATGTCCTGCAGTTGCTTAGGTTTCGTCACAACCGTCGATTGGACAAAAGAAACCATGCAATTCTGGTGGTCTTGCGACGAATTGCTGTAAACTTTGGAGGCGGACTTCGGCCTCGGCAATCGGCAGTGGTGTGTAGTTTGGAACCTCTATAAAGAGGTTGCCTGGTGTTTCTTCCCACTCGCTATCAGAGTCCGTGTCACTGTCGGTGTTGGCGACAGCCTCATCCTCTGCGATTGGCGGGGCACGCGCCGTGCGAAGGGCGAGATCGATATTCTCCTTCATTCCCTGGGATATCGCTATGTTATGTCCTGGAGTCCAATGGAGCTCCAGGTGGATATCCTTTTGGGCCAAAAGCTGAAGCTGTGAGAGGTCACTGACTGTCTTCACGAACAAAGATACTCAAGAGTGTCTTCTTTTTGGCCTAAACTCGCGTTTCCAACTAACGAAGTTGGTTTTCCTCTTGAGCTTGCGGTCAACCGGCTGTCACCTCATCCACACTTCGGAATTAGTCATTTCTGGTGCTGAGAACTGGACGTGTCGTTCTGGGGTCTGGTTTTGGGTTTTGATCACTGATCACTTGTGTGGACTCAAAATCTAGTATAGGTAAGAGGGCCTTGTAACCAAATGTGAGCTTAATCGACTACAGGTCTTGAAGCGCAGACTGACAATCTTGGCAGCGCTCTAGTTATGCATGCTACGCAGCACTACATGTGCTTCCTCCAAATGGACGGGCTGTTGAGCTGGCTAAGAGACCGTCGGCCCCCCTTCTCCTTCTTATCTTCTGTCACGGTCTCCCAAACTTTCATTTGCTTTTAAACGACGGGGATACGCAGAGGGGTCTGAGCATAGTGAGACTTAAAGGTGTGCTTAAGCTCGGCGTACGTGTCACCCTCATTACTACGGCATGTCGCTCTGGTGGCTGGGCTATAAACCCAGATTTCAACCATACCACTATGGCAGCTGCCGACGAGACTATAACGGAAACACGGAACATCGAACGCGTGGGGAGTCTCTTAGAGTATCGGCCGTAGCTGCGGCTCCGTTTTCGCCAGCACGCTTGCACAGAGCCTGTCTAGCGCAGCAAGCCAACTCCTTGACCCCCGTGAGAGGTCTCAGCCATCTCATTCCCTCCTCCCCAATAATACCCAAGGCCCGTTGTTCTTCCGACCCAAATGTTACCTAGTAGCCGCTCTCGTCGAGGCTAACAAGCCTAAGGATGAGGCCATGGCTATCATCGATGCTATAGAGCAATTCATGGAGAGACAGAGAAAGTTCTATGAGCCGCGCGCTTGCTAAGACGAGCGTGTCCGTGACCGTGGCCGAGAGTGGCTGGCAACTAACTGTTGGTAGACGAGCCCTCTAGAAGCTTGTGCCTCGTAAGAGCCTATGAGCAAAACCCCGCGGATCAGAGATCACAGGGTAATTCAAGAAAGTGGCTCTGCTTTTCGTCTTGTGTGCCTTGCCTGTTGTTCTCTTTCTTGCTTCTTGCTCCTCTTGTCTTTTTGCTTTTTCCTTCTTTTCTTTTCTTTTTTTACTTTTTTTTTTTCTATAGGAAAAAAGCCCATCCTTAATCTCAGAACTGAGAATAGCTAATAATAATAAATGTCTGTAATCAGCAAAGGATATTGGGGTCGCACAAGGTTGGAAGGTTAAAAGGTTGTTACTCAGCTCAGCCGCAGGTTCACCTAGCACTCCGGGTTAGATGAGAGAAGCGAGAGAGAAGCGAGAGAGAAGTGAGAGAGAAGTGAGAGAGAAGTGAGAGAGGTGAGGGAGAGGTGAGGGAGAGGTAGGGAGAAGACCTTCCTAGAACATCGTTTCCTATTATCCACGACCAATCGAGAATACCCTTAGTTTAGCTATTTCCCTAGAATTACCTATCCTATACTACCTCTATTATATCCGGGGAAGATATATGAGAAGCCTATGTTGGGTCCTGAATAGTCAAAGAACGCTCGGTCTGAGGAAACGAAATTTATTGATCTGCTAATGGGAATGGGAGGGGAGTTCGAATCAATTATATATTTATTTCTCAAGACAAGTTCCGTGAAAGTATAACGACTGACTATTCAGTATGTGTCTATGGACCCTAGTGTATATGCGAACGAGTGTTCTACAAAAGCACGAGTGGAAGTTTCACGAGCTTCATGATTGAAAGTGAACGACAAGTGAGGCAGTTTTATGCATACGATAGAAAAAATTGGGATTGCTAACTGGATTGACCCAATAGTGCGGCATGCAACTGACCTACGTAAATTGACAATCGTATTCGATGACGGTTGGGCAGCACGCGGACTTATTGACGCCTTTCCTCCGTTGACGCGACTTCGCAGCTACAGGAACTCATGCTGAAAGGGATGACGAAATCAAAAATAACGAAGCGAGCTTAAGCAAGCTATTATAGAACTATCGGGACAGCCTTCGTTTCCTCAACATAACTTCCAAGGTTGGATAATATAATTTTAGTAAGAATAATTGGGGAAACTTCAAATGTACCAGTGGTACCTAGGTACCTACTTCTTCTCAGGCCGGAGATGGCTTTCGATGAAAACTCTTGGATCTGCTAGAGAATAGTCGGTAGTTTGCTGCTACCAGTGATTGCAGATTGCACGTTACTTTTCTACAGAAGGGCCTTGTGCAAGGGAGGAGACGGAGGCAAAGAGGTCGAAAGAGCGAGGTCGGGTCTTTTATGTCGAGACGGCGGAGGGAGAGGTGACAAGACGGTGTATTACAGGGCTAAATCATACATATAAAATTAAAACTAACCGCATCCCGTGATTCACAGGTCCGCCGTTTACAGTACAGATACTTGAACTGTTCTCGACCCGTTCAAGGAGAACAGGGCACTCGCTCCATCACTTGCACCTGCATATTTGAAATTGCGAAAAGCCCAAGGTAGTTCCGTGCATCCCAGGGACGCGTGGGACTGATAAGTGCCAGCTCGAAGTTACGCAACAGCTGTGTCCGGTCGGTGGTCAGTTGGCGTGTCATAAAGAAGAAAGAGGACGAAAGCAGGCCCATGGAGCTGTTTCTACTCACCTCGAATATCGTCTTTCCAATCTCAATTTGGGCCACTGTCTTCCCTAAACACTGGAATTTGCCGTGACCGAATATGAGTTCGTTGGTCCGAACCATGACAGCCAACTTGGCAGGGTCCGACTCGAGCCACCGCTCGGGTCGGAAAGCCTCTGCATCCTGGCCATAGATCTTCTCGCTCTGGTGCATAGCACATGCCGAGTACCCGATGCAGGCGCCGCCCGGTAAGAACACGCTCTCGCCGTCGACGATAAGAGTGTCACCACCTGGCGGGATATCACGCGGGAAGATGTTCGTTACAGGCGGACAGACTCGCAGAGCTTCACGGATCACGGCCTGGAGGTATGGGAGATTCCTAGCCTGGGCGGCAGTAATAAGACCTTCGTCCTTGCTCGGAGCTCGACCACTGCGCGCGGCATCGTCAATCTCGCGCTGTAGCCTGAGGTAGACACGGGGATTCGTCATGAGGTACAGAAGGGTGCCACGGATGGCGCTAGCAGTGGTGTCGGAGCCCGCAATGATTTGCTCTAGGGCCTCCGTGCGCAGTTCGTCACCCGCTAAACCGTGGCGCATGAAGGAGGCTAACATATCGGATTTTTCGTTTGTGGGGCCCGCAGCGCGCTCTTCAACAAAGCGGAAGCATGTGGCCATCATCTTACCGAAGCCGTTGTTATCCTTAGGCGAAGGTGCAATAAACCTGCCGATGAAGGGCATTTGGGTGATCCAGCTGAAGCCAATAGCAAGGGCGGTATTGCCGATAGCAAGTCCCTGCTCACTGGATTGCAGGTAGTCGTCCACATCATGGTCACTACGCAACATGCCGAACGCCTTGCCAAGGCCCACGCTGCTAATGACGTCGAGTGTAAAATATTGAACCTTTTTCGCTAGGTCCATGGGGACAACACGGCGGTCGGACGAGATATATTTGGACCGGATGAGGTTCAAGAAATCTTGAAGTCGTTCATCTATAGACCCCTCAAGCTGGATATTCTCCCTTCCGGAATACTTTTATAAGAATACTTTATTAGCAGCCTACGCCGGTATGAATGGGTGCAGAGACTCGGGGGGAAATACGAGGCAGCTATCATACCCCTGGAGCCATCTGCTTCCTCCGTTCCGCGTGTTTCGCGTTATCAGTCTGACTGAAGACATTGTCCCTCCGGTACTCGATTCGTGCGGCTTTGTAGTACCAATCGGAGCGCTTGTAGCCAGGCTTGTTGTTTACGTGCATCCAAACTTCTGGAGACGATGTGATCAGCACTTGGGGTGCGACACGGGCGATCGGACCTGGCTCAAGTCGAACATGTTAGCTATAGTATATATGGCACCCTGGTAGAGATACAAAGCGGATGCCTAGAAGATGTCTCGCACCATGTTTCTTGCTGACTTCTGCGTACCACTCGTGGCATTTGCCCCGAAGCATCGCCATACTATGAGGCCAGTTCGAGATGCCGGTCCCCGGAGGTCCCCGGAACTGCATCAACTTGACATACGTCGTGATAATCCTGAAGACATAGAGGCACAAGAGACCGCAGAGGAGCGTCACAGCCTGACCGGATAAGGCGGGTACCGCCATAGCAAAAGAAACAACCGGACAGATTTGACCAAAGCAGATTTTCTAGCAGGTTTTCTAGGGGGGCTCACGGGCCCTGCTATATACGGGACTATTGGACGTGGAACCTCGTGAAGACTTTTTAACTTCACAGCGGTGGGGTTGATGACATTGATCCAGCGGTTGTCTATTCGTGGCCGTCTCCCGCGTGCACGGATATTCATCCTCTAGTGCGAGCATGAGTGGTAAGATCACCGAAAAATATCCCAGTGGCATGGTACGCTTCACGTAATATCAATTGATAGCATCAACTCTGTCTATTGTGTCTCATCGCGGAATTCTCAAATACGGAACTCAGAAACTGGTCCGTGGGGTGTTCGAAGAGATTCAATACCTCGGCTAAGCAGTCGCAAGCACTTGACAAGTGAAAATCAAACCTCCCGCCGCAGTGTATAGCCGCCAGTGCGCCATATCATATTATTTTTCCATGTTAAATCTTGACTTTCATACCGCCAATTTATTATTACCTACAAAGTCTAATGATTAATTCTTCCAATATCAACTTCTATGGGGTCAATTTCTACAATATCTCGATTTCTATAACTAGAATAGTCGGCCGCTTATACCGCCGTAGTCTTTTTTAGTAGTCTTTTTTAGTAGTCTTTTTTAGTAGTCTTTTTTAGTAGTCTTTTTTAGTAGTCTTTTTTAGTAGTCTTTTTTAGTAGTCTTTTTTAGTAGTCTTTTTTAGTAGTCTTTTTTAGTAGTCTTTTTTAGTAGTCTTTTTTAGTAGTCTTTTTTAGTAGTCTTTTTTAGTAGTCTTCTTAGGCAGCTTCTTAAGAAGTCTTCTTATATTATCCGTTTACATAGAATTATCTATCTCGTGCTACCTCTGTTATATATATCAAGTCTCAACCAAAGGTCCTATTTGAGAGCCATCTAGCGACAACTGGGCAGTCTTCTTCGGCCATTTAGGTGACGATTGCCTATTCTTGTTTTGGTATACTACTGTTATACGACCTCTTTGAACTATAAATGGGCAGAAAGTGGCTACTATTAGTATCAACACTAAAACTGGGAATTCTTTTTCTGCAAGGTCTGGTGCTGTGGAGAATCGCTTGAGCTCCACGTCCATACCAACTCAGGAGATGAGTCCACAGCAACAATTTCAGTCACCATCCCAGGATTGGACAGAATAGTAAACGGGCCCAGTTTCTGCAAGTTTTTCGCCGCTGGTGCGAAGCGCTTCTCGGCACGCAAGGCAGGCCAGGACATGGCGAATGCTTGGAGGTCTGAGGTATTCTGGAATCCGAGATATGCTGCTAACTGAGCTTCATCGCGTTCATTTGCAAGCACAGGGCAGTAACTCTCGAAGTTATTGGTCCCGCGCAGTTCGATGCTTGACTTGCCCCCACTTCCAGATATCGCTTTGGATATGTCCCGGGGTCACGGGGTCAGGGTCGTATGCAGGCAATGTCGCACTTAGGCTCCATATAACAGGGACACCCGGTGGGGCCGTGACGAGTCCACAACGTAAGAATATGGAGAGTTGGGGTTTTTGATTGGAGGAGCCATCCAGCCTGTCTTCGTCGCGGAGGTGTGGGGTTTAGCTCGAAGGTCCTTGGGTTCAGCGAACCACCATGATAGGCTGTTGAGATGTACGCCATGATCAAGCTCGACTTCTGGCTCATTGGACCTCTGTGCCACGTTGAATATCGTTTGATCGAGATAGCGTTGCTGTTTCTCAGCCAATTCAACGTCAGTGAGAACGTGACCCCTCTGATTTCCTTCTTCATTCCCTGGGGTATCGCTATGTCCTGGACTCCAATGGAGCTCCAGGTGGATGTCCTTTTGGGCCAAAAGCTGAAGCTGTGAGTGGTCACTTATTGTCTCCACGAAGACCCTGTATGGACATCTGGAACATTGTTGGCAGCTTCACCTTTCGGTCGGGATTGAACAGGTAGGGGAGGTATGACTAAGATAGAACCGTAGAGGTTAGAACCATCCATAGATAGTTGGGGAGTGAATTAGAAGAGCTCACCTTTTGGAATCGTTCGAGATTTTAAGAAACCAGAACGCTGACCCGCTTGATGCCATTCCATATACGGTCGAGTCTCTCTTTGGGAATCTCTTCCTTTCCCGATGGATGCAGCCTTTTAGACGGGTTAGCTTCCTGATATATAAGATCGAATGTAGAGCCAGGGCAGGCTGTACAAACTTGCCACGTTCCGTTAGGAAAAGATGATGACGGAACGTGTCCGTAAGTATCCTTCCTTGAGGAGCACTCTCAATCGACCCGGGCCAACTGGCCAACTTGAGCTCGAGTCCAAGTCCCGTGTGGAGGACGAGAATCGGGCCGATGAGTTATGGTGGTGGGAGGAGGCAAAGCTGCGGAGATTTGAAACTGTAGGACTGGGATATGTGTGCTATTGAGCTTCAAATATCTCTGTAATTCATATGACTCCGATCCCTTCTATCTCTACCTTAATGAGAGTACCTGTTTAGCGTGACAAAATAGGAAGGACCTACTGGGCCCTGCCTCAGGCCGAAAATATCTTTTGACCTCTCTTCTCCCTCTTTTCTCACTTGTCTCTTCTCTCTTCCCTCTCATTTCCCTCTCATTTCCCTCTCATTTCCCTCTCATTTCCCTCTCATTTCCCTCTCATTTCCCTCTCATTTCCCTCTCATTTCCCTCTCATTTCCCTCTCATTTCCCTCTCATTTCCCTCTCAGCTCCCTCTCACTTCTCTCTCAGAAGTAAATCATGGTCTCATTGTCTTACGTCTTCCACCTCAAGACACCACCCTTAGCGACTGCCCGGCCTCTTCTCTTGCCCCTGCAGCTCGCCGATTTCAGGACTTCCTGACTCTAGCTTCAGTTCCGCGACATGGCCCCCATAAAACCAATCATGTATGGAAATGTGACATCTCTCGATCGAACAGTTTTATTTGCGACCGGATTCCACACCTTCTAGACGTGGCCATGTTCACCCTCGAAACCAACGAGGTGAGCCTTGTGTGCGCAGCTCGCATGTGAAATACATTATATCCTATACCCTTGGTGCTCCTTTTATTAGTCCTGCTAGTAATGGTCTTTCCTGTTGTTTTTCCTATGGTCCTTCTAGTGGTCCTTCTAGTGGTCCTTCTAGTGGTCCTTCTAGTGGTCCTTCTAGTGGCCCTTCTAGTGGTCCTTCTAGTGGTCCTTCTAGTGGTCCTTCTAGTGGCCCTTCTAGTGGTCTTTCTAGTGGTCTTTCTAGTGGTCTTTCTAGTGGTCTTTCTAGTGGTCTTTCTAGTGGTCTTTCTAGTGGTCTTTCTAGTGGTCTTTCTAGTGGTCTTTCTAGTGGTCTTTCTAGTGGTCTTTCTAGTGGTCTTTCTAGTGGTCTTTCTAGTGGTCTTTCTAGTGGTCTTTTTCAGTAGCATCTTTTAGAGGCGCTTCCTTAGACCCAGTTAGCTGTATATCTAGTTTGTTATTGGCGTCTTTCACGTCTCGCACATTCCCTTTCTTTTCTCTCTAAGCTCTTATTTCTACTCTTCCCTTCTCTCCGCCGTACCATCCTCCTACTCTTATCACTCTCTTCTTCATCCCTAGGCGATGAATTGCCACTACCCCTATCGCCAGGGAACTACCTAGGTTCGGTCCATTTATCATTACCCGTCTTATATTGCTCGGGGATTTGCGAGGATTCAAAACAATAAGCGGCAGTCAATCCCAACCCTACCAACGGCAAGCTGCTGCCAAACTCGGTAGAATCGACGATTTCTATATCCCGGCCGATGAAGACGACTGGAATGAGCTTCCAAGGTTGTTCGGAATGGCAAGCTGACAAATAATGCAATCCACACAATCCCACCGCCTCAAGACGATCGCCAGCAAGGTGGCAAAGACGATATCCCTATTACACCAGTTGTCGTGATGGTCGCTAAAAGCCCTCGAACGCATCTTGAAACGGCCAGACACTTTCCCATATCGCTCTCTCTTGGTTGTTTGCCGATTCCCGAGCCAGGAAATTCTGCTTTGCCACGGCAAGTCTCCTCACCACTTCGTCGTAATCGTTAGGAGACGCTGCACCATTCCAGCCTACATAGACCCCTATCTCCTCAAGTACCCGTGTCTTCCTTTCAACGTCCTTTTCCCACTTGGCATACTCTGTCTTGAACTTTGCCATATCTTGCTTTGAATAGCTCAAAGGGCATAGCACGCCGGCATTGCCATTTTCATCCTCTCCAACCAGCTCCTTCCAGGCATGGTCTTCCGTGATATCCGCAAGTAAGCTTTGTACATATGGTTCTCTATCATCGTATGTGGACCCAATGGTTCCCATTAGTTGGCCGGACAATGTCTCTCTGTGACGGAATGTATGTAACAGGTCGGGCGCAGCTCTCTGCACCTCTATCTCATAAGCCACAAAGACTGGGAAAGGAATAAGTCCTTTGCAGCCTTTTTAGCCTCGGGGTCAGGTGTTCTGATATTGTCAGGGAGAACGGGCTGAGCAAATCCGTCTAACTCCGGCCCCTCATACTCAATCAAGGAGGGATGATGGCAAACCAGAAACATAGGATAGATAGGTGTGCCTTGCCAATCTATGATGCTCGTAATCTGAGATGGGTTTCCGCTGTCGACAAATATGTTATGCATGTGAAGGTCGTTGTGCCAAATCACACCGGCACATAGCTTCTCATTCCTGGGGAGAAGATGAGGACAGATCTTGAGGAAATCGCGTAGAACCGATAGTTTCGCTTCCTTAGTTGGATGGTAACCGCTGGGTCCGCCGAATATACCTTGCTGAGTGTCTCGGGGGAAGGTTGGGAATTTCTCTAGACATGCTGTTTCTCGCTGAACCAGTGACTTCATCACATTTTCTGCGGAGATCCCTAGTAAGGATTTAGGGGTTAATAAATTGCGTAAGTATGCCAAGGTAAACAAGAAACATACATGGACCTCGATGTACTTCGACCTCCGCTCTCCTATTATCGAACCATGCCGGTCCAGTCGTGGGCCCAATAGCAAACTCATCGTCAAGGACGAAGCTCTCAGATTGGCTAACATCTTGTTTTCTGTAGAGTGCACCATGGTATGGGAACCGGGATTGAGCGAGTGTGCAGGTAATAGCGGCAGTCTGTTTCACGATGGAAAGCTTATCGCGACTCTTGAGGTCTTCCCATATTCGGCCGAGTTCAACACCAGGAGCTTTCTCCATCACAATGTATTCCACCCCGAGCTTGCTTTCGCTAGCCCTAGAGCAATGTCTAAGGACTTTCGGGGCGGGGATATGAAGCTTCTCTCGGACCTTGAATATAATCAGTATGCCTGTAACTTTTATTTCACTAGAAAGAAGGTATCCAGCAAAGGCAGATGGATTTCTCACAAATTGCATGGTTGCAACTTCAGATGCCGTGGTGTAATGGACGGGCCCAGCATTGGGATTTGGAAGTTTGACTATCAGTTGTCTCCCATCTTGCATTGTGACAAGAAAAACTTTATTGGAATTTCCTTCTGGCAGTTTTGTTACATCCCCACAGACTGACCCGTCTCCTGCAGCTTCTTCAGCAACATGGATAAAGGCGTCCATATCGAATTGGAGGTATCTGCGTAGCAGTTGCGCCGGCTCATTCCACAGCCATTTCTGGGCGGAATACCTGTAGAATTCCTCCACGTCACCTGGGCACGATCTACCAGTTCGTCAGCGTGTCTTTGTGGTGAAGAGAACAACGTACCAGGAATGATGGTGCCATGGACTCTCACTCGACTAGACGTGGTCAGTGACCGGATAATGGCGTGGGGGATCGATGTTTTCAATAGCCCAGAAAGAAATCCATAGCTTCTAAGTTCAAGTGGCATTTTGGGAGGACTTGTGCATTATGAATAACGAACGAGGTCAGGGATAGCACTTGGAATTTCAATAACGTGGCTTGAAGTATATCCCTTGTTGAAATACTAAGATGAGTTTTTGTAAGCTCAAATGAAAGTGCCAGGCAAAAAGCTCTGAGATTTGGCTAGAAACTTCCTCGCCTATGTCCCCTTTCCCAGACCACTTGGGCTGACGCCTTCATCTTTGAGGCCTCTACATATATCCGGATTTACGCGAGAGGTTGTACTGACATGGGGTGTTTGATTCCGTAGTTTCTATAGTATTTTCAGAGGTTGGATCCATGCCTGCTATTGATGGGGTCTGGTCCATAAAGACCCTCCTCGTACACACCGACAGAAACCGCGAAACGTCAGCCACACACATGCTTTGTAGCTGCATTGATAAAAGGTGGAATGGGTAGAGAAAGGAAGACTTAATTTTAACTTTTCATTCTGTTGCTTTCTATATACGCCTCACCGAAGGGCCCCGCCTCCAAGATTCGATCTTGTGATATCATACAACAGACTGCTGCATTGCAGTTGCAGTCATACAAAGCCAGTCCCGATAATGTACAGGTATTCCTGATAGTCAAAAAGTCCTCAGCTTCGACATAAGAATAAATCTGAATTCTTCTGTGAATCCGACCATGCCATTATAGTAGTGGCTTATTCAATCAAGCCAGTCATGCACAAAGACAAAAGCCATCCAAACTCCAAAAGTCGGATATGGTCCATAACTTGGCAGGTTTGGGACTCGGCATGGAGATATAGCGCAGAGCAGGTGGTTTGGTGGGACGGTAATATGAACCGGAAGTCTCAGTAACCCGGCAGCCATCGCTCCCATTGAGAATGATATCGTAAGTAACAGGGGAGGATAGTAATCAAAGTCCAGCTTCAGTCAGATTTCTCTTCCTTCCCAGCAATGAGGCTTCCATATTGGTTGTAAACCGGTTCATCTGGGTCACCGTTTTCCTTAGCCCATGGTCCGAGGTCATCGTCAAAGAGATCTCTTTCTTGGCCATTGCAGACCTCAGAAAGAGTGACCCAGTTCTCGTCATCGGTCCAGGTCCCACCTCGGCCTCCGCGCACGTGCAACCAATCCTGGCCGCCCAGCAGCGAGGACTGTGCCGCGTCGAACCCGTGCGAGTCGCGGACATATTTGCGCAGTAGGGCGCGTCCCCATGGGAAAAACCACATGTTCTCCCACCACGTGTTGCGGAGCTTGGGGTCGCCGTTGAGATGGGCGAGTACTGGCACCGTGGCGGAGTGGACGTTCGTCATAAGCGAGATGTTGTGCCAGGTGCGCTCGCGCGGGTTCGGGAGTTTGTCCAGCGTGGCATTCCACACCGGTCGTAGGGTCGATTCTTTTGCAAAGCGGGACTGGATAAATGGATTGGGGAGTGTTGCGATATCCTGTGGTAGGAGGAGACGGTGTTCGCGCGGGACGCCGTGTTCCATCTGCAATGCGGACATCTTCGTGATATTGCCGAACTTGACCCACTCGAGGTCCTTGCGGGACATGATCTGGTTGAAGAAGAGTTGTGACTCGAAGTCGACGCCAATGCCGAACTCGTAGCGGTGACCTGTCTCCAGCCGGAGGTTGATTCCGGTGATGTTTGCTGCATCCGAGATGCCCACCATCCGGTAGAGCAACTCTTTGAAGTCGTTCGATGTTCGCCGCCGCTCCAGTTCTCTGATCACCTCTTGTCGTCCGTACATCTGTGTCAGGGCCTGGTAATCTCCAGACTTGTTCGAGCGCAACTCAACTAAGCGCAGAACCTCGTCGTAGATCAGACGCAGATCCGCAGCTTGACCAATGACCGCTCCGGGGTTCAACCACCGGGGTCGGTTTAGAGATCCATCCGGGTAGACATCAGTCTTCCAGCCATACACATCAGGAGGTAGAGAGGATTCGGGGACGGATACACAACCGGGGTCGTCCAGCAACCCCGGGTAGCAAATTTTGCTTGCGCCAAAAAGAACGCGCTGGGTGTATTTCTGTACCATTTCAGGCGCAGCCCCAGGCTTTTGGCCCTCCACTTCTGCGAACCCATACTTGTCCCGCAGCTTTCGGTTGTTCTCCCTTATGATAGCTTGGAACCGCTCCACTAGGACCTTCGGTGGCAATTGGAAGAAGGTGTCTGCCCCATCCACCAGCAGCACGAAGTCGCGGTCATGCACGGTCTTGCTGTCTCGGAGGTAGTTCCGCACCCGCGTGATCCGGTCAACCATGCGCTCGGCCTCAGTCGCTCCGGGAGAGTCATGCCCGTAACCGATTAATGTCGGCGGTGGGTATCCAAGGATCATAGCTGACGTGAGCGTTCGGCAGACTCCGCGCGAGCCCCGCGAGCCTGGGACTAGGACATGCAGGCGCGGGTTGGGCTTGTCCAGATCATGGGGGAGGGTATCGTTGACATTAATATCAGAGCGAGGAGGGAGGAGGACCTGCGCATCTTCCGGGCGCTGGGGGAAAGGATGGCGAGAGGGAAACTTGGTCCGAAAAGTCCGGTTCGACTCGCTAGGCGGGTTGTCAGCTTCTTTATCTTAAGCCTGGCGATCAGAGCATGCCTGTGGAGCAGGAAGAGATCCTTACCGTTGAAGAAGACTGTAGCATCAGGAAGAAGAAGAACAATGCAATCACTGACCAGCCAATTGCCTTAATCCGGTTTGACCGTGAGCGACGGTGGGAGACTGGCCACAGCATCGAAGCCGACTTGGCATCTTGAAAGTGTAGTGGCGCATCCTCCGACGCCATCATGCAAAAATGGAGTCGAGTCAGATACTGAGTAGGGTAAGAAGGAACATTGTAAGTTGTCAGGAACCAAAAGGAACCGAAAAGGAGCCAAAGGGGAAATACGCAATCGCCTTAGGAGGTGGAGAGAGAGAGAGGCTGCGATCGGCGCAACGTTTCCGGTGGCACCTCCGTCACCTCGTGGCCCCCTTCCAAGGGGGCGCGTAGGGCGTTACATCTGAGCTTCACATATGTCTCAGCTCTACATTTTACAATTTCGGTTTATTTAACATCTAGATCACCATAGGGGAATATTAATAGTTTATGAAAAAGAAGTATGTGGTTTTGCATCTGGAAACGTCTCCTATATCATTATATCGGAATACACTCCCCTTATTAAATAATGTTCGATGAGTGAGAAATATATCAAATATATCTCTTACACCTTATGTATCGATATTGCTAAGGGAGATTCCTTAAAAAGTCGTATCTTATTTCCTCATAGTGCTTAATTCCCACAGCTATACAAGACATCACAACTACGTAGGCAGACTACAAGACAGTGCAAACAGCCCAAATCCTCCATGGCCCAATGTAGGGGGCTACGTAGATTACTAGTCAGATGCGAGATTGTAAATTATGCAATACTATACAGCCACCTGGGCAGGTCCAAGTCTCCATGTAGAGAGCCAGCTCAACATCCCAGACCCATGTACATCCCATTGTCTCACTCCAAGTAGATTTCCTCCCTCAAACGCTGTAAATTCCGGAACAGCCCACCAGCCGGTGCCCCACTGTCACTATCTCGCCGAGCCTCAGACCTGGACTTGGACTGTCCTCGCTGGTTCTGATCCGCCTGCTGTTGGTCCAAGGTGCGCCGTCGATCCTCCACGATATCCGCCAGGCTATCCACGAACCGATTACGGGCTTTTTCCTCAGCCGATCCATTCCACACGGTCGCTAGCGTCCGCAGAGCTTCAACGCGGCGGTTGGCAGCATCTAGTCCGGCATATCCTCCGCCCTCGCTGTCGAGTAGCTCGGTCACTTCTGTGCGTAGCTTTTTCATCATTTCTTGGCCCTTTTCTTCGCGGTCTTGGCCTTCGGGTCCGAGGTCTGGTCCTGAGACCGAGATGAATGATGATGAGAATGTGAGCTCGGATGGGGGTAGCGGCCAGCTCATTGCGTCGCCGAATGTCTGCACAACGTCTTCTAGGCGCGACCGCACTTGGTTCAATGTGCGGAGATTCGTTATGTATTCTGGGTCTGTTGGGACGGCAGGTGTGTTCTTGTTGTCTGGGCTTGATGCCGACTCGTCTTCGTTCGTCGGCGCATCCTCTCCTGCTTGTTCGGTCTTGCGCCCATCTTCTGGTGAGGGCTCCGGGACGAACTTTGCTATGTCGTCGCGTAGGACTTCCGTTAGAGTTTCGGATAGCCCGATTGTCTCGCCTCGTAGGACTTCGACTTCGTAGGCTAGTCGTCCACCGCTTCGGAGGATTTCGTCGGTGAGTTGGGATAATGTGCTTGAGAGACGGATGTTTTGGGCGCTAATTTGGGAGAGGAGGGATTGGACCTGCGCAGAAAGATCTGTCAGGGGCACAGAGCCGGGCGACCGAGATGCATTAGGTTGTGATGATGCCACAGTCAGCGGTGATAGAGAGTCATTGAGGAAGTCGGCTGGGTCGAAGTTCGGATCGGCAAAGTTAGGGGTTGCAGCGGGGTTTGACGGTTTGACGCCAGCTCGAGTTGACGAGCTATATGTTTGTGCCATTTCTGTAAAGCTCTGATTGAGGAGCTTTGGCAATTGTCTCAATGTCAATTCACACTTGAAGAGAGCTGGCCTCCGCGGGGAGGATCGATATCTCCACGCCCCACCGCCTTTTATTTCCCTTATTAGGTATAGTGCCATACTGCTTTAGGCAAGTCTCCTTGCCGCTTTTGATCCACGATCTCCCTGTAAACAAAAGAGCTCATTGGTTCTTTCCACATCGACTACACATACGAAATGGAGTCACTGCCACCAGAATTGATATCCCGAGTGGTGGAACACATTGCTCAGATTATCCTGCGAAAAGACGATGCTCCTGTTTCCCTGGCCCCATATGCTACTGTTGACCGTCGCTGGCAGGCCATTATTGAAAGACGCAAGTTTTCGTATATCGATATCAACAACGCTAAGCGATTGGAAGAGTTTCAACGGATAGTATCTACCACATACAGAAGAGCTTTTGTCCGAACAATCTCGTTGAGCGTGGAGCTAGAGGCGTAGGATAAGAAAGCGCGCGCCCCATTCGAGACAGACGAGGAACGCCAACGAAACAACACAATCTTCACCACGACTATCAGCACTCTTTTCAGGAGCATATCGGGCTGGCCAGACGACGCTGGTATCTCTCTTCACATCGAAGCAATGTCCCCTAGCGACTATCTCGCTCTCAAGAGCAAGGCATTGACGAAGCGAGGAAAACGACCGGGCAAACCACGGGTGAACGATCTGCTCAGTCAGAGGTATGAGAGATCTTACCTTGAATTCTCCAGAACAACATCTGATTCTGAGTGCCCGCCTGTTCCTGCGATCACATATCTTTCAATTCCCGGGGTCGGAAAGCAGCGGCTGATTGAGCCGGCGTCGAGTGTGTTTATTGCATCAAAGCTGCCATGATTGAAAAGCGTGGGGTTGTGTATGAAGGATGAGTGCAAGCGAGACGAACAGCTGAGACAGCGTCTTCGTAATGGTAAGGTATATCTCATCAAGATGCTATATACTATGGTCTCACTAACCTCTTTCTTAGACTTTGCCCGTAACCTTCACTTGTTTCCTGCCAGTGTACGAAACCTAGATCTAGAATTCCACAATTTGCCTCCTGGTGATCAGGACTACCCTCCTGATGTGACGGTGAATGGAACAGACCTTCTAAGCTCGCACTTACGGAATTTTTCGCAGTCTCGATACCAACCAAAATCTAGATTGGACCAGAATTGTTTTCGCCGTTTGGTCCGCAATATGACGGTATCAAACTGCCATTCTGGCCAAATCTGATTGATGTTTCCGTGGAGTATACGGCAGTAACACCGTCTGGAGAGTGGATCTTTAACTGGGAGCCTGACGAGGTTGAGGATGACGACACGGACGATGCTTACCAGTCTTCCGAAGATGATGAGGATGACTATCCCGAACACCTGAGGATTTTTGTCGAGGATAGCAAGAGGCGATATTTCCAAACAACGAACACTGCGGGTTATGTCGATAAATTTTGCCTTTCGGCTGGTCGGGCGGCCCTCCGAATGCCCAAGTTGAGACATATGATGCTTCAGACGATGCCTCCTAGGCCAAGGTGCACATTCGAGTATAAAGTGCGAGCGGGAAGTGCGAAGCTCAGCTGGAGCAATGAAGGCATACGCTACCTGACCTACCCACTTGAGAGCGACGCTTCGGTAAGGTTAGTAAGCTCTAAACGCATCCATGTATCAGCCGGATGAGGAAGTCTTCCAGATTTGGAGGAAAGTTGCTCTTCAACACACTGGAGATGAACTCGAGGTTGAATTTAAAGAGTCGAGAACATGAGGATTTGAATGAGTTCAAGTTTTTGTTCTCTGTGCAATAAGTCCTTCAAAGCTTTGTCATTATCCATATTATCCGTATAATACGGCCAAAAACAGTGTCAAAATCCTTTTGCCTCTGAAGGCTACAGAAGAATTAGGAGCTTCCCTTATTAGGACATAATCGAGCTCATATCAAGCAATTTCTTATCGCATTCGTAATCCATCGGCTATGACATGCATTGTCAAACCCCACGATTGTAAAAGACTACGAAGATGTTGCCCAGGTGAGGAAGCACGCTGACGTCATTCTCTTAAGGAAGGTCGCTCTATATAAATACTTGAATATGAATACGAACGTGGCAAACAGAACTCTGTGCTAGGATTGGCTGAAACATGCGTGACCTCATCGATGATTATCTCGTGTAATATAGACAATCATCAAACAACCCAAGCCAACATTTATCCCCTGAGCGCAATACGGTCAATCGATCAAACTGGATACGGAGACAGTCACAATTTCATCGGCACAGATACAGTTAAGCCAACAAAATGATCCTCAGTCTTCTCCATCGCGCCGTGGACTACGTGTTGTCCTGTCTCAAATTGGTATGCTAGGACCCTCGCCGCCATTTTGGAAAGTCACGATCACCGGCTGATAAGGTGAACAGGTTCAGAATCGGGAGGTCGGCTGGATGACAGTTGATCGCAAAGTATTGACCACAACCTCAACGAGTAAAGAGCTAGCTAACAGTTTCACGCAGACAGGTCGACATATTCGCGAGCAACAACCGCTTTTGAAAAAGCTCAAACTCCTGTTGCTATTCAACCCTCTGACCGAATGGCTGGACACCACTCATGCAATGCGTCTCTATATGCACAGGAAAAACGTAAAAGCAGGTGAGAATGTGCGAATACTACAACGAAAGAAAAACGCTGACACTTCCAAAAAGGCAGAGACGAGGGCACGCCGGCTTCAAAGCAGCAGATCAACTCTTTTGTCGACTTCTACAAGATCAAAATGGATGATTTTGAACCATCAGATACCAGTGCATATGCGACCTTCGGAGACTTCTTCGTCCGGGCTCACAAGTCCGGATCGAGGCCTATATTCGCCGAAGACGACCCCTCCCGCGCAGTTGTCGTGGCTGATTCGCGGGTTGTGGTTTACGAAACGGTGGAGCAAAGCAAGAAGCTTTGGATCAAAGGCTTGGACTTTTCCATTACTAACCTGGTAATGGATACTCGTCTCGGCGCGCAATTTGAGAATGGAGCAGTTGCCAGTTTTCGATTGTCGCCGCAAGATTACCACCGATATCACAGTCCGGTTACCGGGAAAATCAAACTGTTTAGAAGTATGCCTGGGGACTATTATCAAGTTGATCCCCTGGCGATCCGGAGTGATATTGATATCCTTGGTCGGAACGCTCGCGATTACGTCCTCATCGAGACTGAACATCTGGGGGATGTTCTTTTTGTAGCCATTGGTGCGACAGATGTGGGATCTGTAAGGTATGAGACACAGTATTGCCGGCTCCCTAAACCTCACTAATGTGCGTCTAGGATCCATGACCGATGGCAGACTGCTGGAAACGAGATCCAAAAAGGCGAAGAATTAGGCATTTTCCAATTCGGTGGTTCATCCATTATTGTAGCCTTTCAAAGTGGTCGTATATCGTTTGACGAAGACCTGTTGAGCCTTAGCAAGGAGGCCATTGCTGTTGATGTTGAGGTTGGCATGAGCCTTGGACGTGCTCTACCTGTACACTGAATACCCAAGACTGTCCATGAGCTATGTCAGAATATAATACCCTCTAGGCCCTAACATGATACTTAGATTTTATGTTTTTATTATGGCTGGTAATATGGCATAATTTCAAAAGGTTAACAACGCCTCGGCAACGTCATGATGAGAACAACTACCCAGCACTCGACCCGTGGACACCCTAAGCAAGAAACCGGTCCACAGGTAAAATGGACAGACCACAGCTTCAACCTGTTTTGTGGACACTCAGATGACACCTATACACACCTATAAAGTGTGGCAATTGACAATGCCTGCCGCCTACTATCCTAAAATTTTGATAGCTCCGACCTAATCACCTAGCAGTTGCTCATTACCTTCTCCGGCCATGTCGATGGAAATTGATTTCGATCCGAATGTTCGCCTAGAATCAATCTTTTACAATGTTCCGGGCTATGAGTCTGATATTCATGCTCTAACGTCTCCCATTCCGCCCTTCCCTCGATCCGATGCCTTATCCACAACATGCGACGCCTTCGAACGGGAACAGCTACTCCAATCGGAAGCGTACTACGATCGACCCCCTGTGGTTCTCGTTCATGGTATGGTAGTTGCTAGTAGCTACCTGCATAATCTCGGGAGACATCTTGCGCCATGGTTTCGCGTTTTCATCCCCGACTTACCCGGGTTCGGGCGTTCCTCCAAAGCAATACGGAAGTGCGATACAGTCTCTATAAGCCAACTAGTGCAGGGACTGCATGATTGGATGGATACAGCAGGAATAAAAAAGGCGCATCTTGTCTCCAATTCCTTGGGCTGCCAGATTCTTGCAGAGTTCACTCGTCGCTGGCCAGATAGGGTTGATCGACTTGTTCTGCAGGGTCCCACGGCGGATAAAAGCCAGCAATCCATACTCAAAACTGTACTTGCGTCCGCTGCGAACAATAGCAATGAACCGTTTACAATGAGCCTCATCTCATTGCAGGATTATTGGCGCGCTGGATTGCGGAGGGCTTTCGATTTATTCCGTGCGACAGCGGAATACCGCATCTTGGATGTACTGCAGGAAGTACATAATCCGACGTTACTGTTGAGTTGTGAATTGGATCCTATCACCCCTTGCGGATGGGTTGAGGAATTGTCGGAAAAAACGCCCAATGCGGTGCATTATGTCCTTAAAAAGGCTGCCCACACGGCGAATTACTCGGCGACGGAAATAATGTCTCGAAGCATCTTGCGCTACCTGCTGGTTCAGGATGATGATGGGATGAGGCGGGCGGGAAGAGAGATATTCGAGCGAGTGACGAGAATAAACGAGACAAGGGAAGCAGCGGCGAAGCAGAGAAGTCATTTAGTCGGATGGCAATTAGCGCTCGGATTCCTTGCTGTCTTGGTTACATGGAAGTGCTCTGTCAGCAGATGGAAGTTCATCTCGTGGTTCCTGCCGATGGAGACAATGATCCTCTATCAATACTCAAAGATAGCTCCGTTACTATCCGCGGATCGCTCAGGGGATTTGGACCGTGTATATGTCAAGCTGCAGGGGATCGCTGACTTTGACTCGGCATCTTCTATGCTTCGCGCAATTGGGCGTCACTTACATTTCCGAGACTTCCCCCAACTTGGTGTCCCGACATCTTTGGCTCCAGTCATGCCGCTCACCAACTGGCTACCGCCATACCTCCGTGACACGATATTCTCTGAGCTCGGCGCCAACGAAGCGGCAGATGATATTGCCTCGACATTTGAGGCAGAAAGCATCACTGAATCAGTTGCTGCACACTTTCCAGCGCATCGGAAATATACCGCCGTGGCCATTGGAAGCACTAACGGTGCATTGACGCATTTCTACGCAATGATGGGCATTCCGTGGCTGCCTCAAACACTTCTCATGCCTGTTAAGCGACCAAAGAGCGCGGCATTTAGACAGGGTCAGCTCGATATGACGGCGGAAATGGAATGGGGAAGGAGTGCAGGGCGAGAACTGTTGCAGAGGAATCCAGGAATTGAACTATACCACATGGCGGATCCGAACCAGGACCAGTTGATGATTCGCCATATGGCGTACTTCAGGTTGAAATTTATTAAAATGACTGAAGCGTACAAGAATTTCCTTTTGGACGCATTGGAAGCGAACGGGACGATCATACTCGTTCGGTGCGGATCGAAATGGCCGTCCACAAAGGTCGCTGATCGCCATTACTTCCAGAGCGGAGCGGTTGGAGGTATAACTTCAGAGGAATTCCTCGAAGGGTCGACTGATGTGAAGGAATTTGTGGAATCAGAAAAGCCCCCATTGACGAAAATGGCTGGCACAGTAATGGGGAAGGAACATAAGACGGACTGGAACGCCCCAGCATCTAACTACGAAGCCCCCGAAGCAGAATGGGGCTATACAGAGGGCTTAACCGATGATATCGTCGAGTTCGCAAAGGAGCATGGCTTCAAGATCAAGTATCTGGACTTTGATCATCCTGAGGATGCCGGTCCCCTCGTTGCTGATATGGATCGCCAATGGAAGGAGCAACTCCGCCGCCCAATTGATTCAATTCTCGTTGAGAGTTTCATTCTAATGGAGCCGTGGTTGGCTATTAGGTACAATCTGACGCCGTTTTGGACGATGTTCCCTGTTAAACAGTCATTCGAGCGGCTTCAAGAGTATCTGAAAATGCGTCAGGGGAAGGGGTTCAAAAACGGTTTCTCGTTTTTGTTTTGCTCTGGGGCTTATTCTATCGGACTCGCGAAACTGGATGAATGGAAGGGGCTGTTAGAGAGCCATTTTGCATCACAGGATATGGACAAGGCGAGGGATAAGAAACTTTTGTTGGGGACAGACGAGAATGCCTTTCCGAAAGACTTTGGCTTTCCTGCGCGGTACCAAGTGGAATTGGCAAGGGCGGTTGGCGAAGAAGGACAATATGTGATGCCGCCCAGTTTAACGCTTGGTGACTTTGAGCATTACATGGAGAATAGTCATCGCTACGGTGTATATTATACGCCTTAGTCGAAAAGCAAATGGCTATTTGGTTACTCCTAGCAGTTAGTTGGTGATAAGGTCTTCATTGCACATTATTGATGCGATCTTCATGCCAGAGAAAGCCGTATAGCTGTATTGGCGCAAGGATGAGAGCCGGAAAAAGTGATTATAATGTATCATCTCTGGAGCTGAGCTATATTTACATCCGACGGACGCCACTTGTCAAACAAATCTCGCCATACAGGAGAGACCATATATACTGGTATAAGACTCGACAAGCCCAAGCCGAGTCTTCATATCGCCGCTCATCGATTTCAAGTCCTCCAATGGGTATATCATGCGTCTATTTACACAAAGCATTCGAGCCTCAGTTGCATAGACTCATGTCAGCCAGGTATTAGGCTAACAGAAGGGGTATAATTCTGGTTTGCAACACAAGAAAACAAAGGGAAAAAGGCAACAAAAGAAAACGTTAAGCACCAAGTTCATGTACGGGCCTGTGACCGGGATTTCCCTCAAGTTCAGAAGGATCAGTCGTCTGCGTGTTGGCCGCGTTGCTAGAAGTCCCCTCCTGTGAGCCCCCAAGCTCGCTTGGTGTCGCATGTTCTGGGCGTTGGTATGACGGGTTGGGACTGAATTGAGTGCTCCCCCCGAGCTCGCTGGCTTCAGGGCGGCTCCCTCCGGATGACAATGTGTCCGGTAAGCTCTTCTTTGCTTTGTTCTGTCGTCGACGGAATAGCCAAAATGCCAGCGCGGCGATTACAATGAGTCCTGCTACGCCGACACCGACGCCAATGCCGATGCTTGCTCCTGTAGACAGGCCGCTTGACTCTGTCCCCGTGTCTGTGTCTGAGGTAGTTGGGTCTGCTGGACCCGTTTGTGTTGGTGTTGCGCTGCTCCCTGGTGAGGTTTCGGACGATGTGGTCGTAGTGGCAGAGACAAAAAGGCTTTCGTCAGAAGCTTGTAGCTGGATTTGGATGGGTTGTGCCCACATCGTGATGGGGCCGATGACCTGTGTGCTCTCGGATTCGACCTGGCGGACGGTGACAATGGTCGATGATGAACTAGGCAGACTGCTTATACATCCGGCGAATGTCGAGCGGCCCCTATCTTCTTCGTGGTAGGAGAAGTCGCTAGAGCCTCAAAGTCAGTATCCGAGCCGCAAACCAGAATGGACTTTTCGTTTGCGCACTTACGAGGGACAGCACATGGCGGTGGTCACCGGATTATGAATCACTAAATCGGCCGAGGTGTATCCGCCTGGACAATAGCCTGGGCTATACGCGAGAGTTGGTTTGATTCTTTCATACTGACTGAATCCGGAGGGGAAACATGCAGGATCGGCATTGTCGCTCGCGACGGCATTTTGAATTAGGATACCATTTGGGACATCGTTTGCACCCTCTGGTTCGAATGTCCACGAGTTCGAGCATGAGGCGGGGGTAGTGAAGATAGTTGACATGGGCATCGTCGTGATCGTGTCTGTTGATTCGGTCGCCCTTGCGACCAATGTCGGTATAGTGGACGTCATCTTGAAGCTGTATATGCTAGGTAGCTCTACAGGGGGTTGCAGAAGAGTTTTGTTGCGGTCAGAAAGGTGAAAATCAACATTTTGGCCCCCAAATCAATAGGGGCTTGACCGTTGTGTATGTGTCTGTAGTGTAATCTCCGAATTGACCTTAGCTCCCCGCTAGTGCTGATTCTATAGCTCTTTCCATTCAGACCTCTCGCACTGCCCCAAACCTGGTAAAAATTTGTATCTATTCACTATTTTGGTGGATCTCTGAATCTGAATGTAAAATAATCACAATTCTCAATAACCTACTCCGTACCAGTCAAAATAATGGAAAGTACCCAAAGGAAAATACCAAAGATCAGCATCACAGTATCCAATAACAGACTAGCGTATTCACAGCACGTTTTCTACGAAGATGCCATGTCTTGGCTGCAGCTGAGACTGATCAGAACGCCATCGCAAATTAGGGTTACGGTGCTCCGAAATATTGGGCTAAACTTTTGTACCCAGCTTTACCTCCAAATTCTGCCGGTTCTGCCAGTCTAAGACTAGGTACCTAGGTAGGTACCTAAGTGGACTACTAAAAAAGATCACTAAAAAGACATTTAAAAAGACTACCGGGGAAGACTACCTGAGAAACCATTAAGAAGACTACGGCCGGATAAGTGGCCACATATTCTTGTGGCAGTATGTTCGTAAATTGTCGTTGTCCCACTACTAGTTATACAGCAGAGCGGGTTCAGCGAATAGCTGTCAAGGCTTCATAAACTGAAGTGAGAGTAAAGTTTCGCGTATACCATACGATGGAGGAGTTCTACCTACCTAAGAGGGCTCAAGCCTGATGACCAGGCTGGTCGTTATTACCTAGAGTCGTCATGACGAACGCCATCGGGGTTTCTCACCACCGCTGCAGCACCTTCCGATACAGCTATCTCGACGAGGGCGCCTTCCCTACCAAAATGGCCTACACCCCCATAAACTGACTCTGTTTTACAACAATGGGTTGATGACACCCAGATCATACACGACGAAGCATTCGACAACACGCGGTTTGCAAGTATGTCTAGGCCCACAACCCCCACAACCCCGGCAGGTCCTAAGGCCATGTTTCCTGCCTCACTCGAGCGTGATGGCAAGACGAGCATCCACGACACAGTTCAGCGACCCAGGATATGACTCCAACAAGCCGAACAAGAGGCGCATCATGCAGCCGAAGCTGAAATCCAGCTAAAGGTAAGTCATGTACCCCTCCTATCTCATCTAATATTTCTCTAACTATGAGAACTACGTATAGGCCGACGATGACTACTATACGTTGCAGAGTGCATTCTCGGCATCCGATTGCAGATGCACTCTCACTTCACTTTCACTTCTCTCACTTCACTCTCTTCACTCTCTTCACTCTCACTTCACTTTCACTTCTCTCACTTCTCTCACTTCTCTCACTTCCCTCACTTCCCTCACTTCTCTCACTTCTCTCACTTCCCTCACTTCTCTCACTTCTCTCACTTACCTGGACCTTCTTCTCTGCGAAAAGCGCGGCGACCGGTCCCACTCGGTATTAGTGGAACGATTCACGACGTGCGACTTCTATGATTATCAGATCACCGGCGCGGTCGGTATGGTGCTGAAGCTATTCGGCACTATCTGTTATTGTTGGACTCTACGGTGTAGGGGCCAAAGAAGCAGAGAGGAGAGAGTTGTATTGGGAGGGAAGGAAGCAAGCTCCCAACAACTATCTAACTAATGAGGGGCAATGCCTAAGGCGCCCAGGCATACACAACACACCCTAGGCTCAACCTACGCTAAGTAGGAAATGATCTATATCGCCGAAAACCATACGCTAGCCTGTCTATAGATATTGTATAGCTTTGATATTATATATGCTATGGATTGTTCTCGTACACAGTCCTTGTATCATTTCTGATCATCCTAACGGCCTAGATCCATATTCCAAAATCAATGACGATGTAATCTTCTCAACAAATCCTATTCAGATGTGAACACTGCGGAATCAGAGATTTGGATGCTCTTAATTTGGCAGTTACCTATGGAGAAGTAAAAACAGGTCATATTTATACAATAATACAACACGTCCTACCGGTCCATTCGGTCGCACTCGCAGTCTCTTTAGTATTCGTACCAACCTAGCGCACTAAATTAAAATTAATTTAACTTAAATTACATGCAAATAGAGTAGGGCAGCGGATAAACTCACTTAGCTCTGCCTGTTTTAGTATCGTTTGCCAATTTACTAGTAAGTAAACGTTCTCTTTTCATCTTGTTACGGCGTTGTGATCTATCCCCACCAGGCATAAGCATATCTTCTGAATGACTTCTAGATAGATTTTGGAATGTTTTTGTATGGTATTATCAGCGGTTGAACCCGGTGATTCCGACTAAAATAATTTAAACTTTTGTGGAAATGCTTATCGATAAGCGCGGGATTCTATGGGATTGGCAGGCCAGTCTATCTAAAGGATGGTTCCGCGCTTTGATGATCATGAAAGATTTCCCGAACTTAACAGTGCCACAAAGCTAATGCGGATAACTTGATATCCAGAGGAATCGTCATTGCTAAGAATAAGTTTTCCTCGGCGGTATTTGCTTCCTAAAACAGAATACCACGGCTGGCAATATGAACCTCATGACATAGGTTGTTGTAATCCGGAGCGCCGAACTGCACACCGGATGTGATAGTCAACGCTAGAATGGCGGAAGTCGGTTCCTCTGACATCCTAGAAGCTGCGGGTAAAGTCTCCGATACCTGGCATATAAAGAAGTACTTCGCACCCTCCATAAGAATATGATATTCCTTGTCTTTATCTCTCTACCTTGAGACTAGTTTTCTCCAAAACAGTGCCCGTCCTACGTACCGAGTCGGAATGAACTACCTATCGTTGCTTTTTGTCTGCTGGGCCAGTGTGGTTAATGCAGCACCGGCTGCAGATACCAACGCAGCGGATGGCCAAGGCACAGGTGAAAGCCAGACGACAGGTTTAAGCTTCACAGTCACACACATCATCACCGCGGCCGCAGTGTTCACAATCAACGGTGTCAACTTCCTGACCGACCCTTTCTTTTCGCCCGCAAACACTACATTTGATCCAATCGGCCCTAGTATTATCACTGTGCTTGATGATCCAGCTTTGCAACCGGAACAGATTCCTCCTATCGACGCAGTTCTTCTCAGTCACGAAGATCACCCGGACAACCTCGACCCTATCGGACGCACTAGATTTCTTGACGGCCGTAAAGTTTTGACCACACCTGATGGGATGAAGAATCTCCAGCCACGACCGGGTGTGCGGGCGATGGAAAATTGGAAGACACTTGCTGTTGATCTCAACGGCCAAACCTGGAATATCACTGGAACCCCATGCCAACATCTTCCAGGCGGACAAGTAACAGGATTTGTACTTGTTGGCCCAGGATTTGGCACCACAAACGGTCTCCCTAATGCCATTTGGTATTCTGGCGATACAATCTACCTCCCCGAGCTTGCACGGCTGAAAGAGATGTTTTATATTAAAGCTGCCGTGATGAATATGGGCGCTGCGTTCGCGTTCATCGACAATACCACCCCTGATCAGATTACCATGACTGGATCTGATGTTGCTCAGCTCTTCAAGGACATTGGTGCTGAAGTACTGGTACCTATGCACTTTGGACCGTGGACTCATTTCCCTGAGAGCGTGGAAAATGTCCACCGTGATTTTGAACAGGCGGGCATCAAAGATAAAGTTCGCTGGCTTACCCCCGGTGAGCCTACCAAGGTCCTATAGGTGATCCTCAGGCTGTAGTGCTGCTACTGCTAAGGTCATCTGCGTTGACGCCTATTGCACTTGTCTCTGTATAAAATTACATGCGCAGATTTTTTCCTCCTTTTTTTTTTTTGTTATCCAGAACGATCAGAAGTTGTTTGGATATATGTCTAATATCATATTATGTGTCTAAAATAGCCTAAAATCTTCACTCCATCAACGGCGGTAAAAACTGACGGCCGCTCAAGAGTTGTCGACCAAAAGTAATCGGGTTTGTCTGGATGATACTCGTAGTAGCTAAGAAGAAATGAAGAAGTGCGGAATTAATATTAACGAGCAATTAGAATATGTGTGGCCTTCACAATACGGTGGCGTATAAAATCACCACTACGTTCCGGGCTTTCATAATCACATTCCGCCGCTCGGACTTCTGACATCACGAAGACCATATTGAATTACCAATTCAGTTTTATATTTATATGACCATATTTAAAATCCTCTACTCCGTAGAGATTGAGTTTTTCGTCGCGAGGTCGCTTCTAGGAATCCAAAGGCCCGCCCTTCAAGCCCACTTGCCGCTTTCGGCGAAAGTTAAGACTAGTATAAAACCAATTAGGGCTACGCCAGGAAAGTCAGACGGAGTTAGGGTACGGAGTACATATGCGTATAGCACATGTGCAGCTTTTAATACTTTCAAGAAGAATAACAACCTCAGTTCGGGAATACTAGGCTTCGGAAGTGGGCTTCCTTAATTCAAAAACTTTAGCCCGTGCTGCCCACCCCTTCTGTCAGTCATTTCAAGTGGCTGAAGCGTAAATGTTCTCTGCTTCCGCCGTCAGATGTCTTTGCTGATACGCCCAGGTATATTAGGCACGACAGATAGGAAGGAGCAACATGGTGCGAGGGTTGTATTGCATTATACTAAATAAGTAGGACAAGAGTAGTCATAGAGACATTAAGACGTTGCGATAATAGCAGCAAGCAGCAAACGAAGGTGGGTATCGTCATAGATCCAATCACGTCCAACCGTCATACAGAAACAGCAAAATCCCGGGTGCGCAGGCGAATGAGCTGTTGAGGAACAAGTTCAAACGATCCCTTCCCGGGATGGGGCAAGGTAAATCACAAAGGGGGAAGGATCATATCTTCATGCAAGAAATCGATCAATTAAGTAAGGGGAAAAAGACGACACAGGCAAAGCATCAAGACATCTAGATGTCTTCAACAACACGGGCGTTCACGGCATGCTGGAGCCCAGTGTTGTCCGTAGCGCCGTATTTGCTAGGGCCTTCGCCAAAGTTGTCAGCAGCATTAAGCTGCGACTGCACGCTCTGGCCAGGGGCAGGCAGGAAGATAACCTTGCTATTGGCAGTCTTGGCCATGGCCTGCATCGCTTCGAGGTAGCGGATCTGCATAGCTGGAGCGGACGACAGGATATCGGCAGCCTGGCGCATCAACTTAGCGGACTCGACCTCGGCGCGCGCGGCAATGACCTTGCTTTCTCCGATACGCTTCGACTGCGCTGCCATCGAGAGCGAGTCTTGCAGGTCGTTGCTGAAGATTATATCCTTAATCAGCATCGACTCGACCTTCACTCCCCACCCGGATGCTACCTCCTCGATGATCTCCGAGGTCGACTGGGCGATCTCCTCGCGGCGCTCGATCACGTCTTGCAACACTCGTGCACCGATAACGTGGCGTAGTGTTGTCTGGGTGCGCTCGACCAGAGCCTGTCTCACGTTCGAGATACCGAAGGCGGTCTTGTGTGGAGAGACCACTTGGTAGTAGATGACGGAGGTCAGGTTCAGGGTGACGTTGTCCTTGGTCATACAGACCTGACGTGGCACCTCGACGATTTGGATCTTGACATCGACGGTGGTGATGTGTTCGCTCAGGGGGTTGATCTTGACTAGGCCAGGATCGACCGATCGCTCGAAGCTATAATAAACATTGTCAGTGAGTGATATTCGATGAATGGCATTGCCGACGAGGGATCACTAACCGTCCAAATCGTGAGATCAAACCGACCTCACCTTGGTCGACAGGCTTGAAGGGGTTGGGGCAGCAGAAGCAGCAGGGGATAGCTCCAAAGAATCCGATACATTCACCCAGGCTGTGGACTAAATGATGGTTAGTATGAGAGTCGCAGCTCGTATAGGGATCGGCGCAACTCACTCAAACTGGCATACCAGCCGGTAGCGTCCGAATCCGCAGGTCGGTCGATTTGATGGGCATATTTGGGCTGAAGATCGCTCATACGAAATGGCTGGACATCGATCAAAGCGCGATCTGGTGCACGATCGGTGGCGGGAGCCTTGCTGGTGCTTGCGCCGTTTTCAGACATGGTCGAAGTATTGTGGTAGCTTTGAGTATTGTATTTTGGATAAGGATGGTATTTGGATGCTCAAAGGTGATTTGGATATGGAAGGGATGAAGAAGGGGGGAAGTCACTGGTTTTAAATGTGACAGAAGGTAAACAGCTGCACTTCTCCGCAGTGGAACCACATCTTTGATGTCAACACGGCGTGATATCATTGGATGGTTCTAAGCCTCCCTGTCGTCCCAAGGCTGAGTCGCCGGTCGGGCGCTGGCCTATGCAGATCGAGGGGCCGAATAGCCGCTGGGATCGTCATGGCTGTTTGCGGTAACTCTCCGAAATAGTTGATATCAAGGTGGTAGTGGCTATAATGGAAAGTGTGTGGAAATCACATGTTATATTGGAGTCCGGAGTACAGAGTAGATGTCAAGTAAATCTTCCATTTCCATTCCATGAACGTTGTGTCATCGCGAATATTGTACATCCCGACCGGGCGCGTCTGGGCGTTATCATGTCTTTCGCTGGAGAGTTCGGGGTCTTCAGATGGATATCCAGGGCGCAAGGCAAATTCCACAGTGGCCATGCCATGGAAAGCTCTTGTTGCAATCACATGAGCTATCAGAACCCTGGAAGGATCTTGAAAACGAGAGCGAATACGCACATACCGATATTGGATGTCCAAAGAACCAATAGATGGCCCCCATGTACTTTTGGCCCCAAGATCTTGGAGGCAGTGCCTAGAAAACTCTCTCCGAATCAGGGCAGTGCTGGGAGGCTCGGGTTTCGGGTTGTGGGTACTTTATGTGCCTTTTGTACTGGAATACTAGCATTATTATCTCTTGGTGCATAATACACAAGTACATTACATCTAACCAGCATCATTGGTCTAGTGGTAGAATTCGTCGTTGCCATCGACGAGGCCCGTGTTCGATTCACGGATGATGCACTATTTCTTTTTTTGTTCGGTCAATTTTTTTGGAAGATTTTAGATTTTATTTCTACCTCTTGATATTCCCTATGTCTTGGCTTTATTGGGATGGAGAAATGGTTGCCATGTCTTATGTAGATTCATGCTTCGCCCATAATCTTTTACTGACAATAATTCGGCACCTCAACCTGCCCATCCAAATACCCCATCCTAACAAACTCCTGATAATTCCAATAATTTCCCTTCACGCCCTCTCCCTTGGTAGTAGCGTTACTCGAAAACTTCGCAGTCCAATACGAACTGCCCCTGGTAAACTGTCCAAATGCCGAAATCCCCGCCTGAAGATTCCGTCCTCGCAACCCAAGGTCATTGTCCGAGGTTTCAATCGCCCATTCGCCCACAAAGGTAGGGAACTTCCCATCGCCAGCACTTTCCTTCGCATCCTTGCAAAGAAATTCCGGTAAGTTTGCCGAAGTCGAGTTAGCATACTGGAAATAATAATGATGTTCATCGAACACAATGTTCGCGCCAGCATCAAAATGCGGACTCCAGTATGTCTCAGGCTTAAAGCTGCCCTGGCACATAACAGGGATACGAGGGTTAACCTTCTTCGTCCGGTCGATAACAGCATGAAGATACTTCAACACCCAACTAGCCCCAGCCTCGGAGAGCGCCGCAGGCGTTCCAAACGTCGAGAAGTCCCTATTATCCACTGGCTCGTTGATGGGCGAAAGCGTGTAGGACTGCGGATGACCCGAAGAGAACTGGATAAAGTGCAGCGCGGAGTCCACAGCATCGAGCGAGTACTTCAGAGCTGTGTCGTTGTTATACCAGCCCCAATGACCGACCGCCTCGCCGATATCAAGGCCGTTTGTACCGCCAGGTAGAGAGTGGATGTCGAGGATGATGTGCATGTCATAATTTTCAATCGCGTACGTGGCAATGCGGTGGATATGTTCCTTTTGCTTTCCAGAGTACAGTTGCGATCCGGGAACGCGCACCCAGGCGGCATACGACGTGGGGATTCGAAGGACGGTTACCCCTGAGCTGGCGAGGGTGTCGATGTCCCGTGTCGTGATGAAGGTTTTGTAGCGGTGTTCGAGGACGGGACCGCACTTTGAGCCCAGCTGGGCGCAGAGGTTCCATTCGTCGCTTGCGCCGCCGGAGTAGGTGCTCCACCAGGTTGTGTCGATGGTTGATTCTTGTTGGAGCCAGCCGCCAAGGTTGACACCACGGCCGTGGAAGGTGCGCCAGTCTATATAATCATGGCTTTTGTTGGGGGTGAGGTGGGAGGAGGTAGGTGTGCTGGAGGCTGTTTGGAAAACAGTACTCAGGAGGAGAATCGAGGCGGGAGATGAGAGATGCATGGTCTTGGTTGGGATTTACCCAGTCTGCTCCGGAAACCTTTTCTGACTTGTTTTATAGAAAGGCGGGAAGATTGTCCTTGTTATAAATGGCAGATATCCGACCTTGAATCTGTGCCGTCTTTTCCTGCCGTGCGTTCTTCCACTTCGGTTCGATATATGCCGTATGCTTTCTCCGCATTATGCACGATAAACAGCCACGCCAGGGATGATTCGCTGGGGTCTTGCAGATCTTCAGGACTACTGCAGAACATTGGCCAAACTAATTTCCGACCACGAGGGAGCTAGTCGGAAAATCCGACATTTGCTAGAGGTTATTCAAACCACCCTTGTGGGCAAGGAAGCAGGGTATGTTTGTTGCTATGATTGTCCGTGAATTATGCTCCTTAGGCATAGGTACCTAGCTCAAAAGCACTCAGAAATTGGGTAACGTCGCCTCTCTCTCACACACTGACGAACCAAATGTTCCAGGCTGATTATGTTCGGAAAACCCGGCTAAGAAATAGACACTATGTTTCACTGAGTGGTGCAAGCTTATCCCCATTTGATCGTAACTACTCTGTACACTACTTGGATATACACTCATCTGGAAACTTCCGAAATCCAAATTGGCATTGGTATAGCTGACTGCCTTCCCCTGTGAAAGACACTGGAATTGTGTGATGAGAGAAGGAGCTATCTACAAGATCTGGGACTAAAAGAGGAAACAACAGACCTCTCAACACAACTGTTGGGTCTCCACACCCAACTCTCTGCATACATTCGACAGTTTCTCTTCCTCCCAAGATAAAGCGCTGTCTGGCAACACATATTCAGAAATTTGTGTCCCAGCATTCTGCACCACCTCTTCAATTCCACGACCGTTTGTGAAGGACCAAACTCTAACGTATCGACTAGCAAAGTCTAATGCAAACGCGTCACCAGCCGTGATTACAAGCGTTTGGCCCTCCCGAACTTCACTCCATGTATCGCCGCTTGACTTGAGTTTGACACGCAGAAGGCCTTCTTGAACGCAGAAGCAGTGGTCCACCGTGGGAAAGCTCAACCACCGAGCCAGGGGTGTTGACGTGTACATCTTGGATGATTCAATACTGGAGATGGAGAACTTGCCGCTGCACTGCGATGCAAGAATAAAGGGTCGGGACATAACACCGCCCAGCAGCCACCTCGGTCCTGTGTTTGCGCGAAGGAAGTACGGCTCTCCCGGGCCTGGCAGTACTTTCTCCGAATCCAACCAGTCTGCGACTTCCGGTGGCTGGTAATCCCGCTTAAAATGAACGTCGAAGCGGTCCTTGGCCACCATCATCTTCTCTCCTAGCATGGCGCCAAGATTGCGATCATCATTTTCGGGAACGATGATGCCCTTATACGTCTCGCCGACGTATCGAAAGAAGTCGATCCAATCACCCGGTGCCACCAAGCCCATAGTCTCGGTATGCGGCCCGAGTAAAGCAGGATTGTGTATAACCCCCTGCTACTTGTAAGCCGTCTGAGTCTTTTGGCTCATAGAGTACACTCACCGGAGGAACGTAGGCAAAGTCGCCAGGGCCCATGATTCTGCATTTGTCGCCATTCCATAGCTTGACAAACCCCTTGGTCACAAGGAAGACATCGTGGGCCTCCTCGTGCCAGTGGAAGCCCGGGGCATCGGATAGGACTGCACCGCTGGAGAAGACGGCAATTCCGCCGTTGGTCTGTTTGGATGATGCCAATATTCTGAACACGCCTTTGCTTCCAGGAATGGTAATGCGTTCTCCCTCCAGCTGATCAATTATGTAGCTCGTTCTCCCTTCTGGGGGAATGGAATCAACAGGGACAATCATCTTGCAGGCCGATGCTCACGATGTGAGAAACCGTCCACGGGTGTTTCTTTAGCTCGAAGGGGGAAGGGGTCAAGATTAGCTAAAAGCTCAAGTAACCTGCTGGACCTGGAGGATAGGTTTTTGTCCTTTATCCATCTCATCCCATAGTGTGGGGAAATGTTTTACCCACGTGTTCTGGCAGGTACTCTGCGGGGTTGCAGGTGGCTTCGTCGAGTGGGTCGGAAATGCCGAATTGTTGCCATCACTGGGCCGGAATCTCCGAGGGTTTAGCCGCAGTTTAGCCGGAGCCTTCTGGCCACGCAATAGCAGGGACGGGTGAAACTAACATCTCGTGCCCTCATCGTCCTTCGCGACAGAATTCACCATGAGCAGCCCGACATGCTTCCAGGCCATCTACAAGCATGTAGACGAACAGCAGATTGATGTAGACGTTTATCTGCCTTCATCGCATAATGTCAAAAGTCCAGTTTGTACGTCAGCGTCCATCTCGGAATCTATGACCGTTATAGACCGGTATGCATACTGACATCAACCAGTGATCAATATCCATGGTGGCGCGTTCATGCTCGGCTCGTCAAAGATGGTAAATAAGGACCAAGTACAAGATTGCCTGAGCCGAGGATGGATTGTCTTAGCCCCCAACCATCGCCTGTGTCCACAGGTCGATATGTTAAATGGACCTATCCAGGACTGTCGTGACCTCTTGGCTTGGGTGTATGATGGTGGACTGGAAAGGGAAATCAACGAGACTGGCCAGTCAAGTGTCATCCCAGACGTCGATCGCGTCTTTGCCTTTGGTACCTCCTCAGGCGGCACTCTAGCCCTTTGCTTGGTGAGTTACCAAACTTGAGAGAGCATGAATCACACGCAGGAAGTCACCAATAACTAACAATATCCGTTTCTGAAGGGATTCGGAGTCCCTCGGCCAGTAGCTGGGATATATGACATGTACGGGCCGTGCAACTTCTCGGACAGTTTCTGGACAACAAAGCTACCTCATCTCAAGGTTCCTGCGGGCCTAACAGAGTCCTTTATGAACAAAGTATTTGAAGAATATCCGGTTCCTATTACTGGGGGCGTCTCTCTCGAAGGCCAGTCTACTGGTCCGCCCGACTTTAATGACCCACGACAAGCATATGCCTTGACGCGACTTGCGAATGGTACTATTTTAGATGCCATCTTCCCGTCTAAGGACTGGGATATGGTCGATCCTGTTCGGAATATCGGCTCCTGCTTTCCGCCAACTTTCATTGCGCATGGAATAGAGGATTCGAAGGTACCTATTGGTTTGAGTAGAGAGCTGTTCCGAAGATTGAAGGATCACGGCGTTCACTGTGATATGAAAGAGATTCCGGGGGAAGATCACACATTCGCTGCTAAGATGCAGGTTGGATCTCAAACGTGGGAGCTGCAGCGTCTTGGGTTTGACTTTTTAGAACCGTTGATGTAAGTTTACTATAAGACACGTCATATTCAGAGAGAATTTCAACTAGTAGTGTTTCAAGATCAGCTATCATGAATATGTGCATTCTTCGTCGTTACGACATAGAATTTGGGTGACCAAAAGCAACAGAACACAGTATGTCCACTCTCTGGGAGCATCATGCCCAATTTCATGCGGCAAAATACCGTGTTAAGCTCTATAGCGTACTATCCAACATGAATGGATCCTTCAGAACCGCTTTCTCTACTATATCAAAAGCATCATAACCATAAAGCCACGGTTGAACTTGGGGACAAGTCCATTTGCTAGGGAAGGGCCCTTGAAGCTGCGATTTGCCGAGCTGCGACAGGAAGATCTTGTCTCGCGCTTCCTGGTCTGGGCCATCTGCCATGTGAAAGGAGTCTCGCTATCATACAGCTGGTCAGTAAACGTGTTTCCATGGTTATAGACAAAGACTCAGTGGCTAATGATCACCTGCTTGAAAGTTTCCTTGACGATAGCGTCGCCCCGGGACTTGCGCAAGTCTTCGTACATCTTCAAGGCTTTAGGTAACTGGTCTTTCGATCTCAAGTGACCCAATATCAGGCCTAAAACAGCACCATCCTCGACAGCGGAGTTGGCGCCCTGGGCTGAGATACGGTAGCATTGGGTGACAGGAATCTCCACTAGTATGAGTTAGAAGGATTGAATCACCAGGAGCTGAGCAGGCAAGATTGGTCTTACACAAAAACAAAGTTTGACTTCTCGTTAACCCAAGAAGGAAGCTCCTCCCCTGGCACGAGCATGACTTGTTAGCTTCTGATATCCAAGGATGGAAGGTGCGAACAGACTATGCATCAATTTCCACTTGTCAACCTTATCGACCACACTCAGGAATCTTCCAAGAATGGGGTCCCAATCCTTGAAAAGTGCCTGCATTTCTTCGACAGATCCAGACTGTCGACTGACTCCATGGGGAAGATCATCGGGGACAAGTAAAACGATATTATACATCGTCCCACCGCGCAAAGAATAGCCCACAGCATGTGCCCCAGGTCCGATCCAAAAGTGCACGGTCGGGTTGCTGACCCAAGACTTAAGCTCGGGGTCATCAAGCTGATCCAGGTCCAACACGACTCGATACGCCAGATCCCCAGTCGGTCGAGGCATATCGTCAGTTCCAAGAAGATTCGAGCGGCACCGCGACCATAATCCGTCTGCTGCGACTACAAGGTCTCCCCTCATTGTGAATCCAGACTCGGTTGTCACACTGGGCAAGTTGAAGTCAACACTAACAACCTTCTCCCCAAGCTTGAATTCAACGCCTAGCTCTTTGGCTTTCTCATATAGCGAGAGTTGCAAATCAACGCGATGTAGATCGATGAACGGAGCACCGTACTGGCTACGGATCTTCTTATCAAAGCTTTCCTCTCTAGCAAGCACCTTACCGGAGTAGCGGTGCACGATCAGAGCGCTGGGCTCGGCGGCACTGAGCCATAGTCTGTCAGGTAGCCCCCACCTCTGTAGGATGCGAGTGCAATTGGGAGTCACTTGCAACCCTGCGCCGACCTTCGGAAGAAAGGGTGAATGTAAGTATCAAAGTTTAATCCGCGGGGACGGGTGGCTAACCTCGAGGAGTTCCTTGGCTGACTCAATTACTGTCACCCGGTGACCAGAAAGGGAGATTGACACCGCTGCAGCCAGACCCGCAAGGCCTGCCCCGACAACCACAACATCTAATTGAATGGATGCCTTCCGAAACTCTGTAGAGTGAGGCTACCGACATGAGGTCAGTCAGAATGGGAACTCGACTAAAGCAGCAGTTAACTAACCATTGCGAGGATGGCGGTCGTAGTACAAAGAGATCGAGAATCAGAATGAAGGATTTCCAATGTGAGGCCTTGGACCTCTACCACAGAAATATATTTCAAGGGCGGCTATAATGTCCTTCTCAAAGGACAGGGCAGTCGGAAAAGCCGAGATGCAGGCGCATGATCTAGATTTCCCGGCTTTTCCGGCGCTTCCATCAAGGACTTGCTGGCGGACAGCTTAAGTGGAGATAGAAGCTTAAACCATCTGAAGCAATTCAAACTGGCGTGTACAAAGGTCAAAGACTAAGGGGTAGACCTTTAGTGCACGTGCCACAGATCCATTCCCCGCACTGAGGACCATCCCTGAGTAAACTGCAACCAACTCCACCCTCTGTACCCCGGGAGAAACCCCAGATTTCCCATGCAGCTTTGATACAGCATTTCTTAAGCTTCCTCTTCTGCAGGCTACATAGCTGCCCGCTGCAGTTGACCCACAAAAATCGCAACATCTTATCAAAATGCAGGCTCCGAACAATCGCCATTCGGCGAGGAATCCAGGCCAGCGTGTTCGGCGACCCCGGGCAGCCCGCGCCTGCGATTACTGTAGACAGAAAAAGTACAAATGCGATGAGTCTTACCCCTGCTCTTACTGCAAAGGTTGGTCTTTACCATGCTAGTTGGCATTGACTCCCCCCCCCCCCCAAATAGCTTCAGGTCATTGACGGTGTCCAAGGTCGAGGTGTCGAATGTGTCTACAAGGGTCAGGATATGTCTAGGCTCCGAGTCCCACCAGAGTATGTTCTCGCCAACCTTGAGGTATATAATCTAAACTAATCCCCTTCCCTAGCTATGTGAGGAAACTCGAAGCTCAGGTGAAGGAACTCTCTTCCCGCATCGAGTCCTACGGAATAGCCGGAAACGCATCAGTTGGTGGTAAACTGACAGGGACAGCTTCCGGGACGTCTACTCTGGACCACGAACCTACACAGCCCGGGATCAACCACGACGATCCCGCAATGCGAAGCAGCACATCTCCCTGGGAGACTGGCCAGCAAGAAGTATCTGGTGTTAACTCACACACTCGGGGAGTTGAGTTCTACGGCAGCTCGTCTTCTGTGGCTCTTCTCTCACACATTCAGCGCACTGGGGATGAGCCTGAAGGTGATGTGAGCTCTCTTCTGTCAACTCTGCACAATCCTGCTTTTAGCCCAGCCGAGTTGCAGACAGCCCGTGAAAGCCGCAGGGAGATCGACTACCCAGATAGTTTAGACTGGTTCCCACAATGTCGCGGGTTTTTGGAATCTTTCTTCACCACTATCCACTATGTTCATCCCATTCTCGACAAGAATATATTTTTGCAGCGGTGCGAGTCGTTATGGTCTGGAAACGAAGCCGATGGCCAGCAGTTTTCAAGTTTCACGGCTCTGTACTTCAGTGTTCTCTCCTTGGGTGCGCTTGTGGGTACGAGAGATGATGAACCCATCGATGGCATCGATAATATGCAATGGAGCCGCAAGTTTTTTGAGAAAGCCAAAGCCTGCTGCAATCAGATTGGAATGGTAACGGACCTTGAGATGACCCAATGTTACTTCATACTTGTGTGTCTTTCCATCCCACATCGTCGCTCATGTCACTAACACCTTACAGGCCAAGGTGTGCCAAAATGAGCTACATCCTCACCGTCAGTGGAAGACTTTTTGTTTTTTTATTTTCTGGTTTACTTACTCTTGCCAGTGTCGTATATGTATATTGGCCTTGCGATACGGACTGCCTTGGCCATGGGAATTAACCGAGAGCCTGGACCGAATTCGAAGAAATCCGCAGATTTGCGAAAGGCAGAATCAAGAACATGGTGGTAAGCCTTTGACTCAACTCCGCGTCCCATGAATATCTGATTTATTATGAACACTGACATTTCCGTGTAAGGGGCCTATACTCTCTTGAAACGTGCGTTGTCTCCCTCATAAATGCCTTGAACCTATTCAACTGAGTCACTGCTTTAACTCTGATTGATAGTGAGATATCCTTCGCCATGGGTAGGCCAGACACTCTTGGGGCGGACATGTATCATAACCGGCGATTCCCAGTAACGGAAAACAGCGAGGCCGTCGATGACAGTCGCAATTGCGAAATGATGGAACATCCGTCTTGTTCTATCATAAAGTGCATGGTAGATTTGTCGGGAATCACGAAAAGTATCTGCCAAAGCATTTACCTCTCAGGTATGCCAGTCCCAAGGACTGTTCATCTGGCGTATCAAATTGAGAACGATCTCGAGCGGTGGGTTGAAACGCTACCTGAAGCTATACGTCCAACGGAATTATCTGGCAGTCTGCCTTCCTTGAGAAGAGCCAGGGACCAGCAATGGATGAAGAGACAAAGATTGGTGTTAACACTAAGTTCGTCGGCCTTCAGACTCCCACAAAAAAATGAATAACTGACTGAATATAGGACACCACAACTTGAAGATACTTCTTTTCGGATCCTTCCTTCTGAGATCGACACCTCAAGATCGAGCATCAACTCCAGGGTCCCAAGAAGGGGTCCAAAAATGCCTGGACTCAGCTAAACAGACAATTGATCTTATTTATCAGACGTATCAACATAGTGACTTTTTCAGGACATGGTATGTGCTGACCTCAATATTCTATTGCCCAATCCTGACCTAGCAATAGGTTCTATAATGTGACATACACCGTTTTCGCCGCAAGCATCATCCTCATCTACCTTGCGCAAGAAGCGATTCCGACAGAGGCCCAACCGCTCTTGCGGCTGATCGACATGGCTGTAGAAATTTTATTGATAATGGACGAATGTGCTTTTGCTCTTGAAGCAGCAAAACTGCTACGTCGGGCCAAGGAGAAGGCTGAAGCAAGAGCCATGGCAACGGATGCAGCAACTATGGAGCCGTTGTTCTCGGGGGCAGATGGAACGGTACATCTGAATCATTATTGGGGTCCGCTCAATCTTTATGGGGATATTGACCCAAACCTTGCTTTTTCGTTTCTTGGCTTTGATGAAGCGAATCCAGTGCTAGGGTGATCTAGCAACGGCAGACTTGATTGAACCATATGAAGTTCGATAATATAAGAGGATACTGCATGGTTTCCAGGCAAACGAGGGTGTATGAGGTCCGCGTTGAGCCCATAATCGCCTAGGCCAACTCATGTATAGTAGGAAGTATGGAGCTTCCTATACGGGATAGTCTCGCGTCATACTTCACTCGCACGAGAAGAGATAAAACGCACGAGCACAACATAATGTTTGTAAAATAGTATTGGCTGGAATCCCCCCCGATAGCCATTTATGTGCAACCCCACAGTTACCTGCTGACGCCATCGGCCTCCAACTGCACGTCTTTTTGCGCGTTTCACGGCAATGTGCCGCGGGGTTAGCAGATACTGACACATACCAGGACACTAAATCTAATAAATACAATCTACTCCTCCAGAGCTGTGGTACACAATCAATTCAATCATCTCCTCTCAATTGAACAAACACCATCATCATGTCTTCCGAAAAGAAACAACTCATCATCAACGCATTTGCAATGCAATCGCCCAGCCATCTAAACCCAGGTCTATTCCGCCATCCCACAGACCAAGGCGCAGACTACAAGAACATCAAGCACTGGATCGCCCTAGCCAAGAAGCTCGAAGACGCCAAATTCCACGCCATCTTCTTCGCCGACGTCCTAGGAGGCTACGATGTATACAGAGGTCCCTCAAACCTCTCCCCAACAATCCCCGCTGCCGCCCAATTCCCCATCAACGACCCCCTCTACAGCATTCCCGCCATGGCAGCAGCCACGGAATCAATCGGCTTCGGCGTAACAGCATCAACAACATACGACTCCCCCTACGCCCTAGCAAGACGCTTCTCAACAGTAGACCACCTCAGCAACGGCCGTATCGGCTGGAACATCGTCACTTCCTACCTTGACTCCGCGGCTCGCAACTTCGGTCTAGACACACAGGTCGAGCACGATGAGCGCTACCGCATCGCGGACGAATACCTGGACGTCACCTACAAGCTGTGGGAGGCGTCTTGGAGAGACGATGCCGTGACCTGGAAGCAGTGTTCCGAGAACAAGACCCAGCCATATGCGGATCCAACTGCTATTCGTGAAATTAATCACAAGGGAAAGTACTTCCAGGTTCCTGGTCCCCATCTCTGTGAACCCAGTCCCCAGCGCACACCATTTATCTTGCAGGCTGGTACGTCGACGGCGGGTAAGGCGTTCGCGGCGAAGCATGCGGAGGCCGTGTTCTTGCATGCGCAGAAGCCGGAACTTGCTCGTCCTTCAGTTGATAGTATTCGCCAGCAGGCTGCGGAGATTGGACGTAACCCGCAGGATATCAAGGTTGTGGCGGGTGCATTAGTGATCGTTGCTGAGACGGACGAGGAAGCGCATGCTAAGTTTGAGGAGCTGAAGACGTACGGCGATCGAGAGGGTGCGCTTGCTCTTTTCGGTGGTTGGACGGGATACGATCTGTCGACCTACTCTGATGATCAGGACTTCCGTTTTGTGGAGCTCCCTGCTGTTCGCAGTATGGTGAACCACTGGGCTAGTACAGTGCCTGGTACTGAGGGCCAGAAGTGGGATAAGCAGACTATTGCGGAGTATTTGGTGCTTGGTGGTAATGGTGTTAAGATCATTGGGAGTGTGAAGACGGTTGCCGATGAGCTGGAGCGATGGGTGACTGTTGGTGATGTTGACGGGTTCAATCTGAGCTATGCTAGTCTCCCTGATACTTTTGACGATATTATTCGTTTGCTGCTGCCTGAGTTGCAGCGGCGTGGTCTGTTCTGGTCGGACTATGCTGTCAAGGGAGGGACTTTCCGGGAGAACATGTCTGGGAAGAAGGGTCAGTCCAGACTCCCGGACGCGCACCCTGGAGCGAAATACTTCTGGAAAGAGGGTCAGAAGGTGCCTCCGTATTCATTGGAGGAGTCCAACTAACAGCGTATTTGCATTAAAGCGAATATCGAAAAGACTTTGTTGATGTTAACAGGTCGGCTTCATCTCGTATCTAAACTGAGCATGAATAGTCGAAACAGAATAAAAATGTTGCCCAACGCAAATTAATATAAACAATTCCCAGATACACAATCTTGCACTGCAATGGTCTACTGTAACAAATCAAACATCCCACCACCCCTCCATGTGAGACTTCAAATCGATCTCCTCCGGCAGTCTCAGATGAGGCGTGAGTTCCGCACCAGGAGTCAACTCTTTCGAAGTCCACCCATTACCGAAATAAGCAAACCGATTCCCACTTTGATTAACATAGGTATACTCCCAATCTTCCCATCGCGGATCTCGACGAATATAATTCGAATGCGACGCACTGCCCGGGAAGAGACCATGAATACGAGACCCCGGCTTGCCACCATTATACCACGAGCTACAGTTCGCCGACCAGACAGTGCGCGGGTAGAACTGATCGCAGTACTCGACAAAGTCGTCCGTCGCCTGCTTAGTCGGGACAATGGACTTGATCCCCTGTGTGCGGATCTTGCGCAGCACTTTCGCGATATATGTGACTTGGTTCTCGATGTTGTTGGGCACTGTCCCGCTGTGTCCGGAGGAGTATGGTCCACCGAGCCAGAGGAGGTTCGGGAACCCGGGTGTTGCGAAACCAAGGTATGAGTATGGAAATCCGAATTTGCCGTCTTGTTTCCAGGCTTTCTTTAGGTCAACTCCGTCGGCGATGATGGAGAACGGAGGTGCGTGATCGACGTTGGCTCCTGTGGCGCAGATTGTGATGTCCACTTCTCGCTCTACCCCGTCCTCGGTCACAATGCCTTTCTCGGTGAATCGTTTGATGCGTGACTGGATGTAGTCGACGTTATCCTTGGCTAGAGCTTCTAAATACCCAGGTCCTGGTGTTGGACGACGACACGCCGGGGGGAAGTCTGGTATGATCTTTTCTGCCAATTCTGGCTTGTCTGCAATGCGTTGCAGCATCAGGTCGGTCCATTTCTCGCGCAGCTCGTTGTTTTCTGGCGAGTCTTTGAAGATTGCCCCGAATCGCTGGAAATATCCCTTCTCGACATCCTTCCGGTATTCCAGGTACGCTTTGGGATCTTTCCATGTCTCTAACTGTGACTCGGAGAATAAGTTTGCCTCTAGTCGGCGAATTCCCGCGCTTCCGCTGCTGAATGAATCTGCGATCCAAGTCGGATTCCGAGCGTAATGATCAACGTGGCTAGCAAATGGTTGAATGGATGGTAGGACCTGCAAGCCAGAAGCGCCGTTTCCGATAAGAGCAATTCGTTTGCCTCTCAGGTCGACGTTTGGATCCCAGTTAGAGGAATGAAACAGATTCCCCTTGTAAGTGTTGATACCTTCATATTCGGGTAGCTTCCAGGCATTGAAATGGCCGATGGCGTTGATTACAACATCCAGCTCTTCTTCATAGATCTGTTCCATCGATGTGAGCATACGACCTCAAGGATCAATGTCAACCATTTCTTACTTTCGAGCCATCCACATGCTCAACGGTGACATTCCATTTCCCTTTCTGGGGCTGCCATTCGGCCTTCTGCACTCTTTGTCCGGCGCGAAGATACTGGTACACATTGTGCTTCCGTGCAACACCCTGCCAGTATTGTCTAATCTCATGTCCCTGGGCGAATTCTTCAGTCCATTGAGTATTCGGCGAGATGCTAGACTGGTATACATGTGCAGGAATATCGCATCGAATTCCCGGATATGTATTCTCGAACCTGGTTTGTACAAGTTAGCAACTCCTCGTCAAGGAAGACGAGCAGAGCGGAAACTGTACCATGTACCGCCCTAAAAGTGCGGTTAGCTTGGAAATAACCCATTGATTGACAATAACATACCACATCGGCATTCTTATCATAGATTCGAAGATCAAGCCCCGGCAGTTTCGCAGGGAGCAACACGCCCGCGGTGATCCCTGCAAGACCTGCACCGATAACACCGACCTTGATGGGCCGCACCACATCAACCGGGTGCTCCTCTAGTTCAAATCGGACATTCTCAACCTTCTCTGTTGGTTGGGTGATATCACTATCCACAGTTACAGTGGTTGGTCCATTCGAGTCTGAAGGACCCTTAATCGATTCCGAGACAGGTCCGATATTCGACAAGGGAAGAGCCACCTCAGGGGATTGCACAAGAGTCATGGCGTGGGTCTATCTTTCTTTCTTTTCTCTTGTCGAGTGTTCAGATAATCACAGCATAAACATATACCACAGTCACGCCGGGTTGGATATCCAGGCTTTCTTGTAGACGACATATCCCCGCCTGCCTGCACGTCATGCGCAACGTTTTACACGCCACCTAGTGCGAATTGTAATTCTGCGCGTCGAATCTGATAAGTGGTTTCATTTGGGCAGTCGGAGTCGGGTATGCGGCTATATTGTGATGTTCTCGGGACTGATTTGGTGTCGCTAACACCATTGCGGTCCCTGATGACGTGCCGAGGGGGGTATCGTGAACACCATCCTCTCCACTACCAACGTCATTGCGGAGTGCATTGGTTGGAGTAGATGTTGGGGTATTGTTTGTTTGCAATTGGGATGTCGCCATTTGATATCTCGGCCGATTCCAGCTCTCTCGGAATATTCCACAGACCTGTACGACCTGCCTATCTCATACATTCCAATGTTTTGAATACCATGGTCTTCATATCAATAAATATTTATATTTCGATTCTATATACACCGGATTACTTTTAAAAGAATGGGACCTCCAATTCTCAATTGTATCCAGTAAAGCCTGGCCAACATAACATAACCTCGGGACTCCTCAATTTTAACCCTAATAGCAAAGCAAATCTACGCAATTTCGGCTTCAATCATCATTCCATACTATTAAGAGTTAGGCCAAAAGTTGTCAATTTGCAACTTAGCATCGGATCAACAGCTTCGTCTATGCGCCTTATGTTCGCTTGGAAGCCGATAACAGCGACATCATCTACACGTCCATTTGTACATAGCCTAACCGATGCTCTTATTGGCGGAACGAACAATATCATAGGTAAAAGGCTTAGACTATCCTTAACTACCTGCGTCTTGGGTGCTTATAAGCAATTGTTTAGCTTTGTCATTTGGCCAATCGTGAAGACCTACGTATGCAAAGTATGCGCGGCTCCCTGTGGCTTAAATGCTTATGCCCTACCACTACTACAATCGTCAAGAACAGACAATATCTTCGGACGACCTTAGAATACATCATGATTACTTAATTTATAGACCAACCTTGCTTCCAAGGATGGAAGTTGGAATATCTGAACGCATTGCCAAGCACATGACGGAGATACACCGTCACAATGCTCATAGTATAAATACCATAATCAGAGTCTATAGTAGCATTGCCACCACCAATTTATTTCACCCTTGAATTGACTCGAATCCCCTCTTATCATAATGCAGTCTGCAGTTAAGCCAGTTATTGGTCCTAGGAAAGAGGTCACTGACCTTACCGGCCGTGTTGCCATTGTATTAGGCGGAGCACTGGGTATTGGGTGAGTCTGAGAATCGCTGTAAGAGGTAACTTGGAATTTTACTTACAGATAGGCAGCTATGAGATATCCCGGGCCTTTGTTTTGAATGGTGCCCGGGTTATCATGGTCAATCGGAAAGAGGAGCAAGGTGACGAAGCAATCAAAAAGATCAAGAAAGAAGCCGGCGATAACGCACATGTCGAATGGATCCCGTGCGACATGGGAGACTTGAAGCAGACCAAGGAGACATTCACCAAGATACGATCGGAGGAAAAGCGACTTGATTTGGTAGGGAACTTCAACCGTTCACAGTGCGTATCGTCCGTTAACCCATAATTATATGTACAGCTTGTTCTATCCGCTGGTATCAACGCAAACCAGTACGGCGAGACGAACGACGGGATCGACCGACATTTCCAAGTAAACTGGCTGGGCCAGTTTTACGTCTGCAATCTGCTTTTCCCGCTGTTGCGCAGAACGTCCAGGTTACCTGACACACCTGCCCCTCGGATCGTATTCTTGTCATCAGAGCAGCATCGCACCGCTCAGAAAGCTGTTCACTTCGCCTCACTCGATGAAATCAATAACCCCAAAATGGGCCCTGTTGAGCTTTACGGTAGGTCCAAGCTTGCGATCATCCTGGGTGTCAAGTACGGGCTCTTGGAGCGTGTTATCAAACCAAACAAGGATAACATCTACGCTCTTTCAGTACATCCGGGTGCGGTAAGTTTGATATGGCAGAGACGAGCGGGAACCATGCCTAACCCCAAATCTAGGTCAATACTGCCATGCAGCAGCAATGGAAGGATGCCTACCCGGGAATAACAGGAAAGCTTATCACATCAGCTATGCTTGCCGTGGGTCGCGATGTTGAACAAGGTTCCTTCAGTGCTTTGTATGCCGCGACTAGCCCAGACATTGAAGAGAGAGGATGGAATGGATACTACCTAACCGACCCTGGTGAAAAGGGAAAGGAATCTGCTCAAGCTTCTGATCCTAATCTGGGAGCTGCACTTTGGAACTTAAGTCAGCAAATCATTAAGGAGAAGCTTGGTGACGATGCTGTCATGGACTGGAGCGTAATTGCTTAAGGACAGTGCCATTTGGAGAAAAAAAAATTCCCGGGTTTATGTTCTTTTTGAGTTCCGAATATGACACGAGCAAGTACATTTTGCTACAATGAGTATTTGAAAAAAAAAATAGGGGATTGACATCTTGGGGGTCTCAAAATCGCTATATACTTTCTACGCAAAATTGGAGGCCACACAAGCCTGGTGAGGTATCAAGTGTGAAGGTACATAGCTGAGCAGAGAACAAATTGATATTTACTCCATTGCATGACACAAGTGATCAAACATTGTAGACAGGTTTCATCGGACACAACCCCCGCAATACATCTGTCTCCTGGCTAGGCAAGAACTTCGCCTCTTTACCAGCACGCTCCGCACCGCCTGTGCGTTGCTCAACCTCCATGAAATCGAATTTCTTCTCAGGAAGCAAATCGTACACTGACTTTGCGTATTCTGGGGCAATACGCGCCAATTGCGCTAGGTACTTCACCTGGATCTCTGTGTACTCCACTAGTTTCAGGAGACGCGCGGTATTTGAATGAAGATGGGCTCTTGCTTTCTCGTCCATGACATCCCGATATAACGCACGCGGTTGGTCATACTCTGAAGGTGAACCCTCATGATAGAAGTGTGATTTCCTCCCGACAGTGTTATCACCTAGTTGATATGGAGTCTCGGCAGTATCGGGTCGGAATTTTTGAGTAAAACTGTTCGGCGTGTATTGTGGGTTCATGCCGTGGTTTGCATCGACACGCATCGGGCCATCGAAGTTGAGCGAGGAATATGATGACGCCATGAACGGACAGTTGACTTCTAGGCATTAGTATCAGAATCACACCAGATGTGTCTTTTTTGAGCTCTCACCTGGCACCTGATGCAGATTGATGCCAATTCTGTGGTATTGGGCGTCACGGTAAAAGAACATGCGGAACTGCAGTAGAGGATCCGGACTGTCCTCAATACCGGGGACCATGCTGCCAGGAGAAAAGGCAGCTTGCTCGACGTCTCTGTGGAAGTTCTCGGGGTTTTTGTTCAAGACAAGCCTGCCAAATTCATGTAGCTATATTGTGGAACTTAGTGAACAGCATAATGCAAGATGTTTGCCCTGAGATTGGGTTGAACATACCGGGAATTGCTTCTTCGGCCAGACCTTCGTAACATCGAAGGGGTCAAATCCAAGTTTTCGCCGGGTCAGCCTCGTCGGGTTGCATGATTTGCACATGCGCAGTGTACGATATCTGCTCGCCCTTCTCGATAGCGCTCCAAAGATCTCTCTTGGAGTAGTCGGGATCTTCCCCTCCATACTTCAAAGCCTCTTCGGCATTGAACTGCTTTTGCCCGGTGTCCACAAGGAAGTGGTACTTGACGTATACGAACTTGCCGCTGGCATTGACCCTGGACAGCATTGTTAATACGCCATCTTTTTAACGCTCTGGGGTTAACATACCACTTGAATGTATGGCAACCATATCCGTGTTGGTTTCTCCATCCTGCAGGAGTACCGTGGTCGCTGAAGAACATCAGTCCAGCATGGTTACTAATAGAATAATTAGCTAAACCCTCCTAAGTCTGCGAGAGATCAATACCCTTCAGGTGTATTGGCGAGCAAGTCGAAAAGCGAATTATGATCCAAGAGGAAGTTCTTTGGGTTACGCGACTGAGAGCGGATCACATCTGGGCCTTGGATTGGATCGCGACAGAAGAAAACCGGCTATAGCATACACATATGTAAGGATTAGTGACACCTTGGTAGATAGCGGTGAAGTCTTCTTACAAAGTTCAGCCCCACGATATCGTAATTTCCCTCCCCTGTGTAAAATTTCACAGCAAAACCTCGCGGGTTCCTCGCCAGGTCCGGAAATTCCCGGCCTAGGGTCACGGTAGAAAACCGTACAAAGACGGGAGTCTTGATATTGGATGATCTCAGAAAGTGTGCCTGTGTGAAAGTTAGCAACCCGATCATTTTTGTAATATCCGGAAACTTACTTTTGTAAGGGAGGACATGTCCTTGGTGGTCTCAAAAAACCCAAATGCTCCGCTGCCGCCTGATATAGGTCAACTTATGATTCAGGTGACAAAGGGCTTCTGCACTTACAAGGATGAACCATTCTCTCTAGGTTCTTGGACCGATTGAAATGTTGCTGCTTCTGAAGTAGGAACGTATCAGAGACCAGAGGTAGCCCACCTGCAGTTTTACTGTGGGATGGGTCCGGGAACGGTATGCCTTCATTATTTGTGAAGTAGGGCCCATCATCAGCTCTCTTTGCGATACCCTGTACCCCGGTAATTTTGGCTGCTGTCTTTGCCGGTCCGTCATTGGCGCCTTGGAAGAGCGATGAGCGTTGAACAACCCGCGGGTCGGCACCAGCAGCACCGATGGCCTCCCCAATTGCCTGAAGAGGATGTGTGGCCATGATGAATGTATGTTAGTTAAACAGCACTGAGCCCATTGATCGTAATTGACCATTATATATCTACGTCCATATAAATTCCCCAAGTACCAAGCTCTACTAGGTGACATCGCGATGACGATGCGGTCATGTATTTCGAGTCACTCTTGCATCACGTCTACGACTAGAAGACGAACTTTTTATGCAAACTAAGCCTTAAAAAACCTGCACGATGCTGTTAGATAAGAAATGAGCGAGTAATGGTGACTATTTCGAGGTCAGTCTTGACGCACGCAGCTATAGTGACCACCGGAATAACCCCGCCTGCGGGAAATGATATGGAGAACGAGCCGAGTCATGTAATGTCCCGCCGGATCTAGTAGAAATAGCCTAGCAAGCAACCTGGATCGCTACTATTAGGTACTATAGACAATTTATAGTAAGTGCTATAATAAAGTTTCCCTTTGATTTGCCTATATATTATAACAAATCCCTCCCTTTCATTTTATGGAGTTAATATTAGATATATACATATATCTGGAACGCACATACATCGTCAAAACCGGGATTTGAAATATACGTATATCCCGAGACGGGCGTTACAATGTATCAAGGCGCCCAATATCTGCCATGCGTAGATCAAGACAGGGATGAAGGGTTCGGGACATCGAACTACATGGTAGCACAAGGATGGCAGTCTGTAAAAAGTATCTATTGCCAATTAACCATTTAACAGAGATCTATGGCGCATATGAAGACATCTACCGTGACATGAGAAGCACGGCAGACTCCGAAAAAAGTATTGATCGTCAACATTCTCCGGGATCTATGCCTATAAGATCTATTGTCACACAAAACAGTTCGAAATAGTATAGATTATCCATTTCACCTTTCCAGAGAAATCTGTAGCCCATACAGAAGACATCTATTGTAACACAAGAAGCACAGCACTCGAAAAAGTATCGATGGTCAATTTAACCTTCCAGAGATCTATAGAAATGTATACAATAACACGAGAAGTAAACCTAATCGGGTTAACGCATGGACGTCATAGCTGAAGACGTATCGAGGAACGTTGCCTTGGGAAAGTCTCCAGTCAAAGGTATAACAGAGTGAAATGTTCCCGTCCTTTTCTCATCTTAGTACATTGTCAGATAGCAAAGATTTGAAACCTCGCTTGATCGAAAAACATGGTAAGTAGGATAATGCAGATACATATGTATTCATTATGATTGTATGGCTAACCTAGAAAGCAGAATACCCCTACCGAAAGGCTTCCATTCACTGTGAGAGCTGTTAAAGATGGGGATTGGATTTCGCGCACTATCAACCTCCACGGTGTCCTTATCATCCTCTTGGTGTCTATTATGGCTGTCTTCTTCAAGTGGGCTCGCGAAGATCCTACCTCTAGTGAGAAGATATCCCCCGGCAGTCCCGTGTCGAAAAGGGATTTCGAGGAAATTGTGAACGGCTTTCTATCCGACATCTCATACCAAACCCCCAAGTCTCTGCTTGACGTGGGATTGAAGACTCGAGTCCAGGAGACTCTTGAATCCCATGGCGTCTCACGGGATCTCATAGCACAGATCGATAGGTGCATCAATGCGGCGGTCAACATTGCCTACTATACCTATCCATTTGCCTCGCGTGAAGCCCAAGATGCCATTGCCATATTTACTTCATACGTTATCTCCATTGACGACTTTGTTGGTGATATAATACCTGAGTTGGAGAATTATGTCTCTGAAGTGACTCTCGGGCAGTCTCACCAACACGAGCTACTCCGCGGTTTCACCAAACATCTGGCGAGCATGCAGCGACTATTTGGGAACTTCGGCGGTGATATGATTGTCAAGGGGGCGTTGGAGTTCGTTTCAGTGGCCATTGTTGAACACAGGCAAGATGAACAGAGGAAAGTCCAACGGTTGCACTTTCCACGCGAAGCTTCCGACTATCTGGTTTACTTTAGAGCGAAAACGGGGCTTGCTGAGGTATTCGCCTTTTTCTGCTTTCCAGAGGACCTCAATCCCGAGGACAGGGACTTGACAGGATACATCGCAAGTATTCCATTTCTCATGCTATTTTTGGCGGAGGCCAACGACATCCTGTCCTTTTACAAGGAGCAGAGCAAGGCTGGAGACTCGGGCTTCGTCCATGACTATTCCAACGTAAATGGCCTCACCTCTCTTCAGACACTACGCAAACTTCGCGTTGAAACGACCGAGCACGTACGGAAAATTCGCAGCATATTCTCAAATGATCCTGTGATGACTGAGCAGATTAATCAGTTTATTTGGGGATACGTATCTTATCATGTTTATGCGAGGCGATATAGATTAGACGAATTGAATGTCCCTCCTGCTGTTGAGGCAAAGATGCGCCTTTAGGAGATGCCAAAGATGTGGAGATAGCGAGCCGCAGGCTGGTGGAAAGGGAGCTTTGCTTGTGAACTTGGCCTAGATTTTATTTGATGCCTTGTGCATTTGGTTCTTTTCCGTGTTCGTCTTAGTTCAGAACCATTCAGTGCTTGTCACAATAATAAAGGTTGCCTCATGATTGTTTTATAAAACCGATGTGCCGTGATGCCAAGTGCAGATTTAGCGTATGACTCAAATGGTCAACCAGCCACCAGACTACAATTTCTTCAACTACCATACAACAAAAATATCTCGAGGTGTCATCCATTTCTTGAAGCCCAACTACATATATTCTCGAGCACAACCCAGCATTCAACGCCCAACCTTCTTCACGTCCGCCATGGCCTCTGCCCCACCAACAGCTGGACTCCCACCTAGAACATGGACACGAGACAACAACCGCGAATTCTTCATCTCAACCGAACCCAGCCTACTCTCTGTCAAAGCAGTCAATGCTGCATTCGACAGTGATTTCGTTTACTGGCAGAAAAAGCCGTTCTCAGAGGACGTGCTGTGGCAGATGCTCCACGGCGCCTTGAGTTTCGGCGTGTACAGGTGGACCCAACCGGAATCTGTGAATAAATCTACCACCCCATGTTCGGAGAACACTGAGCAGATTGGACTGGCTCGTATGGTTACAGATGGCTGTACATTTGCTTATTTGTCGGATGTCTACGTTCTTCCCGAGTACCAAGGTAGCGGACTTGGGAAATGGCTTGTGGCCTGTGTTGCCGAGACCTTTTCCAAGGAGAACATGCCTTACCTGCGTCGCATTATGTTGCTCACTGATGATGAGCGCATGCAGGCTTTCTACATGAAGATGTTTGGTGTGAAGGTTGTCGGGCGTGAAGAGCGAAAGGACATTGGGAGGGATTTAGTGTTTATGTGTGCGAGACCGCATGCGCAGCCCTCATTAGATCCGAAACGGCTACTCTGAATTTGGTGTTTGGTACTAGGTATCTGAGCAAGGAAGCGAGACTTGTGGCTCTGGTGGCTCATATTCGTCCTTTCACCCTCTACCACGGAAGCTGCAAAGGAGTCGGCAGGTTCTTCCCAAGCACAGCTTCTGCGGTGCCGATATCTCTGTCATGGATAGATTAGCCTGGTTTGTTTCTGATAATAGGCAATCGAGTATCTTACCCCGGTCCTGCTGGCGCCCAATATTCTCCGGTTTTGCTAAGATCGAACCCTTCAATGAAAGACGCAAGCGTTTTCGCTGCTTCATCCGGTGTCACGGCTGTCCGGGTGATACCAGGTTAGATTTAATAGATTCCTGGGGCCTTTCCATAGGGCCTGTAAGCGTAGTGTAGTAGCCACTCACCTCCACCTGCGTCCCAGAACTTATCGAATCCAACGCTCTTCGTCATCTCCGTCCGCATAAATCCAGGATGTACCAGACCAACTGCAATCCCCTGCGGCTTCAAGTCCAGACTCAAAAGCTTCCCCACCATATTCAAAGCAGCCTTACTGGCATGGTGGCCAAAGTTACCTCCGCCTTCTTTCTCATGGCGTAGCGTGATGCTGCCGCTCTCACTGCTGATGAGGATCACTTTACTCCCCTGGTCTAGCAACCCGGCTTTAACGAGATTGTGCACCACAAAGACGGGACCAATGGCAGAGGTTGAATACATCTTAACCTGCTTCTCCCAGTCTGGAGAATCGAATGTTTCAAAGCCAAAGTATCCGGCGCTGACAATGACTGTTGAAAGCTTTTTAGATGGAAGCTGCGAAACAAGCTTTTGGCCCACATCTGGTTGGGAGATATCAATCCCTGTCAGCCAGGTGACTCCTGGGCTTGGCTCTGGGTTGGAGGATCGGGAGGTTGCAAACACATGGGTTGCTGTCTTTGCAGAGTACAGTGTCCGCAGAGAGGCACCCAGTCCTCGAGTGGCACCTAGGATGAGGACGTTGGTCATTTTGTAAGTTGGGGTGAAATGCTTGAAGGGATTTAGGAAGGTCTTTGCAAGATACCTAGGCGTATATCAGGTGTAGTTACGCCCTGGGCACGCCATTGACGCGATGACGTAATTGCTGCATAGGCTTGCAAGGGTTCTATCTGCATAACCCTGGAGGTATTCTATCTATAGCCTGCAGTTTGTGCTGTACAACGTGGCTTGCATGGTCTATATGAAACTCGACTACATCCATCACCTTCGTATCAGATCGTTGCCTACGTTCAAGTGGAAGTCTATAACCTTGCATGTTACTTTTGGAGGGTTTTGTCTGGTCTCTTTGTCTACTTGTTCATATTCGATACGACATCAAAGCCTGACATGTCTAACTGGAGGTATCAGAATTAATTCGCGCTTGGATGCTACAATGTTAATCGATCTCTCCATACATCGGAGTGCCCTGGTGGGCCACAAAGGGCTTAGTCATGTGCTATTTATGGAATCTTAGCTAGGTAAGATTGGCCCCTTCAATACCTGTTTCTTCTCCATGTGCCCCAGCAAAGTGCGCCTCTCGTTGGGAGCCAGTCAATTCATGTGTGGCAGGGCTCAAGAATGACTGGCTTTGCCAAATTCGCCCTCTCCGTTCAGAAAGTCCGGGCAGCGATCCACAGCAGGAGAAAGGCGGGTGCCAAGGACCAGCGTGGATCGTCTCTAAGGTGAGATCTTCTGCGACAATCCGACAAAATTCACTGACTGACTTCCCCTATCAGAACGGAACCTGCAGGTCCCCCACTTTCCTCGCCATGGGACCTCCCCGTCGAGATTCAAATCCGCATATTCGCATATTCCGGCATCACAGACTTCCATCCGCTGCGACTCGTCTGCAAGGCTTTTTACCAACTGCTCACCAGGAATGAGCATGAGATTGTCCGGCAGTATCTCCGCTTGCGTCGTCACGGTACCCTTCCATCCCCGATTGACGATGATCGCATCTATACTAGAAACCCCGGCGACGATGTCGTCCTGTTATCGGACCTATTCCCACCGTCCAAAAGCGCCAGGGGTGGCCATCTCTATACCTTCAAATACTTGCATGGGTTGAGACGCAGGCAAATGCTCTGCTCAAGGCTCTGCTACTACCTGGCAGATCGGATCCTCGATCGGTTCGTCCAGACCGAACCGGCCGTCATGAAGGCCTCATTTCCTGCAAAGCGAAACGAGCGCAACGCCCTTGTCAAACGTGGCATAGCTAGCATATGGTTTCATCTTGCACCACTTATGTAAGAACAGCGCGAATTGCTTGACTGCAGCAAATCACTGACTTCTTTGTCAGGTACTATACACTCTATTTTCTCGAATCATATGCGTCCGCCCGACGCGAGCACACGAACATGCTCGTACAGAAATACGAAGCGGGCCAGCTCCCCGTACCATTACCACTCGATATACGCGAGAGGATGTACCGCGAACTGCAAACCCGAATCCTCCAAAGCCCTCCGTTCACCAACACCGCGGCCTTAGTTGCAACACATCATTGCATGCATTTGCTTGTTTCATACATACGTTATGCCATGTCTCCGGATGGACAAGCTGAGATTGATGACTCGTGGATTAGCTCGTTGCTCACCTTGGCGCCGTTTGTGCGAATCGTCGAGTTTTTCTCCGCTGAGATCGGGGACGGTGGGAGCCAGCGAACGCAACGCAAGGAGTTTATGTACAACTTCTATCAGGACACGACGATGTATGAAAAGGATCACATGAACTCGGTTGTTTTTGCGCGCGCGACTGCGCAGAACTTGCATAGCTCAGTGCAAGATATCTGGTTTGCTGCTGCTGAGGCCGAGTTAAGAAACCGGCGAGCGATCCACCACGACGTAGAGCACGTCTGGGTCTGGAGTGGTATTCCAATTGTGTTTGGGTGTCCAGATTGCCACCCCACGAGAGGATGGCAGGCATGATACATCGAGTTTAAGTGTTAGAGGCGCTCGGAGTCTAGATTCTTATACTGGGATATACTGGAGTTCGATGGACGAACATTTCAGCCAATTGCATTTGCATTCCATTTCATTATTATTCTTCCCTTCTCAAACCTAAATAAATGTACTTGCGTACGTAGTCGAGGGCGAAATGATTTAGGGAATTGATAGAAGTTTGCTTGGTTTGCAGCCGGCACGCGTCGCTGTGTACATCCCGAATATCAATCTTCTTCGACGACGATATGCTTCAATTGTAACATAAGAATTAGCCGATTTTACTACAAACTCACATATCGCCTTCTATGGAACAAGCAGACCCACGACAGTTGTTCAATACTTCTTGGACCATCCACCGTCTATCCCCTCTCCATCATGGGAAGGACTCTGAAACCCTCCTAGACAACAAGGTCGCCTTGAAAACATATGCAACACGTCTACGCGACCATATCACGGGGAATGCCCTCGCTGGAATTTATACAAGCGCTAGTGCAGCAGATGATGATGCGCTCTCCAAGACTGGCGCCCTAAAAGATTGTCTATGGCAACCAATCTCTCCTCAATCACTGCATGACCGAGCGCCAAGCAGATCGCAGGATACCACTTTTCCTGGAATTCTAGTAACACTAGAATATGAAAATATCATCTACAAAGCAGCTTTGCTCGCAGACACAACATCATCCCCAAATCAGCGCTCAGGATCCACATCTCTCCCTCTCCTCCTAACCAGATTCCCGACTGCGCTCCGGCAAATATTCATCGCTTTCCTATCTACCAATTTCGACACGTACTGCTCGCCCCTCCGGCTGCCATCAAGCTTTCTCTGCGCAGGTCTGGAGACGTACATCGATACTTTGCGCACTCAACGACCAAGTACTAGCGACACAGTCGAAGATGTTATCAAAGAGTTACAGCTCACGCTCTCCTTTTCCTCGTCGATCGCACCGGCACTGAAATCTCTGAACGTCAGTGTCGCGCGCGCTTCACTTGCGGGCTTCCTGCGCGATCAGTCTGGACAGTCGGCGCCGAAGTCGCGCAGTCTTCAGCATAAACTGCGCAGCCCTTTCATCGCCAATCTTACTTCGTACCTGGAGACCCATCTTGCCCTGAAGCTGGATCTGGATGGGTCGTCTTCCGACCAGGTTGCTAAGCAGCATGTGCGACTCTCGAAGGTTGCCTGTGCTGCTTTCGTTTTGGGTAGTGAAGGACGTGTGAAGCTCGTTGTGCCTGCTGATAGGGACGTTGGGAATGGCGATGAGGACTCTCGGCTTGGAGGCGACAAGAATGAACTTGCTTTGGAGGCAGGAGAATCCCTTCTACGCTTGGTCATCCGGAAAGCTGTTCTGGAAGATCATTTGACTACATGAACTTCTGCATGTTCTTCTGTGCCAGTGTGAAACTGGGACACATTACGATATTTTGAAGCCCGGCACGAGTAGTCGGGCCGCAGTGCAAACCCATCAGAATAACCTGCCTGGATTGATGGAGCTCATAGCTTTGCTCGCGGGGCTACTGAATCCGCTGGACTCGTCGCCAATATACGGTTGCGCGACGAAGTGCAAACCGGCGCAGCTAAATTGCGGCCTAGCGTCATGCTTTGACGCAGTGTTTGTCACTCTGGTACTGCGGGTGCTGCAATGCCGGCTTTCGCTAAAATGGCACACTCAGGAGAGCTGATCGTGATACATACATAGCAAAGCATATAGGTTTACTTCGGTTCCCATTAAACCCCCAAGAAAACCAAATCTCGTTATTAGAAAGGGATACTTGATCATGCATGTTGTCTGTCTTTCTGGGTGTTGCTCCATGACAAAAGTCCAGGAGTAATTTTTTAATCTTTTTTTATATGAATGAACTGCAATATGTCCGTACAAGATATCCAAACCGTATCCAAACACATGTCACCAATTTTAGCAGGATACATGAACACTATATATCCTGCGTCTGATTCTCGGATTCCGCCAACCGCAGCGCCTCATCAACACTGGGCACGAAATGAGTCAATCCACCACATGTCTCAACAATACCACTCCGCTCAAACATGCGGAAGACACTCCTATTGGGCAAACGGCAGAAGAACACTCTGACGCGTTGCTCCGCATACGCATGCACAATCTCCGTGAGCACCTGGGTACCAGACCCATCAATACTCGTAACGCCATGAACATCGAAAATAATATTCTTATTATGCTCCGGCGCGCGCATGCGCGGCAGAGAAGGGTGAGCATGTGTGGAGCCGTACAGTTCCAGACGTCGCAGGCGGTTCTTGAGATCGCCTGTGTTGGCGAAGGTGAGGGGTTCGGGGATCTTGACGATCAGGGCGCCTTCGACTAGCTCTACGTTTTCTGGGTGCAGTTCGGCGTTGTCGAAACGCGCGGGCGTACCGAGGACCTTGCCCAGGATCTGGATTCGGGGGGCTGTTGCGTGTCGGATGAGGATTATGACTGACAGGCCCATTCCCATCGCCATACCTAGTTCTAGGGAGTAGAATATTGTTGTTGTGAAGATAAGGAGCATGAGGACGATCTCTGACCAGCCCCGCAGGCGGATGAAGAAGAGTAGGTCATGCGGGCATTCTTCCACTAGAGTGAAGGCTACCACGGAGATCATGGAGGACAGCACTGCTTTCTATTAGGGAATTAGTATCGCCGGCATTTGGAAAAGGAACACAGGGATGGTGTAGGTTTGAGAGGGACGAACCGGGAGGTAGTAGAGATAAGGCAATAGCACCATGATGCTTGTGAATGTGATGATGCTCAGAAAAACACTAGCCATAGGTGATCGTGCTCCTGTCTGCGAGCTAAGCTTACTTCGCCCGTATCCGCCAAATGCAGGTAGAGCCGAAAAGCAACCTCCGACGACATTGGCAACGCCTAGTGCAACCATCTCACGATTGGCGCTCATGTGCATATCCTTGATTCCAGCAGAACTGCCTTCGCCGAGCCCCTTGGCCGCAACAGATGACTCGAAGAAGCCAAGTAGCGCGATAATAAAGGATTTGCTCAACGCTGTGCGCACATGCTTCATATACGCAGGCTGGAAAGGCCAAGTGAAAGCGAATAGTCCTCCGGAGCCGACCTCTGTAGGTCCAAGGATTTCTAGGCCCTTAGCTTCCCAGTCGAGGTGCCAAGCCAGAACCGCCGACAGGGCAACGACCAGGAAGCGGTCTGGGAAATAAATCACTTGGGGGATACGAGGCACAATCATCTTTTTCAAAGTTCTGTGGATGATCAGTATGATGAATGTAAAACCAGGGCTGGGTACGAACCTGAACAACATGATAACAGAAAAGCTGACGATCGAAACGATAGCAGTTAGTCCATGGCACTCTCGAGCATATCGAAAGATGAAAATAAGTTTTTCAACACTGGTGCCATGGCTGACACCGGATTCTTTGGCATGCTCGGCCAGACCCAATTCTGGGATAAGCTGGTCTACAAAAATCACAAAGCCAATGGCAGTGATGAATCCTCTCAAGAACGGTCGACTGAGCACGTTGTCCAAGAACCCTAGACGGGTCAGTCCAGCAATCAGTATCATGCCGCCAGACATGGCAGTGGCCACTCCTACAATAAGAGCGGTTTCTGTGGGGTCGTCCTCGCCTGAGTTTCCTTGCATGACACTTGCTTTGACAATAGCACCCGTTAGCAAGGAACCCGCAGCCTCCGGGCCAACTATCAACAGAGGGCAGCTTCCTAGGATGGCGTAGATCAAGGGTGGATGACGAAAGAGTAGAGGCCATTAATGGGCGGTGCATGGGCAAGATTGGAGGCCAAGGAGAGGGCCATCGGGATGTAGATGGATGCCACGGTCAACGCAGCCATGAGATCTCCACGCAGGAATGACCAATGATATTGTCCAATCCAATTGAAAAACGGAACATAATAGGATATGTATCTGCCATTGGTTCGTCAGCTACCAGTCTTGGGGCAGGCTACGAAAGTGCTCGCAGCGTATGAATAAGATACGACCTACTGTTTATTCGTGTCCGTTATTGGAAAAGTAAAAGACGATTTCATCTGCGACGGAGTCTCCGAACCTGAGACCGACTCCAGATGGTCTACTATGCCTCTGGGGCGACCGGCCGCCCCGTCCGCCACTTCATGTCCGTTATATCCAAATGCATCGCCCGACCCTCCAATGTATGAACGTCTTCCCACATCTTCTACCCGCGGCGAGAACGTGCCATGGCTGCAGCGCCTTTCACCACACGGAGGACCGGCCTGGAGGTATGATTCCAGGAGTCGGGTTCTCACGTCTGGTTCGCTCGTAACCCCGGTGCCGCTTTGGCTATCCTGTGCCATGTGGTTGTCATGGTTTGAAGTTGTCGAAATTCCAAGACCGGTTTGAGGTGACGAACGGAAAACATCGACAATACGGTCACGTAGAGTCCGACGTCCGTGTCCGTCGGACTCCCCAGGGAGTAATGAACTTGTCTCCGACATGATCTTTTGGAAAGAGGCGCCTGAGGAGTGTTAGGTCAAATAGTTAGATACTAAGTAGCCCGCCATAAATGCTGGTCGCAAAAATTTAAAGATTGAAGCAATTCAAAGTTGGGATGACAAGCCCAGCCCCAATTGGTTTTATCGGTTAGGCAAGGCCAAGGGCGCGGCGTCGCGCTAGGGACTGATAAGCGGGGAATGCAGCCCTGGAGGTGTTATCACCAATTCAACGCAGATCCTCGGAGAATGATTGTGCAATCAAGAGGAAAAGCATGGTCAGCATGATCTAAGGCAACTCCCTAATTCGTAGAAAGGTTGGATGCCATCGAACACCAGAGTATACAAGGAGCTAAGGAACATGCCCGTCTTCCCGTTGATTTTGTTGACGTAATCGATTGATGTGTCAGCCGATACCAACTTTCGAAGGCGGTGTGTGTATGATCACGTGCATTTGGTCCCGTGACTGATCAGGTCAATGTGGGTTTTGAAGTCCGCCACAAAGAGATAGATTGTGCCTCATTCGCGTCGCCTCACTCCTCTGCGCTCCTGTGTTTCTGACCTTGCGATTACTCATATTTCGTTGGTCACCATCTCGATCGTCTCGATTGTGCTATCAAATCAGACTCTTTTGCAACTAGGATTTCCCCGAGAAAAAAAAAAGAATCACCCCGCCAAGATGTCTTTAACAAACTGCCGGTTCTATGAGGACAAGTATCCGGAGGTGGATAGCTTCGTCATGGTTAATGTCAAGCAGGTATGGGTCAACTGAATCATGACCTAAGAGATCCGAGCGATAGGGACTGACTTTTGTGTGACCGAGCTAGATCGCCGAGATGGGCGCATATGTGAAGCTGCTTGAATATGACAACATCGATGGCATGATCCTCCTCTCAGAACTCTCTCGCAGACGTATTCGCAGTATCCAGAAGCTCATCCGCATTGGGCGCAACGAGGTTGTTATCGTGCTTCGTGTCGACAAGGAGAAAGGCAAGGGACACATTATTCACCTAGAAGAGCCCGAGAACTAACTTATCAACTTGAAGGTTACATTGATCTGTCGAAGCGACGTGTTTCTCCCGAGGATGTCATCAAGTGCGAGGAACGTTACAACAAGAGCAAGGCAGTGCACTCTATCATGCGCCACGTCGCAGAGGCAACTCAGACCCCCCTGGAGACCCTATACGAGAACATCGGGTGGCCTTTGAACCAAAAATACGGTCACGCGCATGATGCCTTCAAAATCTCCATTACGTAGGTTTTTGTTCTTTTGTTCTCATGATATGATCGAATTCCTCTGACACTTGTTTTCCAGGAACCCCTCCGTCTGGGATGAGATCACCTTCCCCAGCGAACCCGTCAAGAATGAGCTGCAGCAATACATCAACAGCAAGCTGACCCCCCCACCCCACCAAGGTCCGTGCCGATATCGAGGTCACATGCTTCGGTTACGATGGAATCGACGCCGTCAAGGATGCCCTCCGTACCGCTGAGGCCGACAACACCCCCGAGAACCAGATCAAGGTCAGACTGGTGGCTCCTCCTCTCTACGTCCTGGCCAGCCAATGTCTCGATAAGACCCTCGGTGTTAAGTTGCTTGAGGAGGCCATCGTGAAAATCGAAGAGCGTATCAAGGCGGCCGGCGGTAGCTGCACCGTGAAGATGGCACCCAAGGCTGTCACTGAGCACGACGATGCGATCCTGCAGGAGCTCATGGAGAAGCGTGAGCGTGAGAACACCCAGGTCAGCGGAGATGAGGACTCCGAGAGCGATGAGGAGTAATCACGGGTTATAACTCCGAGTCGAGGAGCATACAGCGGTCATCGGCGCTGGAATCCAAGGCTGGAATCACCGCTAGAGGGGAGTTGGGCAAAAATGGATAGAAAAAAGCTTGCACATATCGGAGGAAGGCTCGATGGCTCAGTGTGCTGTTGGGCAGGATTGCAGTCAGAACTTGCCCTTTAGCCAGGACAATCGCCTGAACTTCGGGTTTGGGGATGATTTTTCCATGCCTGCGCATGCGCTGCATGCCAATTGCGGCCGAAATCCTCGTACCCACCGTCTGTCAAAGACACTGGGTCCGCACAGGGTGCAAGTTCTAATGCACATAATGTTTGCGATGCAACCGAGACGTTCAATGCCAGTCATGCTTTTAAATGCGAATTGTACCCTTGTAGAGACTACCTATGTACCTACCTACATCTAGATACATAAAAATCAATCTGAGCTCCGATCGAGTGCCCAATAAAATCGCGGGGAGCTAAACTTTATCTCATTATTGCCCCCTCCCCAACCTCTCGGTGAGCTGAACTCTCTCCCTTTTCTGATCTTTCCACTCTTCTTGTTGCCATCCATTTTTGCATATTTTTGGCATATTCTACGCGACATGGGACATTGGAAGAATTTCTTTACCGCCGATCCTGGTAGGACCCGGCACCGCGTCGAGGTGGAACGTCGTCGGCGTACGTCATTTCCAGACACCCCCTGTGGAAGACTGCTAACAGGTCCTAGTGTTACCTGCCTATGCTGCCGATCAGTCTGACGCCTCTGATGCTTCAAAGGAAATTGCTAAGGTTGCTCTTCGTTTGAAATATCAAATCGAGCAGGTTGTCTCCTGCGAGGTAGAGGATAGTGCCTTAACCAACCCAAACAGCCGTATCATCACGGACAATGTAGTTGAGACTGCCAAGCAAGCCGGTGGGGACGACTACAAAGCATGCGTTGTTTATTGTCTTCTGGTTTGTCTGCGATGGTTCAAGATTCAATCCTCCGTCGAGCTTTGGGATTCCGATCTCCATGGGGTTCGGGCTCTGGCTTGCGAGGTCATTGCCAAGCGCATGTAATACCCCCCTTTGGCATTTCAGCTTCTCTGCGATTTACTAACTTGAACAGCATCGAATCCGAGCAGAACCAGGATTACGTCATGAGGGATATTTTACTCAAGCGATACTCTATCTTCAGTGAGGGGGTAGAGACTGATCCTGCCAATGTCATTGAACGAGCGGTAGATCTCCATGCCTTGAGGATCATCAGCTCTGCCCCGTACCAGAAATGTATCCAGTACCTGTGGAAGGGTTGGATCTGTCAGGAAGAGGGCAACCCAACTAACTTTGTCGAATACAGCGAGAAGTCTAACACCGGATATTGGGTTCATTTCCATCCTGATCGGATGCGGACTCCTCTGTATCAGAATGTCTGCCAAATTTTGTTCTCCTTGATTTACCTTGCGGTTTATACGGCAGTTATTAATACCGTGAACCCAAGCGGTGACGTGGATGTGGTTGAGGCCATTCTTTACGGTATGACTCTTGCGTTCATCTGCGACGAAGGGATCAAGTTTTGGAAGGTTGGATGGAATTACCTCGAATTCTGGAATGCTTTCAACTCAACCCTCTACACCATCCTGACGGTATCCCTTATCTTGCGCTTTATTGCCTTGGCACACTCATCGTCTACCCACAATGAACAAAGGCAGCTATACAACGAGCTGAGCTACAACTTCCTGGCTTTTGCGGGCCCTATGTTCTGGATGCGCATGATGCTATATCTTGACTCGTTCCGCTTCTTCGGTGCTATGTTTGTGGTTCTTCGAGTCATGATGAAGGAGAGTTTGATATTCTTTGCTCTTCTATTTGTGGTTCTGGCTGGTTTCTTCCAGGCCTTTGTCGGCATGGCCCAGGTGGATGCCGATATTCCCGTTCACCGAAACATTCTCCAGGGAATGGTAAACAGTATCATGCAGAGTCCTGAATTTGACACTTTCCAGGATTTTGCATTTCCGTTTGGCATCATCCTCTACTATGTTTTCAACTTCATTGTCATGACTGGTAAGTTTGCGTTCGACTTGTTAAGGGTGATGTTAACAATTATCAGTTCTGTTAAATATTCTCATTGCCTTGTACAACAGCGCATATGAAGATATCTCCGGCAATGCCACGGACGAATACATGGCCATCTTCGCGCAGAAAACCATGCAGTTCGTCCGCGCCCCTGATGAAAATGTCTTCATCCCGCGTACGTATCTACTCAATCTCGATGGTACACACGTGTGGCTAACTCTCTCTGGATCCTAGCGTTCAATCTCGTCGAGATTGTGTTCCTGATAGCCCCATTCGAATGGTGGCTTCCTCGGGAGACCTACGCCAGACTGAATGAACTTGTAATGGGCGTTATCTATTCGCCGCTGCTTATCGTTGCAGCCTGGGTTGAGACCCGCCAGGCACACCGGATTCGATGGAATCGCCGCCATGGCGAAGAAGACGATGACTGTGCTCAGGAATGGGAGCATGTGGCTAAGGAGGTCAACTTTGATCTTGATGATACCTGGAAAGAGCACGTGGTAGAGACTACACCGGATATCAAAGTTGATAGTTGCACATATGAACTCAGAGAGCTGAAGGAGCAGGTTAGGATGTTGACGGAGACGGTGAAGGGATTGAGTCAGGAGCTAGCGGACAAGAAGGTGGGTGAGACAAGCTAGGAAGTGCACATGAGCAAGGCACTCATGTTATATATATCGGCACGCTACATAGATCAAGCAAACAACAGCGCGTTGACATTAGGACATACTATATACTAATATATTGAGAGTCGATCCGTTATTGCGTCTTTGTGAATAAGGAGTTTTTCCACATGTGCAAACCCTATACCTAAACATTATGTGTTCAAGACCCCAAAAAAAGGCATAAAAATAGCATCGTTACCATATTAACTAGACGACGACCAAAAAGAAAAGAGCAAAAAAGAAATCTCAGGTTTTGGTTTTAGGAATAGCCGAACGCGGGGGTCGAACCCGCAGCCTTAAGATTAAGAGTCTTACGCTCTACCGATTGAGCTAGCCCGGCCGGGCTGTTGAAGAGAGGACCGATAAAGTGTTTTATAAGGCTGAAGCGGTCGGGAACTGGCTGACATAATGCTAGCACGTCGAGCGGCGAATCCTCTGGAACCAAAATTGTAAGGTGGAAGGTGGCTTCATCTACGAATCTGGGCCCTTCCTCGATTGGATCCTATCATTGCTTTCCGGCTTCGTATGAGTCTTTAATTTCCTGGTTGTTTGACTCTGACCTCGGTCACTAGATTGCCACAATGTGCGTTACCAGAACCTCCCCCGGATTCATTGCGGCAGCAGCTAACAGTATACAGGGCAAAGCTCGTGGACGACCCTCAGATCCATACTGCCTCGTTGCATAACCCGATCCCTTGGCAACTGCATACATACGTTTGGCCTTTCCTGATTATCTGGCCCGTGTTCTTCGCCTTCTACCTCTCCCCCGAGCGTTATGATACCTACATTCAGGGACAGGAATGGACCTTCGTGTTCGCGGGGTCTATCATCACAATCCAGTCGCTCTTTTGGTTGATGACCAAGTGGAACATTGATATCAACACCCTGTTCACTACCACTCGAGCCAAGTCCATCGACACTGCCCGGCTTATCAAAGTGGTTCCCATCACTAACGCTGGCTCTGCCGAGATCTGCAAATTGATTAATGAGAACACCGGTGCGAAGAAGACCCTTTCATTCCTCTTCCAGAAGCGCCGCTTCCTGTTTTATCCCGAGACGCGCACCTTTGCACCCCTGTCTTACGTCCTTGACGCCGAACCAAAGCCGGCCCTCGAGACTTTCCAGCTGAGCGAGGGCTTCACGTCGAAGGCCGAGATTGACCGCGTCTACCACCACTATGGCGATAACACCTTCGATATCCCCGTTCCCAGTTTCGTTGAGCTCTTCCAGGAGCACGCTGTCGCGCCGTTCTTCGTCTTCCAGATTTTCTGTGTTGGATTGTGGATGTTGGATGAATACTGGTACTACTCGCTATTCACGCTGTTCATGCTCGTTATGTTTGAGAGCACCGTTGTGTGGCAGCGCCAGAGGACCTTGAGCGAGTTCCGTGGAATGAGCATCAAGCCTTACGATGTCTGGGTATACCGTGAACGCAAATGGCAAGAGATCACCAGTGATAAGCTTCTTCCCGGTGATCTCATGTCAGTGAACCGCACCAAGGAGGACAGCGGCGTTGCCTGCGATATCCTTCTGGTTGAAGGCAGTGTCATTGTGAACGAGGCTATGCTTTCTGGCGAGAGCACACCTCTTCTGAAAGACTCCGTCCAGCTCCGTCCCGGCGGTGACTTGATTGAGCCGGATGGATTGGATAAGCTCTCGTTTGTGCATGGAGGTACCAAGGTCCTGCAAGTTACTCACCCTAATCTGACTGCCGACGCGAGTTTGAAGAACTTGTCCAGCAACGTTACTATGCCCCGGACAATGGCGCTTTGGGTGTGGTTGTTAAGACCGGTTTCGAAACCAGCCAGGGTAGCCTCGTCCGGACTATGATCTACTCAACTGAACGTGTCTCTGCCAACAACGTTGAAGCTTTGCTGTTCATCCTCTTCCTCCTGATTTTCGCAATTGCCGCTTCGTGGTACGTGTGGCAAGAGGGTGTGATTCGGGACCGCAAACGCTCCAAGCTTCTGCTCGACTGTGTCCTCATCATCACCAGTGTTGTTCCTCCCGAATTGCCCATGGAACTAAGCTTGGCCGTCAACACTAGTCTTGCTGCTTTGAGCAAGTATGCCATTTTCTGCACTGAGCCTTTCCGTATCCCCTTCGCTGGTCGCGTTGACATTGCTTGCTTCGACAAAACCGGCACTCTGACTGGAGAGGATCTTGTCGTTGATGGTATTGCTGGACTTACTTTGGGTCAGGCTGATTCGAAGGTCGAAGCCGATGGTGCTCACACTGAATTGACCAATTCCTCTGCTGTTGGACCCAACACCACTCTCGTTCTCGCCAGTGCTCATGCCTTGGTGAAGCTGGATGAGGGTGAGGTCATCGGAGATCCCATGGAGAAGGCTACATTGGAATGGCTTGGCTGGACTCTGGGCAAGAACGATACTCTGTCTTCCAAGGGCAACGCTCCCGTTATCTCTGGCCGCAACGTCGAGTCTGTTCATATCAAGAGAAGATTCCAGTTCTCCTCAGCCCTGAAACGCCAGAGTACTATCGCAACCGTTACGTCCAATGACCGCAAGACTTCCAAGAAGATCAAGTCCACATTTGTGGGTGTCAAGGGTGCCCCCGAGACCATCAATACTATGTTGGTCAACACGCCTCCCAACTACGAGGAAACTTACAAGCACTTCACCCGCAATGGTGCTCGTGTGCTTGCTCTTGCGTACAAATACCTTTCATCTGAATCCGAGCTTTCCCAGGGCCGGGTCAACAACTACGTCCGCGAAGAGGTTGAATCCGAACTGATTTTTGCCGGTTTCCTTGTCCTACAGTGCCCTTTGAAGGATGATGCCGTCAAGGCTGTCCGTATGCTGAATGAAAGCAGCCACCGTGTTGTGATGATCACTGGTGATAACCCGTTGACCGCTGTCCATGTCGCACGCAAGGTTGAGATTGTTGACCGAGAGGTCCTTATCCTTGATGCCCCTGAACATGACAATTCTGGAACTAGGATTGTCTGGCGTACCGTCGACGATAAGCTCAATGTCGACGTCGACCCCACTAAGCCCCTCGACCCGGAGATCCTGAAGACCAAGGACATCTGTATCACTGGATATGCCCTGGCAAAGTTCAAGGGCCAGAAGGCTCTCCCTGATCTGCTCCGTCACACCTGGGTTTATGCTCGTGTGTCTCCCAAGCAAAAGGAAGACATTCTTCTTGGTCTTAAGGACGCCGGATACACCACTCTGATGTGCGGTGATGGCACCAACGATGTTGGCGCTCTGAAGCAGGCTCATGTCGGTGTCGCGCTTCTGAACGGCTCGCAAGAGGATCTAACCAAGATCGCTGAACACTACCGGACCACCAAGATGAAGGAGCTGTACGAGAAGCAGGTCGGAATGATGCAAAGATTCAACCAGCCCGCTCCTCCAGTCCCTGTTCAGATCGCTCACCTGTATCCCCCGGTCCTTCCAACCCGCACTACCAGAAAGCCATGGAGCGAGAGTCGCAGCGCAAGGGTGCTGCGATCACCGCTGCTGGCGGAACCCCCGAAGCTATCCCAACTATCACATCTCCTGGCGCCCAGGCCTTGCAGCAATCGAACTTGACTCCCCAGCAGCAGAAACAGCAGCAGGCCCAGGCTGCCGCAGCTGGCCTTGCAGACAAGCTCACATCTTCTATGATGGAACAGGAACTGGATGACGGCGAACCTCCCACTATCAAGTTGGGTGATGCATCCGTCGCTGCTCCCTTTACCAGCAAGTTGGCCAATGTTATTGCTATCCCGAATATTATTCGTCAAGGCCGTTGCACCCTGGTTGCGACTATTCAGATGTACAAGATTCTTGCTTTGAACTGCTTGATCAGCGCCTACAGTCTGAGTGTCATCTACCTGGACGGTATCAAGTTCGGTGATGGACAGGTCACTATCAGCGGTATGCTGATGAGCGTCTGCTTCCTTTCTATTTCCCGCGCCAAGGTATGGCGACCTTTTCCATGATTGACGAAATGCTTTGCTAACGTTTCATTGTGTACAGTCTGTCGAGGGTCTGTCTAAGGAGCGCCCGCAGCCGAATATCTTCAACGTCTACATCATTGGATCTGTTCTTGGACAGTTTGCCATCCACATTGTGACCCTGGTCTACCTCTCCAACTATGTCTATAAGCACGAGCCGTACGTTTTGAGAACCCGCTCCTGATTTGTCCCACTTTATCGCTAACACAACCGATAGGAGAGATTCCGATATTGATCTCGAGGGCGAGTTTGAGCCTTCCCTCCTGAACAGTGCCATCTACCTCCTCCAGCTGATCCAGCAAATCTCCACCTTCTCGATCAATTACCAAGGTCGTCCCTTCCGCGAGTCAATCCGTGAGAACAAGGGCATGTACTGGGGTCTCATTGCCGCGTCGGGTGTCGCATTCTCTTGCGCCACTGAATTCATTCCCGAGTTGAATGAGAAGCTCCGCCTCGTTCCCTTCACCAATGAGTTCAAGGTGACTCTGACCGTGCTGATGATCTTCGACTACGGTGGCTGCTGGGTGATTGAGAACGTCCTCAAGCACCTGTTCAGTGACTTCCGTCCCAAGGACATTGCCATTCGTCGTGCCGACCAGCTCAAGCGCGAGGTGGACCGTAAATTGCAAGAGCAAGTTGAGGCCGAGGCTCAGAAGGAGCAAAGAAAGATTTAGGTGGTTTGAAGATTTGTATCTGTAAACATAGAGAGGGGTTTGTTGGATTTTAGAAATGTTCATGTGGTGCATGGCATTTAATCCATGTTTTTGCTTTTATCGAAACGATCTACAATATAGCAAGTACAAATGTTTTCATTTTTGGTTTCAATGGCTACTGTTACTGTAGGCACTAAGAATCTGGCTGGATATTACCCCTGGCCCAATTGCTAGCGAGTCACTACAACATAGAGTAATATGTATCTCTTATAACGTCGATCGTCTTTTTAAAAGGCTCGGGTAGTCCCGAAATGATCGACCGTTCTCTGTTAGTCTGTCAATCTTTGTCTTGTTGGGAACTATGCAGCCTACACATGGAAATGAACCTGGGAGAGTTACAACCACCATGTTTCAGCCAAGGAGGAATGAACCGCATATTCAGCATAATGGAATAATATGTACTAGGGCGGGTATCCGGCACCGAAATGAGAATATCTGGGGATGTGGACTTAGGGCTGAAAGAGATTAAGCCAAGAACATAGCCTTAATTAGGTCTCTTGAGGATATAACCCCGAGGTCTCGGACCTTCAATCTAGTGGTTTAGCTCGCTTTGACTAGCCCTACAGCCAAGGACGAAACGATGTTTGCCCCATTTTATGGGGACTTTGTTAGTTTTTTTTTTCCCCTGAAAAAGTGTCTATATAGTGGTGATAATCTCTCCTCCATATTCTCTGCCTCTTGTATCCTCACAATTTTACGTCAACATGTACGCCTCGAATAATCAGTTGTATCTGGGATGCCTCCTAGCCCTGCAGGCTTGTACTGCGGCCGTGGGCGCCGCAGCCACGTCAGGCACCTTAGAAATTGACTTAGTCTTCCCACGCAACAAGACATATGCGCCCTCTGCACTCATGCCTGCTGTCCTTGCCATTCAAAACCCCGCTCTCGCTTCATCCCTCAACCTGGACCTATACTACATGATTTCGCCGGTTGGCAATTACAACAACAGTGTGCCAACGTTTCTCAACTTGAATTGGGCCAACATCTCGGACAGCGACCCTTACTTCGTATACAATAGTACCGATCTTAACACCGAGGGTACATGGGAGCTTCACTGGTTCCTGGGCAACGGGCATTGCCGGGATACCGATGACGGGATATTCTATGTTATGAGCAACACCACGATTGACAGCATCATTTTCACCACCAAGAACGGTTCCCCGGAGCCGGACCTCGCTACTGCTACCGAGGGAGACACCTGTGCTAAGGAAATTGGCATGTGGAGCGTCGAGAATACATTGAAATCGACGAGCGAGAGCTGGGGCCATGACACTTGCGCGGTCCTTTCGAAGCACTCGCCCACATCTGCTTCGGACCCTTGTAGCGTCAAGCTAAATTCCACCGCTGCCTCGAGTATCTCGGCCGCTCTAACCGCCGCTGCATGTGCTGCCCCGAATTCGACTGTAAGCTGCGAGGCTGATGAGAATGCAGCGGGAGTAGTGCAAATTTCCGGGGGAATGGCATGGCTAATGGCGGTCTTCGGTGGGCTCACTTACATTCTCGCATGATTATCTCTTCTAATTATCTCGCATTGCTTCTGTTTGTATATATCTATGTACTTCAACCTATCCATTCTTTGTATAATCAAGCTTTCTATCTAGGTCGAGGATAAAAGCATATCTCAAGACGGGCACCCTTAATACGTACAAAATACTTACATCGATGACTGACATCACGATAAATAAATAGATAATAGATAGTCTCGCTATCAAAGTAGAATAAACTACTACGAAACTACTAAGCAATATCTAAATTACTAAGTTCTTCGACCTGATGCCTTCTAGAGGATGGGTTATACGGCATTGCGATCAGTCGCAGTGGAGACATCTAGTGCCCCCCACATCCTATGGGGTTATAGTCGTGTCAATATACCCAATTGGTACTAACACATGGATCCGGATGGAGACAGTATACTACGCGAGAGAAAATGGATAAAGGTTGGGATGGGCAGCTTAATAGCACTGTTGAGGCGTATACAGTGCTTGATTTTAATTCGAATCCATACCATATGAAGAGAGGATCCTTGCCTACATATGTATGCACATGTATGTTGTATGTATGCATGTAGACAAGTCATAGCGTGACGGCAACATCGGAAGGGCCCAAGCACAGTATAATCGGCCCTATAAATCTCAACCGGGCCGACAAATAACAAGATAAGCGTGAAGATAGAAAGCCTCATAAAAGAACATTTCTCCTCCAATTGCCTGTCTTAGCGTAATCCCCCCAATTAGTATATCGTAGACGGTTCTCCCCGCAAAGAAGCCGAGCTCAGGTTCTCCGACCCGGTCAGGCCCCACAGTCATCGCGCAGACCTTCTCGATCAGGAAATACACACAGAACATCTATCTTATCACCATGTCTGGTTACTCCGGGGTTATGACAAAAAGTATGGGGTATGATCGGGGAACCCCAGATGTCGTTTATAAGTTAGGCCCCCTTGCTGAGCATCATCTGAGCTTGTCAAAATCATTCGGATTTCCCAGTTGCCACTCTTACAGCCATGTCGGAAGACGAGATACAGAAAGTATTCCAGGGCACACCAAGTGAAGATGCCCGTCTGGAGAATTTGGGATATGAGCAGGGTTAGTCTGTCGGGAGAGAGTCTTTTATATGAGTACTAACCAGCGCAGAGCTCAAACGCTCTTTCGGTCTGATGGGAATGATTGGGTTTAGTTTCAGTGTTGTGACCTCGTGAGTATCATTCAAAATATAGACGAATTTCCACTAATAGTTTTCTAGATGGACAGCATTGAGTGGTGTTTTCATCGTCGGAGTCACGTCTGGCGGCCCTCCGGTTATGGTTTTCAGTTTCATCGGCGTTAGTCTGCTGACTTTGGCTGTCGCAATTCCCATGGCAGAGATGTGTTCTATGTATCCGGTAGCAGGTGGTCAATATTCCTGGGTTGCAGCACTCGCTCCACCAAAAATCGCCCGAGGTCTTTCATACGTGACAGGATGGTTTATGCTAATCGGTATGCTTGTATCGAAACACGCTATAAACATCTACTAACCTGGAATAGGCCTCCTGGCTATGGGTGCTACCAATAATTCCATTGCTTCCAACTTCGTCTTGGGAATGGCGAACCTTGTCTTCCCCGGATTCGAGATTCAAAGATGGCACACAGTGCTGGTGGCTTACCTGGTTGCATTCCTTTCCACCGCTGTCAACCTCTGGGGCTCGCATTTCTTGCATAAGATCTCTAAAGCAATTCTGATCTGGAACGTCTCATCATTTGTTATAGTTACCGCCACAATCCTCGCCATGAATGATCACAAGCAGCCCGCCTCTTTCGTTTTCCAGGATTTCCAAAACGGAACCGGATTTGGCACTGGAATGGCTGCCATTATCGGTGTTCTCCAGGCTTGCTTTGGCATGTGTTGCTACGATGCTCCTTCCCACATGACGGAAGAAATGAAGTCTGCTTCCAAAGAGGCACCCAAGGCGATTATCCTCGCTGTTGTTTTGGGTGCTATAACTGGGTTTGCGTTCCTCGTCACACTTTGCTTCTGCATTGGCGATATTGAAGCGACTGCCAACACAAGCACCGGTGTCCCCGTGATTCAAATCATTTACGACTCAACTGGAAGCAAGGCAGCCACTTGCGTGCTGTCAAGCTTGATCTCGGTGATTGTGATTGTCGCAGGAAACAACATCCTAGCCGAAGGATCGCGCGCAGTCTACGCCTTCGCCAGAGACAATGGTCTCCCCTTCTCGAAGTTCTTCAGCAAGGTGGACCGCAAGACACATGTTCCTGTCAATGCCGTTCTCCTCACCCTTGTGGTGCAGCTGGCGCTCGATGCCATCGAATTCGGTACCACTACTGGCTTTCAGACCGTCATTGCCATCTCAACCGAAGGCTTCTGTAAGTTTCATTCACTGCATTTGATGGTACCTTTACTGATAACCCTTTCAGACTTGTCATACGCAATGGCCCTTGTCAGCCGCCTCGCTGGATACTATACGGGCCACGTGGTGAAGCTCGATGGACCATACTCATTCTCCGTGCCGGTATCCATCGCCCTTAACATTATCGGACTTCTGTTCCTTCTCTTCGCAGCGATCACCTTCAATTTCCCTAGCGAGTATCCCGTTACCCATGAATCAATGAACTACACCAGCGCAGCTATTGGTGTCATTGCTCTCATTAGCATTGTTACTTGGATCACGACAGGACGCAAGCACTTCTCGGGACCGGGTGCAGTGAGCTTCTTGAGCGGTGAGAATACCGCAGCTCAAAATGTGAGAAGGGCCGCGGTGCATGTGGACGAGAAGCAGACTTGATCTATTGTTTAGCAAATTACTGTATACCGTATATACTTAAAAGACTATCTCGCTAGCAGGTGACTTCAGGACTAGAATTGTGCTCTAGTGCTTAGTCCGTGTTACTATTCTTATATTTTTAGAAGGTTATAACTCCAAGTAAATATATATATATATATATATATATGTATATAGGAAGTTCTCCGCGGTGTCAGCTTTTTTAGAGCTCGGAGTTGTCCCCGACCGTACGTACCCGACAATCCCCACTATGATCACATTTGCTTCTTGTCAACAATACTCATCTCTTTTCTCAAAAACTATCTAATTACACCAGTTAACTATGCTAGGTACTAAATTATTTGTGAAGTACATAGTCAGATTGGGAACAGCTCTGAAATTGTAATTTTGGGCTGACAATACCCAAATGCGCCTTATTCACTGCTCTTTGTTTCACTTAGCTGTACTGGACACAGCCCTGGAAGGGGTTACCTGTAGGGACAGATAAAATGATAAATCCCACCCCTTACAGCGAATGGCCTATTTCCTGTTCTTATCTCCCATCTCTCCTCTTCTTCTATTTCTTCCACACAAATTTGACCAACATGACTTCAGTGATTAATTACACCCCCCGTTCTACAGAAACCGCTTACCAGATCGCATGTGGAGTGATTCACCTCCTTAAAAAATCAGGCGAGACACTCGCCGTTTCCGAGTCACTTACTGGCGGCGGACTCATGGGTACTATCACGTCTGTTGAAGGATGCAGTTCTGTTTTCCGTGGCGGGGTCGTGTCATATGCAACACCAATCAAACAACATCTCCTTCAAGTCGATGGCGACCTGATCGCTGAGCATGGCGTTATCCACGCTGACGTCGCCGCCCAAATGGCTATCGGAGCCCGGAACATTACCACCCAACATGACATGACTCCAACTTCCTGGGGCATTGGGACAACGGGGAGTGGCTGGCCCTGATTCTCAGGATGGGAAGCCGGTAGGAACGGTCTTCATTGGCATAGCCTCTTTGAGTGGAGGCAAAGGGTTTGGGCCGTTCCATTTCCCAGGTTCGGGCGAGAGGGTTCGGGAAGCCACTATTGTTGAAGCGCTGTATCTGCTTCGTCAAGAAGTGGTCAAGGCAAGACAGGGGGGTTCTCTGTGAATTTGAAGCACTATCAACGTTAAGTGCGCAACCAGCAAATGGGTTTAGGGAAAATATGGGATATGTACTGCTTTAAACAAATGTTATGTGACAGCTAGACAGCGGATGAAGGTTTCCAAGTCATATGTTGTCGATTATACAGTGATAAATAAGAGAAGCTTCTCTCGTTGTTTCCTTCTCCGACTTAGTGGTAACAGTGAGAATCAACAAGAAGTAAAAACGACTGAAAACAGGCCGAATCAAAATGTTGAGACGCTGATGCAGTGTGATAGCCAGTTGTATATACTGGCGACAACACGAGTGTGATCGAACCGCATACGGCCAAGGACACTAGTCTTGCTGGTAGGTCGCGACAATGAAGTTAAGAGTCTCGACTTCAAGAATTTGGACCAGCGTGCCATGATATTCTCTAAAGAGAATAGTGTTGGATGCGGAGCAACAGGTGGATTTTATATAGCGCGCGGCTAAGACAAATCACATGATGCTAATGTTGTGATGGAAAGGGAGGGTTTAATCTAGCTAGTCTATACAACTATTGGCCCTTTATTGACTAGAAGTCAAAGTCAAGCTGACTCGATTGCCAAGGTATGTAATTACAGAGAACATGGATTTCCGGGTCAAAGTGGGACAGCACCAGGATTGTGGATAAGGATACTAGGTACCATCAGGGCTATAGATTCCTCTCTGATTGCCTAGGGACTTAGCATCAGGAAGGAAATGTACGTAAAACAGCATCTCGGAAACTTTCGAGTTGCGGGTTTCGGCCTTTTATGCTTTTATAGAGCTCGGAGGTTTCTCCGAAGGCACAATCCCCACTATGATCTCATTGCTTCTTGTCAACATCGTTGAATTCTTTCTTCCCATACTCCCAAGATCAGTTCAGCAATATGGCGAAGCTTACTCTCCAGTCAAAGCATCGACTACAGTCGGGACATGAGATCCCAGTCATAGGATATGGGGTGAGTTACCCCGCAAACGCATATACATGTATGAACTTCAACTTCAAAAGCTGACATTGTACGGAATATAGGTGTATATGATGTACGTTCGAATCATTACCTCATCCCGAATCGCCTAACCAAACAACAGTCCCTCATCCGCGACCGAGAAGGCTAGTCTCGAAGCTCTGAACGTGGGATTTCGTCATGTACGTGTCCCGACAAAGATGACAGGACCACACTAAACAAGGATGTTCAGATCGACTCCGCGATCATGTATAGAAACGAGAAGCCCTGCGGAAAGGCAATCCTGAATTCCAATCTGGATCGATCGCAGATCTTCTTGACGACCAAGATCCCGCCAGGATCAATGGGCTACGAGTCTACCAAACGAGCTATTAATTCGAGTTTGCGAGAAGCAGCCCAGGAATACTTTGACCTGTAAGTCCCTACGTGATCCAGCAATGTATATCCTTTATGGAACTGGACTACGATCTAACTGCTGGAACTGACCAACAGTATCCTAATCCATGCCCCCTACGGCGGTAAAGAAGCCCGTCTGGGTTCCTGGGATGCACTAGTCGAAGCCCAGAAAGCAGGAAAAGTGAAATCCATCGGTGTATCTAACTACGGCATCCACCACCTCGAAGAACTGGAGGCTTACATCCAGGGTGGTGGGGGTGGTCAGATCGATGTCGGTCAGTATGAGCTGCACCCGTGGCTGGATCATTCGGATATCGTGGAGTGGCTGCAGAAGAGGAATATTATTGTTGAGGCGTATTCGCCTCTTGCGCATGGGACTCGGTTGACGGAGCCTGTGTTGCTGTCCATCGGTCACAAGTATGGGAAGACGCCGGCGCAGGTTATGATTCGGTGGAGTTTGCAGATGGTAAGTAGCATAAATTCGATTCAGGTAGAGGATATAGATGCTAATAGTCTTAGGGATTTGTGCCTCTGCCCAAGTCTGTGACGCCGAAGCGCATTCGGGAGAATGCCGAGGTCTTTGACTTTGAGTTGTCGGATGAGGATATGAAGCGGCTTGATACAGGAGAGTATTCTCCCACGGACTGGGATCCGACAGTTGATATGGATTGAGTGTAGATGGTTGAAGCTTAGATGGGGTTAAGTTGTAGAGTAGAGGAACCTGGAGGAATGTTGGATTTGTCAGGCCAAGAGGGGCTCCGCGGGGTGAACTTGCGACTTTCAACTTCAACTTTCGAGACTGTCGGACTTCGATCTTCGCCTTCTTCCTTCTTGCGATTTAGATTTCAATACCTCTATCTCTAAAATCTCGCTTATTCCTCCATCATGAAGTTGATTCTATCCAGTTCGTAAGTGGTGTGATATTCGATGCGCCGAGAAGCAAGTCACTCAACCCTTACAGGAATATTATGCAAGCCGGACGGCAATCCGTCATTCGCCAGCCTGTGACCCAGAAATCAAATGTTGAGCTAATCAACTCGCTTCGATCGAACTTCCTTGCCTCGCAACAGATCGAAACAGCATTGGCCAACGGCACCGACACGAATGGTAAATCAGCCGTATCGCACCCGCCCTCATGGACCCTACAGACCGCAGATGGCCTCTATATCCCCGCGATCGACTTCTCGCAGCCCGGCCTGTCAGAGGAGCGCGACCAATACGATATCACAGTGAAGCTATTCTACCTACCGGGAATCCCGGTATCAAGGCGGTGCGCACACACCAGAGAGGCAATTGATCTAGTATTGAAGGAGCTACACGTGAAGTCTATCGATCTATTGATCGTCTCGTTCCCGGGGATCCTGTTCGACGCAGACGACGACAGCGAGGAAGAAGACAACGAGATGAGCAACGGTGAACCGGACGACTTCGACAGCATGGTGCAGACATGGCAGGTGCTGGAGTCACTGCACGACCAGGGCGTGATCGCCCAGCTGGGCGTCGCTGAGTTCGGCAGCGAACGCTTGGCCCGGTTCCTGCCGCGTACCAAGGTCAAGCCCTCGGTGGATCAGATCAATCTTAAGGATTGCTGTGTCGTTCCTAAACATTTGATTCTCTATGCGAAACAAGAGCAGATCCAACTCCTCACCCATAACGATTGCCATGATATTCTTCCTGTCGGCACGACGCGGGAATTGCTCGGTCCCACGGAGAAGAGTGGTGCGGGCATCCTGGCTTCGTCCCCCGAGGCTAACGACGGCATCCAGGGAGATGTCGAGCCGCAGTGGGTGGTCAAGTACACGGCAGTCGTCAAGGATCGCGGAGTAGTCGAGAACAAGGGGTATTTTGCGTCGGCTGATGTCGGCACATGCGTCAAGGACCGGTCATGAATGATTTTCTTTTCTTCTTTGCGTCGTCAATAAGGATATCTGTCGTAACAAGCGTGGCGTTTCTTTTTTTTGCTTTAAATTCGATCATAGCTGGTGTGGAGGGCAGTTGCATCCATCTCTAAAACCAAACGAGACTGGCTTAACCAAGCATGCTTCTCTTCCGCCCTCTCATGCGCACATCCTCAAGTCTCTTCAGCGCAGAAACAGCCCCCTTGTAGCTATCCCGGTAACCCAGAATCAGCTCCTCGAACATAGGCTCCGAGCGCGGATGCGTGCTCCCAATCGCCCGCTCCAACACATACAAATCCACCGCCCGGTCCTCATCCTGGTTACTCTGCGACGCAAGACCGAAATCAATCAACACGACATCCCCCTCCATAGAAGGCGAGCCAGTGCCATCAACAGCATCACTTGCACCCGCAGACGGCCGCAGCATGAGATTACTCGTCGTCAAGTCTCCATGCACAACACCAGCCTTGTGCAGGACACCAATGGTCGAGCCCATTTTCCTCAGCAAGCCGCGCACACGCGCCTCTTCGTTTTCGATCTGCGACGAATCCAGTGAGCCCTGGTTCTGCTTCATCCAAGCTTCCCACTGCTCGAGAACTACCCGCATCACAGGCCCGTCAATCCATTCCATCATTAGCCAGGCGCCGCCCCACCCGCCTTCTGTGCCGCCGTGTCCCTCCCAGTCCAGGGCTAGGACGGCTGGAACGCTGACGCCCTCCCGTATGAGTTTCGCGAGGCATCGTGCTTCTGAGGTTATGCGTTGACGGGTAAGTCGGCGGTCGAGAATTGGATGCCGGCAGGGTTTTGATGGGCGGATCTTGAGCGCGGCGGGGATGGAGGGGTTGAGGGAGATGGTTTTGTAGAGGTGGGCTTCGGCGCCTTGGGTGAGGAGGGTTGGTGGTGGGGTGGTATTATTGAAGGGGGAGGGGAGAGGTGGGGGTTTGTATTCTTCCATTGTGAGAGAGCTGGAGAGTTGGAGAGCTGTAGAGGTTGAAAAGTGGGAAGGGATGAGGTGAAGAGGAAAAAGTTGTGGGGCGGATCTCGGAGTATAGCCATACCTAAGTAGGTAACCAGCTATTATTTCGATGTTTATAGGACTATGCTGATATATATGTTAAATATGTTAATAGTTTAATAAATATCAGATGGAAGCAGACTGAAGCATGCAATTAAATAATTCGAAATCGTCAATAGTATCTCATAATTATGTGGACGCATGAGGTCACAAACCCCTATATGTATACCCCTTTCCTCAATATCTCCATATTAACAATTAAATGAAATCAGATGAAGATCCGGGCGAACATTAGCCAACCGACATGTACCCTGATACATCCTCTCAAGAGTCGACGCCATAACCTCTAGATCAGTAGACTCCGCCGACCAATGCTTCAGCGTTCGAATCGACAGCCTCACCAAAGCAGTCCAATTCGCCGGTAAACACACCTGCCACGTGCTGGGATCCCGACAAGCCTCGAGCTGATATAAGACAGCTCCGAGGATGTGGACAGCACAAGCGAAGCTGGCCCGCACGACGTTCCAGATCCACTCGTGTCGGAACTGATACCAGTAGCTTGGTATTAGAGTGACGCAGTTGTCAATGGCCTTTTGGGCTAGGTGGAACACTTCTGCCCACATTTGGTTGTTCTTCCTGATGAATGTTGGCATTCCCTGGAAGTGCATTGCCAGGTAGAATGCTGGTCGGTAGATCCTCTCCAGTGCCATGTGGTACCGTCCGCGGAAGAAGAACCTCAGATCTGGGTTGTCTTTTTGGGTTTGGTCTTTTTGGGATTGGATCCCGGCTAGCGAGATTTGGTACCTTTTGGAAGAGTTAGCAAGGCCGGGGACATTTCATTGTCATTGTTCGGGGAACTCGGGGCTTGTGGCTCGTACCATGACGTTACAACACGCTCCGCGTCCATTGTTTTCCTTAGGAGGTCGGGGATATCTTTGGTCCAGCCTTTCTCCCCTTGACGCCACATGTCAGACACTATGTCATTAGTGGTCCGGCGGTTGCAGATCGACCCGATGTAGAATTTCCAGCCTTTCTCTTCTTCGGTGCCATCCAGTTCAAGACCTGGCCTGACTGCGAAATCTTGATCTTCATCCATTTGGTCATAAGAGGAAAGGGATCTGCGAGAGAATTTAGGGAATGGGTCTGAATAGCCTAGACTTTCAAGACCACTGCTCCAGAGAGGGAGTTCGCTCTGCATTTCACTGTGGACAATGCTTAGTTGAGTTGCTTTATAAAAATCCCCGTGGGAAAGACCTACTGTTCCGCTTGGATACAGGACCAATACAGTCTAGACTCCAGGTTATGGTAGTTGTCATCAGCGGTCCACTGCTCTCTACACAGCGACCGCAAACGAACTTCTAATCTGCAAGACGCCTGCTGGTAACAGAACCAAGCCTGCAGAGGTCGTATGGCATGTCTGTGATAGCTTCCAGCAAGAAGAGAAGCACTGAATGTCTGTTGGAGATGTGTGCAAGAAACCGAATCTCTGCTTTGCCGCGTGGAAATATGTCTCGGCCAAATCGAGATTGGCGTCTGACAAGGGTGGTGCTTGGAGTCCATCGAGATTCGCTGGCATGTCCTCCGCCAGGGGAACAAACTTCGATGATGTGCAGGAAGCTAAGGCGCACGCTAGCAACTACCGACATGATTAGTTCAAGTGGGACTTCCCAAAAAGGAGTTGACATACCACTTGACACGAAGGGCCATCCCATCCAAGACCCTGGACGGTCACCTCCTTGGCATAACGATCTAGATTGTCTAGATCAACTATTGGGTTTCTTCGATGGCATAGCAGGAAATACTTCCTACAAAGTCTAGGGATCTCATCGACAAAGCTTCCGATCCCCACCTGCCGGGGTGCCTGCATACTGCGGGGCTGGTTATCCAGTGAGTCGAGTAGAAAGGATCGGATATGCTTTTCGGCTTCGGTAATGACCTTGTTGTAAATAGGCCATCGGAGCATGTTCTCCCCGGAGCTAGCCATGTACAGGATTCGGGGATCATTATCGACTCCCCGATCATCGATACTGGCAGTGCTGGTACTAGGTGGATTGCTCCCGGGCAAGGAATCAGCTACGGGGCTAGGATTCTGCATAGCCAACTCAAAGAATCCTTCTTTGAGTGAGCGAGTCGAGCTGTTGGAGCCTTCGGATTTGAAATTCTCCAACAAACCGGCGATATGATTCAGTCGTTGGAGCACCTCATGGTTCGACGGGTTCCCCGGGTCAAACCCGGCTCTAAGAATAAGGTCAATGCTTAGTGGGTTATTCCTCTTCACGAGATGATGTTATCTTACTGGTTCTGGTGTGGCGATGTTTCGGGATAGTTGCACTCCATCCCTGCACGGCACAGTAGCTACAGGTCGGTCTGGCATTGTCACATCGTGTCTTGCGCAGCCGACAGGTCTGACAGGCTGTCGGGGCTCGGGTTCGGATCTCACGCTTCCTAGCGAGTCTTGGGTTGCCAAATTCCATGTTCACCAAGCAAAATCCAGGGTTTTCGGGGAGGCCGGGAGATAGATGAGGGGAGGTGTAAAAGATTAAGTGCGACCCACGGATATTCAGTTAGAAAGCAATACTTGGAGAGATGGTCCACTGCCCACTAAGAAACAAAGAAAACATTCCACCGAGTACGGATGTGGCGTGACCAGATAAGGCAATGGGGGTAACAAAGAACTGTCGAGGCGATGTGATGACCAAAGGCTAACACCCATGACTGCCTCAGGGGTTTCACGATGCTGATTGGAGGACGATTCACTCCCTGGTCACTCGGGACATGGGGTCTTCTTGGGGGATTGGGGGGATTGGGGGGATTCGATGTCTTTGTCCTTTCCCCAATGAAGAGCTCCCCGACCCTTTCTCTCTGACTCTAAAGGACCATAGGAATCTCGTATTTCTGGAATTTCTCTTTTCGGTTGCCTGCAGGTGATGGTAAAAAAAAAGAAAAAAAGGAAATGTTTGTGATATCCCCGAAAGTATTTGGAATTCCAAGTACTGGAGTACGGGAGTATGTACCTATAGTAGGGTGAGAATCCGGGACATTCCGTGGGGGATGCGGACTTCTTGTACTTTGTGTAAAAAAAGAATATTTGAATATAACCTGAAGAGAAGCTTGTCCCTGGATCTTTCTACAGTCGTGTTGGAAATTAGCTTCACGTCCGTACACACCCCGATTTTAATATTTTTGGGATTGTGATAGGTTCAATGTTGGGATGGTGATGATATACGGGGAAAACGCGGGGAGTATCGGACTTCAGTTATATAGCCCTAAATAATCCCATCCCCCTATAACATAAATCCCCCGTGAACAATGTCAAAGAATAAAATGAAATCACATCGTCAATGAAATTCACCCGCTCAGGTAAGTACATATACAAAGCCTTGTCCACAAGGAAATTCTTAACGCCGAAATTAATGCACAGTGTCACAGAGTCACAGTCACCTCATCGGACCTTTCTCTTAGGTCTCCTCGTCAAAGGCGCTTCACAATGTTCCGTCCAAGCATCTTCAAAGACCGTCTTTCGTGGGCCAATCTGACCTTGGTAGAAGTTCAGCTTACGCACAACCTCCATAGCACCTGTACCCAGTGACACCGTCTTGCCCATGATGATACACTCCGACACACCCTCAATGAGATCGGTGCGACCAAGACCACCGGCGTCGAAGAGGTGATCCGCAGTTTTCTCGAACGAAGCAAGCTGAAGCACCGAGTCACGCATCTTAGCCAAACCGAAACGTGTAATACCGAGCACTTCACCCTTGTAGGTCATCACATCGGCCAGAAGTTGCATGTGACGAGGATCGATGTCCATGTCCTTCATGACTTCGCTGATTTCGACGACGATCGTGCTTCGAGCGGCTTCAATACCTAGAACTTCTCGCGCCTCCATAATGTTGTTGGTCCTGGTGTGGAGACCGTCCACACCCATCGTAGTCATACACTCTCTCAAACCGTAACCTTCCACAAGCAAAGTGTTCGTGGTCGAGGTCTCATCCGTGCGAATGATAGCTCGGGTGGCACGTGGATGACCCAGGATTTGGATGTGGGGAAGAATACGCTTCAAATGCTTCAAGCGGAGGAAGGGATCAATGCTCGTAGCGGCAATCTCTGTCTTAGAAAGGGATGCCTTGCTGGCCGGATCAAGATCCATGTGGACCTTGATTGAGCCTTGCTTGCACGAGAATTTGAGATCGCTTCCCTTGAAGCGCTTGTTGGTTTTGATCGCTTCGACGATCTGTGGCGTTGTGATCTCCAGCGCCAGATCCTCGATCGTTTTCCAGTTCAGAACAACCTTCAAGTAGGCATCATCGGGGGACCAAACCTCCGTGATGGAATGAATGACATCTTGGAGGAAAGTCTTTTCAATGCGTCCTTTCACAATACGAGCAGCGATAGTGCTTCCTCTGTTGACCAGTTCGCAAGCCACGACGGGGGTACTGATCTCTTTTGAGGCGTTGATGATTTCCTTGATACGAGGTACACCTTGAGTAATACTCATTCCGGCGACACCAGCGAAATGGAAAGTTTTCAGGGTCATTTGTGTTCCTGGCTCACCAATGGACTGGGCACCAACGGCACCCACAGCATGGCCGGGCTCGACCTGAGCTCTCTTGTACTTCAACAGACACGCAGTGATGAAAGCCCTCAGGGTGGTCTCTGTCAGCTTGCCTGTATGATCCAAGCCCTTACGGCTCCGCTGGTCAGATGGGTCGATATCGCCACCTCGAGAGATCAATTTGTCGGCTCTGTTTTGCACATATTCCTGGATCGAGTCAAGGAAGTCACGGGCACTCTCGAACTGATCGATGCCATGATCACTGCGGTCCATGTATGCCAGGTCATTTCCGAGTAAGTCCTTGCGGTTTAGCTTCGCACGCTCCTTTGAAAGCATCTGTTCGCAGACTTCCATAATTTCCACAGGCAACAAACTTCGCTCGTCGTTGTTGTATGTAGTAGATTCTGAGTGAATAAATGTTCGATCGAAGTGGACGGGTTTGGCTTTACCCTCCATATCCACGGGATCCAACTTATCGTCACCGTACTGGAACTGAACGATGGCAGCAGATGAGTTACGGACCGTGTCATCATACATCGATGACAAATCTTCGAGGGACTTCATCAGACGACGAGACATGTAACCAGTCTCGGCGGTCTTGACAGCTGTATCGACCAGACCTTCACGACCGGACATAGCGTGGAAAATGAACTCGGGCGGTTGCAGCCCAGAGAAGAAACTGTTGCGAACGAAACCTTTCGACGGAGGCTGTCGTGCATTCTTCGGGAAATGCGGCAGGGTACGATCCTGGAAACCATCCTGTACACGCTGACCACCGATAATTTGCTGACCGACAAGGGCAACCATCTGGGACACGTTGATACTAGAACCCTTGGATCCAGAAGTGGCCATGATAAGGGGCGAGTTGTACTTGCTCAGCTGCCTAATACACTCGTCACCAGCTTGTTGACGGACCTTACTGAGAATACCAGAGATCTGGTTCTCCATGGTTTGCAATTCGTCACATCCAGGATACTTCTCCAGAGTGCCCGCCTTGTACTTAGCAATGACTTCGTCACACTGCGAGTACGCTGCCTCAACAAGATCGTTTTTGGACTGAACGAGCTCTGCACTAGGATAGACATCTCCGATACCAATTGAAAAGCCGATGTTGGTGAACCATCGGGCGGACAGTTTTGATAGACGGTTCATGCCCTCGGCTGCTGCCGGCGGGCCAAAATCTCTGAGCATAATGTAGAAAACATTGTCTTTCTTTCCAGAACCAATCGTAGACTTGTCCATCACACCGCACATGACCTCCGAGTTACGGATGACTAGCCAGCCATCATTGGGGTCCAGGTCCTTAGGACGACCATCCTTGGGCATCTTGAACTCACGGCATGCGGCGTCCAGGTTCACCATAACGGGATCATCTTTGTTGGGGCGCATAAGAATGTTGAAGACTTGTTTTCCAGTCCACATCATCTGGGGTTTCAAGATTGACGGCGGTGGAAGATCGAATCTTGTTTCAGGGCCAAGCATATAGAGACAGATCTGCGTGAAGGAGGCACGGTCATAGAAGTTGTCTTTGCTGCTCAGCACGTAGGCGGCACTAATGAAATCCTGAATGGCAGAAATGATGGGTTCTCCGTTTTTGGGTGTGGCCAAGTTGTTCTTCACACCCATTAGCTCCATTGCCTCCGCTCTGGCTTCCTCGGTCTGCGGCACGTGAAGGTTCATCTCATCTCCGTCGAAATCTGCGTTGTAAGGATTGCAGACACACTCGTTCAGTCGGAAAGTCCTATGGGGTCGAATTTTGGCAAAGTGAGATAGAATACTAAGCTTGTGCAGGGAAGGCTGTCGATTGAACAGCACAATGTCGCCGTCTTCGAGATGACGCTCAACCAGGTCGCCTTCTTGCAGCTGATCAGCCATCCGCTGAGTGTTACTGTACTTCAACATCTGTCTGAATCCGGTTCCTTTCTTGACAATCAAATTCGCTCCGGGCCATTTGTTGCTACCATTGCAAATCCGTTGCTGCAGTTTTTCCTTGTTGTATCTGGTCACTAGTTCGGGATAAGTCATGTTCTTTGCCACCAGCTCCGGAACAGCGACCTCATCAACTCGCAAATTTGGATCTGGAGAAATGACAGTTCGTCCAGAGAAATCAACACGTTTTCCTGACAGATTTCCACGGAAACGACCTTGCTTTCCCTTCAAGCGTTGGACGAAGCCTCGGATGGGTTTTCCGAGGTCGGCTTTGTTGAGCCCAGGAACATCGCTGTTGATGTAGACAGCAATTTGAAGCTGCATGTAGTCCCAGCACTCCATGATTGTCTGAACAGGAGCACCCTTAAGCAGAGCATTCTTAAGATTGATATTGCTCTGCACAATGTCACCTAGCTTGGCTGTCAAGTCATCTTCTGTAGATGCACCATCTTGTCCCACTGAAGGTCGAATGCACACCGGTGGAGCTGGGATGAATTGCCACAGGAACATCTCCGGACGAGCCTCCTTTGGATTCATGCCAATCAATTCACAGTCAGAGTCGGACATTTTCTTGAATAGCTTGAGAACGCGAAGAGGGTTCATGTCATCCTGCGCCTTTTTAAAGTGTTTTTCGACTTCCGGGTTTGCGCCTCTTGCCTCGAGGAAGGAGTTATCAAAGACATCCTTGCTGATTGGCGTTTGCTTTTTGACGGAAACCGAGACGTTGAATGCACGGAATTTGTCGTGGGTAATCTTCAGAGCACTTGTTCCGGTCTTCTTCACGACACCGTTGATCGCTCCACAGTATGTACATTCACGGGTTTTCCGACACCGTTCGTTGACCCGTTTTGCGATCTGCGTCCGGCGTAGGTTATCCAGGCCCGGTCGGCGCATCTCGCGAAGATAGGTACGGCGCTCCGCCTCGGGGAGCAGAATATTCGAACATTCCTTGCAAATTTCCTGAAGGATCGAGATGACGCGCTTGAAATAACCGACATGGAAAGACGGTAGGACCAATCTCACATGGCCGAAATGACCATTGCAGTCTTTCAGGTTGTTTCCACATGTTGCGCAAGAATCAGTTTTGTTCGAGATACCCATGCGCGGGTCGAGAGGTCCATTGGAAACCACCGTTCGGGTCTGATCCAAGTCGAAAAACTTTCGGTCAGAAACTTCTACCACTGCTTGGCCGACAATGTCATCGTTGGTTCTGGAAACATAAATCTTCATTAGCGATCAAGTCTGCGACAAACGCTTGTGGCAAGCACAGAGTGAACTGCGTACAAGACACCAAATTTCAGTTCCTTGATCACTTTGGGAACGCTGTCAATAACCTGGGCCTTGCCCAGGTCTACCTGCGCGCCCTCTGGAGGCTGCATGGCCGTCGTCAAATGCGGAGCATGGCAGGGTGACTCAAGGCGATGCGATCGGCTAGGCGGACTTCAGCCGCCAGAAACGAGATTTCAGGCTCAAAGAAGAATTAGCTCCGGTATTGTGTCAGTAGATCCACAATCTGAAGCTGCAGAACTTGATCGAGGCTGTTCAGACACAATGGAGTGAACTGAGAATGAGCAGAGGAAGAAGTTGTATGGCGGGGTCCGACATGAACTTTTTTTCTGCCAGTGAAGCTCTCACCGCTGGCACAAGTGGCCCACAGGGTTGTATAAAGATGAAGACATCCAACGTGGTTATCGCAGAAATAATGTTATACAGTGTATTTAGTTCTAATTTACAAGCTTATTTCGCCAAGAATGCCTGGAAAGCTTTGTGCTCAATCACCACATTTCCAACTGCCCGCAACCTCTTGCGGCCTTCTTTCTGCTTCTCCAGCAGCTTTCGTCGCCGACTTACATCACTAGCATGCAGTTTTGCCAGCACGTCTTTTCGATAAGGCTTGATAGTCTCACGAGCGATGATTTTCTTGCCTACAGCAGCCTGGATGATGATCTCGAAAAGCTGCCGGTCCACATGCTCTTTGAACTTGGTTACCCAAATTCTGCCTTGTCGGCTCACCTGGCTCGAGTGCATAATCCGCGTCACAGCATCCACTGGCTCTCTGTTGACCAAGAGCTGTAGCCTGACAATATTTCCGGCTCGCCATGCAGATTCTTCGTAGTCCAAGCTGGCATAGCCCTTGGTACCGCCTTTCAATTTTCCAAAGAAATCATCAACCAAATGGGCCAGAGGCAACTCGTACTTCATAATGACCTGGGTCGCCGTGAAGTATTCAATGCTCTGTTGCTCACCGCGGTTGGCCTCGCAGAGCTCAATCACCTTTCCCAAATACTCCTCTGGGAATGTCAGAGTGGCCAACACAAATGGCTCTTGGACCTCGGCAACTTTGAGTCGTACGCTATCATCATCGGGGAATTTGGCAGGGTTGGTGATGATTTCTTCGGCACCACTCTTCCACACGACCTTGACCGGGACGGAGGGTGGTGTAATGATAATACTGGCGCCGTGCTCCTGTCGTAGGCGGTCTTCAAACACGGAGCAGTGAAGGGTTCCCAAGAAACCCATACGGAAACCGGCGCCTAAGGCCTCAGAAGACTCTTTCTGTACTGTGATACTTCGATCATTCAAAACCAGCTGGTTGATGCTGTCCTCCAGGTGCTCGAAGAGATCCGCATTCACTGGGTATACAGCCACAAAGACCATCGATTTGGGTTCTTCGAATCCAGGCAAAGGCTCGACGATCTTTTCATAACCGACTCTTGTAAAGGTATCGCCAATCTTGGCTTCTTTACTCCGCTTCATGCCAGGGTTGAAGTAGATGTACCCAACCTGGCCTGCACGGAGAACGGTTTGCGCAGTCTCAGTCGGGTACATGATGCCGACTTCACCGACAAAATATTTGAGACCGGTAACGAAGGATATAAGCTGCTGACCTGCACGCACCTCACCGTCGAAAACACGGACCAACAGGATCACGCCTTTGTAGGAGTCATACCAGGAATCCACGAGGAGCATACGAAGTGGTTTCGTGGAATCACCGATAGGTCTAGCATCCAGTCAGCGAAAAGCCAGCACTTTAGGAAGCCACGGGGTAGACCTACGCAGGGACTTTCTCCACCACCGTCGGTAGAACAGCTGGGACATTCAATCCAGTCTTTGCTGAGACCATCACCGCCTTGTCTGTATCGATCTCAAATGTGTTTCTTATCTGCTCCAGAGCCCGCTCTGGGTCGGATGAGGGGAGATCAACCTTGTTAAGAATAGGAATCAACTCGAGGCCTTGCGCAAAGGCCAAGTAGAAATTGGCGACTGTCTGCGCCTGGACACCCTGACTGGCATCAACCAAGAGGATTGCTCCGCCGCAACTGGCATAACTTCGCGACACCTCAGCACGGAAGTCCACATGGCCGGGTGTATCGACCAAATGTAACAAATAATCTTCGCCTTTATAGTTGTAGATCATGGTACACGTCTGTGCTTTGACCGTAATTCCTCGCTCTCGCTCGACATCAAGTTTGTCCAAGACTTGTTTGTTCATGCCCGCTTCGATTGTGCCCGTCAATTCGAGTAATCGATCGGAAAGCGTGCTCTTGCCATGGTCAACGTGTGCGACGATGCAGAAATTGCGAAAACGTTCGATTGGGATTGCGGCAATTCTCTTCTCGAGGTCTAAGTCGAGCTTTGTAGGTGTGGTTTTCGAACGTCCATAGTAAATCGTCGTAGCAGAGAAACTCCTGTTATACCTATACGAAGAAAAGACAGTTGGTGGTCGGAGGCTTGCGGCCTGGCATCTCGGCGCTGCGCTCAGCCATCGGCCTAACTGCAGACATCCTCGCATCGGGACTTCTGCGGTGGCATAGGAGGGGCTGATGGTATGCAAGCGAATCGAAGTTTATCCGCGGGGCAATCGATCAGCACTTGAGTGCTGGTTGGTCTCACGATTTGCGGAGAAAAAACGGACGCGCGGGCGGTGACTGTTTATTGCTGCGGTGACCACTCGACATAAACAAAGCTCTACCTTTCTTTCACCTTCAAAGCCCCAGCTATCTACGAGCTCATCATGCCGGAAACCAAGGATAAGTCAAAAGTGCACAAGCTGTCAATCAAAGGTCCGTACCCATCATCTACTTGTGTAGCCATCATGGTGCTTACAAGATAACAGGATCGGCCAAGCTTGTCTCCGAATTCGTGAGTCGCCTTTTTTGGATGCGTCAATGAAGTTCGGGTACTGACTGTCTCAGTTTGAATATTCGATTAATTCAATTCTGTAAGTTGTTGGTCATACTCAGTCCAAGACACTGGCTGATCGCATTGGGTGTTCAGCTTCCAACGAGGAGTCTACCCTCCCGAGGATTTCACAACGTAAGTATGCCCTCTCAACTTTGTCCAATACGGTGCAGCAGGCTAATTGAGGTAGGATTAAAAAATATGGCCTCAATATGCTGGGTTCGTGAACCGTGTTTTTCTTAAGCGCCGTCGGCAACCCTAACCTCATAGCAGTTTCGGCCGACGACCAGGTCAAAGCCTACATCAAGAAGATCATGTCCCAGCTGAAGGAATGGATGCAGGGAGGAAAGATCTCAAAACTTGTGGTAGTAATCACGAGCAAAGAGACCGGTGAGCATGTGGAGAGATGGCAATTTGACGTACGGATTCGACACTCTCCCGTACGAGTTGGTGGCTAACTATAGTGATGGAATAGATCGAAATATTCGGCAAGCAATCGAAAAGCAAGAGCTCCCAGAAAGCCGGCGACAAAGAGAATAGTACACCGGGGTAAGTCTGCTCACTGTGAGATTATCTTAATCATCCCACTAATCCAACATTTTTGTGCCCTGAAGAGATGCAAAGCCCACCGAGCCTATTGAGAAGACAGAAAAGCAAATCCAGGAGGAGATCCAAGCTATCTTCCGCCAAATTACCGCCTCTGTCACCTTCCTCCCCGTCCTTGATGGAGACTGCACCTTCAATGTGCTTGTCTATGCCGACGCCGATTCAGACGTACCCGTGGAATGGGGCGACAGTGATGCCAAGGAAATTAAGAACGCAGAGAAGGTCCAACTAAGGAGCTTCAGCACAAACAATCACCGAGTTGGGACTCTGGTCAGCTACCGGTTGGCGGATTAAGCTCTCGGTGACACATTATGATCAAATACGAAAGATACTATGGATTGGCGTTTCGGGAAAGGATCGAGGATTTCTTCCACCTATCATATCAGAAGTCTTGATATTTGTTCTTAATCAAAATCAAGGCCGCTCAGTTGTATCATGTCTAGTATAAGACCAAGGCAAGCTCTCTCGCTTCGGGAACCACTTATTGCAATGACCACCCCCATCATAGCGGATTAGATCCAGCACCACACTTTCCAGTCCCAGATGGGAGAATATATCGTTTTCCATTCCAGGAGACCAGCCTCGTCTCGCCCTTTTACCTGCCAGATCTGGGTTCACTCCGTAAAGATCTTCTCTCCAAAGACCAATACCATTTACAGCCTCACCTCGAGTCAAGCTCTCGGGTGACGTGACTTCCACTGGCGGATTGGTACCTATCACAGCAACCTTGTTTGTGTAGTCTTCTTGTTCCGGGCCAAGAGGTACGAGTCCCACAGCCGGAAAGTGGCACTGCATGAATCGAGCGCGCTTAAACTCGTGCGTCACAACTGTGACCCTCTGTGGATAAACGCCTGTGTATACCCGGAACTGAATTAGAGAAAACAATAGATTTTGATATGAATCTGTGGCGTTGGTTTCTGCGATGACTCTTGATGGGTCAATTGTGGAGATAGTGGGCGTGTCTTGGAAGTAGTCGTTATCCCTGGCCAAATTCTGGATTTTGCTATACATCAGCTGTCTGAGTGGCGGCTCGTAGGGAATTCGGGCGCCTTACAAGGTAAGATTGGCCTTCACTGAGCTCAGTTCTAGGCTTCTTGGTAGGCCCTCTGTTCAATGGATCAGCGAAACGAAATCCAAAAGCAAATCATGCAAAACATCATACCCAGAAAACACAAGCAAGCTATGCGAGTCTTCCGCTAGAGCTTTCAATCCGGCTTTGATATGATCGATGAACGTGGGTGTTTCTCCCCTTTGGAAGGGCTCAACCAGCCTGCTCAGTGCATCAGATGATGTTTTTCATATACAGAGATTATTCTAATCACTAACCACTCGTCCTCTGAGGCACCAAGCTTTGAGCCTCCGGTATAAATGGCATGGCAGCAGACAACAATAAGGTGGTTGCATATGGCAGAGGCGCAATCTGGACTTGAAGCCATATTGCTGTATTTTGATAGATCAAGTGAATGGCTTGGGTTTTATCACAATGCAAGACATATAGGAGATGCTAGTAAATTATGGATTGCTGAGAATAGCCTGAACAACCTCAGCTTCCAAAGTTGTGTCTTTGATAGACGAAATGAAGGGCGGTAAAGGACTGACTCCCTTCTGCTCCGCCAATTCTTTCGATCCTCCCCAAGACAACTTCACATCCCATCAATGGGCGGATTCCAATGCTATCATCCCAAATCTCCTGCGGTGTATATCCTTTTTCTCTAAATATGCATTTTGCCATTCCCGGTTATGTGGTATGAGCCCCCAAGCAATCAGCACTTCGTCTTCCTCCTTCGTTAAATCTAGCCAAGCAAGTAAGTCCTGCCGACTTTCGGGTTTCTTCTTTTTTGAGATCGGAGTCGATTCCAAGTCTGAGAGACCTATCGGTCTGGTCCATGACGGTTCGCCAATCTTCTCTTTACTGCCTACATGCACCGTAAAGGGATTTTGTTCCTCCAACTCAGGCCAATCCATATACTCCTCGGGGTACATAGATATGGTGGCCTTGAGTTTTGAGCTAACCCAGCAACTATTTTCTTGGACTTCATTGTCATGGCCCCTGTGACTTCGAATTGATTCCCATATTTGGGAGTCTTCACAGCCAACTCGGTGGGCCGTGAGGACTGTAGCAACGATAATCACCACCACTGACACGATTTGCGTGTACAAGGCTGCCATTCCGATACTGATGACATGCACCGCAAAGGCGGCCCAGCCTATCCATTGGCACGCCCGATAAATGTACCGGTTTGGTGGCTGGGGATTAACTGCAAATGCGAATTTCGGCAGATACGCGGGGACTGCAAGAGTGACGACTTTCGAGTCCTCTGTCAACACAATCACCTTGGCAATTTTGTTTGGGTCTTGAGGCTCAATGGGTATTTTGGCCCCCTTCATGGCAGGCCCGTTCTGGCGAAGGTTCTCGAGTCTCTTCATTGACTCGTCATACTTGACTCTCTTAGCCGGGTAACATTGGGCTGCTTCTTCTGCTTTCAGGATGTTCGCATCGATTCCGGCCCGATTTTGTGCTACCAGTATACATCGCACTACCACTGAAATGGCCATGGCTATCACATTGGCAAATCCCCACCAGTCCGCGGCTAACACAGTCAGGGCAATGAGCATCCCGTGGACCGGCAACCCAACGAGCAAGAAGCCGACGATGAACTCTCTCCATCTGCGCGGCTGCTCCACGACCTGCCATGTGACAATACTTCGGACTTGTTTGAAGTCCTGTGTCTGGAGCCATCGCGAAAACCAGCCGGCAAGCTCGGTGGTCATAATTCCCGCTGATATGTTGTAGAGAACGAATCCGGGTTTCTTTGTGGTGAATCGGTTTCCAGCCACCACAAAAGCACCAAACACCGGCAGGTATTTGAGGTACATGCTCGGCACGAGTCGCCCGATACTGCGGTCCATCTCCTCCGCTCCGAGGAGCGTAACAAGACCGAGGGCATCGATTTTTAGTCCCGTTCCAAGACCCCAAGAGTTGAGGCTCTCACTCCAGGGATACATAGGAGAAATAGTTATGGAGTATTATGGTGTTAACACCGAAAAAGGGTCCTCATGATCCAGAAAGAGGTTATTGATATGGCTATCATTACTACTCTGTACTCAAGGTATAATCCCCCCCTCACGCTGTCGATGCGGCTGGAAAAGACTTGAAAATAAAATAAAATAAGATGACAGGGGTTACGGAGTATAATTTGCCAGGTCACCAGGTCATAATAACCCTATTCGGATGCGAACACGAACTCGTTGGTCAAAACTCTGCAATCTGCAGTCTTGCAGCCACTTTGGGAAATGAGAAACCCATGTGCTTACTCTCGATTATCTGTTTGGCAAAGGGATTCGTGGATCATCGAATCTCCTTGACTTGAAAAAGAAGCGAAGCAAAAAGCCACATGGCGCGCAATTGGCCAGTTTCCACGCTAACAGTTTAGTTCGGTTCTTACGAGTTGCCAAGGACCTTGACACTGCAAGATCATCGTACAGTCTGACATTTATCCTTTTTTTATCCCTCGAGGCGCATCATGTACGGAGTACGCCGTATCGCAGGAATACATTCCAATTCGGGCTTGGGGCATTTTCAACCAATAGGACCCGCATCTCCCATCCCAATTGAGCCTCAAGATTACCTATCTATAGGGGGTTGGTCTGGGTATTCCAGACAGTAGACAGCTTTACAATCTACTTATAATCTCCAGTCCCAATACCTTTGCTGAGTGACCTGATGCGCAGTCTTATCCAGAATTCTTACTTCTCCCTCTGAGATCAAATCTCTCGATTGCCAAAAATGGCTCATCATTTTCCTTTCAGGGGCAAGAAACAGACCGATATGGAGAAAGCAAGGGAGAATATCATAAATCAATATGATGGCCACCACCATCGATCATCTGGAATGCGGTTCCGGCAGCCTTCTGCCAACCCGGAAACAATTGAGGATCGCATGCTGGAACTGGAATATACTCGCGATGGGTACGGCAAGAAAAAGTATCTGAATCCTAATGGAGACGAAGACCACGAAAAATATACCGACCTGGACACATACTACAGCTCAAATAAAGAGTATCCACGTCGACTTGTTGTGCAGGCGACTCCAGAAACCTATGAAGGGACCGATTATCCCCCTCGTCACTGGAGGCGACGCCACATTCGTGGGAGAGTCCCATTCATCATCACCCTGGCCGAACTTTGCTTGAACCCGCTTGGCCTTCACCGCTTCGACGGTGTTCGAGTCAACGAATACGAGAAACAGGGGGATGATACGGCTCAAACCCAGGAAAGCTTGATATTGAAAATCAGCAAACAAACCCTGCACTGGATCATGTCAATCCTGCTCACCCTGTCACTATCGTGGATTATTCCAGTTGTGCTCTTTTTCGAGATTTGTACCACCCCGTGGAATGACGACGGCACAGCTGAGCCCTACAAAAAGTATCAGAACGTTCACTGGAACTGGCCTAAGCATGCAATGAACCTCCTGGACCAGTCCCCCAATAATCATCAACGGCAGTCAAAGATAGCCAGTCTTACGATTCCTCGTCGCTTGGTGGTAAAAGACCGAACTACCAATCAGTGGGTCTCCAAGAAGACTGAGGACCTTCGTGATGAAAAGACGGGCATGCCACAACCCTATATTTTCCTGAGTTTTTCGCGGGCCAACTATCTTGGCATAAAAACAAAGGAAGAATTACGGGAGATGTTGTATCAAGTGGCTGAACGCATGATCCAGTACGAGAACCGTCATAAAGACCCGCAGGACCCTCCGCTAGAAGCCTTTTGGGTGGACGTCGATTGTGTTTCGGACGATAAGAATATACCAGGTAACGGTGTCGAATCAGAATGCACCCGGGATATCAACACGATTTGCGATGCGGTCCGCTGCGCGAAGCGAGTATATGTAGTCCTCCCCACTGAAAGTGAGAATGACAAAAGAATTTGGGGACAGCGGATATGGACATTTCCGGAAGTCCTCCTCGCTGCCAACAGAATCCGATACTGTTTTACCCATTCTGCCTCTATGTCTTTGTCCACGCCGCATGAACTCACGCTGAGTGACATGTACAATAGCTTCTGGCAGCCCCCCAAGTCAGATTTGAATGTGGATGAACACGAAGACGCCATAGGCTACCTCATCAGCCATTATACCAATAGCCTTCAGCTGAGCGAACTGCAATTGTTCACTTTTGCTGTCCAAGCCATGGCGAAGCAGACAACTGGCGTCGACACCATGGGGTACACTGCCAGGGATATGGCCTACGCTGCGATGGGGCTTTTATCATATCGACTTACCCCCAATGATTCCGATAACGTCTTCCAGGCCATTGCGCGACTATCCATCGTGAATGATAGCAATCAGCTGCTTGAGCGTCTCCTCTGTCTGTGGCCGGACCCGAAAAATCCCACAGTGGATATACCGCCTAAACTGGCTTCGACTGGCAGCGAGAGGATTCTTCGCAACATTGCAGATAAAGATCAATACGGTACTCATCTTTGGGACATCAAACCACTCTGCGATGTGGTTGGTGTTGGCGGCGAGTTACATGAGCCCACGGTCATCGTTGATCGCTGCCGGGGCATCCCAATCCGATGGAAGGACTTCCCGAAACTGAATTATGCCAAAGAGCTCACCGGAATGAGCACTACTATCTCACAGACAATCGTGTATTTTGGTATCTTCTTTGCAGGGAGTGGTTTTGCTCTCTTCATGTCCGCTATTGCGCTTGCGGTCTCAACCATTGACTTCAAGGGGCAGCAACCTCAACTAGCAAGTGATGTGATGAGAATCATCAGAGAAGTAATTGTGCCTCAGTACCTAGTGGCTATTGCTTTGTACTTTGGAGTCGCCTGGGTCATCTCCTGGCTTAGTCCTTGGGCGGTACGAAAGCTCTGCAACGATGGAGTACAGGGATGCTCCAGCCACCTTGTCGGATTCGAAGGCACGATGCCGTTGCATGACCTTGAGAAGATCATCTACGGTAATTTCAATGATCGCCTGTCGTATTCGGCCTCATCAACTGTCTTCTCTGGGAAACTTCGGGACAATGAGCTCCGAATGAGCAGGGAACCCCATGATCCGAAGTATTGGAAGAATTTGTTTCAAGAACTAAAGCTCCCTACCACGCACCGTATCTTCACTCTCGTGGATACGGGCGATATGACCGTGTCTGTGATTTCCGCTGAGCGACCACCCGTCGTGGCTTTGATATGCGGGCGAGAAGGCGGCATGCTCCGGGTATTGCTGTGCAGCTGGCGCTTCGAAAAGAACTGTCTGTACCGTGAGGGTGTCGTTCGCATGCGCAGCTCGCTTGAAGCACTGGCTACACCTAACGACTGGTTGAAGATCAGCTTGGCGAGTCAGGGCGATGTCAACCGTACACGGTTGGACCACCTCAAAAAGGGGCAGTCTTCTACATCTAACCCTTCTCCTCCTCGTCCGACGGACTGAGGCCACTGGCCTTTTCTATTTCCTTTTGTCCAGGGACGCCCGAGGCATGTTAACATGGCTAAAAAAGGTATCTAGAATATCTTCTTACTGCCACCAATGTACATAGTCTCTTCGAAGGTGGATATATTTTGGTCTACTTCTTACACTTTAATGTCTAATGAAAGGACGTCTATGCAGATATGGTACTGTTGTAGTGGTATGTTGTATATAAATCTCTAATATCACTTCAAGCCAACTAAATATTCAAATCATCCACGTCTTTCATCCTCAACCTTTGAGTTATAGAGGCTCAAGCAGCTGTGTTCTTTTACACTAGAAATTGAAAGGAGGAATAGTAAATTCAGTCAAATTGTCAAATTATTGAAAGTCAACTATCACACATCAAAGTGAGGCCGTGGTTAAAGCAACAACGCCATCAGGCACTTCAACCCTCTCCAAGATAGTCGGATCTTCCCGAAACTCATCACTCTCGACAAACTGCTTCAAAGCCGAATACATACTCCGCTCAATAACAACCGCCGAAGGGTCTGCATCATCCGTCGCACTCAGAACCTGGGCAAGGTAACGCAGGGTACACACCAACGCATTCACGTCCTGTATACGGCCAAGTAGAGCAGGCATGTACGTCGGCTGAACAGCAGGTTCGCTCCTCCGACCATCTAGATTGAGAGCATGTGCCAGAGTTTCCCTGACCGGGTCCTCCAACGCACGCCACGCATCCTCATACAACAGCGCCTTTTCCTGGGTAGTCACATTGCCCATACAGAACAATCGCATCAAAGCCCGATCCCCTGGGTTCTCCTCCACTTGGAATCGTCGCACGTCCTTGTCGCGGAGGAACTCCGCGCGTCGAATCAATACCATGTCATACCCACTGCGGACGGTCATAGTGCCCGCAATGACACCCTCGCATACATCATAGACATTGCGGTAGGACTCAAAGATAGGCTGAGTGAGTTTCTTCGCACACGTCCAATCCATATGCCCCGCGGCACCGGCAATATCGAGCAGTTGCTCCATGAAGCGGAGTCGGAAGCTGCGGTCGTGGCCTTTCATGCGGTGTAGACCGGACAGACAGGCTGGGGCGTTTTCTGCCTGTGCCAGTTGGCCAAAGTTGAAGGTTGCACCCAGCTCAATCGCCCGGAGTACATCGTCTCTATCTTGGTCTGGGAGCTGGTCCAGCGATTTGACTAGGCCGGCTTTACAGGCCACGAGGAGAATAGCGTCATGGTTGAGAGTGGAGAAGTCCACGCCAGTCTTTGCGTGGCAGTCGGTTGCCAGCTGCGGGTCTTTACCCAGATCATTGATAATTATTGTGGTGATTAAGGTAAAGAGTGCGTTCCCGTCTTTGATGAGTTGCGTGTAGAATTCGTGGATCCAATCAAACGAGGTTCTTGTTAGTTGAGATGTGGATGGCTGTGAACCGATGAAGGTCTCGTATTGACCGGTGTGAATCCAGCGGAGAGCTAGAAGTCCAACGAGTGTGCGGTTCACTTCATCGTACTCTTCGTTGTATAAAATGTAGGATGGAGATGGAGTGCTAGGAGGGGTCCAGGGACCGTCTCGGATGGAGTATGCCCGCCGCAGACGGTCAATTTCCTCCGGAAACTCCTTGTACACAAGGCGAATCAGATCCTCGTCGGAACGAGCGAAGAGAGAATCGGGAACACCACAAGTATCCTGTAGGGAGTGGGATGGATTCATGCTTGCGGATGTTTTCCCGTTCCGATGTAAGCCGGGAGGTTGATGAGAACCAGTGACCTCTACCATTGGTCCGATATTTCCGCTACTATTACTACCATTAAGAGATGAAAAGAGATGAAAGAGACCATTACGATGAAGATAACTCATTGCAGTGGGAAAAGAAACTAGAAATAACCTAATTGTACATGTTTCTCATCGCCCTCAATCCATGCGCCATAATATCAGCCCCCAGATATGGAGACCTCGCTAAATGCATCCGCAAAGCGACCAAGGCGAAACAAGAAGAAAAAGAAAACGCCTGACCCAAGGGGGCATGCAACGGATTTTGAAAACCCAGTGGGACGAATCAATGTGTCGACATCCCAGACCATGAAACGCAATGCGATGAACGCCAACCAAAGAATTCTGGTTGTAAAAATGCATATCCATGACCCAGTACAAGATATGGAAGAAACCAATGACGTAATAATGCATAGATAGAGGGAAAAGGAGATTGTACCAATGTCGAATACAAGAAGTACAAGGGTATCAGTCGAAAAGGAATCATGGATGTTCTGATTTAGAGAGGATCGTGGCGGAAAGTGCAGTTGTCGCCTTTGCGACACTTGCCCTCAGCCCAGAATCTGCAGGCAACTAGTCCCACCTTGTACTGTTTCAAAAGAGTTAGCCATTTGTTTATCACAGAATACTGGGTCTGCAGTGTGCTTACAGGCTTAGGCTCGTTGGTGCCAACTCGGGTCCGTTTCGAGCGACTCCACGACTCGGAGTTAGACTGGTCGTCATAATAACCGCTCTCGCGGCCGCGCTTCCGTTCTGGGTCTTCATAGTCATGACCTTGCTGTTGGAATGGGAGAGAGCCGAATTGTTGGTTCTGTCCACCAAATTGTGCGAACATGGCGCCAAGGTTGGGTGCCATTGCTGGTTGGGATTGCTGGGGCTGGGTGTATGCAGCCGGCCCCTGCATTTGTTTCATGACATTCAAGATCGCGTTGAAGTCAAGACCTTGGGGCTGAGGTGTGGGTACTGGTGGAGTCGGGGGAACCTGAGGAACCTGGGGAACCTGGGGAACCTGGGCTTGAGGCTGTTGCTGACGGAACATGTTGATGGTCCTCTCGAGATCCGGCATGGCCCCGGGCTGGGTTGGCTGCGGTGGTGGGATTGGCTGTGCCTGTCCAGGCACACCCTGGATGATCTTGAGCAAATTGGAGATGTCGAATCCACTGTTCCCGGTAGTAGGTTGCTGCGGCTGTTGGGGAGTCGTAGGCTTGGGGTTCACATAGGAGTAGTACCGTTCCTGACGGGCCTGTAGGGTCTTTGTTAGTATGAGATTATAGTGTGGTCGAAAGTGTAGCATACCTTGACCAAGTCGGGCAATTCTCCGAAAGGTAATACATCGGTAACGACATCGTCGGGGTCAGGAGTCGGTGGCTCCTTGGGCGTGTCAGGCATGTCGGCAGGAGAAGTATAAAAGACCATAAGGGTAGTGGATTCCCGATGCTCCTGAGCCTCCCTCTCGGGACTGGTTGGCAACTGGGGGCCACCGCGTTTGATGAAACTGCCGTCTTTTGGTTCGCCGAAGTCGAAATCGACCACTATGATGGTCAGTAAAAAGCCGAGGTACGATTTGGAGGAATAACCTACTCGAAAGAGTATAACCATCTTGGTACACGGTCTCGCGAATACCACCAAGGTCCTCTTCTTCCAGTTCGTCCATATCTTTGTGAAGCTTAAGAACACTACCTTCGCCTTTAACGTCTCCGCGCGAACGCAATGACCCATCGCCAGGACCTAATTCTTCATCGGGATCGTGGGTGAATAGTCGAACTTCAGTAAGAGCATCATCCGACTTCCATGTCACGCGAAGTTTACGGCGCTCTTCTTTACGCAACCTCTTTGCTCGCTCAGCTTCAGTCTCCGGGGGCTGATCTTCGGCGGGCTTGGGGGTTGGCGCCTGCTTTGGTTTGTTCAAGTCGGCCATAATGTCACCAAAGGAGAAAGATGGTTTCGGGGCTGGTGTCTTTTCCTTTTCGGGAGCAGCACTATTCGAAGGGTTAATACAAATGAATCTCGGAGTCACTGCCTTCGTGGATACATACGTTGGCTTTGCTGCTGCCGCGGCGGCGGCCCTATCCGCATTCGTGGTCCCAGGTCTCTTTGACGCTGAGCTTAAAGTGCCGAAGAGACTTGTTGGCTTGGGAGCCACGATATTGGCTTTAGGTCGCAGCGCTGCAGCGCCGGTTGGCTTACTACTTTGTGCTCCTTTGGCTGGTCCATTGCCTGCGGGCGCAACTTTATTCACCTCCTTCGAGGCGTTGGGAACTGCCATTCGTTTTGCGCCAGGTTGCAGGTTGCTATCCGCCTCCCGGGGTCGCTTTACTCCAGTGTCTCCCTTAGGCTGGTCTGTTGAAAGGCTCTTTAGGTGCGGCTCTTCTTTGGCAGGCTTTTCACCATCCTGCTTACGCTTCGTAGAGGACGCAGCATTATCCAGGATCTTCTGTGTGAGGTCCTTAACCTGCTGGCCACCTTTTTTGAGGAACTTAGGCAGCAATTTGGACAGATTGGTCTTTTGCAACAGGTCTTCTGTCAAAGTCGAGAAACGCGAGAAGAGCTTATTCGATATCAGTCAATCTATCCGACACGAAAAGACAAACTTCAAACTTACCGATAGCAGGTTAATAGTCAGAGTCCCGGCAAAGTCTGCCGCTTGGAAACGGTCGAGCAAGAAGGAATATAGAGCTGCCACAATCATAGGGTGCTCTCCCAGCCTACATGGAATTAACAATTAGTCATTTGGGCTCAATTATGTCAATGTTTGAAGTTTCTTTTTGGCACACAAAGCTGCAAGCTTGAGCCAATTTTAGATAGGAGTGATTCCCCCTCAATGAGATCCACAGATAGCTTGCTAAGGGCATATCTGAGACTCAATAGGATGAGACCATGTTGCTCCATCTGATATTCTTATATATGTGCCCAGGACACGCATGAAGCCATGCCAACCGGTGAATATTCATTGAAGCATGCCAACCGGTGACAGCCCTGCCAACCGGCGAACATGAATCCATGCCAACCGGCGACAGGCTTGCCAATCGGTGAATATCCATTAAAGCATGCCAACCGGTGACAGCCCTGCCAACCGGCGAATGGGAGCGAATGGACCTTTATTCTAGCCCGTGACAGTGCTGTCATATCTAATGCTTCCAAGAATATTTATAGAGGTTCTCAAATAGCTTCAGGATTTGTGCGGCCATCACAGCCAGATGGAAAGGAGGGAATATATGGGAGTTAGGAGGGGAGGGTGATACATACTTCTTAATAATATTGGGATGGCCCATTTCCAGCGTTGTGGTCGCAATTTTGTCCATGGTGCGACGTTGGGAAATGACCTTTTCCTTGAGTTTTGTTGCTTTCTCGTTGTCCTCTTGGTTTTCGGCTAGTTTCATCGCCTGAACTTGTTCTTTCCAAGCATCTCTCAATGATTTGACAAGCTCTTTGTAGGCTACTAGCGCGGTCTTGACCCTCTCCGAACCAGGCCATTTGTTCCTTGGTGACCACACGGCTTGGAGGGTGTCATATTCCGCGGCAGCCTCGGGCTCAGTCGGACGAATCGGGGGGGATAGGAGACGGCTCGTCAGGTGCTTCAATCTCAAGATCGGATTCATCCGAACTTTCACTGTCTGACTTAGATACAGTTCTGGTTTGGCCATGTGCAGAAGTCTTCTTTGTTTGCTGCTTATTAGAAGCTCCCTTCTTATTGGTGATTACAACTTCCGGTACTGGTAATCCTAGGAAAAGTCAGTATTAATCCCAATTTAATGGATTTTGACCGTCTGGACACACCTCTAGGCTGAAGCACAGAGTCGCCAGTTGGTGTCATCTGCGGCTGAACTGAAAGATCATGCTGGTAGTAATTGAATAGCCTGGCCCTTCAGAAGGTCAGCCATGGCATTTCGAAAAACAAAACTAATTTGTCATAACTTACTGTTCACTCCCTTGTCGTTGGAAATCCGCAGGCATTCCCTGAAGAAAGTTGCTTGTCAACGAAGACTGCTGTTGATTGAATGCCTGGGGGGGTGGAATTTAGGAACTGGGGGTTAATGGTGACATTTGGGTCTGTGTCAGGGTAGTCGTTGGTCAAATCAATTGTGTTTTGCTATCTATAGTTAGAGTCACGGTCGCCATGGAGGACGCTTAGGGTCAGCTTACCAGCATTTCTGAGGAGTACCCTTGAGGTAAAGGGTATGGAGAAACCGATGGCTGGGGTTGTGGTTGCGGCCGTGGCTGTATTCTCTCTGCGGCGCTGGTGCCTCGGGAAAAGTGTCTGGCACTGAGATATGTGGGTGTTGTGGGTGGAAGTAATTTGGCTGGTAGGAAAATGACGGAAACGCCGAAGATTCGGATGCGTTCAGGGGATGGGGGTCAAAGGACATCTGTCCCTGCTGGAAATGAGAAGCTTGTGGATGTATCTGATACTGGGCCGAAGCTCCATATCCTCGTTGCGGTGGCTGTTGCAGAGGATTTGCTTGTTGCCAAGGCTGATGCACTGATGAGTAAATGCCATGGTTTGGGTCTGCCCGTGGGGCTATTTCTCTCTGTTGCTGTTGGAAAACAGGATGGTCCCATCCGATGCCAAGAGAAGTTTGTTGTGATGCAGAATCGTGCTGCTGCTGAGGTTGATGTTGAGGTTGTGGCTGCTGAAGCTGTTGCTCAGGGTCAGGGTAGGCGGGATCAAGGGTGCTCCAGTAATCTGCGGGTAGTGAGGAGTTCCCATGCGATAAGCCCTGCATGGGGTTTTGAGCCGATTGCTCCATGGTGAGCCTCAGTCGAAGCTTCTCTGAGCAACTATGAAGGCTCACGTAATCACGTGCACGCACTTGCCTGGATAGGCCTGGAGTTTATTTTGATGCTCACCGCCTTTTATTTTTGGAAGAAAGTGGACCGGGGATTCCGGGAGGAGAAATATTTTTTCCGATGATGATGTGAGATGATTGGCTGATTGTCTGGTGACGCGGCAGAACAGGGGCCCTGTTGCGCTGCTGGTCTGAAGAATTGATAAGGATTAGACAATTCACAGTTTGATACGCCTAGAGTGGACTTCAAGTGTTGCAGTATGAGTACTGTCGTACCTTATGAGAGAAAACAGAGACTGCTTTTGGCTTTGACTCAGGATTAAAGTGGTGTATGCCTCAGGCAACAACCGCGTTCCCCAGTGCGAGTGACGCCGTTACCTTTTGGCCTTGCAGCTTAATGACGAAGGCTCCGCAGTTGCGAATACAACGTAGAAGTATTAAGATGGCCCAGCTTTTCAATTCCAGTGCCTTTTTCCTTGTGTCCTTGACTTTGTATCTCCTCCTTCCTCTCTTCCTGGGCCGTTCCTGTTGTCCCTGTAGGGCCTTTCGCTCTCCTTTCTTGTTCTTAAGTTTTGTTCCAAAAGAAAGTCCTTGCGGAATCAGAGAAGAAAAAAGCTCTCATACGAAGGGCCACTCTAGCGGCACAGCCACTCGCTTTACGGAAAAAAAGAAGGGATTGGGGGAAAGTGTTGAGGGATGGTTAGAGTAGATGACTTGGGTTGAAGAAGAGAGTAAAAGGGACAAAAGCTGCTGGCAAGGCGGTTAACCGATGGTACGATGGCATACCATACTTAACCGTAATCGTTGTATTGAACACCCTCCAATGGCCTACCGCCATGTAACTTACAGCACCTGTGTTACATGGCAGAATCAAATGTGATCTTGGATGTTTGCAGTGTTTGCAACATTTATGTCAGCGCAGCTCAGCGGGATCCATGCCAGGTGGAGCGATAGCAAGAACCCCGGTGTCAACAGTGCAAGGTACAACCTCATCCTTATTCTAAGAGTTGCGCATATTCCAGCTATTTTTCTGCGCAGCTCTGAACTTTTCCAAGCTTTGGTGGAAACCGAGCATCTCTCCCAATCTCACACAGCGCTGCCAGCTATTGCCATGGCGCAATCCATGTCCCTCCGAGACCGACAGGTTGGTAAGTGACGCAAGCTGGATTCTTGTTATGAATTGACCTTTAATGATCTCTTGGCTTTTAGCATCAATTCAAAAGCTGTTGAACTTGAATCATGATCCACAACCGGTTGAAGACATCACCATCGATCAGTCCGGGTCCGGTGGCCTTATCTCCCACTCCACTCCGATCTTGAATGAAGATGGTGACCCCATCTGGAAGGTCTTGGTGTTTGATAAAATGGGCCGAGATGTTATTAGCAGTGTCCTGAGGGTAAACGACCTTCGGGCATGGGGCATAACTATTCATCTGTACGGTCGACGCCTTCTCCCCCTAAATTGGCCCAATCGCTAACGAGGACTCACTCCTAGAAACCTTCATTCACAAAGATACCCTATTCCAGATGTCCCGGTTGTATATTTCGTGGAACCTACCCCCGATAATATCCAAGCGATCACTCGCGACCTTTCTCATGGGCTCTACTCCCCAGCCTACGTGAACTTCCTATCCTCCGTCCCGCGGCCACTTCTCGAGGATTTCGCTTCTCAAATAGTTACTTCTGGCGCATCTGAGCATATTGCGCAGGTTTTCGATCAATATCTCAACTTCATTGTGGCAGAGCCGGACCTCTTCAGTCTAGGGCTTGGAAACGATGCATACTACAAGATCAACAGTCCAAAAACGAGTGATGAAGACCTGGATGGGATTGTTGACAGCGTGGTTAGCGGCTTGTTTAGTGTCAGCGTGACAATGGGTAAGTATTATATCCCACCTTGGATCATCGAAGGAAGTTCTGACTGGCTGGGCAGGTACTATTCCAATCATACGGTGCCCCAAGGGTGGTGCGGCGGAATTGATAGCAACAAAACTGGATCGGAAACTACGAGACCACATCCTCAACTCCAAAGACAACCTCTTTTCGGGCAATCAGAACGCTTTGCCGGGAGTGCCATCCGCACGGCCGGTCCTAATCGTCATGGACCGAAATGTTGATCTAGTCCCCATGCTCTCCCACTCGTGGACATATCAATCACTGGTCCAGGATGTTCTTGAAATGCGCTTGAATCGAATCACCGTGGATGCAGGTGCAGGAGAGGCGGGCTCGGCTAAGGGTTCCAAAAAGTCGTATGACTTGAACAGTACCGACTTCTTCTGGCAGCGTAACGCCGGAGCCCCATTCCCCCAAGTGGCTGAGGATATCGATGCTGAGCTTACGCGGTACAAGGATGATGCGAATGAGATTACAAAAAAGACAGGGGCCTCTTCAATTGAAGATCTCCAGAACGACACCAGCGCCTCCGCGCAACATCTCAAGGCCGCCATCACACTTCTCCCTGAGTTGCGGGAACGCAAGGCAGTTCTTGATATGCACATGAACATTGCCACCGCACTGCTCAAGGGTATCAAGGATCGGCAGTTGGACAACTTCTTCGAGCTAGAAGAGACCGTCACCAAACAATCAAAGTCACAGATCTTGGAACTCATCAATGATCCTTCTAAAGGAAGTGAACCATTGGACAAGCTGCGCTTGTTCGTGATCTGGTTCCTCAGCACTGAAACTGAGCTCAGCCGCTCAGAAATGACTCAGTTCGAAGAGGCCCTGACCAAAGCCGGCGTGCCCGATATTTCCTCGCTTGCCTATGTCCGCCAAGTGCGCGAGATCACTCGTATGACCATGATGACAACAGCCGCTCCAGAACAACAATCCTCCGATCTATTCCGTGGGTTCTCCTCACTTTCCAATCGCCTGACGGATCGCATTACATCGGGCGCTTTAGGTGCCAATTTCGACTCGCTTATCTCAGGGGTAAAGAATTTCCTACCAGCGAACAAGGATCTTACTGTGACCAAGATTACCGAGTCGATCATGGACCCGGCTGCTGCTTCAAGCTCTGCTATTGCAAAGACCGAAAACTACCTTTACTTTGACCCGAGGAGCGCCAACGCCCGTGGCGCCATGCCTCCGGCGTCCGCATCGCGAAACCCGCAAATGCCTGGTGGGATTGGCAGCGCAGGCCCTGGCACCGGTGCCAGTTTCGGACAGCGTCGCCAAGCTTTCAGCGAGGCTATTGTCTTTACAGTTGGCGGTGGAAGCATGGACGAGTACGGCAACTTGCAGGAATGGGTTCGCCGAACAAATGGCCAAGCGGGCGCCGAGGGTGCGCCAGTTCAACGTGCAGCACCTGGACATCGCCGAAGAGTTGTCTATGGAAGCACAGACCTGATGAACGCCACTGAATTCCTGTCAGATTCATTGGCACCTCTCGGTCGGGATAGCTAAATGTAATTGTGGCTAGGGTCGACATCAACATAGAGCCAGCCTGATGGTTGTAAAACATAGTATAATTGAAGCGCTCTGAGGCGTCTATGTCTAATGGCTTTCCTTTCTTAGCATTGACTACTGCTTTAGCGTTTTTGCTCCTTTTTTTCCCTGGCATTCAACATCCAATCCCACCAATGAATATACCTATTCCAGGCAGATGGGGACATATCGAACTCCACCTAATACTCCACCTAATGTTCATGCTAATCCCAAGGTCTCCCCGCGGTCTCGATCAAACCATATTGGGTAAAGCGAAATGAACAGAACTCTCTCGAGTCTAGTCAATTTCACGGCATCATTTTGGAAATCTACAGAAACTCGTGAATATCTGGCACTTGTGGGGTTGAATGTGATCATCTATCAATTCTATGGGGTATCGAAGTATACACCATCATTCCGCCTTCTGCGGCAACAGTCTGGAACCTGATGCCCCAGCGAATTCGATCAATCAGAACTATTTCCAAAATATGTGCGACTTTGGAATCTAGCTTCTTTTCTCGTTCAACTGGATTGCCTCACTTGGCGAATCCTCCATGGTCGCACAAGTGATGTCAAGGCAATATCATCATCCTGGGATCTAACGCCACGACGAGGATATAAGAATCAGACTAACCTGGTGCTTTTTACTATCCAAAAAAATCAAACAAAGAACAATACAGAAAAGAATAACTACTCAACAACTCTGTTGAAAACATCGTCAAGATGACCAACTACGGAGACACCTGGAATACAACCTACGACACCTACGACACCGCAGGATCCGCCTACAATCCTGCGGGCACCTCAACTTATAATCCTACGGGCACCTCAACCTATAATACCTTGGGCTCAACCTACAGCCCCTCGGGCTACGGCACCTACGGCACCAGGGACTACGGCACAGTGGGCTACGGTTCCAATGCCACTGCTTCGACTTATGATACCGACACCGGCCGCGGCACAACCTCCTACGACCCTGCCACCGGCGCCTACGACCAGCATCTTGATTACAACACTCCCACCGGCCGCCGACACCACCGCGAGCGCGTGAACTCGGCTGGCACCTATCGTCACCGCGATGTTGACAGATATGATGACGGATCTACCCGTGTCCACAAGGAGTATGACAATCCAAACACGGGTACTAGCTACCACCGTGACTTTGAGCGTTAAGGCGCTCATTTAGGAGGATTCGCGTTGGGTTTCGACCCAAGCTTGTATATATATCGGCATGAGACCACGAACCTGTTATGAATCTAACAAAACAGATGAAAAAGGCCCAAAAAAAAAAGGTGAAAACCAAAAAAAAAAAAACCAAAAAAAATCTGATCTGTGTCCTCCATTTTAGCGACTACCTGTAAATAGCGCTCGTTTCTGTCATTTCTTGTTTCTGTCACTCGTTTCTATTTCCGTCTGTCGTTTCTGCTTGGGTCGAATTGTGTACATATATAGTCTGGTTTCATTGGGGGCGAAGGTATGGCTTCAATCAAATCAGACAAGAATGCAAATAAAACAAGGATAAATCCTAAACTACTTCCTTTGTATGTTGTATGTATGATATGCTATCGAGGTATATATTGCTAAATGAATACATGTAATGATAACTGGATAAATTTGCCCAGGTGGCTTTACTGTAGGTATATATTTAGACACGACATATGATAAGATGAGCCTATATACACACATCTAAACTAAATGAAATCAATATAAATGGAACCATGTCCACTCCTAGTCCCTATAAATGAAATGTATGAATATCAAATCTCGTTGAGACCTCTTGGCAAAGATGCCTCAGGCCTCCAGAGCCAATGCAAGGCTGACTCCACATCGTAGCACTTCCCTCCGATCAACTCTCAACTTTATTCTGTACAGCCAACGGATGTTGTGCTGAAACAGCTTCTACTCCAGCTTCTCATGCCCCCGTGATCATGTCGCGGAGGACGCTGGGTGGAGGTCGTGTTCTGGGCAACCCAAGCGCTCTCACAACTCCGTCCCCGCAGCCGAAGCGGGTGCTCTCGCCGACCGCCAGCAGCGTTTCCCTTAATTCACAGGCCGCATCACAGCTCTCAACAGAAACTCAGGATCTCACTTCGCGCATTTCAATAGAGAATGGCGAATCTTCGATATCTGCCGCCCCGGCTGCTCCGGGGGCTGAGCTCTCCTGTCCGATCTGCAGCGAACAGATGGTATGCTTGTTCCTATGCCCTATCTATTTCTTAAAGATAAAGTGGGAAGATACTAACTTGTATCCAGATGACTTTGCTGCAGCTAAATAGGTACCGATCTATCATTCCCCCTCACGAGCGCCTTAACGTATGATTAATTTGACCGCAGGCATCTCGACGATATCCATCAGAACCTAGAAGATAGCCACCAGGATGAAGTCAAAGACTGGTTCAAGGTCCAAATGGAAAAGGCAAGGAAATTTCAACCTCTAGCTGTGCTGAATCAGAAGTTGAAAGGCCTGGATGTGTTCGAATCAAACGAGAATCAGAGCGCGTCTCTCCCCAGCCGCCCACTAGCATCCCATGCAGGCGTCCCCGAACCTCCGAGAGTACTAGACCCCGAAGATCTCATCACAAAAGAACACTGGCAAACAAGTTCTATGTACGACGAGTGTCTAGAACCATCATGTGGGAAACGATTGAATGCCACCAACGGCTGCGTGAACTGTCGGAGTTGCGGGAAACTGTTTTGTGAAGAACACACGATGTACCAAATGAAGCTCTCGCGGTCGGCACATCATGAACCGGTGCGAGGAATATGGGCTCGAGTATGCGAAACTTGCTACAAGTCAAGAGAGGGGTACAATGATCATAATGGTAAGTACATTGGCGTTCGGTTCTGGACCAAGCTAAGCAGGCAACAGGAACCGTGAGGAACCAAATGGATGCGTTCAAGTCAATAAGAAAACAGACTGTCGATAAGGAATTTTTGGAGATTTCCCGACTCGAGAAACGACTCACCCGTCTCACCCAGCTGTTGGCTAGTCTACCCCCAGATCAAATACACCCCAGTGCAACCAAGCTTTTCTCTCTTGCGTGGCAAAATGACCAACGGAAGGAAATAGAGCAAACGATTGTCAGCTGGCAAGATGATGCCAGCGTTTCACGATGTCCATTTTGCCAACAGGACTTTTCGGGCTACACATTTCGCAGACACCACTGCAGGACTTGTGGACGAGTCGTCTGCGGCGACCCTAGCACCGAGTGCTCTAGTGAGGTTGGGCTGAGCATTGCTCCTGGTGAGTTTTGAGATGACCTTGCCTTGTGACTTTGGTCTAATTTCCCACAGGCTCGACAGCGACAGCGACCTCTGAGAAAACCAATGCCGATAACCTTGTCAATATTGATGTACGGTTGTGTAAGGAATGCAAAGCGACGCTGTTTGATCGACGCGACTTTAAAGCAGACATGATGCGAAAGCCACCGGAGATCAGGGCCTATGAGAACTTGACCCAATTTGAGAGGGGCATCCGCCTTCATCTACCGAGATTCCAAAAGCTGTTGGCAGCTTTACAGTATGTTTTTCGCTTCTGGTGTCCTACTCCGTCCCTAACAGCATTGTACCAGGGATCCAAGACGACCTCCATCATCGGCTCAAATTGCAGATGCATCCAAGGTGCGCAAGCGACTGATTGACTCTTTTGCGCAGTATGATGTTGCGGCTCGACGTATCCGTGACATGCCAACCCAGTCCCCCACACAACAAAAGCTGCAGAAGGCTATATATCAGCAAGCCAGCAACTTCCTTCACCTCCATATGTTACCTTTGAAATCCCTCCCCAAAATCCTTAAACATACAAACCCCGCATCCGAAAGAATACCCAGCCGAACAAGCTCCCCGAGTACTCCGGTCAGTGGATCTACGGCAGGTCTCCGGCCACCAGAGTCTGCTCTATCATCCATCAAGTACAACAGCGTTGCCGCCAGTGGTAGCAATACTAGCTTATCCAGCGATACCAGCAGTGCTGTCTCAGCCCTGGAAGCTGAGGAAAAGTCTCTCCGAGACCGGCTGATCGTGCTAGAAGAGCAGAAGTTCTTTGTGTCCGAGATGATCGCCGATGCCAACCGGCGGCGCAAATTCGATGAAGTGAGCAGCCTAGCAATGAACGTCGAGGATCTGAGTCGTGAGATCGACCGCGTTAGTGGGATGCTCGCAAGTCTCGACTTCGAAGGTGTTTACACGGGGAATTTGCAGCCAACTTCTTGACTTGAATATTGATTATCGGGATTGGGGTTGGATTTCCGTTCGCACGCTATCTGTACATCTTCCTTACGTCTTTTGGTCTTCCGCCCGTCTACTCTCGCCTGCGCCTTTTTTTTAAAAAAATCTTGGTGTTCTGGCGTTCGAGCAATTTGCTTTACGATGATATGTGCATAGCATCGGGCGTTGGTTCTTTCTAGGATATATACAATCAATGGCTTTTCTATACGTATATTGGCTATTCTTTCGTGTTTTGGATGGTTTAGAAATTGTTTATATGTCAATTATAGAGATCATATATCCATTCACTCGATCAATAGCCTACTCGCAGGAGTCGAGACCTTTCTCACGCGTTAAACAGAAGCAACACACAGAAGAATAAGGACGCAAAGATGTCCCACGACGTAGAACACATACCCACACGCCAGCACAATAAAAAACGCTCCCTCCACCACAGCTTTGGCCACATCTTTGGTTCCTTTCCCCACAGCCTTGGCACCTTTCTTCACAGCTTTGGCGCCTTTCCGCATAGCTTTGGAAAAGCCTCGAAAACTAGCCATGGTAAAGACTGAGAAAGAGGAATTTGTAAACGGTGCTGAAGTAGGACACGAATGAGAGCGTGTCGACAGAGGAATAGAGAGAGGATTGAGGGGTGGAAACACAGGATGCTATACCTTTAGTATAGAGAGGTAACAGAGGAAGCGATCTGTGTAGCACCAACGTGTTGACGAGTAGGCAAGGAGAGATCGAGGTCCCGAGCTGTAATTTGGAGGTAACTATGTGCCTACTACGACTACCATGAAGCGATCTATATACTACGGTGCTAAGCTGCTCCACGGGGACAAAGATACAAAGAAACAAAGACCCGGGTCTAACAAGCTACAATGCCTCACAAGCATAACAGACAATGAAATGCATCAGATGAAACGATCCTTTAATGAAGGTGTTTCAAGCCTGTTTCTAAGGAAACAAAGAACATCGTTCTACCGTCTTCGTGAAAATCGAGGTTATTTCTAACTACGCTCTACCATTCGTACAAATTTGTGGTATAAACTATTTCCATTCTTGCGTATAATATACACCTTGGTCTTCGACCTACTATTGAACTCACCCAACCCTGGACGTACACCTGGATGCTGACGGGCCGGGAGCGGCGGGACCCTAGTAGTGGACGAGACAACATCACTATTGTCTTAACCTCCGGCACGCAAGCAATCGTCGATTGGCTCAAAAGTTATCCCTGAAATAGCCCACCAGCTCAGGACCCGACTCAGTGACGTTGTCGTACAAAGCAGCATGGTCCCGTCCCTCAATGATGAAAAGCTCCTTTGGCTCCTTCGCGACCTTGATAGCATCCTCGCTGTGGAATTTCGTGCTAGCATCGGCACCAGCAATCATCAAAAGAGGACGAGGCGAAATTAGGTAGTTGAAAGCGTAGGCGTCAAAGTTCGCCAAAAGATCCACACTTCTGGTTGCAAACAGACCAGGTGCACGTTCGTGCTGACCACGCGGCGTTTTATAGTATTCCGCCAATTCTTTGACAATGGGTGGGTATTCTGGGGGGCACATCTTGAACGGTTGGAGGAAGGGAAGGGGTAATTGGAATCTGCTGCCCGTTTGCTTCGGTGATTCGGGCTTCGTTTGCTTGGAGGTCATCAATAGATCTTGATGATACGGAACTTGGCTAACTCCGAGATTATCGACGTCGTAAACATTGGAAATTATGCACAACACATGCATATCTTCGACATATAATTATGATATTCCCATAGATATATCCAAAAAGAAAAGAAAAGAGCAAAAAAGAAATCTCAAGTTTTTTTTAGGAATAGCCGAACGCGGGGGTCGAACCCGCAGCCTTAAGATTAAGAGTCTTACGCTCTACCGATTGAGCTAGCCCGGCCGGGCTGTTGAAGAGAGGAGCGATAAAGTGTCTGATGAAGCAAAACGATACCGTTGAAGCTATGTGGGAATATAGACTTCCGAGGCTGCATGGTGGCGGCTCTTAGCGCATGCAGTCCCGTTTGGGATATCTGAATAGTGGACAGGGGATAAAATACATACACATGGTATACTATTTGTACTATTTACTACGTACCTAGGTATGTATCCATGGGTGTAATAATATGCAGGGAAACCCTTATTCTTCGATTCCTAAAGAAAGTATATATATACTCTCCGTCCGCACCCACCTCGACTGCCCAGGTGGTATATCATCCACACCCTTCCTGACTCATCATCACTCTCATCTCTCTTTCCTCTCGTCAACTCCCATCGGCAACATTAAGAGCTGTGGACCAAATTTGTGAATTACCTTAATGACAGAGCTCACTTATGATGATGCCAAGACCATGTAAGTGTTGGATATTTGAGTCGCATATATACCGAGATACCGATTATAATGAGCTAATTATTCTTGGACATATCTGTGTAACACGTAAATCATCGACCTCAAGCCATTCGGAGACATGACCTACACCTGCCGGGGTACGGTTAGGTCTCACTGCCATCACGATAGCACCGACTGGACCTGGCGATAGCCCTACGTGGCATTGCTATAGCTCTCCATCGTGCCAAGGGAATGAGTCACGAAACCATCAATAACAATTGAATCTGACCCAGACGACAAAAATCTGCAATCCGAGAGCCCTGCATAACGGGGGATTCACCACATGAATCCCAGATCTAGTGAACCTACAAGACGTTGGTAATACCACGGGTCTGAAACCGGGCGAACCCAAGGCTCCTTGGATACCCTACAATGATATTCAGAAAACCGAAAGGCAACCACCAAGGCGCAAAATAGCGCGCCCGCTTCGTGGACTGCAAAGTTTGGGCTGCGACTATGGCCTTTCAAGTACCTACCTAGGTACGAGCACGCGGAGCATGCGATCTTCTTGAGGCAGTTGAATACTTCCCCCCCTCTTAGTGGGTCGTGGGAAGTATGGTATTCCCATCCATACTCCCGTCGACATTTTGCACGCCGACCAAGCCCCAACGCCTAGGGACTCCTTCATCCAACCACATCCCAGCTTTCGACGAAGCAAAGCATGTTTCATGTATGTATCCTAGCAAGTCATGCAAATCCTGTCCAATCAGAATATGTCATGGGTTATGGGTCATTGGGACTATGCGGAAACGTGATAATGGGTGGTATCCCTGTTTATATTATCCAAGGAGACCTCCGGGCCTGAAGCCAACCAAAAGAAAAGGCCAAGGCCAAGGAAAACTAGTCCTCAGACTCTCTGCTCGAAAATGAACACAGTTAATTGTCATGGGCAATGTACTTGACACACATAGTAGTATTGCGAAATTATTAAAGTTTAGATATATTAAAGTCTATCTAACTACCCGGACAGCGACTTATGATGTCTGATCCTCCGAAACATAAAACGTTTTTTGAACATTCACACCCTGAAAGAATGTGCCGCCGTTCGTCGGGTTCAGATCTTCCTGGCTACTCGCCCGGCTAGTCGCTGACCCATTCGACGTTTGAATTGTCGTAATCACATGTTGATCTTCCCGACCTAGGTCTGGCCGCCAGTATTGCGGACCGGACGAGGCGGAGCGTGTTCCGTTGACGCTTGAGAGAGGCACGCTGCCGCCCGTGCGCTTGGTTCTGCTCTTGCTTCCTCCCGCCGAGCTCGGGTCGCGGAACCAGCGGAATAAGGGTCGAAGGGTTACCAGACTGCCTGCGGCGATTCCCAGGCTGGCTTCGACATTGGACCAGATTGAGATGTTGGCGGTTGCGTCTATTGAGATTGACTGATGTTAGTTGCTGCTTTCCACTCTCCGTTGATTTTACCGGGTGCATGTAAACCAGAGGGATAGAAACTCACACAGGAAGTCGTCGTCCTTGTAGTCGTGTAAGAAGGGGATGCGAACGATGACTGCTGCGCTCGCACTAAATCCCAATAGGTCAGTACTGAGTTCGATTCCAAGGGATCAAAGGGTAGACATACATGCATCCCATTCCCAGAATGCCCGCCAAGGCACACTTGGTCCTCACATTCATATGTAAATTCCACACTAGGGCAATAGGCAAAAGACCCAGGGTCAGATCACACAAAGTAGCTGTGACACTGTAGACATAGGCTATGGCAATGATATGATCAAGGTTCATGCAGGTGCCAGAAACATCAGCACGAGGGTCCGCCAAAAGGCGAACTTGTTGCCAGAAGAACTCAACTGGTTGACATTGCAGTGTCAACATGAACCAGAAGACAATACCAATAACACAAGTGACGCCAATAACAGCCCATAACACGAGTTTATGTGGCTTGGAAACCGTCAAGCGGAGGAGGGCCAATGCGATAGAGATCTTGGCCAACGCACAGGTCCAGACATAGCTAGTTTGACCAAGCCACCACCACTTTTGGGAAATATTTAGCATGTGATTCTTATCTCGTAAGTGAAGGTTGGAGTCGAATGTCAACATACAAACATTGCGGTTTCCATCGTACCCCTCAGCACGAGATCCTTAGATCTTTGCCCAATTCCATACAATGCGCCAGTGATACCGCATATAGCGAACAAGATGTTCAGCAACTGTCAATCCATCAGTCCCGACCTCAGTTGTGCCTGGAAACCCATCATACATACCATAGCGCATACCATAAATGTATCATCCCAGCCAAAGGCCTTGACGAGTCGAATCCGCACGAAGCATCGTAGACATACGGCAATAAATGAGATTCCAAGGAAGATGGTAGTAATGATGAAGATCGACTGGCTGCGACCTTCGAGGGGCAACATGTTGACCCGGAGAATGAATATATGGTTACCAATTCATGACACACGTACGGTTTCCCTACAAAGTATGCAAGGATGTCCGAAGGTCCGAAGGAACAACAAGAATAAGATATATTAAAGAGAGAAAAATGCTACAATAAGAGAAAACCCACCGCGCAGATCAAGCCTTACGATCACGGGCATGGCGAGAACGGGCCAAGAGAGAGGGGCCAATGCGGGTTCTCGTGTTTGCTGTTTTCCGTAAAAAGAAGGCGGGAAAAGGCGCAAGAAAAAATAGGCAAAATAGGAAAATAAAATAAAATAAAATAAAGTAACCAGAATGACCTCAGGAGCGAACGGGCGACAGACACACTTCCAAGGTTTAAGATGGGAGGCAGCCCTGGAGCTGCTAGGAACCTTGGAACAATGGGCCCTGGCACCGGGCAGAGTTTAGGAGTTTCTAACCTTGGAACGTTGAAGGTTTCACATGTGCGGGAAGGAAATGTCAAACCCCCCCCCCCCCAAAAAAAAGAAAAAGAAAAAAGAAATATGCTAGAGATACCTCTTTTCCAATAGCTTCCCATGTTGCAGGGTTCTCTCATGCAAAGAGACGGAATCAAACCTTCGAGAAAAAAAAATCTCACCCAACCATGTGGAAGCCACCTGCAGGGCAATTGTTCTGAATACAGGAGCCATGGGTTTCAAATGCCACCCGCTTACCTAGGTAAGCCTCTCGCTACTACTCGTACATACAGAGTACAATGTATCGAACATATTCGAAGCACGCACAGGCCTCTTTTCTCCTCGGGTCCAGCCAAACAGTTTGCTCCACTCTGATTACCACCAATCAAATCTAACCGGTGGAGTCGATGGCTTGAAAAGATCCAAGTCAGTGATACTACCACGATGCTACCGTGATGCTAGTGCCGGGACTATTCTATAACGGGTAGTCACTGCTGATAATCCGTTTTGAAGTCTCCAGCCTTGGAAGATTCCAACCAATGTCTTCTTTGTTCTCAGGGGGAGCACTCCTGTCAATCCCAAACTCAGTTGAGCCGGGCTGAAGTCTCTATTGCGGCTATTGCAGGCGACCCTTGTCTACCTTGTCGAAGGCCTGTTATGTGCATTGCCACGGAAAATACTGGCAATATTTGGCGATAGGGCCACACTCGACCAAAGTCCCATCTAAAGGGATGCACCGACCTGGAGTTTGTTTCGATACTCCGCATCGAGATCTGATCATGCAAATCGCCTTGAGGTTCTCAAGGGGGTATATTGTACTCCGTAATCGAGAAGCATTCGATCAGCGGAGACCTCGGCAGACGACCTCATTATTGTGGATTGTCGGAGATTACCTGATACTACTTCCGCGGACCCCACAAGCAACACGGCATTGCCATGCCTGCATGGTCACAGTTTTGTACAATGTATGTTGTATAGCTAACTGCATACTCTGTACGGAGTATACTTGTTCATCATTACCATCTTGGTCTTACAATACAGGAACCCCGGAATAACTTATAGCCCCAATCGCCAATCTAACAATCTACTATGGGTCTCCAGCAAATCGGACTCTTTAGGCCATCCTTACCACCGGTCCATAATTCAAGAGATTAGCTGCAATATAATCTCGGTACGGAGTACGGAGTACATAACCCACAAATGTTCTTGGCATATGGGTCTTCCAAACTGGGCCTGCCAAACTGCGTGCCGAGACAAAGCTATACTCCCTCCAACCATGGATCGCAGTATAAGATGGGGCTCTACTATTTGGTGAAGGGTTCGGCAGATCAAATGAAATTCGTACTCCGCACATGCACAAAGGATATACATATGTACATATGTAGTAACCGGTACCGAGTTACCTCCTACAACATAAATACGGAGTACTCCGTACTGGTCTTGGGGTTTTGGGGAGCACGTGGTGGGGCTGAGATGGAGCTGGTTCTCTGCCAAGTCTGCCCAAGTCCACGGCTCGTGAGGCTGGCCTCGGGTGTACTGCCTGCTTTTTGGAGATGGGACATAAGCGAATAAGCGAAGAATACGTTGTGGAATTGGTAGCAGAGCTTCAAGCTTACTATGACGTACGTTGCGAGCTGTCTTGCCGTCTCCCCATTCAAACATATAGACCAATTGGTCAGCTAGTCATTTCTCTACCTTCTTCCATGTGACATCTACTTATGAATCGACGGGCCCCATCCCGAGGTCTCCAAGGCTGCGCTCAGATCTCTACCCCAGATATGCCATGCTCTAGGTAGATTCCTTGACGACCAAAACAGTGAATTCGCTACAGAATACAAACTCGCATGCTTGAATGAAGCCAAATCGAATATTTACATATCAACTTGCACAGAGCACATCTTTAATCAAGTGGCAAGGCCTCCAGGGCAAATTTACTTCCACTGAGCAGGCTTGGTAGCCTGGAAAGCCTTCAGGATGGAGATCACCTTCTCCAAAGCAGCGACCTCCTTGGCCATCGCGGCAGCAACCTTGGCCTGATCCTCACCCAGCTTCGTGTAGAAGTCCTTGCGGTATGGGGTGGCAGACATGGCAGCACTGAAGATGGGCTTGACAATGAAGGAGTGGTGGGGCTTGAGGGTGTTGCCGTAGGCACCACGGAAGGAGTCAGAGAGCTCTGAGGAGGAGTTGTCGATGTTGTGACGGAGGGCTTGGACGGTGAAGTCGAGGCCTCTGTTGAGAAGGATAACAATTAGTCAATTGTTCATGCAGATTTGTGTATATGGAAGAGATGCCATTGCAATTGGCCTCTTCCGTCACAATCAAGACATGTAAACATACCGGACCAGCCAGACCAGACCTTCAGTGGCAACGTGCTTGCCGGTCTTCAATTCGTTCAGAACAAGGGCCTGCAGGGTCTCAGACTCCGCAGGAGCTGCCTGCTGACGCTCACGGACTTTCTAGAGGGGGTTTTAGAATGTGTCGGTACCGGCGATATAATGTATTGGACGAACCTTGATGTTGCCGAGCAGGTCATTCTTGACTGGGGTGAAAGCCGCAGAACCGAGGACGTCTAGACGTTTCTTGCATTAGTTTGAGGCAGGTCGATGCAAGGGAACAACACGCACCAAAGAGAGTCACCAGCGACTCAGCGGCCTCGAGGAACTCGGTGGTCGAGATGCCATCCTCCGCACCGATGGGGACATCAGCAAAGGACTTGGTGATGGTATCAAACCATGTTCCGTCAGCGGGGATAGCAGGCATTTTATAGAAGAATCTAAGCAGAAAATAGATAGTGGGAGAAAGGAGAAAAGAGCTCAATCAGGAGACCGTTGGATATTGTCAACTTCACCGCTGCTGCCACGCAAGCCAATAGCGGGGCACAAGGGATGTGGGGAGGATGCAAACAGTGTAAACATACCAACACCTTTGGAAGTGTCGACAATTTGTTTGTATCGTTTGCAGCATTTGCATGGAACTGGCAGCGACGTCATCGGATCACCTTACATCGAGATTGGCGATCGCGCTATGAACTTTACTTGGAATTCGTCGTGCCTGGGCCATCTGATTGCTCCTGCGTGTGTCTGGCGCATGCCATTTTGGTCCACGAGAGTACTACATAGTAGATTGTCATGAGCTCTCCACCGGACCAGGCCAATGGGTCGCGGCCAGAAACCGACCCAGGCTCGTCGTACCATGAACATTATCATGGCTTACAGACTGGTTCATATACAGATAAGCAGTTGGTATGTCTCTGTCTCTTGGGGTTTGAGTTACAAAACTGACCTAGTATTCCTTGACAGCGTCATGCTTCTGCCAACCATCTGCATATGACGAACCGGCGGTTTTTCGTCGGTCCAATCCCGGAAGGCTGGCTGCAAGGTCATCGCAAGTCCTGGTATAAGTCTCGACTAAAAATCAGAAACTATACATCGCAGACCGTCTCGTTTTCTGCGGGCCCTGTTGCGACCCATTACGACGAACATGGCGATCGGCCTGGCCCATTGTCACCTGATTTGGATGAAGAGGTTGCCCTGGCCCTAACCAACACAAACACGGAAGCTGTCGAGGGGCAATATGATGAGATTGAAACAGAGGCACAAGAAGTAGCTGCAGCAGAGCCTGTGGGGGAGCTCAGGACCCTAACTCACCCTGAAGCCGAGGCCAGCGGTGACGATCCCTCACCGGAAGAGGATACAGAGACTAGAGATCATAGCGGAGAAGACATCGGAGAGTATAGCGAAGGTGATAACGGAGGGGATGGTGGAGGGGATAGCGGAGAGGATACAGACAGCACACCTAAAGCCAGAACAAGGGGGCAGTACGACACATACGGCAATGATCTTGGTTCATCGTCGTTTGTCACCGCCAGAGAAGAGGTCGCCAGCTCTGCAGACACGGGACAATCAGTAGCTACCATACGAGCTAGCAGATTGGAACCGGCTGAACTGCGACCGAAGTCCCCAGGCTCACATAACACAAATTTGACTGGTCATTCTTCTCCCAATCGTCCAATCACCAATCCATCCACGGCTCCAAGCGAGGCCGATTCAACAACACAGTTGCTTCGAGACAACTACAAGGACAAAGGGAAGCAGAAAAGCAAGGCATCTGGCGTATCTAGAGCAACGCTTCAGCAACACGACCCACAGGATGAAGGTGATACTGGTGCGGATGCGCAAACCCAACGGAGAGTCACTAAGAAGATGGCAAAATTCAACGTGGATGATAAAATCAGACACAAGCAGCAAAAGATGCGCTCCAAAATAGCAAAGACCCAGGGTACAATATCTGCCAATCGACCTCACCGACGAAAAGTGCAAGATGGAGAGATTGTCAAAGCAGAGAAGATGCTGGTCTGCGTAGAGGAGACTCTACAGGACACGCTTCCCGCTGATTACACTGAGAACGACAGCCTGCGCATGGAAACACGGACAGTGGACAAATGGAGGGAGTTCCTCGTCGTATGCCGCAAAAGCTCTGCAGAGCATACGCCGTTTGCCATTCAGATGTACCGCACTCGTGTAATTCCTGATGTGCAACGTCCGAACAGCAAAACGCCTCCTTATTACGAAGTACGGCTCAATCACAAGGGTACCCATGTTAACTTCTATTCCCCTCTTGACAAGACCATTGTTATTTGGCATCCCCGCAAGCATGGAACCAAAATATTTATCCTTCGTCCAAAGTCTGCGGCACACTCTGCTGAATGGTACACTTTCATTCGCCAGGTGCTTGGATGGCGCCGTCCCACCTCACTCCCTATTCACGTCCCTGATCTGGGGGTTTCCCTCATTTTCAAAAATCCTTTCAGCCAGCTTGAGGCAGAACTAAAAGCAGATAATTCTGATAATGAGCACCTAGCAGCAGCTGCGGACCGGCCAGCAGTCGATAACAGATTTGCTGCCGCTACCATCATCCGAGGATGTATGGATATGCTCGAAGGACGTGCCGAGTGGGCCGAGGTCTTGAAAGCTTGGTCCAAGACCGAGAAGATGGGGCTCGCTTGGAAGCGGTACGACCGACTTGAATGGGTATTTGGAGTCAATGAGGAAAAGATGTACGGGGCCATGGGGATGCAATCCTCTCACGAGCTTGAGTTACGGCCAAGGCATCATTACTCTACTAAAACTAGGCATCGGGGCATACAGGAGGAGCCTGCTCCGATCGAAGGATTTCTAGTCCGTCTCACATCCCAGAAGGGTGTGCATCAGCGAATGAACAAGATGTTCTTCAAACGGCTGTACTTCTTTACGCAAGATCATTATTTGTTTTTCTGTCGGCCAGCCAAGGCATTCCCCCGCCACCGCCGAAATGTGCTCCCCAGAAGACGGAAGTGTACCAACTGCGCGTGAAATCTTGGATCAAATGCCGCTCTCCTGGGATGTCAATCCTTATCCACTTGAAAATGGCGAGATTACATGGCTCTCCAGTGGCAACCGGGAATTTGTCAAACGGCACGATGAAGAAGCTTACGCGCACGTGCAGAGGAATGTACACAATATCAGCCAGGCAGACGGGTATATCGACATGTGTCGGGTGAAAGAAGTCCGCGATGTCTATCGAGGTAGCTGCCCTGCAGACCCCAATATCCGGGAAGGACCTTCTGTGGACTTCAATCATGAACCCAGAGACTCACGACAAGATGACGGAGCAACGCGAGAGTTCGACGACGATAGGACATTTGAGATGGTTCTCGATAATGGCCTTGTCATTCGACTCCAGGCATACGATGCTGCCACACGGGGTGAATGGGTCAAACGACTCGATGCACTTGTCAAGTATTGGCACGCTCGCTGCACAGACGATGCCACGGAGCTACAGGCCGTACGGCAGCGCAACATCAAGCTGTTGGATATTGACGAAGCTATGGAATCCGTTGTCGGGCAGTTCGCGAAGAAGTGGGAAGTGAAGAAAGCTGAGGCATCTCCACATTTGCACAACATGTGTTCGCTGTCTGGTTGTCGGACTATCAAGGTAGGTTATCGCAGCATTCCATCAGATGATTACAAGCACAATCCACTGACAACACCAACAGATGTCCGGCCACCTCTATCGCAAGCCCCGTCGTCACACTACTTTCCACCAATGCGATGTCATCCTCACAGCAGGCAAGCTGTTAATTTTCCGGAGCACACTGCGTAGGCGAAACGGCACCGAGATTCCACACATTCATCAAGAACATGAAACGACCATCGAGCTCGAAGATTGCTATATTTATTCTGGTTTGATTACTGAGAACGACTTGCTGTATGCCAACCAGACATTCGACAGCAACAACCCCGGTCTTCATGCTCTGCCACGGGTGTACCTCGATTCAGACGCCTTCACAAGTCGCGATGAGGACACTGCTATCACCTTCGTGGTCTGGCAACCGTTGAGTAAGAGTTACTTCCGAGCCCAGGAAATAGGGGAGCAAGGCAAAGCCAAACGATCCTTGCGTCATGTGTCCACGCTGGGCAAGCATGGCCGTACTATCGTGTTTAAAGCACGTAGTCGAGTGGAAAAGGACCGTTGGGTGATGAGCATTTCCTCGGAAATTGACCGTCTCCAGGAGGAGAAACATGAAGACATACGGCTTGTTTCTCCATAATTACTGATTTCATTGCCTGCATTGTCTGCATTTCTCGGCCATTCATGATTCTTATTCTATTGGTATATACCACTTCGTTTTCTCCTTTTTTCTCTCTCTCTTCTCGGTAGCTTCCTCTTTTCACCCGCATACGCATAGACAGCATTTGTTACTCAAATAGTAATACAATGATATCCAGAATACATTCCCAATATATGTACAAGTCCGAGTCTCACCAGACACAGGAAAATCCAGCTCTATCAACATATACAAAAGGCCAATATGCGCCAAACCCCATCTATAACCAGCAACCAGGTAATCAGTTCAACACCGGCTGCTCGAGCTTAACAGCATTCTTCAAAACACGATCCCGTACACTCTTTCGATACACATCCGCAGCCGCATCATCCGACGCAGACTCAGATTCCCAGTCCGTCCACTTGAGCCATCGCATCCGCGGTCCCAGCACCGCAAATACCTGCCCGGTGATCAAACTGAGACTGACAGGCCCGTACGTATTGCTATCCAGCGTCTTCCGCGGATCCTCCGCATCACCCTCCAACCAAACATGATTCCACGGGACGATCTGCGTCTGCCGCAGACATGGCTCGCGAGTCGTGATCCGGTCACCGGGTAGACCGATGATGCGCTTAATAGCGATATGAGACGGATTTGCAGGGGAACTATATACGAAAGATATTGTTAGTGTTTGTTGTTGAACTTGACTCCGTAAAGAAAGAGGTATAAAGCAAAATAAGATAAAACACGCATTGCAAAAGCTCACCGGAAAGTAACCACCATCCCCGTTCCAGCTTCCGCTCTTTTTTTGAACGGCATTATAGATCCCCACGGCCACATGTTGACCGCCACTATGTCGCTCTTCGTTTGCGTTTGCGCATACTCCTCGTTCAGGTATGGTGTCATTGACGGCCCGCGAACCCACATCACTTGCATTACATGTTCTGGGAAGAATAGTGCGATCGGGAGCACGGGTGCTACCCAGCGGAGAGTGTTGCATGCTCGTCGGACTGGGTATGGGAGGGCGGAGATGCGTTGGCGGAGGTTTGTGAGGAAATGGGAGATGAAGGGTGTTCGTCTGTGTTGCGAGAGGGATGGGCCCTCGTATGTTATGGGTTCTGCGGGTTGGGGCTTCTTTGGCTCTTCCGGGACATGGACTCGGAATCGCGGATTGGGGGTTGGTATTCCTCTTGGCCGTTGTGGTTTCGACATTTTTTTGGAGGTGGAGGCGGAGGTCGGAGGTGTCGGGGGATTTGCAGGCAATTAATTGTGTTGGAGATGGGGCGTTCGGTTCAGCTAGTCGAGTTTCATTATGTAGCTTTGATAATCCGGAGAGACTTGTAAATGGAATTGGAGCGAAGTGGTCTTGAGCTGGAAGCCGGAATCATGATCAAATGCGCGATATGATACGGTGTTTGCACTGTTTGCATCCTGGGGTTTAAGAGTGAGCTAACGCTCAGATGATTCCAAGGTTGTCTTCGTAGAAGATAGTACAAAGAAGAAAAGAACCTATTTCAATTATAAATGTTGCCCTTACTGATACGACAACTCTATCAAAGTATGGACATGAACTGGTCAATGTCTCATCTTCGCCTTATATGCTACGAGTATAGATAGAGAAACACCAAGACTTAGAATGGTCCAAGGGGGCCTTTGCAAAATCCGCTTTTTAGCTAACGTGGTATTACAGGAGGTAAAAGAATTATGTTCGTTGAGTATCATGTGATAGCGATCGTGAATCGTGTCGGGAGCAAGTTGGTACATGCCTCAACTGTGTGCATGCCGAGTAAGGCACGCAACAGTTTATTGGCATGGCAATTCAAGCATCGCTACTCTCAGCCAAATCCTCCTGTGTGGGAGGGAAATACTTCCTACAATCATTGTCAGTATCTGACCAAGCAGTGTGAGAGACGGGAAAAACTTACGGAATAGATTCCTCATAGGCGGTCACATCCTTTTGCTCAAAGTTACAGAAGATGACCCTCTCCAGCTTTCCGATGTTAGGTCCGACGAGGAACTTTCGCACTTCGTTGATGGCATCCTCAGCAGCGTATCGACTGGGATAACCATAGACTCCGGTGCTGATAGCAGAAAAGGCAATGCTCTTCATGCCGTTTTCGACTGCCAATTCCAGGCTGCGTCGGTAGCAGGATTGAAGGAGTGCGACGGGGTCCTCTTCCTTCCTGTAGATTGGGCCGACTGTGTGAATCACACGCTTACAAGGCAGATTGTAGGCGGAGGTGATTTTTGCATCGCCAGTCTCGCATCCGTCAAGATGGTAGCATTCTTCAAGTAGCTTGGGACCAGCAGCTCGGTGAATTGCACCGTCCACACCGCCACCACCGAGAAGAGTCTGATTAGCAGCGTTGACAATACAGTCCACTTGGAGCTTGGTGATGTCATTGCGGATGATAGAGATCGTGTTGTTGAGAGACTGAGTGGGCGGAAATCTTGAGGACACAGGAACGAGCTTCTTCGTACGGTACAGAAGTGCCACAGTAGGGATATCAGCCAGGGCCAGAAGTGAAGACATGATGTAGAAAAATCCAGGTGAGGCTGGATCCAAGAGGAACTTGAAGAGGACGTCGAAGAGGAATATTTACTATGGAAGTAGGTATTGGCCTGGAAGCTCAAGTGGGGATAGGCCAATCCCGCGCACGGACCATCCGGGGAGATGCAGTCACGTGATAATGTCTATACATTGGAGATGTGAGAAAGTCTTACTAGGAGAGCTGGAGATAAAAGGGAAATAATTGATATTTTGTAGAGAAAAAGTGTATTTTTACATATAGTCTACTTTGAAATTAACAATCTTAGTGGTGTAATAAAGAAACCAACAATGCATCGAAGAATACATATCCACACAATTGTAGGATGCATAATTCCACGCATAAGGCCAAACAAAAGCAGAGGGAACAAGACCAATTCCAAATATTTTCTTGTTTCATTATAAATACGATTATCCTAGAAACTCATGCTCTTGCATCAAGCACTATCTAATAAATACCAAATGCCTTTGCCACAGGACCTGTCTACCTAGGTAGATGTCTAGGGATAAGACACACCCAATCGTATATGTTGTATGTACTCTGTCCTCCGCACTCCACAAGGTACATATGTAATCTCATCCTAAGATTAAGTTTCGACTACGGAATACTCCGTACAAGTCATCCTGCTGCGATGTACTCCATACGGCAAGCTGCATTGCATTACCGCCTGCACCTAGCTTAAAGAGACGGGCTTCTGTGCCGCTCAACACGTGGGACAAGTGTTCCAGATCAGGGCTACTATCATTGGTCCTATAAGACACGAGGCAGAAAAGGTACGGAGTACGGGGTGTATCTGTGGCTCATAAAACATCGACCCGGGAGCCAAGCCCGGGATTTGGCATGGCAGTGGAGGAGCTAGCAGGAGACGAATTGATTGGTGCAAGAGCTCGGTGACACATGGTTGGCGTTTCTCTGTGGATCAGTCATGCCACAGCTTTTTTTTTCGAGCTCTACGCATGAAGTTTCTTCAAGTGAATATGAGGGAGAGAGGTGGAACTTAGACACAGAAGTCACCATGCATGTACTATCGACTCCCACAAAATCATGCAAATCCCGAGTCGCACTAAAAATGAAAACTGGAGTAAGCGGGTAATTGGCTAGACTGTCCAGATCCCCGGCGCCTTGACTGCGTTGGGATTAGGTACAGGCCCGGGTCAAAGACCTCCCTGTCAAGATATCAACCTTCTATCCTAGGCAATACTACTCCGCACTCCGTACTTGAACTTGGGAAATGACAGGGAGTACTACTTGGTATAGGGGATCAATTAAACCCGTACGGCGTTCATAGGGAATTATCCAGAGTGGGTTCATATTTCCTCTGGCCCACCTCTCTCCACCGTGAAGGGACCCTAAGACCCTACCAGACGCTGTCAGAACCTGTCAGAACCTGTCAGATCAGCCGTGGACCACCGTTTTTCAACGTCAGTTCCCCTTTCGACTAGCATGACATGGATCCGCGGGGACCCAGCCCATGTGTTTTAATGGTTATATTTGACGATTGCCGATCTCTCGGTTATGCTTGTCGATGACTTCTGTTCCAGTTGGGGGGTTTTCCGCTAGTCCAGTCATCTTTCACTTGAAACGATAAAAATAGCATTGAGATAATCTATTGGTTGGAAGGGGAAATATCCGGGAAAAGGGGATAAAATTATGGCTCCGCTCCCAAAATTGCCATCGTACTAGGACCGTTTAGGGCGAACCTGTTCTTCTTTTTGCTTCCATTCGGAGATTGCCATGAAAGTAAGGTACTGGGTTAACAGGGATTGAGTGGATACGATGTAGGATATTCTGAGATCAAGGAATTGGTACTTTTGTCCTTCAGAAACAGCAGAGTTAAAATAAAATAAGATGGTCAAATTCAACTTAAAATGAAAGCTACCTACTCGGTACCTTGGTACCTCCCTGCTCTTCAGGCGGAACCTCGCAGCTGTCAAATTCAAAGCTCTCCAATCATCTTTCTATTTGATATGTGGTAGCTCAGATTTTTTTAAAAAAAGGAAAAAAGGAAAAAAAAAAAGTTTATTCAACGTCACCGGGGAAATCCTATTCGTTCAGGAATTAATAATTTAACCTTGGAATGGGCTGGACTTGTCAATGCATATGTCAAAAATTCTTGGGGTGCATTAACCCTGTGTCAAAATACTCCAATGGGCCATACCTGCAGCTTGGAATGTGCAGCTCTACGGAGTATCGGACCCTTGATTCGTTTGAGTTTGAACTAGGAAATGATTGGTGCGTTTGTATTCAACCAGTTCTCGCCTAATCGGCTATATGCTACTGTGTATTTGGAATGATCCTCGTTACGAGTCAGGATATTCATTGAGAGATCTACAACCTAACCTTTGAGGACCGATACGGAATATGAGAATGTCATATAGTATATACCCAAGTGCCAAGCAACTTCGCTTATTTGAAGCTTTTGGTCCCCCCTAACATCCTTGCTAGTACATTGTATGACAGCGATAGGGACGGGTATCCATATGATCATCATCCACTTTGTCCAATAAAGAACCGTTTGAACCTTCACCGAGATGTAGCCGAGCCGGCCGCGCAACTCGAGACCGGAAGGATCTCCGTGCATATGATTTATGTATGTTGTATAGCCTACTGCATGTACAACCTATTTCTATAGTACTTTGACTCCCTCGTCTGCAAATGGTCTCGATTACAGCAAGCATGCATCCGACGTAGATCAATTCTCTGGGAGAAGCACTAAAAAAACTATTGATGTCGAGTACAGGATTCAAAAAGAGCGAGAGATCGCCGAGCGGTCAAGTGCTTCCAGCATATGCGGAGTATATAATATCGTATTGCGCCAGTCTCTATTTGGTATCACGAGTGAGAAGATATATACTTAAAAGGTATATGGAGATGGCGATCTGCTCAAAATAGGTAAGAATCGTACCTCGCAACGGACGCACATAGGGAACGCAGCATATCACCCAAAATTGACAACAACCCACACGGCTGCAAATCTCCAGGCACACCCAGGTAGTCAGCATCTTTACTCCTCAGCCGTGTTGACCCGCAAAAAACCAATTTCGCACGCGTCCTCCGTATGGAGTACGTATATATCATCGCAAGCACCAGCACAGGCCAAACTGTAGATGAAGTCCCGAGATCCGCATAAAAAGGTAAAAAGGCATAATGAACATAACCTATAACTATAATACAACATATAATATTCTAGAAATAGGGCCATGTAAACCTGGAGCGGACTGACACTATCCACTGCGTATCCACCGGCGGATCTTAATTAATCCCAGCCGTTTTTCTCATTTCCTCGCGTGGCTGAGTATGGAGTTATGGAGTATACGGAATACAATCTCCCAAATCTCTGGACCCGACCTCAGTCCTCGGCTTCCTATTTATGTGATAGATTTGAGTAGGGTTTGTTAGAGATTCGTATTAGAGTAATATGCATACATCGTACATCGTCGATCCATGACTATCCATGACTCGGGTCTGTTTTCCGTATGTTGTACAAGATTGAGATCGCCAGGATGTTTATCAAGATGTCTATCAATGCATGATTCATGTACTTCACACTCCACGGCGGTACTCTCCGACATTCACTCGGAGATTCTAAAGGCGATCACGATGGTATCGGGATTTGCACAGATGCCGAATAGTATATTAGTGGAGTCCACATTCCTTTTTTCCACTGAAGATGGGGTGGAGCATTGAAAACGGTCAATCCACTTGTAATCTCGTTAATCTCTCAGGAGAACCTTTGGGCTTGAGCTAGTCCCGTATTGGGACTACTGGCTGGCGCTAAGTGCCTAGTCTCTGAAAAGAAATCGAAATCAAAAAAAAAAAAAAAAAAAGGAATCAGAGAAAGTCCCGCTGATCGAAGCGGTCTATGTATCTGACTTGGTGGAGTCTGGGAACGGTCCGGTTTGATTTCCCCGTTTTTATTTGATTTTGGCTGTTCTGGTTATTCTCCCCTGTCATGGAGATTCTTCCTAAATGTCGGTCTGATCGAGAATCCACAGGGCGAAATGAGTAAATCCCTAAACCTCTTGGCTATATCGTAGAGTTTTCCCAGATTGAAACGTGCAGCTATCGTGAGCTATCGTTGAACCACGCAGATCAGTGGCGATTTCACTATTCATTATTCCGTCCATAGGATGTCCCCTGTTGAATTGAGGAGACCAAAAAAAAAGAAAGAAAAGAAAGAAGGCAAAAAAAAGAACTAGGGGAATATCCATGTAAATCACTTATCACAATATAGTACATGTAGTCACCGCATATATATTTCACAGGACGGAGCCGTTACCAATAGTCCCGTCTGAACTAGTATCAAAAGACAATTCCCAACTTTGGAATATCGTAGATCTGACACGTTTCGATGAGGAGTTCGGTTCGATCTGTCACCCAATTAGACACAAGATATCTTGCAGGGTATAAATTCCCGTCATATTGCCGGAATAGGACCACTCTTATCCCCTTCTGGCGCAGTACAGCCAAAATCCCTGGCTAGTTCACAAGAGCCTTGTCGACGTTGCCGTTCCTTTGCCGTACGTGCAGATTGGCGTTGCGGATTTGACCTGATTTTTGAGAAAGACACCCCATTTTCCCCACCTCGACTCCTCTCCTTGGTCAATTTCGGGATAGGATCGGACCCTCACTTCCTTTTCTCTTCCTTCTTGATCTTTTGGTCAACTTGCAGCTGTCAACTTACTCTTTTGAGACTAGAGATCGGAGAGATTCCCGGGTGTCTCCACTGGGCGAGCTAAATAATCCCCTGAACAGCCACACTTCGGAGTCTCGGGTGATGGCATGATGATTTCTTCGTTGGGGCTATGGAGGTTATGGGGGTATTGCCGGAGATTTTACTGTGTACGGTGTATGGACGTGAACCGTGCTGGTCTGCACGGTTATAACATCCCGGTGAGGGGAATCTGTCTTAGCTCCCTTCTCGGGGTTGAGTTACCAGATAGCCTTGCAATGATTCTCGGCTGAATCGATGAAACTGCAAAGA